TATATAGAGCTAGAAGATAGAGAATAAACTACTAGCTAATAATAAAAATATAATTAAGAATATAGGTTTAAAAATATTTAAAGAGACTATTCTAGAGCTCTAATAAGTATTAGGAATACTAAAATATCTATACTACTAGACTTAAGGGTAGAACTTAATATAATTTACTTAAAGATAGTATAGGTAGTAGAACTTATTATTACTTTAATACTATAAGAATAGCCTTATCTTAGCTCTAAGCTACTAATAGGTTATTTAAATAGTTTAAAGAAATAATCTAATATACCCTAGTAACTATTAGAAATATTAAAATTCTAATAAACTTCTTTATCTTAAAGTTACTATTAATACTAATTATACTTAGAAACCTGTTTCTAGTAGATACCTAGTATACTTTTTAGTACTAAGCTAATAGATAAATAAAATATATAGTATACTTAGAGATTTATATATTATATATAATATTTATAGCTACTACTAATAATATAGTAGGTATAGTTACTTGAGAATCTATAATTTTAAAAAGATTAAAAGTCTAAGTATTAGGCTTAAGACTCTAGGTAAGTAAGACTTAATAGTAGTAAGCCTTAATAAGCTATTAGTTATACCTACTTACCTAATAAATAAGTATAGGTAACCTAGGTAAGTAGACTATTTAATACTTTTATAAGTAGTTAATAAGAATTATATTATATAAGAATAAGCTTATTATACTCTATATATAACTCTACTATATAGCTACTAAATTAAGCTTATAGGTTAGGTAGAGAAGCTTAGAGTCCTAGGAACCTTAGCTAAGGTACTTAAGGTCTATAAAGTATCTAGGCTACTGTTATAATCTACCTTTTATAGCTAACTAGCTGCTAACACTTAATAAGTGCTAATATGCTTAGTATAATATTATATAGGCTCTCTTATATAGTGTAGTTTTATTATAAGTTATATAATAAGCCTACTCCTTAGTAGTTAAGCTAAAGTAGGTTCTATATAGAGCTTATATAGCTTATATTAAGCTTAGTAAGCTACTATACTCTCTATAGTATATAGTAAGTAAGAATATAACCCTTATAGTTTATGTTTAACCTAAGTATTAATCTATAATATTAGATCTTAACCTAACTTTTAAGCTAGATAGTCTACTCTATACTACTTATTATTACTTCTTACCCTTAAGATAGATAGATTATATCTATACTCCTTAGTATAAAACCTCTCCTTTAGCTTCTCTAATAGTATTTATCTCTAAGAACTAATTAATTAGTGCTTATAATATATATTATAGGTAAGTAGCGTATATAGGTAAATAGCATACTTTTGCTAAGACCCTACTAAAATACTAACCTCTACTAATACCTCTATAATAACAACAGCTTAATATATTAAAAGAATATTTAATATAGCTTATAGTCTAAGCTTTTAAACAAGACCTAGACCTCTCTATATAATATACTATAGCTATCTATAGTACCTCTAAAACAACACTATATATAAGATATGCTAGATAACCTTTACGCGTTAATACTATAGCTAATTTATAGAATCTAACTAATACTAAGGAGTAGGTAATTATTATATATATACTTAAGCTAGCTAAGCAAGAATAACCCCCCTAGCTTATAGAAATAACTAATATTACTAATTCTCTATAGAAAGAGCATAGTTTAGTACCTATTAGCTTAAACTAGGCTAGCACGTTTATTTTGCGTTAGAAGGAGCTAAAAGTAGTTTTTAATTATAAGTATAACTATAAGCAAGCCCTCTATAAGGATTCTAAGGTTATATAGGGCTAGTTTAACCTTATAGCTAATACTAAAGCTAAGTATAGTATCTAGAATAATAATACTTATAACTTTAATAAGATAGGCTTTATAATAGGCTAGATAAGCTCTAGAGTAGTTATTATAGCTTTAGAGAACTATAGATAGGCAAAGGTAGTCTAGCTAGGCAATTATAAGTAGGTAATAGTTATCTAGAGTATTAATGCTATAGGGTAGGCTATTCTACCCTATATTATCTTTAAAGCCTACTACTACTAGTCTAACTAGTATAAAGACAATAACCTACCCTAAGATTAGATTATTGCTGTCTCTAAGAATAGCTAGACTACTAATAAGCTTAGTTTTAACTAGTTAAAGCACTTTAACAAGTATATAAAGACGCGTACTATTAGTACCTACTATTTACTAATTATTAATAGCTATAAGAGCTATAACTCTATAGAATTTAAGTAATACTGCTAGGATAATAATATTATAGGTCTATGCATGCCTGCGCACTTATTGCACCTCCTATAGCTACTTAATATAGGTTGTTTTAGCCCTCTAAAGAAGGTATATAGGGATAAGGTTAATTAGCTAATATATAACTAGATTAACTATATTATAAAGCAGGAGTTCCTCCTATGCTTTATAGTAGCTTATAATAGAGCTATTACCCCTAGCAATATTTAAGGAGAGTTCTAAGGGGCTAGATTAGCTCTATTTGCCCTAGATTATGTTATATTAGCTCTAAATGTGAAGCTGCGCACTCTATTACTACTACTCCCCTAAAATAGCCTACTCTAGCAGTTGCAGACCCTAAGCAATACCCTAGAATTTAGGTTATAATTAACGCTTATAAAGAAGAGGATTTAGAGGCACGTAGATAGCTTACTAACCTTTATAGTTAAAGTATTTAAGAAGGTCTTAAAGAGGGCAGCAATTATTGCGCATAAGCTAGCTTTAGTATAATAGGAGAACACTATACTTTATATAGCTCTAGTAGCTGCTATAGAACATAAATTACGCAAAAGAAGGCATATCTAGATAGAGGGAAGCCTTATAGTTAAAGAGGGCTAGTAGTAGACTACTCTATTAGAGTTTAGCACACGTAGTGATAGAAAGAAGAGGAAGATATAGGTGCGTGCTAAAGGAGGTGAATTATCCTAACAACACTATAGAAGGTGTAGAGAGGGTGGGCATAATGCGCAAACGTGCAAGAATAGAGCAGAAGAGGTCTCTAAGTAATATTATAGCTTATTTTGTCTTATGCAGTGCTAATTTGTGGTGTTTTAGGCTATAATACAGTATAATAGGGGAGAGTCTTGGCAAAAGTGCGCCGTTCGCCCATGTGCGCCGCTCGCCCGTGATGTACGTTAAGCTTTGCTTAAAGTATAACCTTAATACTCAAGGTTAAATAACTACGTGCCTTTTACTATTGTTATTATAGTAAAAGAATTCCTAGTAGGATAAAGAAGAAGTAGTCTAAAAACAAAGCTATAGTAAAAGAGCTGTTAGCTTAGATTATATGTAAAACGCATAACAGGGTCCTGATTTTAGTTACATGTTGTTAGTAAGCAACAAAAACCCTAAAATGGTACCTCAACAGACAATAGGTTGGGCAGGAGAACTTGTTTTCAACGTCCTATAGTTGTATGTGAAAACCATGGTCAATAAAAGCATCTGTATTGCAGAGAAACAACTCTCCTGCATCACGACGCTATCTCCTTGCTGCGATATGCGCCTGCTTCACAAGATGCTCTTCCGTTGTCCCATTAGCTTTTGTTGTGCGGCTTCAGCCACAGAAATACAATGGCTCTGCCTCTGCCTTCATTTTCCCCTCTTTCGCGTCCCAAAGGGTGTTGCTTCTTTACCCCTGTTGCAGCGCGATTACAGCTCGAAGAGCATTTGAGGAATAACATGAACAGTGCTAGATAGGGCAGCCCTTCAACAAAACACATACTGCTGCCTGGGCGAAGTCATGATCTGCCACAATCCTGTGACTTTCCGCAAGACGGTAAAGACATGAGGCCCTTCCTTGACCCAACGCGCGTGGATCTCCACGAACTCCGGGTTTTTATCGAAGAAATCCGACATGCGTCCCATATCTGAAGCGTTCCCCTTACCCATCCCATTCTCGGCTTGTACGTCTGCCGGCGTTTCCTCATTTTTCATTGGCTCTATGACCCAGCACGTTGACATGTTGCGAAGTTCAGGGCGGGGAAACACTTCCCAGTCTGGGCTATAAGGTGTGGCGACCTTTCATGGCCCATCAACTTCAAATATGCTGACTAGGTGAGCTGCCCGCCTGTTCTCCGCGCTGACAGACCAGTCGTCGTATTACAGATTTTCCGTAAGACTATGCAGAGATTGTGCATTGAAACCGTCTGTGGATGTGGCCAACACAACAGACATTTGGCCTAAGAACACAGTTCCCCTACTTTGTTTCATAGGATTGTCTCGCCTTGAGAAGTACGTATTGGGCCTTCTTTCGTTCAGGTAACTTCAGATGAAGACGATGGACCAGGCTCTGACGCCTCTGGATGCGATTCACTCGCATAACAATGATCGGGATACGCTCTCTCAGTGCGATTATAACACCCGCACTAAAGACTGCTATGCCTTATACTTTGTTCTAAGAGCCAAAACTGGGTCAGTCTGTCATCCTGACTCATGTCGAGCTGCAAGGTATCGAAGGGCCGAGATTGAACATCATTATGATCGAACAAGGCGTTTGTGACCTGGTTCGGTAATCTTCGATCGGACCTATAACTGCATGGGACAGACACAATCACCAAAGGATTGTATGGAATATCATCTACCAATCATCCCGCGATAAAGTTTGTTGAATAATTGATCCGATACCAAAGAGGCAGGTCATGAGGTGTCAGCGCCAGCCACCAACACAGCGCCACCACTTTACGTGCAACAGTTGCTGCATAGATGAACCATTGAACTGGTAAATTGATGTAAACAGTATATAGGCGGCCTTTCCTCTTGTTATCTGGGTCAAGAAAATATGCGTAGCATGTCGTCCGAAAAAACTCAAAAGCCTGACCTGGACAGAAAGCTACTAAAAAACCATGGCATCAGGATTCGAGAGAGAACTATTACTGCTGCTGACGAACTGAGGCCTTGGCTACGTCCATTGTTCCACTCTCTGACGCGTATACCGAACCGACAGAGATCTGAACAACACTTTTGGAGAAGAATTGAAACTGTTTGAGGAAGAAGGCCAGGACCGTAACAATGCCGACCGAGAGGCCTGGTGCCTAGGGCCTATCGAGAATCCCAATCAATCTGATGGAAAGCTACGTACGACCTCCGCGGTCAAAAAGACTCGGAACAAGCTCGCAGTTTATCAACAAGCTGCACGTGAGATGCAACAGTATCGCGTAACGAATGAGAACGAGGAGAAGTGGGTATCGATTTTACGTAGGCATATCTTTCAAGATTACCCAAAAATCGACGGGGAATCGAATACTTATGAGTGAGTCGGCAGATATTCGTGTGTATGAAAGCTAATCCCATCAGGAAAAAACTGAAAGGATGGGAAATGTGCGTATTTCCGTGTCAGGACCTACTCGATACTAACAGTTGCAGTCACGCAGACGTCCTCTGGAATGAATTTCCTTGCAGAAACTCAGCGAATTCGAAGCATATTCAGATCACACAGCCGAAACCTGATGTCACCTACGGGTTCCCTATCATCCAGCCCAGTGATGATGTGTACCGAACACTGAGTGGCGATCCCAACGTGGACAGCTTTTCCCTGCCAGTTCTTGGAGAGTTGCGAAGCAGAGCAGACCTACAACTTATGTCAACACCAACAACAGCTTTGGCCAGATGGGCCTCAAATAGAAGCAAAAATGTACTGCAGGCCAAAGATCTCATGTGTTTTCCATGGGCCATCGTGGAGATGAAACGAGGCACTCCGGAGCCACTTGCGAATAATCCGCCGATCAACAAGCGTGAAGCGAGGGACCACGAAAAACGAACGGAGTTCTGCTACTGCCAAGCAGCTAATGCTTCTGCAGCAGGCCTTATTCTACGAGAAAGGTTGGCTGAGAAGGCAAATGCGATATCCGGTGCGGAAGCCGCTCAGGTGATGCTTGCGTTTACTTGCGTGGGATCCACGGCCAAGCTATGGATTACTTATCGCAAGAAGCTGGTACGTCTAGAAGCTCTACTCGATCTCACCGAATTTAACACAGAATTAAGAGTAGTCACAACGACAACAGCTACGTTTGGCCTGATAAGAAAGGATGCATCATGATGCACTGCATATGGACTACATCCTTGGAACTATCTTGGGGGGTCATGGCCCTACGTGTGGTTGTGAAGAATGTCAAAGACTGGGTATACACCCACATCGAGCCCAATATAGCAAGGTGGATCGCACAGATCCGCTCAGCTGGTCTGCAAACGTACTCCCTTACACCAGGTGGAGATATCATCGGTTTCAGAAGGCGAGCCGCCTCCCTAGGGCCGACACAAGAGGACTCTGATTCAGAGGAGTTGGAAGTCGTCAACTCTAGGAGTCAACATTGCACCCCGCAAGGCAAATTGAGGCCCCACTTGCAACACGGTCAGACAGCTCCTGAATCACTCGATAGACGTTTGATCAAAGTCAGGATCCCACAAATCAGATTGAACGGACTGACAAAGATTGACCACGAGGATAGTGATGATGGCCCGGAGATAGGGCACAAGAGTGCTCGCCTTAGCGGTGCACGACGAAAGCTAAAGGTCGACTCAAATGATCTATCTGCGTTCATTTACGACGAGGGCGCGTCCGAAGATGATGCCGATGAAACGTACTCTCCGTCAAAGTCAGAGGATGATAGTGGCCAAAGCAACAGTGAAGAGGAGGACAGTGTCGAATGCGCTAGTGCAGATGACGGCAACATCAGCGACGAAGAGGTGAAGGAGCTCTTAGACACCGCTCATTCGTACCTATCATCGGACAGCCAGAGATACTGCTTTCAGTTACCCGATAGGTCACAACCTATTTCGTGGCTGGAAGCATGCTCTACATCGAGTGAGCTAGTGGGAACCAAGACTAAGAAAGATAGGCGTGGAAGTGCGCGATTCTGAACAGATTATGGACGGAGCCTACGAACTACTCCTTTATGCATAGAGGAGAGCGCGTTTATTGCCCTGTCGCTACGTCATATAACTTTGGTAAGCTGTAAACAATTACGAGCAGTAGGAATCAAGACTGTTCTTGCACCAGCGATGTCACGCCCGGCCACCAAAGAGCCTTCATTTACACGTTAAAGACTCAACAATGCTCAAGCCTAGGAAAGTGTCGGGCACTATCATCGTTGCAAAAATATACGGAACCTCCCTCCTCTGCAATGGCAATTGCTATAATGGTCCGCATGACGTCTACATCCTCCGTGCCTTCCGTTATTGGTCAGAAAACCTGGATCATGGTCTATGAAGGAGAGGATCAGGGTCTATCACTCGTACCAGATTGTTCTAGTCTACGTGCCTGAATATCTCTACAGTGGCCCATGGGCAAGGGGTTCCGTACGTTTTTGCGAGCACCGATAGAAGCCATAGCAGCAGCGACACAGTGAATGCGCTCGATACGACTGGGGGTAATTGTTAGAGGTTTATATATCTCTATCATTCCTTATCTTGTCAGCCTATAGTTTAGCCTTAGTACGTAACGACTTTTGTGCCACAGGCAGAGGGCCTTAGCATGTTTTGTGAGATTTTTCGCGATATACCCCTATTTTTTGTGCTCTATCAATAAAATCATACACTAACTCTATCGTTTTAGATACAAAATTATTAAGTATCTTACTCTTTCTAGCTACATTGTGACTATTCTTGTAACTAGTAAACTTGTTAGTACAAGGGTAAACTTTAGCTTAGATATTCTTATTCGCCTACTATCGTAGAAGAGCACTAGAAGGTACATTAAAGCTACTTAGAGAGGACCTAAGTAGCCGTGCCAGCAGGATTGGAGTAAGCCTCGGGGACGAGAACGGAAAGGTCCCCGTTGTTGAGAATGAGAGCAAACATCTTCCGTAGCGAAAGATGGAGTCTGACCTAAGAATGTAGGCATCGTGTCATCACCGGTCCTCGTCTCGATCCATACCTTCCTTCCTCGAAACGTCCTATACACAGGGTAGACAGCGTTCCCAAATACTCAATCTACGGCCTGTCTCCAGAATGGTGACAATGACTGTGGTTCGATTATCAGGATTGCGGAAGGGATGTTTTGAGGCAAGGTAGGGATCCCCTGCTCAACCCCAAGCAAGTAGATTGTCATCCTTCCGACAGGAGTCCCTCGACAAGAGGGATAACATTTATTCAGATATATGTGCATCCAGAGGGGCACTGATAGGGGGTCGGGTCTTTTCTAGTTTTCCTCCGCACCCTGCTCAGTCTTGATGGCTGACAAAGAAAAACTACAGGGCGACTCAATCTTTGGATTGTTGAGGCATTGGTTTGGTGGCCATCACTGCTAGTACCATGGTTGGAGTGACTGGTTGCGGGGCTGTGCAGCCCCAGAGTTGCGGTCTCGTGGACGGGTTGAGGGGGCGCGCGTGCGAGCCTTGGTACACTCGTCCATGAGATGACTGAGGAGTCATGTTTTGGTGTTGCAGCCATGGTCAGAAGTTGGGTCAGGTCTTCGCTAGTTGCTTGAATGGGTAATCTCCAAATTTGTCAGGTGCAGTGTGTGCGTGGACCTTGCTAGCTTGCATACACTTGAAGCTGGGCCAGTCTGTCATCCTGACTTATGTCGAGTTGCAAGGTATGAAAGGCTAAGACTGAGCATCTTTATCATTATACAAGACGTTTGTGACCTGGTACGGCAATGGCGAATCGCCTACCTGATCAACTCGAATAGATTGCCAAATACTGTCGGGTAAGCCTTGGGCATACCAATTCGACTCTGAAAGATCAACTAGAAACCTGAGGATGACAAAGATGACTTTAGCTACTATGCCGCGAAACTGTAGATTGTTTTGAACACGCTGGGGTACCACAACCCTATCAGCATGAAGATTTGTACACTACTTTAACACGAGCTGCCCACAACAACGAGATAAAACTCCACATATAATAGTGGGTCGAGTACTAAGCCATCGGTACGTTGCTTCCATAGGGCTGAGCGAACGGGCAGCCTTGTTTTCTCCTAGCCAGCCACTACCAAAGCGCTTGGTTTTACCGTATCCGGTAATAGCGTTGCGGGAACTAAGGCGCATAAGTATACAGAAATCGATCTTATAGAGTATAGTAGGGAGTTTCGGCTTGGCATGAGTAAACGGTCGGGGGTCGGGCTCTAACATCCCTGGTCTCTTCTTTCTCTTGATCCTGATCGCACTCAATATATCTAAAGCACAACAGCAGCGAGGATTTCAGTCTTGGAACCCAACGCATTTGAAGGCTCATAATCTCAAGGGACTGAGAATCTTTGCGGATTTCCCGCCTTAAACTGGTGTCTTTTGCTCGATTGTTAGCAGTGTAAGTACGCAGTGATATGCTTCTGGAGTAGATGTACGTATAATTTCAGCTGCCAGCTTTGCCCTAGTGTTGTTGAGTTTTATAATGTGGACTCTGCACAGGCGCGCAATGCTGATCCGTGCTCGCAAATTTCAAGAATCACGGCCATATGAGCGCGCTCAAATGCGAAATCACTCCTAAGGCCTTGATAACGCTGATGCTACACCACTACCGACGACAACGTGGCATCGACCAATCGGGCTAACGTGGTGTCAGCGCACCACCTTTGCTCCTTCCCAACACGATACAGTAGCTTCCGCGTAGATATGTTTGTCCGTTAGCCGAAGCGTCCCCTGTCCTGCTTACTCTCAGCCCCCACATCACAAATCTACCTTCCTGTCATCGACTTTAATCGGTCGTTGCCTATGGTACGTAATACTACGCGAGAAATTGCTTAACCTCCATACGTGGGTATCTGTTCGCCTTTACTTCGTATTGACCTTCGTACATTTGTTATCTGTCGTTTCTACTTGTTGTACCTTTTGTCGCGATGTCGGAGTATCTGACACAATGGAAGAACCCCGGTGATGTCTTCTCCGTTCTTCTTATAGTTGGCGGTGACGTGATCCTTCTGGCTCTGGCTTGCCTTACAGGCAGGGCGCTCACGCCAGTCGCTTTTTCGTTCGGATGGGTTGCATATGCCATCTCCGCTGTTGTAGCAGCTATTGGGGATAATAAGCTGTTAGTGCGGTGTCCACCAGAGTTATCCTTGAAAGTCATCAACCTAAAAAACGGATACTGTCGCGACAATAAATCCTGGCTTCTTGGAAGATTCATCAAAGATTACAATTACTGGATGCCTGGAGAAGTTAGAAATCGCCTTCTGGACCCTCGTGTACGCTCCGACGAAGAGAATCAGCCCACCAATCCTCTTTGTCCACTGCCTCGCCCAGATCCAGCCAGCTCCAATAAGATATTTGGCAGATCAGATGCGGCTCTGTGCATTGCTGTGTACAAGTGGGCCGACAATAGACGTCCTGGAGAGCCTGATCGCGATTGGTTGTGGTGGAGTGGCCTTGTTGTTTCTATCCTCCAGTTGGCTATCGCGTCGATCCCATGGGGCCTTCATAACAACTCAGACATATTCATTGCTACAGCAGGAGGGACTGTGCTAGCATACGCATCTGCATCCCTGCCACAGTGGAAAAGCGAAAAATGGCCCACAAGATCTAGTAATAAGACTTTCGCCATCACTGAGGGGAACGGAAGCCAGCACGTGATCGTTATCCTCGGCGCAGACCATGGTCTCGATCTAGAAGCTCTGGCTGGTTCAAGAGCACCTGACCTGAAGACAACTCGCGTCTACACTTGCGCACTGGCAGTATTATGGCTGGTACTGCTAATCACGTGCTGCGGTATCAACACACACACGTGGTATCTTCTCGCTGTGGGCGGGCTGGGTATGGCGCAAAACCTGTTCGTAGCAGGTGCACCGCGACAACCTGCAGCGCTGGGCCTACCTATAGAACTCGTCAGCAGTGGGGACGGTCATGCGGTTGTTCCAGAAGTCTTCGCTGAACAGAAGGTGATGTGGACGATTATGGAGTTTGAAGAGAAACATCGCAGTTGCGGAGATGCTCTTGTCAAAGAATTTTTCCCGGGGAAGTTGCGGCAATGGGAAATCGAGTGGTGGGAGTCTGACGATGCTGAAAAGCGAAGTAACTTACTCAAGACTGCGCGAAGAGAAGCATGGAACAAAGCTCGTGAACAGTCATCGGGGGATTGAAATGAGATGTCATGAGATTGGGCGGCAAGTAAACGTGTGCATTTGGGCGAAAGAGTGTTGTTTTCGAGGATGACTATCTCCACGTCAAATTCCTTCTCCAACATTAGACCTAGCTTACGCATACTTTCAAACCCCCAGACAGTGTTGAATCCACCATGCGCGTTCTTCCGTCCTCTTCTGCAACGTTAACTATAACTAATCTTGCCTTGTATTCGCAGTGCACAGTGAATGAACCATCTGCATGTTTTTCCACTGAACTGGGACGTTGTAGCACGCCCACACATGGAGAGGCATTGCCGGCTGCAATGGAGTCCGGAAATAATAGCATATTGCACTGGTAGCTCTTTGCTAGTGGCAAATCGCGTATCTCATATAACCGATTGGCTCGCGGGTCTCGCACCCCCCAAGGGCCGTTTACCCCAAGTGTCATCTCTGGGAAGACTAACGCTTGGTAACTTGCTCGGAGACCGATAGATGTACATATTGCATCGTTCAAGGCTGCTGATAGCTGTACTCCCCCTTCACTACCGCCGTGGGCTGCCATGAATGAAGGAGGAGCCCACCGGAACCCTGGACTGCTCATTTTTGGCCCGTTGAGAAACAATACGTTACGTGGAATTTTGTAAAGATCCTGGAAAAGCTGGCACATTCGTTGTTCCGGAGCAACGTCTAGAAGTCTAGAGATACCCAGACGCAGGAGGCTTGCAATGGCAAGTGTTTCGTCTGACCCTCGGCTTGTCCTTCTCCATCGAAGCGACCGCGCAACGTCGCCAATTTCATAAGCACCATAGCTAACTTTCTTCGTCAAACGAAACAGCTCAATTGCCAGATCAGTTTCATGCGGGAATAACAGCATGTCGAAACTGCAAGATAGCAGACTTGATATCTCTTGTTGCGCATCAGAAAACTGGAAGAAGAGTCTCTTGGCTAGTACGGCTTCTTGGAGTGTCCAGAGACGCCTCATCCACCCCGAAGTCAGCGTGCGTAATAGCTTTACGCCTTTCGGCTCCGTAGACTCCATTGACTCCAGACTACTGTCTAGAACCAGGACCCTTTCCGCCGCCTCGTACGTTCGAGACATCATCTTGATTGCCTTTTTGCGAGGCTCTTGGGCACCTGGGATACATAAGCTATCGATCCAGAAAGCTGCGCCTTGCTGTAGGGTAGAAACGAGGCTGTCCAGGCGTCGTAGCTGGTAGAGAGGAAGTCCGGTTTCCGAATTACTTCCTAGCCCGTCTGCCCACACATGGGATATAGCAACATAAGATATTTCCGATGACTTGTGGACTTGAAGTCCACCAGGGTCAAGGGAAACAACGGGAACATGTCCATGGGATATGTAAGTGACAACCTGGTCCAGATCAGGTTTGACGTACTCGCAGGGTCTTTTCAGCAGCGTCTGTAGACATTTGCATTCATCCGTATGCTTGGAGGTATAGTTATCTATGTCTACATCGTATGCGACACATGATTTTTGGCTGCAGTGTTCATGGTGTCTGTTAGTTTCCGCTGGTCTGTGGTCGTACGCGTATTTCAACGAGGACACCAGTCTTGCGCTGACAAGGTATTCTACGGTATGAGGGCACCACCCGTCCGAATGCATCGATTTACGCAAGGCATCTTTATGTGATGGTGTCCATATCATGGACCAGGAAAAGCCTTCCAGTCGGACTCCAGACGTTGGAACCAATCTCGAACGCGCGCTTTCCAATGCTTCGGCAACCATGACGATGAAGCAAACCATTGAAGGTGACATGTCGCCAAGAGGTCGAAATACCCAGAAGTCCCTTGTTGCAAAAGACACCATCAGAGAATTGGCTACGCGGAGGTTGGCGTTGGTCCGCTCCAACCAGGATTTTCTTGCATCTGGTTGAGCCTGGTCTATTCGATACAGCCAATCCCGGATTATTGTGACAAGATGTTTCGTGGTCATGAACAGCTTTCCATTTGGATTCCTCTCCAAAACCATATCTTCTGCCACTGGAGCCTCAATCACGGATTCCAAGAGGCCGAACGTGAGCAAACTCTGGTATTCTGCCGCGGCTTTCAGCACTGATTCTTTTGTCGTCTCCGCAATCTTGAGTGTATTGTTTTCCCGTCGACTGGAAATGTAGGTCTGCAGAGGACCAACTCTATAGCCTTCGTGAGGAAATCCCAACCATTCTGGACTCTTGAAGAAATTAGATCGAGCAGTGGTCGCGTCGAATATCGACATGGCTAGCGCTAAAGAATTCCAGTCCTCGAAGTTTTACGATGCTGCCAGCGGACACAACGATATTTCATTGGTGAACTAATAGAAGGAATTTAATTGAGATGGTTACGTTGGGTCGAACGAACATCCACACACACTACAATCAAGCCTTATGTGTGCTGGGAATGTGATCATTGTGAACAAACGTTCATGATGGACGGCCCCTAGCATCTATCGGAGCCGAGGTGATATGCACCTGCATATCTTTCTCCACTTTTCGCCAACTGCCACGTCACTATGTACGGCACTCAACATGTATTGTCAACTCGTTTACATACAACTTCAGTTGAGGCCCCAAATGTAGCAGGGGCTATGGAGTTGTAATATGACAGAAATTCAGTTGAAGGTCAAAGAGAGCGTAGTTATGGGACTCGAAGGTCCGGCATGGTTCTGGTATTCAAGTTGGGGCTCGCCTGCTGTATAGCCTGATACCCATCACTCTGCAGATACGAGTAAAAAGCAAAAGAACACCCCCGCCACCTTTGGGCATCAGTGCCTTTCCTTTGTTCCTGGAAGCTCCTCAAGGTAAACATAGGTGTTTCATAACCTCAGTTTCTGCTCGTCGTAACCTCATACGGTTTTGATGCTTCCACACATCTACGACCTCCCGTTCGATTTCATGGTGAATATGGTCGTCAAGATCTCTGTGGCTGCCCGGCCACGACTCCATCTGTGTTGTCAACTACTCTCATCGGGCTCTGCATTAGGCTCTCAGAATCGATAAGCTCACAGGCTCTATTGACTTCATCACCCGCACAATCACCTCTTTTATATATATGGCGCAGAAAAGTGTTGATGAGCTATCCTGGCTGTGGAAATTCTATTGTTAAAAGCACCGAGAACAGTGGCTCAATTGAATTTAAGAGCTTCAGAGCACAGTACCGAACCTATGAGTATTCAACAAAAGCGACATAGGCAGCACAATAGCAGCACTCCCAAATGAGATCCTATGATGCGACGTATAGCGTAGGCGCTTTTCTAGTGATACTTGGGTCTAGTATTCCTGCGTGATGCACTGCCTGCATATTCCCAGAGCCCATCACAACTCATCTTATTAGTGATAATGTTGAGCTCTCGACAGCGACTATAGAGTAAAAGTTTACCCGACACTGTGTGAGTCGATGTCTCTTACAGGAGACATGGAAAAGGATGGCCACCTTACCACCAGAAGCAAAGGTGCACCCGTAGCCCGAGAGAGGCGAGACTATCCCCAAAGAGGTACGCAATCTAGCTCTGCTTGACCAACCCAATCACTTGCTCAGGCAGCAACGCATGATGAGGAAGAAACCGATAAGTAAGCCCAGGGCTGAACTGTCTCTAGCCCGCCAGTTCAGTCGGAATCCGGGGACTACTCTCTTTCTTCCTAGGCATATCTCTACCTTATTCTTTATCTATTCAACGCAAATTACCAAGTCTGATGAACCCCCCAAATAGCCTCATTACGGTATGCAGCATCTCTCTCGCATCGTTGGAAGAGTCCGCGTTTCTGCGTGCCCCCTCAGCGGCCATCCCGAAACGTTATAGATTTCTAGACTGCAAGTTACTTGTCGAAAAACAGCTCCTGCAGATCTACGAGATTTCGGAGCTCTCCAATCTCGACTACACTGCAGTATCATACGTGTGGCGCGGCCAAGTGCCTAAGAACCCGCATCTAGAGGATGCATCTTTTCATGTCGAAGGTACATTCGACGAAAATGGCAGGCCCGAAGATAAGCCTGATCCTATAAGCCTGAGAGTGCTCCGACACGCCTGTACAGCATCAATACACCAAGGCTGCAATCTACTTTGGCTGGACAGGCTGTGCATACTGCAGAGCAACAAAGAAGACAAGAAGTGGCAAATTAGGAACATGTACGGCATATACAAAAGTTGCAAGAGCTGTATAGTTCTGGCAGGTGGCTTGCATTATTTGGTCCCTCTTCAAACAGCGACAGCATGGATCCATCGTTCTTGGACACTTCAAGAGTGCCTTGCACCGCAGAAGACACTTGTACTATTTGCATGGAGCGACGGCCCGGGTGCAATTCTGGCTGGCGACGAGCACCACAACATCGAAGAAATTATACCCTCTGAGAGTGCTATATCTAGCCTTCCTGCCATTGTCGATGGCTGTTCACAGGGGTTTCTCGAGTTCCAGCCACATCCAGCAGATTGGCATAAGTCTGGTCGCAGAGTGAGCTGTAACATCTTCGGTTCACAGACTCCAAATGTTCTAGCTCTCGGGGCCGCGCTCAGCGAGACACTTGGCGACGACCCGGATGCGCGCTACAGTTCGATTTGGCAATGTGCTCTCATGCGGACATCCTCCCGTCCTGTCGATATGGTCCTTAGTATCATGGGTATTTTCGGCGTTTCTCTCGATCCAGGCGCTTTCGATGAGAATGATCGCCTACGCGCGACTGTGGCCTTGGCTCGTGAGATTCTCTCCAGCGGAGGAAGGGCATGCTGGCTCGGGATCTCGCTCACCCTACCCCTCTCGAGTGAGATATCGACATTTCCTGCTTTCCCGGAAACAACTGTACAGGGGAAAGCAATGGTGCACACACCAGAAGGGAAGAAAGAGGTTGCAGAGATGATGGAAGGGTGTTACCCAAACAGTCTTGGCCTCAGGATGCCGCTTCCGCAAGGATCGATGGACGAATCCGGCGCGTTGACTGCGGTGTTCAAATTTGCACGTGCAGCGCCCATTGACTTACCGAATCGTTCGACCTTCAAGCCCCGGTCAGTACTTCTAGACCAGATGCGACCCGAAGAGGGGCAGAAAGGAGATGTCTGTCTGGGCTACAACTCAACACTCTCGTCTATAGGGCGTCACTCTTGGCGAACTGAGCACCCTCAGTGCTCTGACGCTGAAAAGGAAGTTCTGGCCAGATGTGGGAACGGAGAATCATTTGTCCTCTCTAGAGATAGCAACCATGATCTGGAGAATCAGGCCTCGGACACGTTCGCTCTCATATTCGGATGGTTCAATGAATACTATCCGGGTGCAACGACAGCAACAAAAAGAAACAACATTAGGGGAATGCTAGTTCGAGATGACGCACCCAATCGGTTCCGTGCTATCTCCTTCTTCTCGATTGACCGTAAGTGGAGAGATTGGGCAATGTTGTTAGACAGCCGCGAGTTCTGCATTGGCGGCAGATCTCATCAATTATAATAGTCTGCTAAATGGATAATCGTCCTGTTGTGGCCAACAACTCATTGTATATGGAAGCTGTGATACATCAAGTCATCTGGTTTCGTTTATTGGTGGCAATGCCTAACGAATGGCTCATTGTAATGTCAGCAAAGGGATGTTTGCGAGAAAGTACTTGCGTGTTCAAACTGACAAAGGAAACTGATTGAGGAAATGACAGGCCAAAGGACAGGTTTTATTAATTGCAAACGGAAATTTCCTGGCTATTAAGTGAACACAAGGCTCAAAGAAACTAAGTGGCCAATATAATGCTTGCATCAGAATTTATACCATTGCCCTGGCGGTTGAAACATAGTACCACGAGTTGTCTAAAATAACAAAAGAAATCTATGCATACAACAATGGGCTATATTGTCTATAAAATGAAGACAGTACAAGGTTGTATCGCTTTGAATGCTGCTTTTCCTTGAAGCTCCCACCAATCTGGATCGAAAGTTACAAATCCAATCCTCTTATAAGAAGGCAGAAGGGTGCTTCCTGTTGACTCCAGCGCAAGGGCCGCTGGATAATGTTCCCCGCCATGTATCAAGAGGCAAAAGAAGGAACGTTCGTGTGATTCGGAAGATTGTAGATCAAATTTCACTCGTCCCACTGGCACCTCAGCGACTGAAAACAGTGTTGTTGGGAACTCGTCCTGTGGTGATTGTGGCGATCTATACACCACCTCTATCAATCGACCTTGGACTTCCAACGCGGCGTTCCCAATACCCCCGTAGGAATTGTGTGTACTGGCAAGTGTATACTTCACGTGTACCATTTCGCATGACTCTTCCAGCTCTCTCAGGGGTAGGCCTATCCCTGAACACCAGAATCCGACCTCGCCCTTGAGGCGCGCCCAAGTCCACGAAGGCAATGTATCAGATATGACTTCTGTGCTCGACTGTGAGGCGTACCATGCGATACCGACGATGAGGTCTTCCTTCCATAGTCCAGCCAGATAAGTATATCCCGTCCTCTTCTCGAACATCTTCGCGATACCGGACAGAGCAGGCAGTTTGTCAGATTGATAGGTTAGGTTGCGCAAAGAATATTCCTCAACAATGGTGTACCATCGAAGCAATCTAACTCTTCTCTCAAACCGACGGACACTGGAAGATTCCTGGTAGTCCCGCAAAAACACAGTGCTTGTAGTGTACGGCAAAGGACTGTTGATATCTAAGTCTTGTTTGAAGCCGCGACCGGACCTTAGGTCATCCGTCGCAACATCAGGAGCCCTGCCATCCTGGCGGATGGTACTTTCGGCACACTCCCAATACAGCTGATGCCGCCCAAAATAAATGATTCGGGGCGACAACAAGCGCTCTTGGAAGGTCCAAGCCCGTGTGTCTAGTGGCGCGTCGCGCAGCCTCTCGTGTTGGAAGACAGGAGACCGAATATACATAGAACCTGAGATTGAATGCTGCGTACATTCATAGGGTAGTCGACAGGGAGGTGGTTCTACTTCTCGTGGAATAAATAACCCGCCTTCCGAATTTACACTTCCTCGTGCAGCAATAGTGACGAAGCCGGAAGCATATATATTCCCCATGACTGCGGATTCTTTCTCCCAGTCGACTCGGCAATCTTGGAGGATACAAAGGCTATCTATCCATAGATACCTCACACCAAGTCTCCGTACCACAATCACCGCCTCTTGGAATGTTTTGGGGAGGCGTTCGAACGGAATGGATCGAGTTCGGTCCTCCAGTGTTGCAGTTGTGGTAGTCAAGGGAACCTGGCCACCCCAACAATGGCTAAGGGCAATGTAAGAGCCTTTCATCCCATGAGATTCTAGCAAACGTAGCTCAATGGGCTCGTTGGGCGCGCAAACTTCAATGACTCGGGTTGGCAGTGGTGTCTCCACGCTCGGTTTTGGACAAGCGGCATGATTGTTCAGACAATCCTGCGTCCACATTCGCGCCTGCTCGAAGTCGACATCAGAGCCGGCTGAGAGTGGCAATGGCCTACCAGTAACTCCTCCGTGGTATGCTGCAGCATCATCTATATTGTCTCATGTAAATGACCGCTTTCTCAAAGGGTAGAGAACTGTTCACCTGCTTCAGCATACAAGTCAACTACACCGTAAGCCGCGTGTTGATGATCAGGATGCATGGTCGGATCTGAGGGCGCAGTTTCGTCATCGACCTCAGGTACCTCACCCGTGGTAACGATGTAAATCCTGTCGAGGCTGGCCTGGCTTCCGCCCCAGGCTGCAAGTGAAAGCTGACGGCCTGGATATTGTTCACAAACTTGGGCTAGAGCTGCACGAAGAAAGCTCCGTTGTCTGTCTTTGCCAGAGCCCTGCTCAAGAGCGCTCCAGAAGAAGCCACAGAGCTGACAGCCTGCATCAGCAGACCTTTTCAACGCAAGATAGCTAGGCTGGTGGGGCTGCATTTGGTCGAGATTCGGCCCACGCATTTTTGTCAACGAGATGGAGTTGCAGAGCTGGCAGAGGGTCATTGTGAAAACCAAGATAAGTGAACTGGAGAATTGAATGCAACCAAGAATCTCTTGTACTGTCTCGTGCCTTCTGAAGGCCTAAGTTGTGCGCTGGCGGCTGACTGTAAGGCTGAAATGTAGGGCTTGGAAGGAATACGAATGACAGCGCGTCAGCCTCGCTTCAACAAATCGAGTCCTCAGGATCTCAGCCTGCCAACGATTACCAAGAGATGCAAGGAAGCCAAGGCTTCAGTTTTATCTCCACGTGTGCGGGGTAGGGAGTACCATAAATAGTCGTTGTGCCATGAAGTTTACGTCTTTCTGATCATCCGATACTTCAACCTTAAATCTTTATCTACAACACTGCTACACACAACCCGAGTCACCGTACTTCCTTGATACATTGTTTAATCCAATACCAAAGAGTGAGATAGGTCGCCTTTATCCTGCATACTTGACTAATTTGAGTGAGCCAGCATCAACATGCCTGATCGCATAACATGCGCTATGTGTGCGGCTTCTGCTGCACTAACAGCTCTCGTTTGTGGAGGATGTGCAAGATATAATGTTCCTGTAAGCTCAAAGGGCACTGCCTATTGTAGTGCTTGCACGGCCCAATGTACAGTGAGCTACGGCATTTGTAGACAATGCGCACAATAAGAGGTCCTTGTACACAAGTGTCAGTTTTATATATATCAAGACAGCAATGCTAAGGAACTTGTTTCAACGTCCTGTGGTCGTGTGCGGAACTTCTGCTCAGTAAAGCACATCATGTATCCGGAAACATAGTTACTTAAACGTTGACCAACGACGGTTGGCGAAGTATCGTGAGATATCGTGGGGTCGCGGTACATTAGGGTAAAACGCTGGCCTTGCTGAACCTTTGGATACTCACAACGAAAAGACTGCCCTCCTTGATGAGCAAACTCCTTTCGTATTGTCTGATGACCAGCGAATAGCCTTGAACCGCCATCATGGTACGTGAAAACACCACAGTGCTGCGCAGTCCTTCCACGCCCTTCCAGAGAGAGCGGTCTGGCTGCTTCCCTCTCACCTTCACTCCATTGCAGCCTCACCGCCTGCGGAAACGCGCCGACCACGCTATCACGATCCAAGTCTTTCACCATCCAGCTCTCTCGTCACTTCACCATAGAGCTTCCGCTCTCATAACGGACAGATCCTTCTTCCACTCCATCTCACTCCATCTCTTCGTCCATCCACTCTATCCCACCTCACAACTTCACACAACCAGCACCACAGCTAGCCACCACAACCAGCTATCCACAAGCACACCATGCCACCCAAGAAATCCACCACCGCGCCCTCGGCCACGGGTAGCGAGACCGTACGTCCCCACTGTCCACCAACACCGCCACTTCTATCACCACACCTCACTAACACAGCGCAGAAGTTCAGCTGGACGGCCGAAAACGACCGCACCGTGCGTTTCCTCCGCGACGCGTGAGGAAGATGTATCTGCTAACGAGGCCGGTGTAGCTGCTGCTGCTGGCGCTGGGCCGCGCGATCGGAACGGGGGACTACGAGCAGTTCGTGGGAGCGCTGCCTTGTACGTTGTTCGCTGTCGTCATTCTCTCCTTCCTGGGCTTATCGTCTGCTCTTCCCTTCTACCCTTTCCCTTCCCTTCTATCTTATCCCTTTCCCATCCACCTCCCTCCCCCACTCCCCCTCTCACCCCCAACCCCAACCCACCAACCCAACCCACTCCCGAGACAAACAATCACAATCTAACATCCCCCAAAGCAGGCGCAGGCTACCAAGGCGTCCGCCAACGCATCACCAAGCTGCGCGCCGAGCAGAAGAAGATCTACGAGGAGCACGGGTGGGAGCTCACGGCCGAGGCGAGCGCGAAGGGGAAGGCGGCTGCGAAGGCCGGGAAGGGCGCGAAGACGGAGGGCAAGGCGAAGACGGGGGGCAAGGCGAATGTGGGACGGAAGAAGAAGGGCACCGCCGCCGCCGCCGCCGCCGAGAACAAGGACGAGAACCAGGCCGAGAACGAGGATGAGGTCAAGGCTGAGGTCAAGGCTGAGGTCAAGGCTGAGGTCAAGGCCGAAGACGAAGATGAAGTCGCCTCCGCCTCCCCTTCCGCCTCCGCCGACGAGAAGCCCCAGCCCCAGCCCAAGACCAAGCCCACGCCCAAGCTCAAGTCCTACATCGGCTCCAAAGCCACTCCATCGCGCAAGCGCAAGGCCAGCTCCGATCCCGATGCCGACGCCGACAACGATGGCACTTCGACAGCGACCGCGGCGAAGGCGGTGGCGAAGGCGAAGAAGCCGCGTGCCGCGAAGACGGGGGTGAAGAGTGAGGAGAAGAGTGATGAAGGTGTTGAGGAGAAGAGCGATGAGGCTGTTGAGGAGGCTGATGAGGAGGGCGAGGGCGAGGGCGAAGACCAGGGCGAAGACCAGGGCGAAGACCAGGCCGAGGCCAAGGGTGCGGTGAAGCAGGAGCCCGACCGCGAGGAGGAGGTGTGATGTTCTCGCCCGCACTTTCCTCGCCCGCATGCAGTGAGGTATGGGCGCGTTTTGTGGACATACAGGCAGACGGATGGATGGACGGACAGACAGACGGCGGACTTCAGCGTTGGCAGTAGCTTTGAGATTGAGACTGAGATTAGAGGTGGAAAGGGACTTGAGCGCGGAAGGACCGGCGTGCCACCTCGGAGCTAAGCGATGCAATGCAATGCCATGCCATGCAGTCTCTATACCTACATACCAGATACCCATTTACCTCCGCATAAACCCCCCCCCCCCCCCCCACCCCTCTGTATATCTCACACACCCACCTACCCCAAAAACAACCCCAACACCCTCCCCATCCTCTCCCGCCTCACTCCGCGCTCCCGCTCCGACAACCTCCCCCCCTCAAACCCAAACAGCACATCCGCAAAAACCACACAGTAATTCCTAACCACCAGCTGCCTGACCGCGACGCCCGCGGTGCGACTCAACGTGCGCCTCCTAACCTTTGCCTGCGGGGAACTCGGCATCTCGACGCTCTTCCGCGGCGCGTCGGGGGCAGGGGCGCCCGCGGCGGTGAGCTGGGCGGTGAGGTTCTGCAGGAAGGACAGCAGGAGGAGGAAAGTAGCGTTGTGGGGGGGCGAGGCGGCGAGGATCTCCAGGATGGCCATTTTCTGGTCGTCGGCGGCGGGGGGCGGTTTGCGGTCGTTGGCGGCGAGGGCGGGGGTCAGTGCGTTCCAGAGGGGCGGGGGGATGACGCCGTCGGCCAGGGAGGCGAGGAGGGTGAGGAGGACGGTGGCGAGGAGGGCGGCGCGGGTGGGACCGGGAGTGGCGGGGGCGAAGGCGGGGGTGAAGGGGGTGTCTGTGTCGAGGGCGTCGAAGAGGGCGGCGAGCTCCGAGTCGTGTGTGGAGTCCCAGGCGGATATGGTGGGGTGGGTGAAGGGCCAGCTGGCGTTGTCCATCCAGGGCGCGCGGTCGTCGGAGGAGGATTTGGTCATTTCCCACTCTGCGAGGGCGCGCTCGGTCACGTCTTCTATCTCCTCCGTCAGCCTGAACACTTCGTGCGGCGCGGACCGTTTTACCGTTTCGCTCGCGCTCGGACTCTGGTGTTGTAGCCGCCTGATGCCGCCCTCGGGGATTTTGATCAGCTTGTCGACGGTGCGTGCGAGTGCTGAGGGCTGCCACTGTCCGCGGAGGGGGAGGAAGTGGTCACGGCCGTTCTCGACGCGCAGGACGAGGACTTCGTCGAGAGACTTGGATTCGTCGTTCAGCTGGCGCACCGAGCCGACGTCTGTGAGCTTGAGCTTCAGCTCGGCGTTGATGACTTCAGCGGGGGCGAGAGTATAGCGATGTTGGATGTCATCTGGGCCAGACTTGGAGCGCGTGTCTGGCTCCTTGTCGAAGGTGACACTGAGCCAGGAAGGGAAAGGCCCGGCTTCTTGGTCTTCCTCGATGGGTCTATCAGCAAAGCCGAACGTGGCAGGGACGCGGCCGGTGTTTGCGATGGTGATGTTTCGCCGCTTGGACTTGGCAAACTTGACGTCGCCAAAGTCGACACCGTCGAAGCTGCTGTCGGTCGCGGTGTCTTCTTTCGGCGAAGAACCGGTTGCACGCTCGACTACGACTGCGATGGCTGGTCGGCCCTCATTCTCCTGGCGATCCAGCTCCCGAGCCACCTCACTGTGGATGGCAGCCTTCAAGTCCGGGACTACAGCGTCGAACTTCAAAGCGAAGACGGCGTCCAGCGGCTTGTGGTCTGATGACAATACTCGCATGTGACTCGTGTACGTCTCGAGAAGCAGTTCCTCGGAGAAACCGTCTTTTGTCGTGATTTGCTCCGGCTCTGGGTCTGCGGTGTTGTCTTCGTACTCGTCGTAGTCGCCGTTATCGCCGTCGGTCTCGGGGTCGTAGTCGAAGAGCACGTCGCTCGTTCCGGGCATGTCCATGCCCATCTTTTTCATCTCCTCGTCCCGCCTGCGAGTCTCTGCGTCGTCTCTGACCTTTTGGTCGTACCTTTGCTTCCCGGCTCGGGTCCGGTAGACGATACGGTCGCACCAACTAGGGCAACGGGCCTTTTCGCTGCTATCGAAGACGCCTACTTTGCCCACGTCGTACTTGTATGTTGGTAGGAAGCGGATAGGGCCTTCCTCCCATCCATCGTGGAAAGCCTTTCCTGACTTGATCTGCTGGTGCAGCTCGTCATGGGGCAGGAGGCATGAGATGGTGGTCTGCAGTGAGGCAGGGTCCAGCTCGGGCGGGAGTGGGACCGAATCCTCGTCCTTCGAAGACGATCCAGTGGCGTCGTCTCCAGAGGTCGACGGGCGTTCTTCGTCCTTGTCCATGTCGGCGGTATGAACAGTGAGCAGACGGCGCACGTCGTTGCCCGGCATGCCTCCAATGCGGAAGTTCAGATCGCCGAACCAGAATGCAAACTCCTCGTCTCCGATCCCCTCGCCCTGAGTCTGTGAAGTGCCCATGGCGTCCACAATAGGGGCGAAGCGCGTTCGTTGGTTGATCTGCGCAACGTCCCAGATCCTGCGTTCGAGAGAGGCCTTGTCGGATCCGGCACCCAGGTGCGAGTTGACGAAGACCAGCCGCGTGGTCTCGCCCAAGACGATTCGCGCCGTCACGGCGCCCTTGTTCGCCATGTAGCCCATGAGTCCAGTGCCCACGCTGGTGGTGCTGACGTTCTTGATCTGTGGAAAGAGGTCGGGCGAGGCATAGATGACCAGCCACAGGCCAAGGAGCTGCTGCTCTGCGACCAGCTTGTAGTCCTTGGGCAGAACGGCCTCCAGAGACTTTTTCCACTTGTTAGCTATGGTGGGGTCGGTGTACGGCTTGAGCGCCTCGGCGGCAGACGTGATGTCGACGATCTCCTGCAGTCCCAGCACATACAGGTCGATGTCGTCGTCGCCGGGCACAGCGCCCAAATCGCCGGTGGGCACCGTCGGCGCGTGCTTGTCGAATCGCGCCTCCTGCTCTGCGACGGACTCCTTGTGCTTCTCCTCTCTGCGCTTGGGCTCCGACACGCCGAGGCCAGCCAGCGCCTTCTCGACGCCCTTGCCCTTGACAAACCAGGCGCCGACATCCTGCTCGGTGCCCTTGTTGGCGGCGACGTTCCAGGAGCCGATCTTGATGCGGAGGCTGCGCGAGCGGGTGTACTCGTCGCGGCGGTTGTACAGGATCTGCTGCAGCGAGACTTGCTGGGTGGTGAGCGAGGCCTGGCTGGGGGAGCGCAGGTCCGGGAAGGCGCCGGGGATCTGGGCCTCGAGGTGGTTGACCGACGACCGCGCAGTGTGGGTGGAGCGCACCGAGCCTGACCTCGACATGGCGGGCAGAGGGTCGTTGCAGGAGGTGTGGGATCTGCGCAAGGGAGTTGTTCAGCCCATGGCGGCGGTGGAGTGCGTGCGGTCGTGCCCACTAAGCCGTCTCACACAGCCACTCCCCACCGAGGGATGACGGAGCGCGCGTGAAGCTATGCAGGGTCAATGACGTCCCGCGTGGCTGCTGTTGGCTGCACCTGCCGATCGCGCGGCCCACCATGCCAGTTCCTGGCCTGACAGCTCCAGAACGCGAACACAACGCCTTCGACATCCGCCGCCGCCACTCCACCCACCATGGCCCCGCACAAGTCCAAGGCGCGCGCGCACCACCCGCAGCCGCCGCCGCAGCCCTCGGACTACGAGACCGACGCGCCGCCGCCGCCCGTCGACGTGCCGCTGCCGCCGCCGCGGTCCAACGAGGAGCTCAACTTCTCCGTGCTGCGCCGCATCTACCCCGAGCTGGTCGCCATCGAGCACGTCACGCCCTATGCCGCCCTCTACACCTTCAGCCTCGAGACCCAGCAGTGGGAGAAGCTTGGCGTCGAGGGCACGCTGTTCCTGTGCCGCCTCACGCCCTCGCCCATAGGCGCCGACCGCTACAGCGTCGCCATCCTCAACCGCCGCGGCCTGGACAACTTCTACCTCGAGCTGGTGAGCGAGGAGGAGATGGAGTTCACCGACCCCTACGTCATCCTGCAGGGCGACCAGGTCTACGGTATCTGGGTGTTTGCCGACCCGCCGCCCGCCTCGACCGCCGACTGCCGCACCGACACAGCCAACAAGATCATGCAGGCCGCAGAGAAGGCGCGCGTGAGTCGCGAGGCCAAGGAGCAGCAGGCCAAGAACGGCGTGCAGCAGGCAGCTGGACATGTTGAAGCAGCCACGTCCACGCCCATGGGGCGCCAGCTCTCCCTCCGCGAACTGTTCGGCCAGCAGCGCCAGCAGGACGCCGGTTTCAGCGTGCACGACCACCACAGCCAGCCGACGCCGCAGCAACACCCCGGCCCGTCGCAGCAGGACGTGCTCGGCCAGCTGTTCTTCAACGCCAAGCAGAACTACAACGGTCTGGGTTGACGACTGGATTGAAGAGCACCATATTCGATGGTCATCCCTACACCAAACAATCAGAGGCACGGTAAGAGACCACCGTCGACGTCTGTGTTTTCCCCGGCCCGTATTGATGAAGAAGAGCATGTCTGTTGGGAAGGTTCATCCTCCGCGAGGGCTGGCTGACCGACTCGCACTTGACGGCAAGGATCGAGTCGTGTGCAAGGTCAACAGCGCGACTTTGTTCTTGAGAGAATGTCAGGCAGACAAGCATGCGTCCGATCAGACAGCCTGCTGGCGGTGCTGCACAGATTGAACTCGTGTTGGGCAGGCGAGGCGCTGAAACTGAACCCAACTGTCTCCGTAGCTTCGATAAAGTCGAATGCATGCCTGCTTAATAGGAGCTTTCTTGTCTCATTATATCACTGCAGACCGTCCGAGTCGTCAATTGGCATTTAACATCCCGTAAGGCGACCCGTCGCGGCTCTCCCGCACATCCCTGCAAGCTCCACTGCCCCTCGCGGGGTACCTTTGCGCGTTCAAAAAATCTTGCCGCCATCGGCGCAGCCTCCCAATCGACACACCATCCACACACAATGGCCACACCACTCCGAGTCCTCCTCGTCGGCAACGGCGGCCGCGAGCACGCCATCGCCTGGAAACTGCTCCAGTCGCCGCGCATTGAGCACATCTTCGTGTGCCCGGGCAACGGCGGCACCGCAACCATCTCGCCCAAAGTCACAAATGTCTCTGCCGTGTCCGACTCGGACTTTGCGGGCCTCGTCGCCTTTGCCAAAGACAACAATGTCAACTTCCTCATCCCCGGCCCCGAGGCGCCCCTCGTCGCCGGCATCGTCGACTTCTTCGCCCAACACGCGCCCCACATCAAGGCCTTTGGGCCCTCCAAAGCCGCCGCCACCATGGAGGGCAGCAAGACCTTCTCCAAGGACTTCATGGCGCGCCACGCCATCCCCACCGCCGCGTACCGCAACTTCTCCGACCACGCGTCCGCAGCCGCATACCTCTCCTCGACCACCCACCCCGTCGTCATCAAAGCCTCGGGCCTCGCCGCAGGCAAAGGCGTCATCATCCCGACTTCCCGCGACGAAGCCCACGCCGCCCTCGCAGACATAATGCAGACCCACGCCTTCGGCGCCGCGGGCGACGAAGTCGTCATCGAAGAACTCCTCACGGGCGACGAGCTCTCGATCCTCTCCTTCAGCGACGGGTACACCGTGAAATCGCTCCCGCCCGCGCAGGACCACAAGCGCATTTCCGACGGCGACCGGGGCCCGAACACCGGCGGCATGGGCACGTACGCGCCGACGCGCATTGCGCCGCCCGAACTCCTCGCTGCGATCGACAGGGATATCCTGCAGCCCACCATCGACGGGCTCAGGGCCGAGGGCATGCTGTTCAAGGGCGTGCTGTTCACGGGTCTCATGCTCGCGCCGTCCGGGACAAAAGTGCTGGAGTACAACGTCCGCTTCGGGGACCCCGAAACACAGAGCCTATTGGCGCTGATGGACGGCGACCTAGCAGCCGTAATGGAAGCGTGCGCCGACGGGCGACTAGCGGACGTCGACGTGCGGGTGAGCGGGCGGTCGGCGGCAACGGTAGTGGTCGCCGCGGGCGGGTATCCGGGCGCGTATGCAAAGGGCACGCCGATGCGGGTTGAGCCTGTCGCGGCCGATACGGTGCTGTTCCATGCGGGGACGGTGGTGGAGGGGGGCGAGCTGCGGACGGCGGGCGGGCGGGTGATTGCGGCGACGGCGACGGCGGAGACGCTGGAGGAGGCGGTGGCGAAGGCGTACAAGGGGGTCGAGAGTATTCATTTCGAGGGGATGCAGTTCCGCAAGGATATTGCGGGGCGGGCGTTGAAGAAGTAGTTCGAGGTAGACTCGGAGCAGCCTGAAGAAGTAGGTTGAAATATGTTTGAAGAAGTAGATCACAGCAAGGTTCCAGCAAACCTCTCGGCGTCCAAAAGTCAATTCACCCACACACATCACCAAAGAAAAACATCAAAGAATACCGCGCCTCCGCGCTTAACTATCAACTTTTCACTATCATGACGTCGTAAACTGCAGACTTGAGCCGTCTATCAAATATCCCTAATCCCGTGCCTGTGCCCGTGCCTGTGCTGACTCCTATGCGCCTACGCTATGCCTGTCCGCGTATACCCCACCACATCCCACCACATCCTCACCGCATCTCATCCCATCACATCGCTTTCTTCCTCCGCTTCGGACTCCGCTTCCGCGTCTCGTCCTCGACCTCCTCGACCGTAGCCGCCGGCGACGTGCCCGAGGAGCTCACGCTCTCGACTCTGCCGTCGTTGTTATCCGCCACATGCAGCGTGCCATCGTCCGGGGTATCGAAGTTGAACACGTCGGCGCCGGTATCAAACCCGCCGCCGTTCATGCCCGGATTTGTGTCTGGCAGGTCGTAGTTGAAGTCTGGCAGTCCACTGTCCACATCATTGGTGTTGCCGTTCGATGCATTGGTCGGGAAGTAGTCGTTGTCGTGGACGAAGCTGTCGAGATCCAGATCGTACTGCCCCGGGTCGCCCATCTGCGTGCCGAAGTAGCTGTTGTTGTTGTCCGTCAGGCCGGGGATCTGGCCGCTCGGGCTGAGGGGTTGCAGCCGCTCCTGCAGACTCTGCACCCGACTATTCTGCTGGTCGCTCATCTTCTGGAGCAGTTCGAGCTGCTGCTGCGTCTCCTGGTACCTGCTCAGGTCGTGCAAGAGGTTGCTGATCTCGGGCGGGTTGGGGTTGGTGAGCGCGTTGTTGGTGTTTGAAGCGGCTGCGTTGTTGTTCGCCATCAAGCTAAGCACATCACTGCGTTGCTGTGCCGTGAGAGGCACGGCGCCGTCAGCGGTCTGGTAGTTCGACACGGCGGCAGGGAAGTCGAACTGCTGTGCTTGGTGACCGGCGTTGTTGTTGGCGTTCTGAATGGCGGAGAGTATCTCCTCGGCTTCAGGAAGCGGGCCGATGGTTTGCGGTGATTGCGACTCGACTTTGAGCGGAGGGGCTGACGAAGAGTTGTCTCGGTCCTGCGTGGTTGGCAGCACAGACGGTGTCCTTGTTTGCGAGGGTGTCCGGAAGACCGATTGCTGACTGCCTTGCCTTGTCATCGGATGGGGCATTGGTTTCGTTGTGGGGCTCAACGTGGTGGCGCGGCCGCCGGGCGGTGCTAGGTGTTCTGTCCCGGATCCAGGAGCGGGCAGGAGCGCAAGGGGCTGCTTCTTACGCTGGAATGATGGCGATCTGTTCATCTCCGGTGCCTGATAATCGCCGACGTCAACAACATTCCCATGTGCTTGTTGCCGTGCTGCAGAGAACATATCAGCCAGATTCAGGCCGCCTGTGTTGCCCTCAAGACCACGCTTGTAGAACGTAGCAAGGAAGGTGAGGATGGCGTTGATGGAATTCTCATGCCGGTCGTGGAGCGCTTGGAAAGACGTGGCGCGCGAATACAGTTCGTCATTCTGTCGCTTGATTTGCCCCAGGACATTCGAAATGAGCTTCTGCTGCTGCTGTAGCTCCCGGACCTCGTGTCGCAGGCTGTTGTACTCTGACCGTGGAATCATGGCCATGTCGTCGCTCCTCCTCACTGGTGTCAGATCTTCCACATAGCCACCGCCACCGCTATCCTGCACGTATTTGCGTTCATCGTCGCTGTCACCCTTGGTCTCGTCGTCTCGTTTCCGCTTAGGGCCGGCCGTTGGGTTCTTGGGCTTCTGAATCAGCCACAGCAGCTCTGGTCGTCCGCGCTTGAAGTACTTGTTATAGTATTCGCTTGGCGCCTTTGCCTTGGTCTCGCTCGCTTTCATGGAATTATCCGAGAGTCCGACTTTTTTGTGAAAGCCGTACATGTTCAGCTGTCGCACGAAAGAAGCGTAGTTGTTGTGTTTGAAGAGCTCCGGGATGAGAGTGCGCGCAAACTCGTCCTCGTCCAGCACGATGAACGAGTTGCCGTCGTCCGACCACCGGATGAGGTTTTCGTTCTTGTTGTTGTCAAGGAAGCTGTGAGTGTTAGCACGTCTACAGCAAATCTGCATTTCTGCACTCACCTGCTCAGCTTCTGCACGAAAGGAGGAATCTGTTTCCTCTTCGCCTGCGCATCCTTCTTTGCAATCGCAGCCTTCTGCTCCAGCTCTTCGTCATCGTCGACCATGTTCTCCCACTGCTGTGTAGGGCTGGGGTAGCCGTCCCATTGCCCCCGCCTCGACGCAGGCGCAAGTTGCTGGTTCGGATTCCGCCGGACCAGCTGCCCTGAGTTCATATCCTGCGCATCGTTCATCCCGTCCAACGAAATCACCCTGTTGTGCCCGCTGCCCAGCGCATTCGTGCCGTAGTTGTCGAACAGTGCCGGGTCGGTGAAGGCGCCCATGTCGGCGCTCATCGTGGGGTCGTTCCAGTTCATGTACTGATCGGTCGGTATGTTGGCATCGTGGGGGAATGTCGGCATGGAGACTTGCGGTTCTGCGCCCGGAGCGCGGCGCTTGCGTGTCGACATGTGCACTATTTACTCGCGGACGATGTCACGGCGTTGATGGGGAGGTTGTGGCGTGAGTCAGATCCCGCGACCGTCCTTTCTCAACAGGTCAGCCTGGCTCGCTCCTGCCTCGACTGCCAAATCCCTCTAAAAGCGTAAGGCGCGGCTGACGCACTGAGCTGTTGTGTACGCGTTTCCAAGTGTCGCGGTGTCGTCGCGACTATGTATGCGATCCTCCGGCTTGTTGTCTCCTTGTTGCCGTGACAAAAGCGCGCTGATAATTGCGACCAAACAGCCAACACGCTCGTCAAAGAACACAGACAAGACCACAGGCGAGCGCAATTGCACAGCGGTCTCAGAAGGATTGCTCCGTCAAGCCACGGTATCCCCGGAAGCGTGGATGGGCCGTGGGAAGAGTGCGCAATATCGGGCAAGGTAATTGGCGGCTTCTCAGGCGTGATCCAGGGTCGTGCGGAGTTAGCGAGCCATGCCGGGAGTGCGATAGAAGGCTACGTGTCGCGTCTACAGGCGGGCGTCCAGGATCCGTGCGAAAGGGCAGAAGGGCGTTACGGACGAATTCACTGATGTTGCGCAAGATGCTAATGACGCGGGTTGGGGTGCGGGCGCCGATTTCACCTAGCGCGGCGCTGGCTGCATGACTCGTGGCGAAGCGCACTGTCAACCCAGACAATGAGCGAAACTCCAGGCTCCACTGTGACGGCATCGATCACCACATAAAAGCCGATCTTGAGCCAGCACCAACGTCTGTCGGCGGGTCTGCAGCATGGAAGAAGGGCATCGCATTTCGGAGATTCCCATGAATCGTCCACAGCATCACGCGAGAAAAACAGAGAGGATCAGGATACCACAAAGGATGTGGCCAATCGGCACTTCATCCGAGCAGACTCCATCGCGATACAAGTCTCTGGAGGGTATCGAACGAAGAATTTGACTTGGAGGTGGATTGGTTCGGGCCGTCAAATATTCACATCACCTACGTATGTAGTATGAAGAGTCGCGAGGATCGAAATTAGGCACGGCACGGAACTGTGAAATGCGCCTCACAGCTCGTGATTCACATGATTAGATAGTCATGATCAGATAGTGTTGTCATGCTGATCTCCAAGCAGTTGGAGCTGCTTTTGTATACATATTTCTGTAAGCGGTTGTACAAATCATAACTTCAACAGTGGAACAGCTTTGTACAAGTGTCATAATTGATCAGCATAAATGCCACGAGTAGCAAAAAACCCGTCATTAGACAGATGTGCCTAACGCCATGTCACCAACATGAATTCACATCACGAGCACTGTGGACACATATGAACTACCTCCATGTATTAAACCACCACATCTACACTATGCAACGCAAAGCACCACGCTCAACACGAGGGGTGTCTGGGTATCGACTCGCAAGCAACGCAACCCTCCAACCGTCAAACCACTCCATCGACCAAACCATCCAAACAACCCAAAAGACAATTAAAGGCAGAGAAACCATATACAGGAAGAACATAAGCCGCGAGGCAAACAACTAATCTAATCGTGACATAACCTAACCACGATGCAGAGACGCAGAGACGCAGAGATGCAGTAAGGTATAAAAGAAACAGGAGGTGCAAAGTACTCCACAGCACGCCCCCTTCTCACACCGAGTACTTGAGTACTCTTGTTGAGTACCACAACCCCAGAGAATGCTAATGTACGTGCATCCCGATAGCCGGCGGCATAGAGTTAACCTGCAACGTCGGGGTGGGGATATTATACGGTTCATACTCGTCGTTCTTCGCGCGCAGGGCGTGGCCAAACTCGTCTTCGCCCGTGTCTGGACGGGAGGCTGTGCCTGTGTCGGGGCCGAGGTGGGGGTCTGGGATCTGGATATCGAGCTGGCGGGGGGTTAGCATGTCATGTGACATCATGGGGGCGACGGTGCGTACGGTGAGGTAGCCGGTGCGGCGCAGGGGGATGATGGAGACGGCTTCCTTGGCGCCGACTTCGCGGTTCCAGCGGTCGATCCAGGCCTCGAGGTCGTTGAGCTGGCGCTTGACGCCGCACATGCCGGCGTCTTCCCACAGCCAGAAGGTGGCGACGCCCATGGCAGCGTCGAGCCAGGCGCGGAATGTGAAGGGGTCGAAGGCGGCGACGAGCGAGTCGTTGATCTTCTTGAGCAGGTCGCGGAAATCGTCTTCGCGTATCAGCGGGTCCAGGATCTCCGGGTACAGGTTGGCAAAGGTCGGGGCCAGGTCGCCCTTGACCATCCAGTCGCGCTTGATGCGGACGATGCGCGTCGTCTCGAACAGCTCGCTGGTGAGCGGGACGTGCGGGTTGGGGTGCGGGAAGCAGGGGTGCAGCGGGCCCCAGGGGAACTCGGAGGCGTCGTCGCCGTCGCCGTTGCTGCGCTGGCTGCGGCTGCGGCTCAGACTCGTGCGCGCGCTGCCCGGCAGAGTGCTTCGCCCGCCCTGGGTCGGCGGCGGCTTGGCGGCCTCGACGTCGGCGGCCATGGAGGGCCCGGGGGTTGGCGAGCGCGATGCGTGGTCGTGCAGGCTGGTGCGGCCGCGGGTGTGGTCGCGGGGCAGACCGATGCTGGTGCGGCCACTGGCGAGCAGGTCGTCGCCGGCAGTGGAGCGCTCGACAAGCAGCGAGCTCGAGGCCGGGCTCTGGCGGCTCTGGTGGCGCTGCGGCAGGGTCAGGAGCGGGTACTCGTCGCGCTCAGATCGCGGGCGCTCGACGGGGACGTTGGGCTCGCGCGGGGCCGAGGCGGGCGGGTGCTGCTCGTGCTGCGATGACGAATGCTGCGGCGGCGGCGGCGGCGGCGGGCGCGCAGTGGGAGGGGCGCGCGGCGAGCTGTTCTGCGGGTTCCAGAGGCGCGAGGCGGGCGGGCGAGGAGGCCCGGGGCTCACGGGGTACAGGCCGCGCAGGCTGAGGCCGAACAGGCGGTTCGTCAGCGACCAGCGGGCGGGAGGCGCAGGCGGGGTCGCGGTCGCAGCAGGCGGCGCCGTTGCAGGGGCGGAGTTGAGTGAAGGAATGGTGACGGCGGTGTGCGGCACGCTGCATGGGCGGTCCGGGCGGGCAGGCACAGCCGACGACTCGGAGGACGGCAGCGCTGCGTCGAGGCCCGCCGCGCAAAGTGGGCGACAGCGGTCTGGCGGCGACGCTGCTGGCCGCAGTGGGCGATCGGTCTCACGCGCGCGCGGATGGTCTCACGGTCAGGCACGGCTGCGGCGCCATAGACTAGGTGGCAGGCGGGTGAGGTTCTGAGGTTCGTCGGAGAAGACTGAGCAGCCACGCCGCGGGGGCCGCAGCTCTTGTAAGTCCTGACGCCGCTGTCGATGGTGCGTCGGGCGCAGGAAGCCCTGTCCTCGCTCCGGCCTCTGTGCCCGTGGCCGGTTCCAGTGCTGCCGAGCGACCAGGGCCCGCGGTGCAGGTGCACATCGATGCAGCAGCGCAGCCATCCGCCTCCGCCGCTGCTGGCCCATTGGCCGTTGTGCACGCCCGCGCTGCCCGTCAACCGTCGCCTGCTGTGCGACCCTCTGCCAGTGCAGCTGTCGCCCGCCAGTGCTGCGCATCCTGAACCGCGGTCGCTGCCCTAGGCAGTCCGCCGTACCTGGCAGCCACGGCCCTGGGCTTCAGCCACACGTGACGTTGCGCCGCTGCCTCACCCCAGCTGCGCCCAGCACCCCCAGGCCACTTCGGCGAGCACTTTTGGCCAGCACGAGGAAGAAGCATGCGGCCCCTGGACCCGACGCAGAAAAGCACATACGCATGAACCAAGGCTTATTGCTGATCTCCAGATGTCTCATGTCTCGCGCCTCACACTTTGGTTCCCACTCGCCCTCGCCCAGCACCGCCCGTCGCAAGAGCAGCGCCGTGTGCTCATCTGCCCATCTCACCACTAGCGACGCCTCACACTTGCCCATCTCCCACAATCCGCTGTGCCGGGCCCATCGATCCAGCCATCGCCGCCCCTTCGAGAAGTGTTCGTCCGTGTGAGCGGGCCTCTAGCCAACTCTAACCCCTTTTCCCAATCTGCTCCGCCTGTCACCGTCATCACATCGTCTTCCCCACGCACAGGTACTCCAGCCGCACCCTCCTTCCGTCGAATCAATACGGCACAGGTCGTAGGGCTCGACCCTCTGAGTCGTAAACCCCGTAAGAGGCAACGTCGCTGCCCACCTGAGGCACAGTGGGCGCAGCATCACCTCGGCTGAACTACACTCAACGTTGATCACGAGCTTCGCCTACGGGCACTAGATACTTAGGTATTATCGTAGCACATGGCTAGCCTATCGATATCTCCATCGCTAATCGAGCTATGCACAACCCAAGCTTTCTCCTGTTACCTCATCATAACCTCGTCCCTGTAGCTTACATCCACCTCGTTGCCCGTACATGTCCATTGCACCTGTGTTTTTGCCCGACCGTTCATAACCATATACGAGAATAAAACCATACCTATACGAGAACATAACCATGTGGGGAATCCATTCCATTCCATAACTTACGCCGCCCTCTTGTTTGCATTGGCCTGCATCTTGCGCATCGCCTCACGGTGCGCATCGAGCATCTGCCCACTGCGCATCATGTTGTCCATCAACGATGCACGTTGCTGCTGTGCAGCCTCACGTTGCTGCCTGTCTAGCTCCTTCTGTCGTCGGTCGTTGAGAAGAGCCGCACGCTGCTGCTCGGCGATGTACGCTGCTGTCTCCGGCGGTGTGACGTCTCGCATGTTCTCTCTCCAGTCCGCGTACAGGTCTTCCCTCTTGCGCGTTGACTGTGAGCTGGGCGTGCGCTGCGGCTGATGCGAGTCGAACCCTGGAGCCATGCTCTGGCCAGCCCATCCCTTTTTCTGCCATTTCTGCGCCGCGGACGGAGGAGCTCTCCGTGGAGAGACGAGCGGCGGCTGCTCCTGCAGCACAGGTGACGACGGCCCTAGTTTGAGAATCTGACGCCTCTGAGCCAGCGTCATGTCATCTTGCTCATTCTGCTCCAGCAACGTTAATCCAGGAGACGGCAGGGGAGAGAACGAGTGCGACGACACACGATTCCGCATCAGGTTCTCGCGCTGACCCAGAAGCGTGTTGGTGGGAAGTGGTGACAGAGCATCAAGTTGAGTTCCAGAGTTTGACCGCGATAGTACCCGTGATGACAAGACGGACTGAGACCGAGACATCGACTGCTGCTCAGCCAGAGATTGCTGTGAGATCGAAGTCGATCGGGCCAAGTACGGCTTGTTCCTGCTTGCAGTTGACATCCTCTTCGAGTTGCGTTGACTCTCAATTAAGGGAGCGGCAATCTCGTCGCTGACGGGCGCTGCGGCTTCTTCCGTGCCGTCTTCGAGGGCTGCTCCAGGCGATGACGGCACAGCGAGGTCGTCGAGCTCGGGCAGGTCTGCCGTCTGGAGGTGTTTGGCCCACTCGTTGGTGCGGTAAGACAAGGCGACCTTGGAAAATCTGGGCAAGCTGCTCTCCTTGAGACTTCCTCCGTGTGATGCGTCGATCTCGGTCCGCGAACTCTGCGACAGCGCCTTCTCACTGCTGAATTTTGACTGCTCACCCTCGCTGTTTCCTTTTGCGCTGGACACGAGCGTGTCAGCTCTGAATCGCGAATCGCGACGAGTGGGACGCATGGCACTCGCTTCAGCTGGCTTGGGATCAGTGCTGCTAGTCAGAGACTGGCGTATGGCTGGTCGTGTTGGTGCTGCTACTGCTCCCGGTGCTGCTGCCTCCGTAGCCGTCAAGTCTGTCTCCATGGCTTCCTCATCGGGCTGATTTTGCATCTCACTCTTAGACTGGACGTCCTCTGCTTGCACAGAAGCTGCGGGTGATTCAGCACGGGTAGTGTTGTGTTCTGTGCCGATTGGGGAATGCGGTGGGGAGAGCTGGCGTAGAGAGGCGTCGTAGTTGTCGTCATCCAGGGTAGCAGCGATCGACGATGCACGATCGTCTTCGTCGTGTGGTACATTCATCAGGTCTTCCTGAGATTCCGATACGTATCGTGAGTTTCTCTGGTTCGCGGGCTGACGAAGGTTTGACATGTCTGAAATACGCTTCGACATAGACCTACGTCCGCTCAGGGACACAGTCTCTGTCTCGGCCACAGCCGACACGGAAGCACGATCATCTTCCTCACTCTTCACCTCCTCTTCATCCGGGACCTTGAAGGGTAGTGGAATGACTGCTGGAGGAGGTGGTACTGAAGACGGGCGAAGGCTGCGTCCCTTTGTGACCTGGTCGGCAAGGACTTGGGGTGTGGCTGGCAGATCCTTCTGGTCACCATCAGACCCCGCCAACGACGCAACCTTTTTGTACGTGATTGGATTGCCCTGTGCATCAATCTGCTGGATATCGTCGTTGAGGACAGCCACAGTCACTGTTGTGCCGGCCGGAGTAGCGGATGTAGGCGAGCGCATGACGCTGCTCTTCGCCATATCCACAAGTTCCAAGTTGTCCGTAGCGAGTTCCCTCTCGCGGATACTGGCCGAGTATTTCGGGCTCAGGATGGAAGATGCAACGCTAGATTCCTGAACACTCTTGTCGCCATAAGCCGCCTCCCATTGTGCGCGCTCTTTGTGGAAGCTGTCTTCGATTCGGCGACCGAGTGCCTCCTCTTCCATGTCCTGGTCTTGCTGTTTCTCGACCTGCTGGGCGACGGTCTTCTCGCGATGCTCCTTGACCAAGTTCCAGACACGCAGTTGCGAGACAACTCCGAGTACTGCTATGATTACGATGCCAGCCAGCTCAGCCTTGATGTTCTTGGTGACAGGGTAAGTGTCGGTGTTGAGGGGGAAAACATCGTCGTTCAAGGCTATGTATGTTAGCTTTGTCCTGGAACTTGAGAAACACAACGTACCCCACAGATATAGCCAGAACTCCTTCATGCCTGCGCGGCTGAGGCAGTCGATACCCAGAATGGTAGCGGTCGCTCCAGAAAAGGCAATGGATGCAATCAGGCCGTATTTGCGAGTGTGGTGGCTGAAAGAGAGGCAGTAAGCCCCAGCACTCATGCACCCAATGAAGATCGCGCGGCCAGTCACTGAAGTGATGAGACCACCCGACTTGAGGCAGAGGAACCACATGCTCAGACAATAGCCGCCAAGCAAGCATCCGAAACCCTCCGTGATATCTGGGAATACCAACGATACACCGCCGAAGATGATGCCAGTAAAGAAAGCAGCGACAAAGAATCCGCCTTGCACGCCATTGGAGACGGGAGGGTTCATGAGGTAGACGATCAGAACGGTAACAGCTAGTGCGGATAGGTACGCAGCCGAGCCAAAGACATAGACCCTATTCGACATTAGAAAGGCCAGTGCAGTGCCATGAACGTACTCACCACTTGTTCTTAAAGCCGATGATAGTGAACGCCAAACCCGACAGCATCAGAATGACACCGGTGATACCCATGGCTGGAGTTAAGATAGGCAACAAGGGCAATGGGTTCTCGGTATCAGCGTCTACATCTCGTCAGTCAATGGATGTTTATGGCTGCATTCATATAACTGACCTGCTGAGCTCGTCGGCTCGGGGGCTGCCATGGAGGTGGCCGGTACTTGCATGGATGTGCTTACTTCTACCGAGCTTGTTGGGACAGCTGAAGAAGAGGAGACACGTCTTGATTCAGCGGTTGAAGAGGGTGTATCAGCATCAGCGTCAGATGACGTTCTTGTAGCTGATGGGCGTGGAGACGAAGTGACAGTAGGCGTCTGCGAACGATCTGAAGGATTGTCATCCTGGCGGCGTACTGCAGGCTGAGGTGCAGCTACTGTGAAGTGGAGGCAGAAGATCAAGGTAATGCACACGAGGAGGAAACGGTAGGACCGCATGGCGACGTGTGGAATATGCGTGGTTTAGTGTGGGGTAGTAACGTTCATCGAATTAGTATTAAGAAGTGAGCTTGAAGGAAGGCGTGATCTGAACTGGAAGGCGCGATATTGGAACGTAATATTGTGGTGACGTGCGTAACAAGAATACGAAGACGAGGTGAAGAGCAGTTTGAAAGAGCGTGGGTGAAAGAGTGTAAGCAAAGACTAGTATTATTGAGCCTGCGGGGTAAAGAATGAATGAGGGTGAGTCGGCGCAAACACGCAACCAGTCAAGTTGACGTGGTGTTGAGGTGCAGGAGGAGTGCAGCAAGAGCGGAAAGCACCAGGGTGTCTGTCGCCATAAAAGGCGTTAGAACACCCTCGACCAGAGATCAGCAATTGGTGCCGGGAGGATCGAGAGACGAAGAGCTTTGGCCATGGCTGAAGTCTAACGAGATGAGGTTTGAATGTCTTTTGCGGCCTGGCGGCACCAAACGGCGCGCTGTTTAGGGATCACCCATTCTAGGTGTGGTATCGGCCATTTCTTGGAGGCTCTTAGGAAATTGCAGTCCTCCCGAGGTCAGCCTCCAGCCAGTCCACGTTCTCGCGATGAGCGCCGGGAGTGCCGCTATGGTACAAAGGGTAAAGACGCCACTTAATTACTCAAGTGGCCATGAGACAAAAAGGGAGCACCGAGGCGACACTCACAACGGTCATCCTCAGTGGAACGGGGTTGGCCACCTTTCAGGACGCTCCATACGTGTTGTAACATGCACCGACCAGCGCATCCGTGCATGACGCGTCGTTGCCACTCTGCTTGATGCACGCTTGCGCGGACGTGAGAGGGAGAGGCTGGAGAGAGTCGCGCTGTGTAAGAGTGACACGCGAATTATAAGGTTTGCGCCAATCAGGGTTGGCAACTTTGCAATTCGCGTAGGGCTGACAGTCCCGCTGCATAAAGATCCCGGGGTTAGGCATAATTCATCCTCCTGAATCATAACACTGGACACCCTCGCAATAAAACTGCATGTTTCGACATCCACAGCGATCACGCGTATATGAAGGCTTTGCTGCGTCAACAAAAAGCAGCCTGCTTGTTTGACTCGACGTTGCGAATCCCGATTGTCGTCGTCTGGAAGAGGGAGACTCGGCCAGCACAGACCGATCGCTACGGCATGCACGCACCGATCTGCTCGTTCCGGGGCCGAAGATCCTATTTTGGCTCTGCTGACGCCCGCAGACGAACCGCTGTACCTATCGTAGAGCTTCGCTGTTCTATGTCTAGTGCGGTTCTGTCTCCCTTCAATTCGCTGTTGTAGGATTGGCAAGCTCCGTGCATATGTTGAGGATCAGGTTTCGCTTGCTGTCACGGTCTCAGTTTACCTTGCTTGCCGCTGTCAAGATCTTTGGCAGCGTTCTGGCGATGGTCGTACCAATTGCACGCGATGGTCCGTTCTCCCTATTCCGGTTTCATGGGAGTGGACCCATGAAATTAGGTCGGTATTGGCAATAGAAAAGCAGAATTAGGCCAACTCGCGAAGCCTTCTTCATGTCGCACATGATGCTTGAGAAGCAGCTTTTGTCATTATGGTGATGGACGAGTTTTTAGAAAAACACTTGGTGAGGCGTGCAGTGAGCATTTGATGGTGTGGGCGCACGCACTGTCCCCTTGAGCAGAGACTGTGCACACGATCCCGCCAGCACGTCCAGAGTGTTGATCCGGCCTCCGGCCACCTTTAATCAATTTTGTCGATGATCGTCTGGAGAGATCTCTATGTGATACTGGATCATGGATCATTGTTCGCCGGTGGGTGCGTAGGAGCAAGCCGTGTGTTTCCACACAAGCCGAAGCTGGACATCGAACTCTTCCATACCTGACAGAAGTCCGAAGATGTGCGTAACATCGCCTTCCGTTAGAAGATCGGTGTCGATTCGTTCAGCAATAGACGAAATCACACACTGAACGCGGTCCCTCCACATGCAAATGCAATCCGTACAATAGTGATAGCATGAATGTGTCCATTCGCGGCTATTGGTACTGCTCTTCAACACTAAACCAAGCAACAGCTGTCTACTGCTCCGAATCCTGCGGCCACGCCTCCCTCCTCACTTTGATCTCCCTTAGTACGAAGGAGATAACCTGCCTCGAAGTTCTCCAGGATTTCGCCCTTTTGCCCGTTTCCAGACCCGTCTCGCCACAAACAAACTCCATATACGCCCAATTCGCAGATGACGCCACCTTTTTCCAGCACACCGTTGCGAACGATAGCGTTCCTTAGAGGTGGTGGCTCGATCATCTCCATCAAAATGTATGCTGGCCATTGTGTTTCAGGAAGCTTCTGTAGAAACGGAGGAATAGATTTGCGATAGATGTTGTTACCACCTCCTTCGCGTTGAGGTTTCAAAACATATCGAGTTGCTGACGAAGGGTCGGATGCCAATTTCCTTGCTTCCTGGCCTGCCTCACTCTTGTCAAGCGGATAAATGGGAGCAAAGGTTTTCAGCAGCCGCGAAGCAACCTCGTCGTCGGGTAGGAATCGCTTAAGATGTGGGGAATGAGGTGTTGCCAGGACTTGTTGGACCTTCTTGCACCCGGCAAGTTGAGTCAAGATGCTTGGGCACTTGACCGCTCTGCTCTTCTCAAGATGCAGCCGAGCCTCCCAATCCTCCTCTTTCACATAATCATCAGGGGAGTACCCTGCCCGGAAGTAGATTGTGGTTACCTCATACGAGGTTGATGGGGAGTGCGGCGGGGTGTAGACCAATGTCCGATCGCCGTCGAGCTTGGTGTGCGCTAGAGTTTTCCCAAATGGCAAACGGAACGATCGCACACCATTCCCTTCCAGCAAAGCATACTCTAGGTGCCTTTGATCAAAAACGTTCCTCTCTGGATCTTGCACGACGAACAAGACACACAATGGGCGCTTGGTCTTTGATTCGCCGTATGCCTTGTGCCCAGCCGCAAGTCCCTTTGCCAGCTGTGACGTGGATTGGCTCTGTTCCAAGGCATCGGCTTTGATGGTAGAAGAGGTCGATGAAGGGTACGCCCCAAGAGATAGGAGATGTCTGTGTAGTGCAGACACCTGAGAAGACAGACCACCGAATGAAGACGCAATAGTGTTAAATTCAACTTGCTTCAGACCTGGCGTTGGGTTGCTCTCAGATGGGTCTTCATGCACCATGTAATCCGAACGGAACAGTCCGAGCGACAGATCCTGAACATAGCCTTCTTTCTTTACGGCGAGATGGGTTTGCCATAGCTTCGCAACGAATTCGTCAACGTCAACAAGTTCTTCCACGATGCCCTGAAGCCACTCCTCGTCCCTGGCTATAGCAGAGTATAATTCGTTGTATGCCTTCTGTATCGACAAGCCATCCTCGAAGCAATTTCTTGGAAATAAGCTGGGGAAGACAGTGACTGGTGCTGTTGTTGCCAGTACACCTGAGGGATCCTGAGACGGCTGGACAAAGGAAGGCGCTGGACGGACGGCAAGACCGTGTGCTATTGACCAATCCTTGAGCTCCGTGAAAATGAAGTCCTGTTCTTCAGTGGACAAGTCGGGAGGGTAGTCAGCATGTGAGATTGAAGACATGTTTGTTATGTGTGATTGATTTGATGCTGCTTGCACTGTTATGAGAGAGGAAGTTTGCATGGTACCTGACAAATGCATCCCCCGCGCTAGCGAATTCGACGCATCGTCCGCCGAAGCTCGCACGTCTTCTAACGTCATTTCGTGAGCAACCTCGATCAGCTGCTGACGCTAAATCTGCACTTCATAAGAGATTCATACTGGACGATTTGAGTTACTGACCAACGACATGCCTTTCTCGTCGCTTTCCTAGAATGAAATCGCGTCTAGTAACCCCGCAACGCGGTTTCACATGATCACGCGCCAACTCACCATCTTTTATTTGCTCGCTTGAATCTCGTTGACGCTCCGGTCATGATTCGCAAACGTGAGTGAGTGTCACTTACAAGCCTCTTTCGCGCGCTGTGTTGCAGAGCTGCATCTTGACCCATTCAACGCTGCTCTACTCGATGATACGCACCAAACACAAGACGGTAATTCAATCTGGCGTGTTAACCTGTCATTGTCCGCCTTGACTTCAAGAACGCATGCTCTTCGATCAGCCAACAAGCCCTCATCCGAGCCTTCAGGCAGGATGGACCAGCCCGGATCTGATAGTCGCAAGCGGAGAAAGATCACACCCACTAGTCTTATGACGACGAATTCGACCGGACCTGTCGAACCAGAATCTGCAAGACCGAGCCACATGCTTGGAACGGCAGTATCAGTCGAATCAGGAAGCTGGAATTACCTGGCGAAATGGATAACGACTGACGAAAGCATTATTGGGGATATAGAAGAAGAACATTACTCAGACGTGAGTGATGAATCTGCAGAAGCGGCGCAAGACGCAGATCTCGAAAGTGAAGAGGGAGACGATGTGTCGCCCGAAGGTCCAATGATTAAACCCAGCAAACTGGGTACCGACAAGGTTACTGAGATCATTAACGACTGCATTGATATGTACACGAAGGCCTGGAGACCAGGAAAGGACGAGACAAAGTATAAAGACGAGAAGGGACAAGCTGAGGTCCCGGTCGTGTATGATGCGCTCGCATTATGGGAGGAGGCAGAAGCTGCTGGTCAGCGAGAAGAGTTCGCCGAAAAGCACAAACTGGAAGCAGACTACTATCGGCATCGCCTCAACCAACTGTGTGAAGAGATTTCGAAAGATCCAGGGAGCACAATTACCGGGGTGAAGACGGTAAGTATCTGATCATGTCACATGCTACGCTTTATTGACTTTATACCATTAGAAATGCAGGAACCTCGAAGTCACTGTGGATCTGCTTGAACGCGCGACATGGCTCGAGGAAATATATAGACTGCCTCCCGATGCTACTAGCGACGGTGAATCACAGGGCGAGCCTTCCGTTCTCAACAACAAAGCACAATCGCCCACAGCTCGGCCGACCCCACCGTCTCAGATCATTGATCTTGGATCGCCTTCCGACACGTCGGAACCTGAGGATGATGAGGTGCCACTCACCGGCGTCTCCGCCACGCCTGTACAGTATATCGACGGGAACGACCCAGATCAAAAGGTTCAAATTGGCGCCTCGACATCTGATTCCATTATCATTGATACTATTGAGAGTCCATTGCGTGGGTCGGTAGCAACTTCCACGCCCACCGTACATTCACGAGCACTGCTTGACGAAGCGCCTGAGCATGCCTCTGTATCAACTGTGAACCGCTGGAGCTGGGATCAACTAGAAGAAACGCAAGATCGCAAGCGCGCGGTTTCCAAAGCTATCAACGAGCTGAGCTCGACGGAAAGACGAACCATCAAGCAAAGGCTGCAGAGTGTTGGCAGAGCCAATATGGTTCGAGAAATCCTGACATGTATTGATATGTTCTTGCGTGGCGACAACAAGATTCCTGGGGTCTTACCGCAAGATCTGTCAAAGATCGTCACTTTCACAAAACTGTTCCTGTGCTGGTGGTCGTGCAGCAATTGCTTCAAGAGAGATCTATCCAAGCTTGAGCTTGCAGAGTTGGCAGAATGTCTACGACAACATGCACCGGATCCTGCGACCTTTCATGATTACGTCAGTACAGTCCTGAGTACGACCTTTAGCCATGCCGCGCTCAGTCGCTCTACACAACCATCACAGGCGGAGATCATTGAAATTTCCGACGACGACGAGCCTCCTTCGCAGCTTCCAGTGCGGCGTAAAAGCAACAACGACAAGGGAGGCTTGGGTGAGAACCCAGCTATCGTCATTGACTGATGTTCGTGCAGTGCTATGATTGTACCCGGCGTGGCAATTCGGCTATACATGCATACTTATTACCATTTGCTAGGAGGGATCGCCTCGATCACATCCTCTTGCAGGTCACAAAGCCCTGTTATTGGCTGACAAGGTTGCATCCACGGTACCGGCGCACGTTCTGCCGCATTCGGTGCTGTGTCTACCTCGGCCAGGGTGCAACGCACCGCTCAGCCTGGAGATTGACGGTCAAGCTCACAAAAATCTATAAACAAAGTAGGTACTTGCCGATACACTGAAGAAACGTGCGGCGTGCGTCGGCAAGATGCCGATGCTTGACCAAAGATGCCGCAAAATCTCAACAAGTGGTCTGACATGAGGACGTAAAGCAAAGTCAGCAGCGGCGGCCAGGCCGGAGTAAGCGTGCGATGTGGGGATATACAAATTATCCTCAAACATCGGAGCCGAACTGAGCTGCGCTGATTATGGCCATCTCGGCACTGGAACGGACAGCGTAGTTTCCGAGGTTGACCATCAAGCTACCACAACTCTGGCACAAGGGCCTTGTTTCCGGCCGCTTTATGAAGGGTGCGAATCGCAGATAGTCGCAATACAGAACCTGAAGAGCCGAGAACAGTGATATTGTGGGCTGAACAATTGTTGGCGCACGAGCACAGTCAGATATATGAATGCTGTCATCTTGATGTTCGGGCGATAGGCCCCTGTTGCACAGCATTCGCAGGCGCTGACAATATCTTTGCGCATACCAAGCACAACCACCAGCTGAGAGACCTACGGTACCCCTCACGCGGATCGTACCAGCCATGGGCTACCAGAGCAATTAAACCCAGATCGAAAGAGGTGTCGGCATATTTTAGCGCCAGAGAGCCAATCATGTCCCTTCCATTTGATGCCGACGCCGGCCGCTTAGTCTGGGTCTCAGTTCCGCATATGAAATGATTTGTGTCCGCACATCCCAAATCCAACCATCCTCGCTCCTTAACTCCCTCCCTCAGACAGCGACAGATCCACAGTCTATCACAACAATCCGCTCCTCAACTTTTCTCAGTTGCACCATTGCCCATCATGGAGGCTCTGCTCCGCCAGTCGAGGACAATGTGCCCGTTCCTCCATAAGACGTCTCCCGCCACGCTTCGCTCGCTTTCGACCACCGCCGCCAGCCACGATGTCACCCCGAGTGCTGGAAGCATGTCGAATCTCCAGGTGCTCGGCAAGCGCTGCCCCATCATGGGAAAGGCTCTTGCCGTCCAGAGCGCTCGTTCCGGCAACAGCGCCCTCGCCGGTGCGTTCGGCGGAGTGCGCGCCTACCACACCCGTGTGAACCGCGCGAAGCTGCACACTACTGCGCACAAGGAAGCTCACGTCGAGACTGAGCGCATCCGTGGCCAGCAAGGTACGAAATGACCCTTGAAGTTGCCACAGTCTTTTACGTCATGAGATTTGGGACGAAAGCCAACACTGCATTTTTGGGTTGCTGATGCACAAGACAGCTCCGATTCCGTTTCCTCACGCAGCGCAGAAGCCAGCGGTCGCGAGATCTGCTGACGTCGGTAAAGCGCATGGTGCCAAGGCTGCACACTTCGACTACGAAGCATACTACGAGAGCGAGTTGGACAAGAAGCACAAGGACAAGTCGTACCGCTACTTCAACAACATCAACCGCCTGGCCAAGGAGTTCCCGCGCGCTCACAAGGAATCGCCCGAGGACAAGGTCACGGTATGGTGCTCTAACGACTACCTCGGCATGGGCCGCAACCCGGCTGTGCTGAAGTCGATGCACGAGACTCTGGATAACTATGGAGCTGGCGCCGGAGGCACCAGGAACATTTCTGGCCACAACCAACATGCAGTCGGGCTGGAGGACACCATCGCGAAGCTTCACTCCAAAGAGGCTTCTCTGGTTTTCTCTTCGTGCTACGTTGCCAACGATGCGACTCTCGCGACTCTTGGTAGCAAGATGCCCAACTGCGTGATCCTCTCGGACAGTCTCAATCACGCCTCGATGATCCAGGGTATTCGCCACTCTGGCGCAAAGAAGATGGTTTTCAAGCACAATGATGTCGCTGATCTCGAGGCTAAGCTGGCTTCAATCCCCGCTGAATACCCCAAGATCATTGCCTTTGAGAGTGTGTACAGCATGTGCGGCTCTATTGGTCCTATTGAGGAAATTTGCGACCTTGCAGAGAAGTACGGCGCAATCACGTTCCTAGACGAGGTTCACGCAGTTGGCATGTACGGATCGCACGGTGCTGGCGTCGCAGAACACCTCGATTACGAGGCTCACAAGGCGGGCAAGCCCCAAGGCACAATCATGGACCGAATTGACATCATCACTGGAACCCTTGGAAAAGCCTACGGCTGCGTTGGTGGCTACATTGCTGGCTCTGCTAAGCTTGTTGATACGGTGAGGTCGCTCGCACCTGGCTTCATCTTCACGACTTCGCTCCCACCTGCGACTATGGCTGGCGCGAAGACTGCCATCGAGTACCAAGCGAACTACCAGGGCGATAGGCGCCTTCAGCAGTTGCACACTCGTGCGGTCAAGGATGAACTGAACGCGCGCGACATTCCGGTTATTCCCAACCCTAGTCACATCGTGCCCGTCCTGGTTGGCAACGCAGAAGTTGCTAAGAAAGCTTCTGACCTGCTCCTCGAAGACTGGGGTATCTACGTGCAGGCGATCAACTACCCCACCGTCCCTGTCGGCCAGGAGCGTCTTCGCGTCACACCAACCCCCGGCCACATTCGCGAATACCGTGAGCATCTCGTGGAGGCTTTTGACGCCGTCTGGAAGCAGCTCGGCATCAAGCGCACTAGCGAGTGGGCTGCCGAGGGCGGCTTCATCGGCGTTGGCGAGTCTGGCAAAGCTGAGGAGCTTCCTCTTTGGACCGATGAGCAGCTCGGTGTTGATACGGTCCTGAAGGAGATGAAGGCCGGCCAGGGCGCTGCTGGCGTCTTGGAAGCTGTTCTCGAGGACGAGCGCAAGGCCACGGCTCAGGCTGTCAGCGCTTCAGCTTGAATTGGAATGCTGTGAAGTTAACGTTGCTGGGTCTGGTCGCTCCTTCGCTTTTGAGACCTATATAGTTTCGCCATGCTGGCAGTTGAATTGATTCTCCATCTTCCTGCCAAAATTATGTCATTCCTTTTGAAAAGTGATTTCTGATGCGTAGCCATCTTAGTCACATGAGTATCCCAGTTACCATGTAGAGGAAGCGCGGCTTGCCGTGTGAAGGCCATTTTGCTATTGTTCTTGGCTGCAGCGCTGAATGAATAGAGCTCCGGCGTTTTGTGGAGCGGGCTTGGCACCGAGCTTCGCGCAGCGCAGGTGTCATTGACAAACCCAGCCGCGTCGACACATCGCACCCATTTCTTTGTCACGTTGCCGACTCCATCCCTGCGCAGCTTCGTGTGCACCAAATCAGTCTCTACTGCGCCGCCCTTGTGTCTGCGCTCACCGACCGGACTACATAGGTTCACCATTTCACGAGCTTCCGCGCATGTTCTTCCCGTACTAGTCCAGACCTTGCCCTTCGCCGGTCTCGCGACCACCAGAGACACTCGCAATGGCCCCTGGACCGAAGCGCAAGCGCGGTGATCGCACCTACTCTCAGGACGACAGCCAGCGACCGTCACCGCACCGACCGCATAGTCTGCCTCACGCGCATTTCCAGCACCAGAACAGCCCTCGCGGCGGCCGAGGAGGGGTCGATCGGCGGCAAAGCAGAGGTGGAGGACCCATGGGAGGCGGCGGCCGTGGCGCGTCCAGCGTGCCGCAGAGCCCCAACTTCGCGCATGCTTCACCCCCAGTCCGGTCGCCCGTCGCGAGCGCACCGCAACCGCCGTCACGGCCCACGCCCGCCGCACCTCCGACCCCAGCGCCGCCCAAGGAGACCGTCTCGATACCCGCAGCGCCGACCGGCGACGTGCCCGCGAGCAACGAGTACCTCACGCCCCAACGCGTCGCCAGGTGGAACCATGAAGCACGGCAAGCGGTCATCGAGGCTGCGTTGGCAGCCCAGCGTGGAGGCGACGCCCTCACCTTGTCGGTCGTATTCCACGAGATCATCGAGGCCTCCATATACCGCCAGTTGGATTCGGGGGACTTGGGGTCGCTCGTACGCGACATCGTCGCCACGTCTTCAGACGCATTAGTAGACCCGGTGTCCATTTTCCTCGACACGCTAAGCTGCTTGACAGAAGACGAAGAAAAGCAGAGGCTCGTACGGCCCATGCTCATGGCCACCGAGATCGACGTCGAACAAATGCGCACGGAGCTCGATGCCGGCTTGCTAAAGCAGCTGGAGCTAGTCCGACCCAGCTTCAACAAGATGGCAGTGCGCAAAGCCACACACGCCCTGTATCGGCAGTCCAACTACAACCTCCTCCGCGAAGAGAGCGAAGGCTACTCAAAGCTCATGACAGAGTACTTCACCACAGTAAACAGCGAGCCACCGAGCCACGAAGTTGTCAGCGAGACGTACCAGCGAGTGAACGCGCTTATCGGCGCATTCGATCTCGACATCGGCAGAGTGCTTGACGTCACACTAGATGTCTTCGCCAACCTTCTAGTAAAGCACGGCAAATTCTTCGTCAAGTTACTCCGCTCAAGCGCATGGTGGCCAGAACAACGAGGCTTGGAAGGCATCGAGTGGGAGGAGCCGGAGGTGGCTACACTTCCAAAGTGGGCCCAACCAAAATCTCCGACGTGGTATTATTCAGAGGAGGAGAAGCTGGAACAGTTACAGCAGCGCGAACGCCGAGATCGCAAATTCTGGGATCTTGTCGGAAGTCTCGAGGCTTCCCGCAAGGGCAAGGGCATCGAGGCCTTCTATGAACTGGGTGCTCGGCGCATCACAGCCAACAACAGACCGAGAGACGAGAAGATACATGCCGAAGGTGCCACATTGTCTGATCAGCAGGCTGCACGAAAGTGGGCTGACGACTGGATGTCGCAAACCGGAACATTGCCTCCCTCTGGCAACGACACTGCCGCCCAACTGCTTGGCTTCAAGCTACAGTTCTACGCATCTGACGCTCGCGACGCAACTGACTTCCTCCCTGACAACCTCATCCATCTGGCAGCGCTTCTCATCAAAGTCGGATTCATCTCTATCCTGGATCTCTACCCGCATTTGTATCCACCTGAGGAGGACATGTCGGCGCACCATCGGAAGCTGGTGCAGGCTAAGAAAGAGAAGGAAGAGAAGGAGAGCGGAAAGGACAATGCGTTGACGATGTCCGTGCTGACCGACGACTCTGCACTAGGACCACCAGTCTTAAGCCGCCTTCGAGACGCCGAGAAACCTGCCAGATCTGAATCCGAAAGCGGCGCCTCTGCACCGGGTGAAGCGCCCAGCGCCAGACCGTCGCTACCGGAGCCTGCTGATCAGAAATATCAACTTCTCAAGAGCCTGCTGTGCATTGGTGCTTTGCCTGAAGCATTGTTCATTCTTGGACTTCACCCATGGCTGCTTGAAGTATACCCCGATCTTCTGGAGCTAGTTTCTCGGTTAGCACATCACTCCATCAGCACCATTTACGAAGCAGCAAGGCCCATACCTCCCGAGCAGATTCCGGTTGTATCCAAGGGCTCTGGCGTCCGACCGAGCGACTTCGTACATCGACGGACACTTAGATGGCCTAAACCGGATCAGAAAGATGCAGGCGATGGTATCGATTACCGGTTCTACTGGGAGGATTGGTCTGACAATGTTCCTGTGTGCCAGAACGTCGATGACATGATCAAGCTGTGTACCACTCTGCTCGGTCTGGTGGGCCCAGACTGCGGCCAAGATACTGTGCTCTTGACCAAGATTGCGCGTATTGCAAGAAAAGACTTCGCAGACGATCCTTCAGATGCAAATCGACAGCGCTGGATCAAATTTTCCACCACCTTCCTCTGCCCCTCCCTCTCATTCACTGGCCAGAATCCTGGTGTAGTGAATGAAGTTTGGGAGCTCCTCAAACAATTCGATACGGCGACAAGATTCACGATATATGAGCAGTGGCAAGTCAAGGCAGGGACGAAGCCTACCTTCAGACATCTGTTCAAAAAGATAAACACAGCGACCAGCAAAGAGCTGAACAAGGTCACCACTACGAACGTCAAGGAGTCCGGCCGCAAAATCGCAAAGATCTCGTATTCGAATCCGGGCATCGTTTTCAAGAACATCGTCACCAGACTCATTGGCTATCCAAACATGATTGATGCTCTTGTGGAGTGCAGCAAATACATCACGCTTCTTGGGTACGACGTTTTGACCTGGACCCTCGTCACTACGCTCGTGAATTCCAGCAGGGAAGGAAAGAAGGGCGACGGCATGTTTGCGCAAGGATGGCTTACCAACTTGTCTCTATTCATTGGCAGAGCCTATCAGAGGTATGCCTTGCTGGATCCTACGCCAGTACTACAGTACACCACACATCAGCTTTTGCAGAGCTCAGGTGACTTGTATATGCTTGACGTTCTCGAGCAAATCATCAAGCTGATGGGCGGCATCGGGCCAACTGGATCGCTCTCTGAGTCTATAGTCTTATCGTTGAGTGCAGGACCTGTCCTTCGGGCATACACTCTACAGCACAATCTCGCGGATAACCGACACCAAGCTGCTTCGTCGGCCAAGCGTTTGGCGAAGTGTCTAAAAGACAAGCATTTGGCATCACAGATCCTAGTTGCGCTGGCGCAGCACGTGGAAGCCTTCATACATCGCGACGATATGCTCGATGCTCCGGACAAGGTGGTGTTCTTTAACGCCGACAAGTTGTACTCCAACCTCTTCCAATACCTTGAGTTTCTCCGCGCATATATTTCAGAAGAAGATTTTGACGCCTCCTTCCCAGGATTGATCGAAATGATCTCTGATTACAGGGTGGATCCAACTATCGCTTTCACCATCTGTCGCGCAAGCATTGCTGCTAAAGCAAACTCTTTCAGAATCGAGCAGCAAGGCAAGGCAACGGATGGAGATGTCACAATGGAGGGAGCAGAAGGCACATCGACAGCCAACGATGCTGCCGCTGACAAGGATGTTGACATGGAGGTAGCTAAGACTGGCTCTGAGGTTACTTCAGCAGGAACTAATCGCGTTGGGCCAGCAAACGCTGAGATCGAAAAGGTGGCAGAGCAGCTCAGAGGTGTATTACCTGAAACCTTCGCCGATCATCCTTGCCTATCTTTCTATGTCACATTCTGGCAACTTTCTCTCCAAGACGTCGACCAATTCGGGATCAAAGAGCGATATCGCGAAATCATCCAAACGTTCCAACGACAAGCAGCCCCAGTACACACAGAGCGCCGATACAACTCCCGCATCCCTAAGCAGGATACTCCCGAACAGCGACGTGCGAAGGAAGAGATCACGAAACTCAACAAAGAACGTGACTCTTTTACCAAAGTTGCCCAGGCTACACAAGAACAATTGCGAGTCGAGATGAGTAGATGGTTTGCGGACGCGCCCGCGATGGGCCCGCAATCCGATGCTCTTCATTTTGCTCTGCTACAGGATTGTTTCATTCCTCGCAGCCGCATGTCTCTTCACGATGCACAATACACTTTCGCCATGCTGCAGTTCATGCACAAGTCTGGATCGCCTGGATTCCGCACGATTAAGTTGCTCGACTTCCTTTTCGTCGCCAATAAGCTGAGTGCCCTCATCGGGATGTACTCGGAAGAGGAATCGAAGAACTTTGGTCGATTCCTCAACGACATCCTCAGAGAGCTTCAAAAGTGGCACGACAACAAGAGCGATGCCTATGCCAAGAACGCGTATGGTGAGGACAAGAAGCTGCCCGGCTTCGGTAGGAAATTTGACGCAAACCGCAAACCCGAGATTCACCTCGATTACAACGATTTCTGTCACGTCTTGTTCAAGTGGCACAAGGCATTATGCACTGCGCTGAAGGCTTGCATTGAAAGCGGGAAATTCTCGGAGATTCGTAATGCGATCAGTGTACTGAACGCGGTCTCTTCCAGTTTCCCGAAGGTCGACACCATGCGTGATGAGTTGCAAGCTCCGCTGGAGCGCATTGCCAAAGAGGACGAAAGAAACGACCTTAAGATCTCCGCGCAATCCACTTTTAGGATCTTCAAGCAAGGCAAGGCATACTGGCGTACCGAGTGGCAGTACCGCAACGTAAGTCGCAACTCTGAATTTGAACCAATTGATATATTGACACAGCAAAAGATGGCACCACCAGAGGATGCCAACGGGACCAGCAAAACAGGTTCTCAAACCCCACAGCCGAAGGACGCTCCTGTATCCAAACTTAGCGCCAGCGCACCAGTCTTCAAATCCAGGCACGAATCGTAAGTCAGCCCACCAGTACAAATCGCCAGTCGCTTATACTTCACGCAGGAACGGGACACCGAAACCGGCCGAAAGCACCGATGATGATGCACAGCAAGGCGGGTCGACGCCTGCAACTCCAGCAACCCGTCCAAACGACAGAGAGGCAACGCAGGCGACCACGAGAGAATCTGACGTCAGAGACCCTACACCATCACACCAAGAGCGCGGAAACACTCCTGCCCGTGGCACACCTGGTCCATCTGTCCATACTTCGTCTGTGTCCTCCCGACCTGACAATAGGCCCACGCAGAACCAGGGTCTTCAAACAGGCAGAGCATCTCATGCTTTGCCGATCAGGCCGGATTCCCAACCTCCTAGGCCGCGACCCTCTGACCGTCAGTCTGACTATGGTCCTCCTCAAGGCCGATATGACAACCGAATACCTCCCAACGACTATGGGCGGCTTGAACGTCCCATCGACCCCCGTGAGCGGGTTATTGCTGGTGGAAGAACGCCAGAGAGGGGCCCAGGTCCTGTAGATCGCCGCGACTATAACAGAGGCGACCCCAGAGATTACGAAGACCGATCCATGCGAGCACCACCCCGAGACCCAAGGGGTCCTCCAATCCGTGGTCCTCCTCAATGGGAGCAAAGAGACCCTAGAGACCTCAGAGACCCAAGAGACCATCGTGAGCGACTCGATCACCGAGGACACCCCGTGCCATCTACTATAGAACCGAGAAGGGCACCTTCGAGCTCAAGCATGTCGCAAGAGTACGGTTCACATCAACGCGACTTGCCACCATCTAGGCATCAAGGGCCAGACAGGCCAGACTTTCCACCCTCGCGACCCCCGCCTGGCAATCTATCGACAACTACTGACGGTCCTGCCATTAATCCAGCTCGCGCAGCTTTGATTGACCCGGCAGTCAATCCGGCGCGTGCAGCTCTTATCAATGAGAGCGGGCCGCCAAGGCACGAGTCTCGGTCAGATCGTGATGGCCGCCGCGAGAGAGGATCGCATCCGCAGTCACCAAACATGGCAGACGACAGACGAGGTATTGAACCACGAGGAGAAGATCGTCGCGGTGATGACCGTGGCCACGTACCTCACCATGTTCGCAGCGAAGCGCCACGTGATTACAGGGAAGAACGTATGCCTCCGCAAGGACCTCCGTCCAACCGTGACCGTCGAGAGGAGATGAGCGTCAATAGCATGCCTACAGGGCCTCGTGGACCACGGAATGAGCCTCCACGATCGGAAAACTCGAATTCTTTACGCGGTTCTCGCGAAATGTTCCAGCCTTCGCAGTCTATACGCCAATCAAACAACCAATCACAGGATCCCAACTACGGTAGACTTAACGCGCCTTCCGAGCCAGCTCCTTCTGGACCACGTAGTGAGTACACATGTTCAATTTTGAAAGATTACGCTTACATGTCCAGATGATCGTCGTGAGATGCCCTCTCAGCCACCACCAGCAAGTGCACCGTCAGGCCCATCAGCAGCGAATCCAAACTCCCTAGGTGTACACCCCAGTCGACAAGTAAACTTCGGTGGCAATAGGCCAAATGCACCGCCGATCCAAACAGACATGTCTGGCGCACCGAGTGGACCGCGAGGTGGTAGGACTCCGCAAGGCCCCTTGCCCTCACCGGGAGCGAGAGGGCCGCCAACAGGACCTGCTTTCAATAACGATCGAGTACCACGTAACCCTAATCCACTGAGGGCCATTAATAGCGTGTTGAACCAGAACGCACCTTCGCCGACAGAACGGAATGCGCCTGTTCAGAGCCAGGGACCCCCCGTCACTGTGCGTGGTCGAGGCGCGAATCGTGCTAATGAGCCAAATGACGGGCAGAACAGTCACATGCCACCGCCGCAATATGTGACAACGCCCAGCGCTCGTCCTGAGGGCCCACACCCCAGAAGCGAAAGGCCAGCTCCGCCAGGTCAAACGGGTGGTGAACCGCAGGAAGAGCGATCGGAGTCGCGCAGTCGTCGTACGGAAGGCAGGCGTGAAGAGCGATCGGGACGTGAACGAGATCATGAGAAGCGGTCGGAGGATCGAAGCAGTCGAAACGGCCCAAGTCAGAGAGGCGAGCCAGGACAAGAGCAGGAGCGAGGGTCCGACCGCGAGCGTCGCGAGAAGAGGGGTAGTGATAGGGAAAGTAGCCGCCGACACGGCGAGCGAGAAGGCGAACGTTCAAGTCGCGAAGGAGGGGAGCGATCCGGTCGTGAACCACGTGAGCCGCGCGAAGCTCGTGAAAGCAAGCCTCACCGCAGCTCTCGCGAAAGCGGGCGCCCATCAGGCTCAGGACGAGAAGAGCGCGATCGAAGCAGCAGAAGCGGGGGTGGGAGTACAGGAGACGACGCACGAAAGCGAGTTCGTGACCCTGCGGATCAGCCGCATGGCGACATGAAGCGCAGACGATAGACATACACCAGCATCAACGTCACCTTTACATCAAGACCATAATTCCGACACCAGCCTCTACATTCACGTCCAATCTCAATTATCTTGTTACTTTTTATTTTTGGTTAGAGAGCAGGATGGCATTGCAAGGCGTCATGGCATTACGATACCCCTACATTGCGAGCGATGGAAGCTTCCCGTCAGGCAGCATTTGGCGTGGATTTGACTTATAAATGTTTTCAGGCCATCTTTCGCAAATTTTCGCAAAAGTTTTTCTAGTGTCTATCGTGTCTGTAGAACTACTGAGCAGGAGTCTCGGCGAACAGGTAGAACACGGCTGTGCTCGTCATTTCTAGTAAAAACGTAGAAGATTTCGATTTCGTCCAGTGCAAATATGAGCCCTGCCAGTTGAGGAACTACTATTTGGTACTCGTCAGCAGGAGTTAGTGTATGGCTACACTACGGACGAAACTGCTACTATGTAATTGAAGCTCGCATTGGTGGCAGTAAGCAGCAGTGGTGACGTAGGTGCTACTCTGTCCCAACATGCATTTGAAAGCATGTCAGCAACCATTCCGAATCAGGTGTGGCGCTAACTTCTTACAGTAAGAGGACAAGGATTCAATCACAAGCGAGTCGCGGGGATGGGGATTACTCATGGAGATTACTGAGCATCCCAACAACCACTCTTTCTCTTCGCATCCAACGCCTTGCGTGCTCGATTGGTTGACTCACTCACAAAAGAGTTTGAAACGTAGTCTGCATATCTGACCAATGGCGTCGACCCATTCTAGCCCTGCCGCATGTTTTTGCCCGTGCTTTGTAACTCCGCAGTTGCTTGGTGAGATGCTTGCTGACCGATGAACCTCTGTTAGCGTCGAGCAAATTGACAAGCCCTGTAAACTCCTGCCAAGCTCCGTCCAGTGGTTTGAACAACGGAGAACTTGTGGAGGGATAAGTATGGCTCAATATCTGTCCCAAAATGCTCATCATCAGTTCACAACATTACCACTCAGACACACTGTGCCTTCCAACTACCTATCTCCGCCAATAACACCTGAACAACTCCCGTCCCAAACACATCCATACTGAGAAACACCAAGACAGAATTCACTGTTACACAACATGTCGGCTCTCATTCGGGACGCTCCCTTTGGGCAACTTGTCCGATACATCACCAATAACCGGGTTTTCCAATATCCGGAAGAACGATCAGATTTCCAGATACCAGCTTCATACACACGAAACACAGCTCTTGAGGCCAAACGACTGGATAGCATCACAAGCTCTGCTCCCACCACCGAACCTGAAGGGCCAGCTGTAGAAGAAGCCGTCTATCCTGATCCCGAGACAGTACTTGAGAAAATCGCTACAGAGAGCGAAGACGACAGCACATCGGACCTCGAGAAGCTGCAGTCGATCCGAACGGCGCATACAGCACGCACTCAGATCTCCCGCGTCGGTACACGGACCGCGCTTTCGAAGTCCATTTCGCGAGCCGACCTTGAGCAGCAGTTTACCTTGGCTTCAGTCGAACGCGGTCCCAGTCGCCCGATTGTTCCTGAGGCACGCGAAGACGGTACTATTCTTGTCGACTGGTACACAACTGACGATGAAGCCAACCCACAGAACTGGCTGTTTGGCAAGAAGCTCGTGGTGCTTCTCCAGATTCTCCTGTACACCATGGGCGTATACCTCGGCTCGGCAATCTACTCCCCCAGCATACCAGGTGTGATGGAGCAGTTTGGCGTCCAAATTGGAGCCGCTTCGCTTGGTCTGTCGATGTACGTGCTTGCGTACGGTATCGGTCCGCTACTTTTCTCACCCTTGAGTGAGATCCCAGTCATCGGCCGCAACCCACCCTACATTGTCTCCTACGCCATCTTCGTCATTCTTCTGGTCCCGAGTTCTCTCACGAATGACTTCAGCACCCTCATCGCACTCCGCTTCCTACAGGGCTTCTTCGGCTCGCCCTGCCTCGCCACCGGCGGCGCAACACTCCAGGACATGTATTCACTGCTTCAGCTGCCCTATGTGCTCTCCCTCTGGGCCTTCGCAGCCACCTGCGGCCCCGCGCTCGGTCCCATCATCTCCGGCTTCAGCGTCACAGCTAAGAACTGGCACTGGTCGCAGTGGGAGATGCTCTGGCTCAACGGACCCCTCTTCCTCGCGCTCTTCTTCTTTTTGCCTGAGACCTCCTCTGCAAACATCTTGCTCCGCCGCGCACAGCGCCTGCGCCTCCTCACCGGCAACTCCAACCTCAAGTCCCAGAGCGAAATCGACCAAGCCAGCCTCACCGCCTCCGCTATCGCCTCCGAGGCCCTCTGGCGCCCCTTTCAGCTCATGCTGCTCGACCCCAGCATCGCCTTCACCGCCGTCTACACCGCCATCATCTACGGCATCTTCTACTCCTTCTTCGAGGCCTTCCCGCTCGTCTACATGGAGGCCTACGGCTTCAACCTCGGCGAGATGGGCCTCACGTTCCTGAGCGTGACCATCGGTGTCATACTCGCCCTGGCCTGGTACTGGTTCTACATCGCACACACCGTCAACCCATCGATCCTCGCGCACGGCCTGGGCGCACCCGAGCGCCGCCTGATCCCCGCGCTCGTGGTAACCTTCTTCGTGCCCGTCGGGCTGTTTATCTTCGGCTGGACGGCGCGCGCCGACGTGCACTGGATCGTGTCGTGCGTGGGCATCGTGATCACGACCATTGGCATTTTCCTCATCATCCAGTGCATTTTCTTGTACCTCCCGCTGTCGTACCCGCAGTACGCGGCGAGTTTGTTCGCGGGCAATGATTTCGCCAGGAGTGCGTTGGCCGCCGGGAGTATCCACTTCAGCTACCCCATGTTTCACAACTTGGGCGTCGACAAGGGTATCACGCTGCTGGCGGGGCTGACGGTTGGGTGCAGTGCGGGAGTGTATGTGCTGTACTTCTTCGGCGAGAAGCTGAGGGCGAAGAGCAGGTTTGCTGCGAAATAGACGGGAGTGGTGGATAATGAGTCAAGAAAGTAAATGATTCTGAACGTATATTGAGTACATAGCCTTGGAGTCTGGGTTGGACTTTTTGCAGTTTTACACAGTTTAGACGCATAGCCTGCGAGTAATAATTAATATGTCACATGAAGTCTCTAAGCTTTACCGTGTGATGCCACTTCAACGCCTTGAAGACCTCTTAAGCACGATTTGCCTACGCCAACACATCGACTATACCGGCTTTTGACAAGGTACTGTACACTGAGTTGTCGTGAACAGTTTAGTTGTTGTCATCGACTCGCCGGCGTGCGTGCAAAGTATAGCAGCTCATGGGACTACGACACAACCTGCATTGCCACTAGGTATTTTCAATATCCGATGCCGGACTTCGTAACAAGCTTTTCAGCAGACTTTCTTTCTCTTGGCGCCCTCGCTCTTTCCATCGCCCCGTCCCGAGGAACATGCTTGTGAGATATGTACAAACGCTCGCGGAAACATACATGAGCCGCCGACGGGTGCGGCGTTAGCAAGGTTCGTTAAGCACGGGTTGAATGAGGTCATCAGCCGCTGGGCGATCATGACAACATGAATATCGAGCTTGTTACTTGCAAATTCTAGAGGCAGTAGAGAAAGCAATCGGCTATCTACTTTGGAAAAGGATATTCTTGAGATGATGCTGTTCTAGTACTATTGCTGTCACCGCGTACCTAAGGTAAGTTGGAGTATCTAACCAATGCCCAGCGAGTTGCTGCCTCGCCTGTTGCTGCTTTGTCATGCCACGACGTCTGGACGACGGAAGTTGGTTCGTCCGGCTATCAATATTTTTATGCAGATCTGTGTACCGGCGATCTCTTAGCACTGAGTCGGACTTGTAGAAGAGCGAATCGCGAGTATTTGCTGAGAAGCGGTGAGAAATGCTCAACCGACCTGCGAGAAAGCTACCCCTTCGGTTGTGCGAAACAATTACATCGTTACTCAGGGGATTGCATTTTTATTCTTTCTCCGTCTTGATACATGTTAAATTTTTAGGCAAGTAGGAAGCTACTTCTGAATATTTTTTTGGGGTATGTATACAAGTCTGTGGAACACCTACTAAGTGCGTACCTACCCAATTTGGACTGGTGGTACGCTCTTCTGCAGACTGTACGGATTCGCGTCTTACGAATGCCGAAGGGTAGATACGCGAGTTAAAGGCTCCATTTTGGCCGAGGGAAACGTGCACTACAACATTGATTGCTCCACACATTTGCAGGGTATCTTGACAAGCAACACCAGTAAACTGCTGTCACTGCAACCTCTAGTCCTCCGCATATCGCGCTCGGTTTTCGGTCGTTGAGAGCTCTACGTAAGACTTGTCAAGATGAAACAATCGAAAGGCTTTCCGATCTTGGCAGACTGGTCAGACTAGAAGCCATTATTATCCTCATGTAGCAGAGGTATAAATACTCTGAGTATAGATCGATGGAGCGTATCCAAACAGTTCCTGTCAACACCTACGATTCAAATAGTTTACTCAACAACATGGCCAAAGGACAAGATGACTACTTCTTAGCCAACGGCTTCACACGCACAATCCACACCCGTGCAAATGCTGCCATCGACCCGTCAAAAAACAAACTCCCAAAAGAGCTCAACATTCTAGTAGTTGGCGCGTCGCGAGGCATCGGAGAAGGCATTGCATACGCCTACGCCCAAGCCGGCGCCGCAAACCTCATCCTCGCCGCACGGGCGTCTTCGTCCAAGGAGGTCGCCGCCGTCGCAGAGAAGGCCAAAGCCCTGAATCCCTCAGTGTCTGTCACTTCTTTACATGTCGACATCACCGATTCGTCGAGCGTGGCAGCACTTGCGCAGGATGTCAAGGAGAAGTTTGGCCATCTCGATGTCCTCGTCCTGAACTCTGGACTCGCTGGTGCCCTGATCCTCGACATCACCACAGGCGACCCGCAGGATTTCAAGAAATGCTTTGATGTTAATGTGCAGGGCACCTACCTCATTGCGCACCACCTTCTCCCATTAGTGAAAGAGAGCAAGGGCCCAAAATTGTTCATTGTGGTCAGCACTTTCGCTTCTCTGATCACTGGAGGTCCTTTTGCACACACGGCGTATTGTGTGTCAAAGATGGCACAAGCTCGGATAGTTGAGTACATTGCTGAGCAATTTGGGGATGAGGGTCTGGTCGCGGTCGCAGTACATCCGGGTGCCGTGACGACAGAGGCGACCACTGAGTCATGTGACGAGGAAACGCTCAAGAGTATGTCCACTGATACTGAACGATGATATCTGTACTGACAAAGATAGATTTCACTGATGATGTCGGCTTGTGTGGTGCTTTCTGCGTATGGCTGAGTAGAGAGAAGAGATCGTGGCTGAACGGAAAACTCACCAGTGCTAAATGGGACGTAGACGAACTGCTGGAGCACAAGGACAAGATCGAAAGCGAGGGCCTGTTGAAGCTGACGTACAAGGTTGGTGATGTTTCTGCTGCTCTATCTGACCCACCGCGCGATGCTATATTTATATAGTTGTACGTGAGTGCAGCGAGGTTTCCAGCATTTCAGGACTATCCAGGGTCTGTCAAGAAGACTGTTACTTAGAGGGTGTTTGGTAGACTGTGGAGATAGATCAGGAGCCACTGGAAAATGTATGTAGCGCCAACATCAGACTAGCGTTGAATTTGCTGTATCTCAGACGCTTCAGTCGGAGATGGACACCATTCGTTCATAAGGCTCGCAGAATCGGAAAAGTAACATCTCCTGATACTTGTCCGATCACCGAGATCTTCCAAGCAATGTGCGAGACGGTTATAATGTGTCGTTACAAGCATTGATAAGGTCAGTCAGCTGCGGGCTAACTTAAGCAGATCTCGCAAGCTATCGGCAGACGCCTCTAATTGTTATTTAGAGGCATCTTAAGGCGACCACTAGAGATGTGCTTAAACAGGTCTTACAAAATCTCATCCCTGTCAGATTGAACGCTTCGGACTGCGCCACTGACTTGTGCTGACTAGTCGGAATACGAGTATAGCTAAGGCGACAATGTCATGACACTGGTAGTCATTATGCGTGGTCATGTTGAGAGATTTGAACCGTGCTGAACAATCCAAATTGGCGACTTAATTGTTTGTAAGAGCGGTGGAGGACAACATCAACCATGAAGGGTATCCACAAAATGCAGGGAGCCTTGCCACTTTCGATTTAGGTTTGTGGACCCTGCATCCAGACTTCATCAAATTCACGCATTTGTCCTTCCCTCGAAAGTTCCTCCTCGAAACAAGAAACACAATCACACAATGGCGAACGCACCGGCTTCGAAGATCTACCTTCGTCCGCACCATGAGCCCGGGAGGAAGCAGGCGACTCGGACATACATCATCTACTTTGTCACCGGCAACCCTGGTCTCATCGAATACTACCGTACCTTTTTGACGCATCTATACGGATTGCTGACACGCAACACTGCGTCGAATCGCGATGTTGAATTCCAAGTCTACGGCCGCTCGATGTCTGGCTTCGAGATGAACAGCCACGAGATCAACACAATGAAATGGCACAAAATCCCTCCTTACGGCCTACAGGACCAGATCAGGCACGCAGAGGATGAGCTCACGGATCTCGTGGAAGACGTTTCGGACGACGGGCACCGAGATGTAAGAGTTATCGTTGTTGGCCATTCTGTGGGAGGCTACATCACTCTCGAGATAATCCGAAGATTGCGCGCGCACGGAATTGTGGGAGAGGACTATGCAACAAGGATTGTCGGTGGTATCGCATTGTTCCCCACAGTCATGGAGATCTACAAGAGCGAGACTGGTCAGAAAGCAGCAGTACGTATAACGCAAGCAGCCGGTCACGTGCATAACTAACCCTCTCAACAGCCATTCCTGAAGAATTCCAACTTCGCCTTCTTCGCAGCAGTAGCCGCCAACCTACTGACCCTGCTGATTCCGATCTCATTATTAGCGACACTTATCAAATCATTCATGGGCTTCCCCGATGACGCAGCACACACTACAGCTTCCTTCATCAAGTCTCCTCACGGCGTCCAGCAGGCGCTGCACATGGCTCGCGATGAGATGTTCCAGATTGACACCGATTTCTGGGATGCTGAGATCTGGGGTGCAGCACACCCGTCGGAGCACAAGCACGAGCGCGCGCAGTTGCGTTTCCTATTCGCTAAGAAGGACCACTGGGTTGCCGATGAGACAAGAGACAAGCTCATCCAGGCGAGAGGACGTTCAGCAGCGTCTGGGGTTCAGGAAGTGGCTGGCCTTGGCGAGGACTGGAAGCCAATCATGGAGGTCGATGAGAGGGAAGGATTTCCACACGGCTTTTGCCTGCGCCACGGTGTACCTGTTGCAGAGAAGACGGCACAGTATATTGCAGATATTGTCGCGAAGGACACTGGAGTATTTGAGAAGAAAAAGGAAGATGAACAGGGCTGGACGTGGTAGTCGAAAACCACGAGCTGTCCATACACTTAGCATAGATACGGATAAGTCGCAATGCTGTATAATGCATCTAAACTATCACCACACATCATCTAATGCTGCTTATCCCAATCTACTGGCCCCCCGTTGACATTTGTCACCTGTTCCTGCTCTTTGTTGGCCTCTCGTTGTGATCTCTTATCCAGCTGGATGCACTGTTAGCTTCACAGTCGAAAGGCTTCTATCATGACTTACCCATTGTACAGCAGCGGTGCAAGCAAAGAATGCAATCACGACCACAATCATTGTGATGTATCCCTTTTTCCAGTACGGTGCATCTGTCGCAGGATACAACGCAATACCCCAGAAAGTATATAGGATCGACTGTACCATGCTCATGACATAGAGAATGACTGAGCGCGTCGCGTCGTCCCCGTCGCGCTGACAAATAACACTAGCCCAACCGTACAAGATGGGATTGACGATATACGAAGTACCGGCGAGGTAGAAGGCGAAGAACGTCCCGGCAGTTGAAAGGGTCGGAACGAGAAGGAGAATGGCGACCAACAATTGGAGGGTACCCGCAAGAATGACCATAGGAATGCGTCGGTTTGTCATGTCGATGACATACCCAGCGCCAATGTTTGAGACAATGGAAACAGCCTGGATGCCCAGAGGGTAGGTGGTTGTGGCGTAAGATGGGAACTTCTCGATGTTGGCCTTCATCCAAAGCAAGAAGAGGCCCTGCAAGACAATAGCTTCAAGCGCACATCCAATAACCGAGTATAGCGTCAGAATGTAAAACCCGGGCGAGGCGAACAGCCGCTTGCACAGTGACTTGATGCTGATGTCGTGTCCCCAATTCTTCTTTGCGGGGAGGCGATCTATAGCTAGCTGAATTTCTTCCTTGCTGAGATAGGACACGTCTGTCGATTCAGGCAGGTTTGGGAAGAAAGCTAGGCCGAAGATACCGAATGGAAGTCCCATAGCGCCATCTACACTACAATCAGCACGATGTCCCGTTAGGTCGAAGTACAAACCCACTGATGAGGAAGACCCATTGCCAGCCTTGAAGCCCGGTCTGATCATGCAGCCCCTCATTCATAGCAGTCATCATGACTCCAGCGAACATGCTACCAATCTGGCCGATTGCAGTGAAGATAGCAGTGCGCTTCGCAATCTCCAAGGGTTTGTACCACGAGCCCAAGATGTAGATTGTACCGCTGTACAGGCTTGACTCAAAGAACCCCTGAAAGAAACGGACTACGCAGAGCTGTTCATATGTCTTGCATGCAGCACAGACCATGGTCAAGCCTGACCAGACAATAAATGTGAATGGTAGCCAGAATCGAGGCGCAACTTTCTGGATAATGAGAGCGTGTGGAATTTGTCCAACACAGGCACTGCCGTACATTAGACATGAATACGCGTAGTTGAATCTGAACCATACCCCGCAGTGAACATGGCAATCAGGATGCTGTATTGATTACCCTCAAGGCCGAGGGACTCCTTGAGGCCGGAAACCTAGCGACTACATCAGGAATGACATGAATGGCTGACTTTGGTGAACAAACATATGCATTTGCAAAAGCAGATCGATCTGCAAATTGTTAGACCGCTAAGTTGTAGCGATGGCAGACAACACTGACCAAGATAATTGAAGAAGTACGCTGCGCAGCAATAGACCTAGAATATATCAACATCTGCTCATCCCTACAAATCTTAACATCATTACCAGAATAAAGCAATCTATTGCATGTTAGCTTTCAACCATTGGCTGAGATTATGTACACACCAAGCTTGCGAACCAGCCGCCTCTCAACACTCGATCCGGCCATCGCAATCAAAGGCTTGCTTAGTCTCGAATAACCTACCTCACGGTTTTGTGACGTAGAAACCATCCTACATGAACTTGAGCATATCGTCTGGAGGGTGCTAACGGCTCGTTCCGAAGTGGGCCTTCACCATGCGAGCACCATGCTGGACACTTGTGAGCCAATAACAGCAGGTTTGTTCCTAAGCGGGAGGCACGCTCTCGAAAACTCATCTGCTTGGCTCTTGGCCTGAAGGGTGGGAGTCTCCTTCCACTTCGGTTGAAGTCTTGTGGCCAGTGGGCTTGAAGTTGTGGACCTGTGCGATGGCGTCAGAATTTTGGTGGGACACCAGTTGTTGACCCCACTCCTGAAGCCGTCGCAACAATGAACGTCTACGACCATCAAACATGGCATACAGTCATCTAATGTAACCGACAGGTATGACTAAATTGTTAAGAAAACAGATCTCGAGTTGGTCGTTCGAAAAGATCGAACACTGCTGGGCGTGTGTACATACAGTCGCAGGGGCTCAAGCACTGGTTGTTTTCACATTACTCAAAACACTCACTATGTATGCTTGCATGAGAGGCTCCAACGTGGTTCTTCCGTTCTGCAGATTTTGTGAGTCACAACCAGTTCAGAAAGCTCCTTTGTTAGCTCCAGGTCTTCTTCTCACCACGTATGGAGAACTCCAGTGACTACCAACGAGTGAATTGTCTTTGGAGATAGTGAACCTTGGTGTATCCTACGAAACCCTGAACGCCATGCTATGCTTTTCCGTCATCGAGATCGTAATAGTGTCTATGCAGCCGCTCCATTTGTAAACAACTCGGGGCCCCAGAAAGCATCGGCGTCTTTTTGAAAATTCTCTCGATCCGTCTTCCGGCGCTTTGCCTTGTGCTCATCCAGTTCTGACCCTTGCACCGCGTCACGCTTCTGCGCCTGATTGAGCTTGACAAGATCGACCTTGTCTGGGTCTTGACAAAGTTTGAGCTTCTTGATGAGTTTTTTCACCTGAGCCTTATGCTGTGAGTCCATCGTTGCTTGCTCGTCGGCGGAAACTTGAAGCTTTCGGTACGAGCGGTGCGAAGACATGACCTGGGCACAGGCTCGTAGTGCGCTGATGACTTTGGCGTATATCGGCGAAGTGGAAGGCATTTTGACGGAGAGGTAGAAGAGCACAAGCGGTTCGTCGGCTAGGAGGTATGCCGCAAGCCAGATCTGAGATGGGGTGTAGAGAAAGTATACGTCTGTCAAGGCGGCGGTCTTCTTCAGAATCTCAGACGCCTGAGGGTACGAGTCGCGCATGATACGTTTTGTGAGCTGATCCCAAGTTGCCTTTACTGCATAGCCCCCAGTCTGGCGTGGTACTCGATGGATTGCAGCGCTCAGATCTGCGACAGTCTTATGCGGGCTGTGGTTCGGTCCTTCGTACTTGCCATTTGCCATGCTCATGAGGTCAAGCATGCCGCCTTTGAGAGCCCTGAATGGATGCTTAACATCGAAGTTGAAACGCAGTGCCTGTACAATAAGATACTCCGGAGCCAATATCTGCTCTGGCGTCACTTTTGTCCTTTCTGAAGAGATGTCTGTTGCGAAGTTCTCCAGACTCTGGTGCTCGCTTTCAGATTTACCAGCAAGAAACATAGCTGTCCGGCTAATGTTTTGAGCGTGGTAGGTCATAGGCGAGTTGTACAAGTAGAACCGACGCAAAAATTGTACAGCTGTTGCCACAGCGTTGTCGCTGAACTTGCAATGATGCCCGAGAGCCATTGTTCGCTCGCAGAACTCTTCCAAGAAGGTCAACTCTTCGTCCACTGTGAAACAATCCACGTCCTTGTCCGATGTAACCGCGTTCGGTGTATTCGCCCCGCTGCCATCGATGCCCGAATTGCCACTTGTGCTGTCGATGTCTGCAGCGTGGGCGCGCTGGGCGCGTTGTCGCGCAACATTAAGCTTGACGCGCTCAGTGGCTTGGAGGTTCGTCTTCGCGCGTTGAGCAGCCAGCTGCTCCGTGGTGAAGGACCACTGGCGGAACTGCGTCGAGGTTCGGTATAGGTCGTCTTCGTTGAGCTTCATTGTGTGTCGAGGCGCTGGAGCTGGCCTGGTACTGTCCGTCCACCTTCAATGGTGATGAGGCTCAAAGCTGCCGAGGCGGCAGGTTTAGCCGAACCGGCGTGGCGTACGGTTTCCCTGCGACCTCTCGGGAACCCTGGAAATTGGGACTCATGTTCCCTCAGTCTCGACTCTCCCCCCAGCTACCTAGTCACGCAAATCGCTGCAGGTCCCATCTTCGAGAACAAAGCTATCGAAGCTTGACCATGTCGTCGGCCCTTCTGAACACTATCAGTGACTCCAGAAGCCTGGTAGAAAGTCACATCTTGGCATGCACCTCGGGAAGCTTCTGTCCAATCACCATACCTCGTTGCTCGAGATGTGTGTATCGACCTCAATCTTGCTCACACTTGCTCACATACACCGGGAGAAGAACATATTTGATACATCATCCGTAGAGTAGAAGCTCATAAGATTCGGTCGTTCGCTCCTCTGACTACAACTGAACTTTCTTTCCTCGACTTGCAAGCACCTTGTTCTCCCAGACACGATTCACTCACAGCGAGCCAATGCTGTTGTCTCGGATGAGGTATCCCGATCGGTGACGCCAGTGCTGTCCTACCGCCTTTGTTTGTCGGACCCCCCCCCCCCCCCCCCCCGGGCCACCCTCCTCGCAATACCTACACGAACATTCTTCCGCGATCTGCATTCCGCTATCTTCGTACCGAGTCACGGCTCCGCCGAGATAAGAGCCGGGGTATTGTGCCGGTCTTACGAGGCATGCACCGGGTTTTGTATGAACTCAGAACATCGTCTCTGCCTCGGACAGCCTTATCCAAACGCATGGAGGGATCTCGCCACCACAACAGCACACTTGCGGGGTAGACTGCAGCATCCGGTTTCTTGTGTGCTTGAACCTACCTCCTCTGTCACATATCCGCGGTCTTTTTGTTGTGGCTGCAGACGAATCCAACTACCTCTTGGCACCTTCCCAAAGGAGTATAGTTTGCTATTTCCACTGGAGATCGTTCTACTGGTCCGCCTTATTACCTACTCCACATGATGAACGACTGCGGCTTATCAAAAACGAGCTCTAGCTCACTCGAACGCCCGTGCTGTAATCAAGCCAAGAGTGGACCTGATTGAGGAGCAAATCAGCGGACGCTCAACACCAAACACCAAGACTTCCCCAAGCACGCCCAGGTTGCCACTGCATGCCAACGGCAACGTTAATGCTTTTCATGGGTCATGGTAATATTGGGGTACGGCAGTAACCTGCGATAGGAAGGTACCAGGTTCGCATGGCAAAGCGAATCTACGGCGCATCGCACGCGACCGGATGATGAGCGACAATATGCTTCCGAGGTGGCCTGTGTCGACAGTAGGAGGTTATAAGATGGAGCGACCTGCACCCAGGTTCCTGGATCATCTCCACCTGCCAATTCTCACTTCGCAGTCGACATCGCCAAAATGAAGTGGACTACCATTGCGACCGCTTTTGCTGCCATGCCTTTGGCATCGGCTGCATTCACCAAGGAGCAGTATCGCTCTGGTGAAGTGATGGAGAAGATGATGACGGCGAAGGAGGTGCGTTCACACCCGTTCTTCTCAGCCGACTGATTGCTCAACGATTCATAGGGTGCCTGGGCCAAGCAGCGCGCTGCTGGTGCTTACGACCAGAGGAAGTGGAAGGACTTCCACAAGAAGCGCTCCAACAAGAACCGCATCGAGTGCAAGAACGGCCGCGTCGAGGCAGTCAAGGGCGATCCTGACCAGACGTACAAGTGCAAGGATATCGTAAGTTTATCCAATCGAAGTTTCAGACTTCTAAATGCTGACGCCACCATAGGACTTGTACGACTTCAAGACGCATGAGGAACTTGGCAACCCCCCTCCCGTCTCTGAGGGCTCTGGTTCGTGGGGATGGACTCACAAGGGTCGTGAATTCATTGCCATTGGTCAGACCAACGGCACTGCTTTTGCGGAGGTCACCAAGAACGGTGAGCTGGAGTACTTGGGCCGTCTTCCTGCGCAAGCTTCCCCTGTCATCTGGCACGAGATGAAGAGCTTGGGCGATTATCTCTTCGTTGGTTCCGAGGGTGCGGGCCACGGAGTGCAGATCTTCGATTTCAAGAAGCTCCTCAAGCTGAGCCCTAAGAAGCCCAAGACCTTTGACATCACAAAGGACCTGACTGCTTGGTTCAACGACCTCACTGAGGGCGCTGGTATTGCCGGTCGCTCCCACAATGTCGTTACCAACGAGGAGAAGGGCTACGCTGTAGCTGTCGGCTCTGGCGGACGTGCTGGCCGTAACGACACCTGCGCTGGAGGTCTCATCTTCATCAACGTCGACGACATCACCAAGCCCTACAAGGAGGGTTGCGCACCCCAGGACGGATACATCCACGACGCTCAGTGCATCGTCTACCGTGGACCTCACAAGAAGTACTACGGCCGTGACATCTGCTACGGCTACAACGAGGATACATTGACCATCTACGATGTCACCAACAAGAAGGGCTTCAACGCCTCGACTATCATCTCGCGTACCCCCTACGTGGGCTCCTCCTACACCCACCAGGGCTGGGTCCTCGACCCCTACTGGCAGACCCACATCGTCATGGACGACGAGCTTGACGAGGGCGAGATTGACGGCGGCATCGACACCGATCCGGAGTCCCCCGCCAAGGATGGCTACCCCGTCACCTACATCTGGGACATCACCAACCTCGAAGCCCCCAAGAACTCTGGTTACTACAAGTCCTCCACCCGCGCCGTCGACCACAACCAGTTCGTCCACGATGGCCTCGCCTACCAGTCCAACTACCAAGCCGGTCTGCGCATCCTCGACGTCAGCTCCATTCCCCGTCACAGTGACGGAAGCCGCGTGAAGGAGATCGCCTACTTTGACGTGTTCCCCGGTGACGATGCCGTGCCCGGTGGCGGACAGGCGCTGTGGGACGCCGGCACATGGTCGCACTACACCTTCCCCAGCGGCTTCACAGTGATCAACACCATTGACCGCGGTGCATTTGTCGTCAAGCCCAAGTTCGGCCGCGGCAAGGGCAAGTACTTCGGCCAGTACTAGGGGATGTATGCTTTATGACACGAAAAATAGTCACATGACGTAACTCTTAATGATAGTACCTGATGCTTTGCGCATCGCACACAATCTGCCATTTCTGTATGCATGTGATTCTGATATACGCGAAACAGCTCTGTTAATATGCAAGTCTTCTTTCGCGGAACTTTCCAGGCGGATGCACCCTCGCACATCCGGCCAACCACCTGTGTCACATGACAGCAGACTCATCTCAGGACGGACCATGGCCTGACACTTTCCTGTCGTCGCCGTCCAATCTTCCATGCTAGATTGCCCCTGTAGCCAATACATTGAGATCATCTCTCGCTGCCACCCGACAGCTCGGCTCACTTTTAGGATCTAAAGCTTCTTAATCACAGCGAACCTTACTAGCCGCCGAACCACTACTGAATAACCCCATCCATTCAAGTGCACACTCCAACAAGAGCCACAGTGGAATCTGGCGGACAGAGTGTGTGTTGGATCTGTGTTGGTGGGCGTTTGGTCGAGTGGTGAGGCTGGCGAACGGTTCGCTGCTTATTCTTTGAGCCAAGCAGGGCAGCGGCCGGGCGACTGTCTTGGGGCTACCGAGTAGTCGCCGAAGAGTCACACTGTCGACCACATGTCCAAGGCTGAACGTGTTTTGAGACGGCTTCTGCTGCAATATGTGTAGTGGACAGAGAAGTATATTCAAAGAACACTATGTTTGACTATTTTCTCAAGGCCATGAGTTTAGAAATAAGACGAACATGACTGACTACAGTGCATGTGTAAACAAAACCGGACGCCGTCGCCAATGATGGTGTATAATCTGCAAGACTAATGCCTGCGATCCAAGCCTCTTCCCCCATACCGTAGTCTTTCCCTGATCTTTCCTCTCCGTCCCCCTTACGCTTCGCCGAACAGACGGGCGGTAATATCACCCATATATGCTTCCTCCAGTTCGTAGTCCTCGCCGCCCATTTTGTCGATACCAACGTATTCGAAAGCAGCCACAACCACTTCAACGTCGAACCCCATAGCGACGAAGCGATCGACGAGGTCCTTGTTGTAGCCGTGGTATCTGGGATTGTTAGCTATTATCTAATCAGCACAGAGGCTCGTACGTACGCTGCCATCTTGACTTTTTCCTCGTTTTGCTTGGCCTCCTGTCGCTTCCTGATAATGGACTCTGCTGTGGCACCGCCGCTTCCTTCGGCGATCTCCTTCTTGGGTGCGCCAGCGTACTTGACTGACCACTCGCGGGCCTTGTGCTCGAACTCGGCAGGGTTTCGGATCAGCATACTAGCGACCTCTGCGTCCTGGGGATCCTTTGGCTCAGGCGTTGAGAGGAGTGATTGGAGGGAGATAAGGGCAGACTTGATGGTGAGGACTGGCGACCACTGTGACGCTAGAGTATCCAGGCAGATGGCACCCTGTTCGGTCAGTCTTCTCTCGCGTGCATTTAATGGGGGACATACTGTTTGTGAGCTCACGTTCGGGTGCCAGATTTTGGTCTCGAACTTCATGCCCGGCGGCCTGAAAGGGTACTCGTTGGGGATCTTGATGTCGACTTGGAAAGTGCCCCCCTCGTATGGCGTGTCTGGCGGCCCAAGAAACTGGCCGCGAAGATGTGTAAGGTCATCGCCGTTTCCTGCAGGGTCTACTATGATCTGCGAGAGTTTGTCGTTCTTGATGTCGGCAATCTCTTTGGCGATACGTCGAGCGCGGTTGGAGGCCATGTTTCAGGTAAAGCCCGGAATGCGAAGTTGTGGATGGGTGGGAGAGAGGCTTAAGGTGGTGGTGGACAGGCAACGAGCAGTGCTAGTTCTGGAGGAGGTCAGCCTGGTGCTCCAGAGGCAACAGCAGCCAAGTGGGGCAGGCAAGCACATCACAGCAACTGTCGGGTAGTGCAGGGCGCTTCTTGGGTCTGTACGGCGTCAACTTACGCTGGTGAAGCTGGTCGCGTGGGAAGTCGGCGGCTATCGACAAACCTCAGAGCGGTCGACGTGGGGGAGCTGTCGGTGATTTAGAGCGGGGCCGGCTCGATTGCTGTTTCTCACGTGGTTATGGAGCGTGGAGAAGTGAGGCAGAGAAGAAGGGCAGCAGTGTATGTGTTTCTAGTGGTATATAAAGCGCACGCAAGCATTCGACGTGTCTGTTGTTCTATGGCGGGCGAGACGGCTGCGAGAGGTGAGGCAGTGGCGTCAGACTTGGCGTACCGAGCTCCGACAATCAGCTCGACTGGCCAGCATCAACATTACAAACACCATCACCGCCGCACCACCGCCAACGCCTGCAGCCGTGTCTGCACCCTCCGAACACCCCCATACCACCAACACCACCTCTAGCAGCAGAGCCGCCCACGTGATCGCGTGTCATGGTACGCTCGCCTCCGGACGAGGCGCGGCGCCTTGTATACTGACAGTGTGTAGGGTAACCAGCAGTCCAGCGCTGGCGGAGGCCCGCCCGGCGATGACAAGAGCAAGAAGGACAAGGTATGATCGCTGCTGCACTGGCTGCTGCCGGCTGCACCCGTGACGCCGCTGACGCCGCCCGCAGAAGGAGAAGCCAAAGTACGAGCCGCCGCCACAGCCCACGACGCGCATCGGCAGGAAGAAGAAGAGGGCCGCCGGGCCCAGCGCCGCCGCGAAGCTCCCAGCCATCTACCCCACAGCGCGCTGCAAACTACGATACCTGCGCATGCAGCGCATCCACGACCACCTGCTGCTGGAAGAGGAATACGTCGAGAACCAGGAGCGGATCCGCAAGGCGAAGGTGGCCAAGGAAGGCGCTGCGCCCGTCAACGTCAACGCCGACCCTGAGGCAGCCGACCGAAATGCCGATGAGCGGTCGCGGGTCGACGACATGCGTGGCAGCCCCATGGGCGTCGGCAACCTTGAGGAGCTGATCGACGACGACCACGCCATCGTGTCGAGCGCGACCGGGCCCGAGTACTACGTCTCTATCATGTCTTTCGTCGACAAAGATCTGCTCGAGCCCGGCGCGAGCATTCTTCTGCATCACAAGTCGGTGTCGGTGGTCGGTGTGCTCACAGACGACGCGGACCCGCTTGTCTCGACCATGAAGATCGACAAGGCTCCGACAGAGTCGTACGCGGACATTGGTGGTCTGGAGCAGCAAATCCAGGAAGTACGGGAGGCTGTGGAGCTTCCTCTGTTACATCCTGAGCTATACGAGGAGATGGGTATCAAGCCCCCGAAGGGTGTCATTCTCTACGGTGCTCCCGGTACCGGAAAGACGCTGTTGGCAAAGGCCGTCGCGAACCAGACTAGCGCTACTTTCCTGCGCATTGTGGGTAGTGAGCTGATCCAGAAGTACCTCGGTGACGGCCCCAGGCTTGTGCGACAGCTGTTCCAGACTGCCGCCGAGAACGCACCCTCCATCGTCTTCATTGACGAGATCGATGCCATCGGTACGAAGCGTTACGAGTCCACATCAGGTGGTGAACGCGAAATCCAGCGAACTATGCTGGAGCTACTTAACCAGCTGGACGGTTTCGATGACCGCGGTGACATCAAGGTCATCATGGCGACCAACAAGATCGACACTCTCGACCCTGCGCTGATTCGCCCTGGTCGTATTGACCGCAAGATTCTCTTCGAGAACCCTGACCGTAAGTTATAAGAAGGCTATCTAAGAACATCCACTAACAGACACCAGAACACACAAAGAAGAAGATCTTCACCCTGCACACCTCAAAGATGTCTCTGAACGAGGATGTCGACCTCGACGAATTCATCAACCAGAAGGACGATCTGTCCGGTGCTGACATTAAGGCCATCTGCTCGGAAGCTGGTCTGCTGGCTCTTCGCGAGCGCAGGATGCGGGTACAAATGGATGACTTCCGTCAAGCTAGGGAGCGCGTGCTGAAGACGAAGAGCGAGGGCGAGCCAGAAGGGCTGTACTTGTAGGCCTAAGAGGCTGCAATGGACGACACGACTTAAGATCAAGACTTCATTGACGTGTATCAGTAGGCATGGACAGGCGCATTGCGCAGTAGACAAAGTCAAGAAGACCTTTCCATCCATACTACATGTGAATCTGTGCAAGGTGCGATCTCCCTGAGGTGGTATCTCTCCTAACTTGTATTCCCACTTTCACTCGCCAGTCAATGGCACCGGACTATCAGGATTTCTGCCATAAGGCGTGTGAGTCTTCCTGCCTGCTCCATCATGACAGCCCTCGTACCGCGACCGAGTGAGAGCGAACTAATTGCGGCTCAAGGGCACCAACACACAGCCTCGGAGCCTTCCCACCTTTACCTTCATCATTGCACTGGTCCTCCGCGCATAACAGGTGAGAGAGTCGCGCTACTGACCCGTGGCTCACGCGTGTGTAGCAGTCAAACCCTCGTGCCCAACATCTCTTCTGCTTCCCTCCACCACATCACATTGCTTACCATCGAGTCAGCAAACTTGGCTGCACGGTATCCCTCACGATGATGCGTGGAGATCTCGGTGACGTTCCGACACTTGCGTGTCTCAATAAACCGCAAAAGCGTGCGCTCATCTTGCGCGATGAGCTCCGATATTTCGAGCCGGCCCACCTAGACAACTTCCTCAGCGGCATCACCACGGACGAGCCTCCCACATACAAGAACGTGAATGGAGCAGTCTGCCCCCCACTTTCACAGGTCACCATCAAAGATGAAGCTGCCCGTTTCGACCTGGGTAACGTCCAGTTCCCCGAAGAGGGTGGCGCTACGTATCGAGCGTTTCTGACGGTGGAGGACGAGCGCTTCGAAATGCGTACTGAAGAAGCGCTACCCAGGGACGATGCTGATCTAGCTTCGGTGCCTATCCATCGTTTTGTTGCAGAAAATATGTTCCCACTCTTCAAAACAAAGTACAAGGCCATACATGCAAGGATGGAGAAGATAAACGAAGCCCGACGTGTGGCCTATAATATGCTCGATCATCCATCGGCAAAGTTTGAAGATGGAGAGGTATGTGTGAAAGTATCAGGTGCATTCTGCAGATCATTTCCGTACTGATTCCGTCCCAGACACTCACCAGGCTCACAGCCAAAACAAAAGCTAGCGATGATTCGTCTAGAGGCACATCTCCCACTCCGAACCTGGTTCTGGCACATCTAACGCACACTGCAGATGGAGGCTCTCGTAAGCGCAAAGAGATCACCAAACATGCCTCAAACAAACGTCAACGTATTGGGCTGGAGACGATCCCTGATACCGTCAAGAGTGAGACCTTCAACACGATACCGGCACAGGTCAAGGTGGATCTGTTCGACAACATCATCAAAACAGCGTTTCCCAACTTTGACAACCTGATCGTTGCGTCCTGGAACGTCGTCTCCGTCTACACCAACCTGGGTAGCGACTTCCCTGAGCTCCACAAAGCCGTCGTCGACCTCAAGGGCGCACTGGAGGAGTTCGAGGGCGCGTATGGTCCCCGTACGAAGAGCGGCAAGACCCGCAAGGAAGCCACGCCCACCCAGCAAGACAGCGATGCAAGGCGCGCAGCGACGCCCGTCAGAACACCCAGAACGCCTGTGCCTGTCGCTAGAACGACCCCGGCTGTGGTGAGCTCACAGGAAGACAATGACCACCACGACGACGGTAACGACCACTTTCAAATGCCACCCCCACGCACCCCAGAACCGCGCCAGCACCCTTCCCAACCCGCTACCCTTCCCGCCGGCCCCCGCCACCTAACCAATACTCCCCCCTCCCCCTTCCAGCTGCCGTCCTCGCGCCCAGCCTCGCCGAGCACACATATCCACCCCCCACCCCGCTCGCACTCGCACTCGCACTCCCGCAGCACCACTCGCGACCGCTCCACTGGTCCGCGCGCCTCCCCGTCCACCCACGCACCCCCCGGCTCAGAGCTCATGCGCAAGCGACAGGCGTACACCGCGTCCCTGAGTGCGAACTCCAGCCACGCCGGCTCGAGCAGCGAGGTGCCGATGCGGCAGTACGACGGAGGCGGCGGGGGACAGCATGACCGTGAGGAGACGTACACGGACAGTGGTAGGAATCGCGTTGGCAAGACGGAAGAGGAGGAGGAGGCGGACCGGTACAGAGGTGGCTCGGCGCTTCCGCATCTGGGTAAATCGGTGTTGGGGGCAAGGAAGAACGGGGGGAAGGCGCCGGTTGCGCCTATGCTGCATACCAGGAGGGATGGGGGCAGGTGAGTGTGGTTTCGGTGAGTCGCTGGGGGGACTGCGGTGTCAAGCGTCGGACTCTATGGCGTGGCATGCTGTAGCTTGGTTATCGCTTTTCGGAGTTAGTGATAGCAAATGGACGGGTGGAATGATATGTCTAATAGTCTGGCGTTGGACGGATAGTGACGTCAACGCTGGCTTTATATGGATGGTGATATGTACGTTCATACCGTGACCTGGCTTCTCTAAGTGGCTATAGTGATCTGGTCTCACTGCTCCTATAGCAGGGGCCACCCGGGGCAAGGCCCATAGTCAGCCTACACAGCGTGCCAGATAACTACACACAAGCCAGCCACCACTGCCGTGTCTTCCCCCTGCAGCAAATCTACCCCATCGGGACTCACTCCCCCAACTCCTTCAACACAATCTGCGCGCCCTCGGCCTTCTGCCAAAATGTACACACCTCACGCGCGACATTCGCTGGGTTCAGTACCGGCGCATCCGGTGCCACAATGCCATGCACTTCGACCAGCCCGCAGTGCACCCGGTGCGGGCGCATCGCCTGGTTCATCGCGAGCACATGGGTGCGCTGCGCGCCCTTGGCCACCGACAGCGAAAGCAGCTGCGGTATCGGCTCATTCGGGAGGTGCGAGGAAGTGACCAGCAGGGCGGGTTTAGCGGTAGAGTGGGCGGCGGCCAAGGTCTGCATGCGCGGGAGGTAGTGCTGGGCGACGATGTGGAGGGCCAGGACGTTGAGCTGCGAGGGGGATTGTCAGTCCAGGGCGCGAGGTGCGTGTCGGGGGAGGCGTACCCGGAGATCAGCAGCGAGCACGTCGACACTGGACTCCAGTGCCGAGGGCGCGATGCGCGCAGCGTTGTAGTACACAACTTCCACGTCCTCGGTGGCCGTGAGCGCGTCTATCTCGGCCAGAACCCCGGGGATGGCGTCCAGATCGTCCAGGTCGGCGCGGAGGACGTCGACTTTGACGGTGGGCGCGGCGGTGCGTACGAGGGTGGCATCAGAGGCGGAGATGCGGTCAGTGTTGCGACCGATGAGGATGACGTGCGCTATGGATCCGTGGGCGGCGAGCGTGGTGGCGACGTGGGCTCCAATGCCGGGGCCGGCGCCGAAGAGGAGGAGGGCGCGTGGGAGGGGGCGAGGATCTGGCGACATAACCTTCTCCAGTTCTACTAGATGGTATTGAGCACGACGTTGGCTGTATGAGCATCAAAGGTTGAGTAGGAGGGTACCCCGCATTCCCGGCTAGTGTGTAGTGCATCCATGACGTCTTAATATAGTGAAATTGATATGAGGACTAGAATACTTGAGCAGAGACCATTCGTGTGCTTGTCTCCCTGACCATCGTGAGAAGATAGTGCCTCGGTTGCCAAGATCAAAGCAATGCTGAACCGATCGTTTCTCTGAGTGAGTCAGCACGTTCACATCACCGATACTTCGTCACGTCAAATCTTAAGCGTGCTATCTTGAGCGTGCTGTCTTGATGCTTGCAGAAATGTTACTCGGGCCAACATATCTGTGAGGGCTTTGAAGATTGATAGTCTCGACTTATACTCATCCACTCATATGCTGCATATGCTCCACAAGTAGAAGCAACGCACTATATTAGAGCAAAGAAGTGGCTCATCTGTTTGATTAAAACAAAGCAGTACGCTGGTATCACCGCTGTAGGGGTTTTAAATGTGTGGTCAGACAGTCTTTGTCTTTGACGGAGGGAAGGAGAGGTATTGCTGTATGTTTGAAAAGGTGCCGCAAAGACTCCGTACACCAGAGAATTATGTTTCAAGCACCCATAGGTGGAATGCCTCATCATGGTTTATTGTAGAGACTTTATGTGAGGAGCGCAGTGAGGAGCACAGCGTGGAGTTGGGGTGGAAGAACGCTTTACGCGATCGGGCTTAGCGCGCTGGTACGTGCACCCGCTCGCTTCACAGTGCGCTTGCCACGAAGGAAAATCGTTCCTCTGACCACAGACATTTCGACATCCGACTGCACCCCCATCAGCCACGATGCCGGTACGCTGCCGCCCTGCCACGATGGCCAAACCTCCGTTCGACGTTTTCTAACGATTTCCTACAGTCCCAAAAGTCTTTCCGCACCAAGCAGAAGCTTGCAAAGGCTCAGAAGCAGAACCGCCCCATCCCCCAGTGGATCCGCCTGAGGACAAACAACACCATCAGGTACGCCGACACCGCAACTGCCCGCTCTTCCTAGCTATTTGCGACGACACGCACAGCGATTTCGCACACCGAACAACAGCTGACAGACCGCAGGTACAACGCCAAGAGAAGGCATTGGCGCAAGACTCGTCTCGGTATCTAGACGACTCGCCACCAGACCCTCATTTTCGACTTTCGATTCCTGCATTCAAGTACGCCTCCTTGTACACGACAAACACACCTACGAGCACGAGCGCAATCATGGAAATCGATTTCGAATCGCAATGACGGGAATCTAGCGGACAGTCTTCCAAGCGGGGCACATTACGTCTTTCTTCATGAATGGTATGGGTATCTGCGAATACTCTGGCGCTACTGCGGGAACGAGAAATCGAATCATGATGGGTTAGACTAGGCAGTGTTACACATGAATGCACTTGCTGGTCGCAATGAACGATGATGTGCGTGTGTCACTATGGAATTTGATGTGGAGCCAACGCTATAGCGTCGCCCAACTATAATAACCACATCCTCAGCCAGGAGCGCAACTTGTGATGCACACTTTTCTCATCGCCTCCTCACATGCTCCCAGGAAAACACCTTATAACACAATGTATAAGCAGAAAGGCCGATCGTTGAGTTCGTAACCAACGACGAAAGGCTTTCGAATCCACTAAAGCTACTCTTAACGTAAGCAGTAATTCTTAAAAGTTGTCTACTAGATAAGCCCTCTATTTTCCACTCTTTACCTGGAACTTCGGACGGTCACTCAAATCCACCACCAGGCATCTCTCATCGCTCTTGCCCGCTGTTTCGAACAAGCTCACAACGCCTTGATCAATCTTAAGCACCGTACTGCTGCCCGCATAGCAAACCCCCTTCTCCATCCCGCTTCGATTCGCCATCACAACATACACAGGCTCGTCCAACCTAGCCTCGACAATTGGCTGGAACCGCTCTACCCAGTATGCTATCGTTGCAACATCAGGCTGCGACGGGTCGCGCATGAGTTCCTCGGGCGTCAGATGACACAACCAGGCCATGGAGACGCAGAGTAAGTTCGACTTGTTCGAGAGCGCGGTCGAGGCGAACTCGTAAGCATCCCAAGGTGCGGTGAACTTGTACGGATTGATGTCCATGCAGATGCCCAGCGTCACGTTTCCAAGCTCACCCAGAGGGCCGGAGAAGAACGGGGCGTCTGGCGAAGCCGCATCTGCCAATGTATGCTCGTGCGAGCCGGGACCTTCGGTGGCCCATGTCTCGTCGGTGTAATAGAGGAAGGATTTACGGTAGTTTGCTAAGATCTCACCGGATGGTGAGACTGTCACGGTGGAGTTGTATTGCGTTGAGGGTGCGATCTCGGTGGCTGTCGTGATCTCAGGATATCCAATCGTTACGTGGCAGTTATAATGGCGCGCAGCTTGAATAGCCCACCGCGTGCTTACTCCAGATGTTGTAGGCTCTAGGAACGGTTTAATTTCTTCGAGAGAGAAGAAGTTATAGCCTAGCTTGTGTTAGCATCAGGTGTCGTGTTACAACGTAAATGTAAAAAGAGTATGACAGGAGGGCACATGTATGACATCAGGTGTATCTAAATGCAGCACATGGCTTGGGGTTTCACATCGTCCAGCAGCCCGCCACTCAGATCACATGCCAAGTTCGATGTGCAACGGAAATGCCTACCTGTGAACGCGAGTTCCGGAAGGACCAGCCAGTCAATATCCAAAGGTAGCTGAGCCCCGAGTAATATTTCGTCTGCTCGCACAATATTCTCCTGGACCTTGCCGACCTCTGGGGCGAATTGCAAACACGCGACTTTCATCTTGTCTTGCGTCCAGGGTCAATGAGGGGTATATGGAGGGGTAATCTGCGGTGATATCCAGCCTCGATGCTTCGGACAGCCGGTGTGCGATAGAATGACTGAAACTAAAGCCTCGGAGAAAATACTGTAAAGAGAGGCAGTGAATTGCTCCTAGATCAGACCAGAAATGAGGTTTCGGTGGTGTAAGTAGATTATTCGGGACCTAGGTTCCCGCGCCCTAAACGCGTTCAAACACGCAGCGATCCGCGGAATGAAGCAACGAAACTTTCCAAACCCGACGCCAGTGAAATGCATACAACGCAAGATATTTGTGTAGCTTCAATACAAAGCAGCAGCAATTGAGAGGTTGGTAGTACACGTACCTGCATGAATGCTAACTTGATCGGATCTAGCGCAATTCGGAGCAATTGAAGCTATGAGATCATGACCGATGCGTTCTAGACATCTACCGCGGTCGTCGCAGATCTGATAGATGCGAATGCCGACGCTGTGCAATGCTTCCTTTATAACATTGGTGCTCTGAACCCCTCACAATGGCTGGAAGACGCTTCGTAGACGCAGCGAAGCTATTCCAGGCCTCGAAATCGATCGCGAGTAAGCACATCACGCTGCGGTCACAGCAGCTCGAGGCCTACCAAAAAACATCAACACTAGCCAAGGCTGTCAAATCTCAGACGGATCGCGTCACCCTCACTGCTGCTGCTGCCATTGCACTCTACCAGCGATCCAATGAGGCTCCTGCGCACACGAAAGCCGCTCACGAGCGCCCAGCTGCAACAGGTTCACAATATACAAACATACCTAGGAAGACAACAGTAGAGACACAGGCCCCAGATCACGAGCTGAGAGAAGGTCTCAGACAGGACCATCATTACGACCGCTCTGCACAGGCCACCGCGGCACAGCCTGCACCAGAGCAGGAGCTGGACGTTGAGCAGGCAAAGGCACCACGTCGTACGTTGCCAGATGGCACGATACCATCTGCAGGTGTGACATTAGGCCAAGGGTATAAGGGACAGGATACTGAAGAGCCCATCCCGGCCCACGCAAACGATCTCCAGCCGTCAACAAAGACGCCAAAGATCCAAGATCTTCTTGCCGGCCACGACAGAGATGTTTTCTACACACGTTCAGTCGAATCGCAGTCCCAGTCTTCTGCCCAGCCACGTTCTCAGATACCTCTCGCTACTACAAACAAGCAAGGAAGAGATAGCCATGTCGAGGACGGACGACTCAATCAGGATGTATTCTATGCAACACCGAAGCCCGGGCAGGAGCGGGAGCAAAGCAAAGGGCCCGTCCAATCTGCCGTTCCCATTGAGGAGGATGTACCAGAAGGCGTCAACACAGATATTTTCCACTCGAGACGGGTGGCTCGAATGCTCGGACAAGATCGCTTTTCGCGCAAAGAACACCTTGGTCCGACAGCTTCGAAGGGCACAGGGCGGCACCCGCTCGACGACAGGCCTATAATACAGGCCCCAACTCGTGCTCCTGAACGAGCGCAGCCTGCTACTACCGAGCAGGAGATGCAAGACCTCGCTTCCAAGCTGGCCAAAGACGCCGAAACTCAGGCCTCTGCTGCTACTGAAGTGCGTATATGGCAATGACTGCTGTGTTGCATACTGGTGTACTGACAGCTGGTTTGTAGACGCCTACCGCTATTGAAACGGAGCCTGATAAACCCGCCTATGCACTCCGTGAGTCGAGAGTTCCATCGTCGCGATTTGGCCGACTCTGGCAGTATGCTGGACTTGGAACTAGCATGGCCTTCGGCGCTGTCGGCGAGAGCCTTCGTCGTGTCACAGGCACAGCCGCTGCGACTGGCGGCTCCCTCATGTTGAGTCCTGGCAATCTTGAGATTCTTGTCGCAAAGCTCTCTCGTATGCGGGGTGCTGCATTGAAGCTTGGACAGATGATCAGCTTCCAGGACAGCAAGATGCTGCCACCCCAAATCCAAGAAGTTTTGCAACGTGTGCAAGACAGTGCAGACTATATGCCAGCCTGGCAGCGGGACAAGGTTCTTGCTTCGAACCTTGGATCTGAATGGCGTGACCTGTTCGAGTCGTTCGAGGACATCCCAATAGCGGCTGCATCAATTGGACAAGTCCACAAGGCGGTGCTGAAGTCAACAGGCAAGCCGGTGGCCGTCAAAGTACAATATCCCGGTGTCGCGAACTCCATCGACTCTGATTTGAGCAACCTCTCCATCCTCCTGACTGCGTCCCGTATCCTTCCGCGCGGCCTGTTCCTCGACAAGACTATTGCCAATGCCCGCACAGAGCTTGGCTGGGAATGCGATTATACACGCGAAGCTGAGTGCCAAACGCGCTTCCGGGACTTCGTTGCTGATGACACCTCCGTTTTCACAGTCCCCAAAGTCTTTACTGAAGCAAGTGGTCCGACCGTGCTCACGGCTGAAATGATGAGTGGCGTGGGTGTCGCAAAGCTCAACAATCTTACTCAAGACCAGCGCGATTGGATTGGCACGCAGATTCTCCGCCTCTGCCTGCGCGAGATTGTAGAGTTCAAGTTCATGCAGACTGACCCCAACTGGACCAACTTCCTTTTCAATGCTAAGGACAAGAAAATTGAGCTCCTCGACTTCGGCGCGAGTAGAGACTTCCCTGATGAGTTTGTGGAGCCATACATCAATGTCTTGATCGCCGCCAGCAAAGAGGACCGCAGCTCCATCCGCGATTTCTCGCTCGAGCTGGGCTATCTGACCGGCGACGAGAGCCCAGCCATGCTGAACGCGCACACAGACTCAGTCCTCACGCTTGCGGAGCCGTTCAAGTCATCCGGACCAGCGATCTACGATTTCAGAGACCAGACAATCACGGACCGCGTGCGCGATCTCATCCCCGTCATGGTGCGCGAGCGACTCGCTCCCCCGCCTGAGGAAACGTACAGTCTGCACCGCAAGCTGTCCGGCGCGTTCTTGCTCTGCGCACGCCTGGGCTCGCGCGTGCCGTGCAAAGAGCTGTTCGAAAAGGCCATCGCGACATATCACAGTACGAAAAAGACGCAGTAGAAAATAAACCGAGTATGTAGCATAGCCATTGTATAACATCATACATCACACATCAGAAATCATATCACACATTCCCACCCTTGCCTACCGCGCCTCAAATTGCACCATCCGCGCCGTCCGCACTTTCAGCAACATTTCCGTGCCGCACGTCTTGCACCGCACCGGCTCCGTCTGCCGATACCGGTCCCGCGCCTCGCACCGTAAGCACATGTACACCATCGACCACCGCGACGCGCGCTCTAGCTCGCGAGTCGCCGCCCGCTGCGCCGCATATGCGTCCTCGCGGCGCAGCGGATCTCGCGGCGCGGGGCGCGGTGTCGGCGGGTCACGAACGGAATGAGCGTCGGTCTCGCTGCCCTCGTCGCCGGTGCTATTGGTGTCGCCGTTTAGTCTTGCATCTGCGTGGGTTAGAGTCTTGGAGGCTTGTTGTCTGGGCGGGGTGGGTGCGGACCGTCTGCGCTATCAATGCGGTGCAGGACTTTGAGCAGTTCGCTCGTTTCCGGGGCGGGCTGGGAGATGGAGTCCCGGTGTTGGGGGCTGTAGGAGCCTGTGGTCGGGGTCGGGATGGGTTCCATTGCTGTTGACCAGGGCATTTTGTGTTGTTGGCTTACTTCGGTGGTGTTTGATATTGTTGTATGTCAATGTATTGATGTGAAATTAAATCTATGTGAGCAATATTGCGGGGTTGAATGTTGGGAACACATCGTTTCTCTTTAATGTTCTTGGTGATGAGGACGTATTATGAGTAGTGAACAAAGAGATTGTCAGGTGCTGAGGCTGAAAATGGTCGTCTTGAGTGGTGGGTGGTTGTACATGATGGTTTCGGAACAAAGAGGATTCACACAGATGATGTCAGTCAGATAAGGTAGAGGATGCTTGACTTTTGAATGGCGCTCATATGCCCGATGTGGATGCTAGTTGTATACAGTTCGATCTTTCATGACTTTTGCTTAGTCCGCTCCATTGCTCTCAAGCCTTTTCCTGTTCGGCCTGAGGCTCATCTGTAGAATATCCTCGATACCACAGGGCCGCAGCAACCGCGATGAACGTTCCGTAGCTGGTAAGCATAATCATCCTTCCGCGAAGACCCTGCTTCCGCTTGAGCTCTTCGTTGCCCCCCAGAATCTTGACCGCATCCTTCTTCCACGTGTACTCCAAACCACTGTAAAGTGTCGTACTAGCAACAACAGCTGAAAGGCCTGTGACCATGTTCTTCACACCGGCTTCCCCACCAAGAATGTCTTGGAGAGACATCAGGATCCCACCCGCAGCAGACGTCGTTGCAGCAGGGTCGTGAAGGAGGTTTGTGCAGAGAAGCGTACCGAGCAGACTGAGTTGGAGGAAGGTGTTGAACTTCGATATCTGAGTAGGATGAACCTCTGCGCTGGGCAGACTGAAATCCCAGTATCGCGCCATAGTCTTGGGCGCTGGCAAAGACGCGTATCGATAGTAGAGTGCGGAAACTGCGAGGCTGACATCGCGGCCGAGAATGATGATAGCAAGAGGTACAGCCATGCTCCCGTTGACTGCCAGACATGTCACGAGCGTCGTCATTAGCAGCTTGTCTGCCATGGGATCGACGACGCTGCCAACCACCGTCTGGAGATTCCATTTCCTAGCTATCCAGCCATCGAGAAGGTCGGAGAATGCTGCGTAAGTGAAGAGGGAGAAGGCGGCGAGATGCTGGTTGTGAACAATGAGGTACCCAACTACTGGAGTTGCTATCAGGCGTGTGAAGGTGAGGAAGTTGGGGATGTTGTAGATCTGTTCATGGCGCTGTGTCGGCGTGTCTAGTTTTAACGTGGACTTCAACGTAGCTGCGACCTTTGCGGTTGTTGACAGGCCGGGGTTCTGAAGATGAAATGTCAGCGACATTTCGGCTCTATCTTCACAGCGGGAGACTGGTCGGATCCCGTGGACTTCCGTCCATGAAGAGCTTCAACAGAGAAAGCTTGCAGAGTGACTGCAACGATGTGTCACGAAGCCATTATCATCAACGCAAATGGATAGGGGCCGTAACTTCGATGCAAAAGACAGGAACAGATCGACCTACCTCCGTCTTGTTCTCAGACAAGCCTGAAGAGGCGGCATCCTTTCCATTTCTGTGTTCGGCATTACGCCTGACCGATGTACTGAAGACACTAGATTGCTGCGGAGAAAATGACGGTTTGCTGCCTGGATTCAGAAGCCCTGCCCGCTGCCTTGTGCTGTTATTAGGAGCCTGGCAGTATAAGGCACGTGAGGAGAAAGGGGAAAGAAATTGGCTGCTTCGTGGCCGCGTCGCTGCTCGCAGTACGCCCGAAGAACCGCATGTAAGCGTTCTGGGCATTGATACTATCCTGCACGCCATTGAGATGATGGCCGTGACTGCGGGATCCTAAGTTGTCCGCTCGTAAGGCGTCGACGCGCTGCAGCAGGCTGAGCATTGGCGTGCCAAGGCTGCCTAAACGATGCAGGGCTCGCGATGTCATCTCAATCGCGACAACATCAAACAAATGCGCGTAACTTTTTAGTATTTCAGCATCGCATCGGATTTCCCAGAAATGCTCGAAGAGTACATCCTAGCTGGCAATCGAATGTCGCCCCTCTGATACAGGCAGCAATTGATGCCGAGCAACCGTTCGTTAGGATCATGGAGAGCTCCACGTTTCCTCGGCGGCACTCAAAGTCTCTGGATCGAGGACGGAGCATCTGCATTAAGACTTATCGCTGATAGCAGAGTATCAGCTCCTCACCGGACCCAGAATGCGGGCCTTTTGTAGCTCACGGCTAATGCTTCTTCAACTACCTGATGCTTATTTATGGTTTGACTGCTCGTGATGGGCTACTGCGAGTGTTGCCCATCAAAGGAACTGAATGTGGAGGGAGCTGTCGAACCCAGTCGCCAACACGGGAATGCAGTCTGTCAGATGCTCTAGTCAAAGTGTCCCACTTTCGCGCCAACAGATTCTCATCAGCTTCAACTATCACATTGCTCCTGATGGGTTTGATGAGTCTTAAACTGGATACCATACCTACGCCTACAAGAGCTTTCACCTGCACCGAGGTGCAACTCCCTGGCCTCTCACTCTACGCTCCACTTCGTGGCGAACCACTTACAGGGTTGCAACAACTATCAACGGCTCTCAAGCGTGAATCCGAGCCCCTGAGGTGTGGATAACTGGAGGCAACAATTGTCACGTACGCTGTTACGCGAGGGTGAACCTTACTCACTGGCTTGCAGCACCAGGTTCCGCTGTCACGCTTTGCACAGGGTCTCCGAAATGTGGACATCCCTTCGCTATCCACAGTCGCCTCGCGCTTCCTACCTAGTCTATCATGCAGTCTTAGCGATATACGTAAGTACAGCCGGAAAGGGTCTCAATAGTGGCTGGAACCTACATTTGTAGGACAACACCACTGGCTGTAGATCGAAACGATGTGCCGCAGAAGCCGTAGGAGCCGCGGGAGACGCAGGTGCTGCAGGAGCTGAAAGAGCCGCACGCGTGCCACCAGTCCAGCAATGCACATCAATGCAGGTGATATTGACTTTTCACGACTCAGGTACTCCACAGGACTCCAGAAAGATCACCTGGCCATGTGCGACTCCATATTTGGCATCTCAGCTATCGAATTTATGTACCTTTGCCAATTTCCGAGGATAGGTCACCAGCTTGGGTCCACAGTTCACTGGTTGGGTCAGGACAGTCTACTGGCTTCCCAGGCTTTGGGACATCTGAAACCAAGACATTCGAAGAAGATTTACGCCATTAGTAGTGCTCTCGTGTAGACACGCGAACCATCACATCCCCCATCCTGGCACGGGCCGCATCTTCCAAGAGTTTTCCCGATGTTTTCCCACTTAAAGTTTGGTCTTGTTGCACCATGACATGTGTCTTGCATCCAGTCTGGCACTAAGAGGCGACATGGTGGACTCGCTTGTTGGTCGGCCACGAGGCCGCTAGGAAACCTTAAGAGAATTCCGGTCAACGCTGCCTCCAAAGCTTATGGCGTAATTCTGGAGAGCTTGAGTCAGGCTTGCAGGTACCTAGAATGCGACCAGAAGACCTTAGCGTACATACAGATGCTTAGAGACGATATCTCTAACTTGACAGGCGTTGTTAACCGACTATCATGCAATAAGTGGCGAAAAGACTCGACCAAAGACCGATAATGCCGAGAAGGAATCGATACTCAAATCAAACAGGCTTATGCCCGCACATAATTGCCGGCGGCTTAAAGCCATCTTCCGCGATGGCCAGGGTGCGGGCACATGGAACCCTTCTGCAAAAGACGGAATCGTCTGAAACTCCCGTGATTCTGATACATTTGTGTGTATTCTGAAGCAGCGGAAGCAGATCGGGGACATCAAACACGCCCTCCTGGACCTCTTTTCGCTCGGCGTTCTTGGATCACTGCTGCTGCATCACAGTGACATGATCTTCAATATTGGAATACATCATGAGCGTAGTGTGCCACCCGCTTCACCTGCGTGGCTCAAAATTGGGTTTATGGGGCTTACCACGAGCAAAATTGAAACGTGCACGCAGTAACATTGAGAGCGACGCCCGTAACGGATGTACCGGCTGATCAGTTCGGGAAGCTACACGTTCTTGCGGTCTCCGCAAAAGTATCAACTCGCCCAAGGTCGTCTAGCAGATTGCTAATGGTGGAAAAGGGAGCGATGGGCCCAATCGAACGAGCGTGTAGCCACAGCTGCAACACATGACTTATCGTCAATAATAATCGGCTTACAACGTCCCAACTAATGACCATGGTTGAAACTTTATTACTTCTTTCACGGCCACAGGAACGGCCAGTGCGATGGCGCACCAGCAAAGGCCTATCACGCATACAGAAGAAGTGGCCCGAGCGACGGCATACCTCCTCCCTAGTGAGACCATCTGCCTTCTAGCGAACATCCTGACAACCCGTTCGAGCACGTCGAAGTGTGTGCATCGGTTTCAGGTGTGCCACTCCAGCCCCCGCTAACGCAGGTACAGGCTCCTACGTCCCAAAGTGATGCTTGCCCCGACGAGACTGACAACGCCAGCAAACACGAGAACTTGTTTTCGTGAACGGCTCTGCAGATTCTTGCCGCAAGGCACAAGCGTTCGCAGATTAGACGCAAGACCGAATTCCAGAACCCCCATTCTTCCTAAATCTGCACCCTTATCCGGACGTAGTGCGGTGCACTCGACTTCCGAAACAAGCCTACCAGAACTCTCACTTCTCGGTGACATACATATCAAATACCTATCGTGCATCTCGGAACGCATGCGCAGCACGAGTCATAAGCGAAGAGAGAGATTGGTCCACTATGCTCATGACCAAGGTGCGCAGTTGCGGCAGGCAGCGCAGCAGCGCAGAAGCAGCACGACGATATTCTCCGATAAAGCAAGCTGCATGTAGCAAAGGCACCGAAACGTGGGGTTTGTGACCACCCTTTTCCCACTGCATGAAGTGGTGACGCACCAAGCTGCAAGTCGACAGTTGCGAGCGGCGCTTGCACTCGAAAGGCACCGTCACCGGCTGTTGCTCATTCGTTGACTCGTGCGTGCGATAAAACGGCTAGAACGATAATACTAGCTAAAAGCAAATCTGAAACGGCATCGACCACGCTCTCACTGGCCTGAGAGGCAGCGTTACGCTGCACAGGCAAGCCTGTAATTGACGACAGAGCAGCGAGCATGGCTGTCTGACGTGAAGCCTGAGGAGGCAAGCGCATACTCTCGCCACTCACATTGCCATGCAGCTCCCGGATGCTGGCCGGGCAGGGAATGAGAGATGGGGGAACCAATGGTCGCTCCCGCCAGCCGAGGGAGGTGCGTGTTTCAGAGCGATGATCAAACGATGCTTCAACGCTGCCTGTGCTGGTTCCTGCGTCTCGAGGCACTCACATCATCGGTTGAGCAGCCACAACTGGACGGCTTCAGCAAACGGGCTGAGGGGGCGCGATGGGGACATGGCCTGGTGGTGGTGACGGCACGGAGGGTACCCTGCCCTGCCACGGCCATTCGCAGAGTCAATAAACAGGGCAGATTTGGCGGCGCTTGACAGTGGGTCGCCAGTAGCAGCGTGGGTCAGCAGCGCAACCTCAGGCTCTGAGCGCGAATTTGCGTGATAGCAGAGCAGCTTGTATTGACTGGGGAAGTTCGGGCGACAGCGGAGACGGTGATGGGAGCGGTAGCGAGTGGGCGGACGCTCGACAGACAGGAGAAGGGTCGGCAGGGCACAGCGCCAGCGCCACTCGCCGGGCACACAGCGGACACAGCGGACCACGCCCGGCTGCAGACACGCAGGTGACAACGGCCACGAGGCTGGGTCTGCCGCACGGCGTGGTGTTGAGCGACTGCTCCGTCGGATCTGCCCTCACGCCGCCTGTTGCGTCAGTTTAGCTTTGAGCTGGTGAGGTTGCAGCAGGCGACGGACCGCGTTGATCTTTGAGCACTCGGCGCAGCTGTCCCTTCGAGCCTGGCGTGGCGAGCGCTAGGCGGCGCGGTGCACGTAACGAGCGGGGCAGGTGCGAATAACCGCGAGGAAAGGGCGCCTGGTAGCCCGCCAGCACGCAGAGGCCTGGAAGCATGGTGCCGTCGACGAGGCCGCGCAGGGAAGCCCAGGCATGCTGCTGTGTGCGCAACAGGGGCCACAGGGTCGACTGGAGACTGATCCACCGCTACTGGCAGCGCGCACAGCATCATGCCAGCAGCAGCGTCCGCGCTGCAGCGGCGGCGGCGGGCCAGCCACTCTGGTGCAGCTGGTGCAGCTGGTGCAGGCCCCGGTGCATCTGCGCTAGGAGTTATTCACTTCGACAGCACCGCTGCACGGCCGTCCCACGAGTCGCCCGCACGCCAGAGTGCGGGCCTCGAAATAGATTGGTAGCAGGGGTCCGCAGGCGGGCGCAGAGACCAATGGCCAAGGCCCTTCTCAAACACCGCTAGGCCAGCAGAGACCAGAGCCCAGGGCGTTTCAGCGCTGCGACACTTTAACCTGCCGCTTTCCCTCCCAGACCTCGTTTCGCATCCCCAGCCCGTCACGTCTGCTCGCTCACCCACCGTCGAGACTGCTTGCGATACATTTCCTTCTCATTTAACATATCTCAAACCGTCGCTGGCCGATATCTCTTTCGCTTTGCGCTTCAACTCTTGTTGTTCCAACCTGGCAGGCCCTTCACCGCGCTTTCCCCTCGTGTTTCCACTCCTCGCTGGCCCATCACGTCACCGACGTCTGACCTCCCCGACGCCAAACACCCGTCTATAGAGGGACGTGTTGCAGCGCAGCATGTTTCCCAGCAGCCAGATGGCCCCACCCCAGGCGCGCTCCGTCGCGCCTGAGACCTTCCTGCTAGACCATGATGCCCAACAAAGCCTCCCGCCGGACAGCATCGTCGCCCTGCAGCAGGTCGACAACCGTACGTGCTGCCTGCGTGCCTGCGCCGCCCTGGCGCATGCCCGTGACCGTCTTGACTGTCTACGTTCCTGTGTGCTAACCTCGCCGCAGTCAAGTACTTCCTGATCTCAGCGCCCGTCGACTGGCAACCAGACCAGTACATCCGCAGATTCCTGCTGCCCACAGGCGAATACGTCTCCTGCGTTCTATGGTACGTGCGCTTGCTGCTGTGCATGTCTCGCAGCAATGCTAACTGTCGCGCAGGAACAACCTCTTCCACATCTCCGGCACCGACATTGTGCGATGCCTGTCCTTCAGATTCCAGGCCTTTGGCCGCCCCGTCAAGAACTCCAAGAAGTTCGAGGAGGGCATTTTCTCAGATTTGCGTAACTTGAAGTCCGGCACAGACGCGTCGCTCGAGGAGCCCAAGAGCGCGTTCCTCGACTTCCTGTACAAGAACAACTGCATCCGCACACAGAAGAAGCAGAAGGTCTTCTACTGGTACAGCGTACCGCACGACCGCCTCTTCCTCGACGCGCTTGAGCGCGACCTGAAGCGCGAGAAGATGGGACAGGAGGCCACCACCATGGCCGTCAGCGAGCCTGCGCTGTCCTTCGAATTCGACTCCTCGCAGTCCCTCTTCGAACAGCTCACCAAAGCGCAGCAGACCAACTCCTCTTCATTCAACAACAACGTACAACCGTCGTACCAGCACCAGCCGTCGCCTGCGCCCGACATGATGTCGCGAGACTCGATGCCGCCACCGCAGATGGTCCCGGTTTCTCAGCACATGGCCCAGCAGCAGCCCATGCACCACCAGCCAGTGCACCAGCCAGTGCACCAGCCAGTGCACCAGCCCGTACATCAGCCCGTCCACCAGCCCGTCCACCACCACCAGCATCAGCACCAGCACGAGGACCCAATGGCCCAGTACCACCAGCAGATGTCTATGCCGCCCTCGATGCCACCCGCAATGCAGCCCACCGTCATGAAGAGCAGAGAGCGCGAATTCAGCACGTCCCTGCAGTACGACCGCAACGGTATCCCGCTTTCGCAGGTCCACCAGCGCCACAGCTCGATGCCCGCTTACATGGAGTACTCGCCTGCGCCGTCTTTCGTCTCATCGCACTACGAGGACTACAGCACTCGCGGCATGTCTTTCGAGCCTCTGACCCCACCGCAGCACCAGATCGGCCTTGGTGCCGAGCCAGCGTACATTGCCAACGAGGACACTGGCCTGTACAGCGCCATTCCCGACCTGCCAGTGCCCAACAACTTCAACCCTTTGATGAACATCCCGCCATCAAACTTGATGGGCCCTGGCTACCCAGTCTCCAGGCCATTCCAGCCTGGTAATGTTTACTCTGTGATTGAGGGCTCGCCGACCTACAAGCAGCGCAGGAGGCGTTCGTCGCTTTCCGCTGGCATTACTGCGGCGGTCGCCGCTGCTGGCAATGCGCACCAGGTTCACCGACAAAGCGACCTGAGACGGTCAATGTCGGTCAACCCAGTCCCAGAGGCCGATGAGTCGCAACACAACTCGCCATCGCCCAACGGCACAAGCTACGCTCAGGCCATGCCGGAGGCCAAGCCTCTCGTCGACGGCTCGCGTCAAGGCACACCTCTCAACACTGTTGAGGAGAGCCCAGAGCCTCAGCCAGCAATGCTGCACCACGAGGATCTGAACAGCATGGTCAACGGTGAGCTGTTCGAGACACCCCTCCAGCACAGCGCCGTCGCACGCGCGGCCGGGGGGCCTGTCTTCCGTCGCGCGCGTAGTGCTACAATGATGGAGATCGGCCCTTACCCCCAGAAGTCCCACTCATGCCCTATCCCCACATGTGGCAGGCTTTTCAAAAGATTAGAACATCTCAAGAGGTAAGCGCCCACCCCCTCTCATTTCCTTCGATAGGCGTCTGAGGCCCCAAACTATTTTTGTGCATTGACGCTGACGATCTGGCGCTTAGGCACGTGCGTACCCACACCCAAGAACGACCATACGTCTGCCCGCTGTGCAACAAGGCGTTCTCTCGTTCAGACAACCTTGCCCAGTGAGTTGCTCGTCACACCTTTGAATTCTCATGCTAATGCAAGCCAGACATCGTCGCACACACGAGCCCCGCCCTGACGGCGAGCTTGTTGAGGACGTCAACGAGGAGGAGCTCGACGGCGAAGACGAGCTCAACCTGGAAGAGGACTCGCCGACATCTGGCAACGAGTACCTTCACAACGTGCACAACGTGCCCGCTACCTACGCCGACATTCCGGGGCCTGGCCTCGGCATGAACGCTGCGATGGCCACACCTCAACAGCTAATGGCCAGCCACTACTAGGCAGTCGGTGACTGTCTTATTGATGTCTTCTCACGATACAAGCATTCGGCGCAAGGCGAACCTCGATAGAGTGGCTGCGTTTCTTTCTTTCCTTATTGATTCCCTAGATCAGGTCTTTCATCTTCTGCATCTTACGATGTCTGCATTGCATCGCGTCGCATGCATTTTTTCTGGTATTGCCGTCACGACACGTACCTTTTTTATTTTGGATTGCCTGGCAGTATACCTTTCTGGTTGCATATCCTGTTGGCATACAAGCGATTTTCTGCAAAAGCTGTTGGATGGTATTGGCGCTGAACGCCGTTACGCGCACCCGTTGGTCGCTGCGTCTTTCTTGTGGATAGGATACCATAGTGAGGGCGCCCGTAGAGGCGCGTGTATAATATTGCAACAATGCAGAACGCTTATCCGCGATACAATCCCGACGCAGTGTGAAGATTGCAGTGTGAAGACTAGCAGTGTATGATGTGAGACGCCACAGTGCTGCTGACCAGCCACCATCTGCAGCTGCGCGGGTGGCCCGATCGTCGTTGCTCGGACGAGTTGCTCGGAAGAGTTGCTCTGGGGTACGATGTACCTGCGCGCGTCCCCACGCAAGTAGTGTACACATGTGCATACTAATCAGCGAGCGATCATGTGCGATCATGTGCAAACACGTTCACAGCCTCTAGCTCACACATGAAATGAAGTGAATCTGGATCGTCGCTTGAGTCGTCCGTTGGTATCATTCGTTGGATTAGACCGACTATATAGTACTACATAGTATTACAGTATTACCCCGGCTACATAGTATTACAGAATCACCGACTACACGACCATCCCGGCTCCACTGAATCACCCCGACTACAACGCCGCATACCACACCACACCACACCAACACCGACCACGGGTTCCGCCGCACCTACTGGGTAGTCTGGCGGCGCCGGGGCTACTCCACGGAAACTCCACGGATGCTCGACGGATTCTCCACGAATGCTGCACGGATGCTCGACGGCCTGTCCTTGTCTGTGTCTGTCCTTATCTGTGTCTGTCCTTGTCTGTGTGTCTGTGTGTGGTAATCCCCCGACTACACTGAATCACCCCGACTCCATCGTACTGTTATAGCACTAAGCACACCACACGACACCGACCACGGGTTCCGCCGCGCGTGCTGGGTAGGCTGGCGGCGCCGGGGGTACTCTAGGGGCTACTCCAGGCTGTACTGCACAGGCTGTCCTTGTCCTTGTCTGGCTGTCCGTGTATTGGTAATCCCCGGACTTCGCGACTCGGCCTCTCGTGGGCTAATGGCATGGGTCTCGTGCGCTGACGCTTTGGACTGACGCTTTGGGTCGCGTACACTCATGCCCTGGATCGCTGGACTCGCGAGACGTGCAGCCGATCGTGGTCTACTCCACAGCACAGCAACCCAGCAGCGCGACCCCGAGTGCAGACAGCAACGGGGAATCGTCGCGCCGCCCGAAGCCCCGGCGCCAGAGCGCTCGAGCGCCGCCGACGGTTGGTCCGAGCAGCGCGCCGGCTGGGGGCCGAGGGGGGTGTGGGGGAGGCGTTGGTCTGGGAGGTGTTGGCCTGGGAGGGACTGGACTGCGAGGCGTTGGACTGGACTGGACTGGGAGATGTTGGACTGGGAGGGACTGGACTGGACTGGACTGCTCGGCTCTGGACTGCTCGGCTCCAAACCCACACAGCGAAGCACCTCGAGGGCGAGACCAGGCGCGACAAGCCCGGAAGGAAGGCTTTGGACCGTGTTAGCGGTATAAGTGCGGGGGTACTGCTATTGCCATGCCATGCCATTGCCATTGCCATGCCATTACGATTACGATTACCATTGCGCTAGAGGGAGCTCGGGCGCGGCGTGTCGTGCAGGGTGTATGTCTTGCGCCTTGCCGGACGGGGGAGGAGACGGGGAGCAGCGGATGGCGGGACGCGCGAGGATCGCTGCGTGCGGTGCGCGGTGGTGCTGGTGTGGGATAGTACAAGGCCCGACTCGTCGCTCAGTCGGTAATTGGGCTCTTGGACTGCGGGCGCGCGCGATAGGGAGGCCGCGGATGGGGAAGGAGGGAGCTGGAAACGGCGCTGCAATATCGCGCATGGGCCGAAGAGAAGATATCGGTCGTTGTCGTCGAGCGGTGGTGTGTGTCGCGACTCGCACCTCGACGACCCGCAATGTCGTGTGCTGCCTCACTCGGCGCCGCGATACAGCGCCTTGCGCGCCTCCACCTCCTCGCGCACCCGCCGCGAGCGCTCCTCGCGCCCCACGCCCTTGACGTACTGCAGCAGCCGCAGCGCGCCCGCGGGCGTGACGCCCTCGACGCGGCGCGCGCGGCCCACGCTCTCGGGCCGCGCGACGCGCAGCGCCGCCTTCTCCTCGAAGCTCAGCCCGAAGATGGCGTCGAAGTCGAGGTCGAGCGGGAGCGCGAGGGCCTCGTCGCGCAGCCAGCGCGCCTGCGTGGCCGTCTGGGCGTCGACGTGCGGGGCGTAGGCGGCTTCGATGTGGACGCGCTCGGCGACGTGGGTGGGGAAGGCGGAGATGGCGGGGAGCAGGCGGGTGAGCGAGGCCGGGGAGGTGTGCGGGAGGCGCAGGAGGTCGTAGGCGGAGCGCTTGGTGCTGTCGGTGCGGACGTGGAAGCCGGCGAGCTTCCAGCTGGGGGCGCCCATGGTGTGCGACTGCAGGAGGTCGGTGAGCGAGGCCATCTGCGCCGCCGTGTCCGAGTAGGAGCGCCATCGCGCGTCGGTGACGACGCCGTGGGCGCGGCCGAGGGGCGTGAGGCGGGTGTCGGCGTTGTCGGCGCGCGCAGACATGCGGTATTCGCTGCGCGAGGTGAACATGCGGTAGGGCTCGGAGACGCCCTTGGTGATCAGGTCGTCGATCATAATGCCGATGTAGCCGTCGGCGCGCGTGAGCACCATGGGGTCCTTGCCCAGGCTGCGCAGGCCGGCGTTGATGCCCGCGACGACGCCCTGGCCCGCGGCTTCTTCGTAGCCTGTGGTGCCATTGATCTGGCCCGCGAGGAAGAGCCCGGCGACGTTCTTCGTTTCGAGCGTGCCGCGCAGGTGCCGCGGGTCGACGTAGTCGTACTCGACGCCGTAGCCGGGCTGCAGCATCTTGACGTCCTCCAGCCCGCGCACCGTCTTCAGAAACGCCTCCTGGACCTCGGGCGGGACGGTGCACGAGATGCCGTTCGGGTAGATGACGTCGCTGTCGAAGCCCTCGGGCTCCAGCCAGATGATGTGGCTGGTCTTGTCGGTGAAGCGGATGATCTTGGACTCGAGCGAGGGGCAGTACCGCGGCCCCTTGACCGTCTCGCGGATGTGGATGGACCTGTGGAGGTTCTGGCGGATGATGTCGTGGCCGGCCTCGTTGGTGCGGGTTTCGTGGTTGAGCAGCTGGCGCTCGACCTGCACGCGCTCGTTCAAGTAGCTGAACGGCGTCGGCGGACTGTCGCCCTCCTGCGCCTCGAGCACCTTGAAGTTGATCGACTTTGCGTCCAGCCGCGGCGGCGTCCCCGTCTTGAGCCGCCCCAGCGTGAACCCGGCGTCCTTCAGGCTCTTGCTCAGCCCAAACGTCGCCGCCTCGCCCATGCGCCCCGACGGATACGAGTCCAGCCCGATGTGAATCTCGCCCCCCAGAAACGTCCCCGTCGTAATCACCACATTCGCCGCCTGCACCACCCTCCCGTTCTCCAGCCGCACCCCCGTAATCCGCCCATACCGTCCCCCCTCCTCGCTCCTCTCCACAATGATATCCGCCACCTTCCCCTCCAGCACACTCAACCCCTCATACCCCTCAATCTCCTCCTGCATATAGCGCTGATACAGCACGCGATCGATCTGCGCTCTGGGCCCCCAAACCGCGGGCCCCTTCTTGCGATTGAGCACGCGGAACTGCACGCCGGCGCGATCGACCACGCGCCCGACGACGCCGTCCAGCGCGTCGATCTCGCGCAGCATCGTGCCCTTGCCGATCCCGCCAAACGACGGGTTGCACGAGCACACGCCCAGATTCGCGTGCGACGGCGTGATGAGCGCGGTGCGGGCGCCGGCGCGCGCGGCCGCCGTCGACGCCTCGCAGCCGGCGTGGCCGCCGCCGATGACGATTACGTCGTAGGGCCTGGCAGGGTCAGAGGGGTGCGGGTGCGAGACGGGGAGGTGTGTTACTGTTCTGGGTCGGCGACCGAGGCGAATGTGCGGCGGTTGTAGGCGAGCGACCGCACGCGCGGGGCGTGGCCCCAGAGCTGGCGGGCGCGCGGGGGGAGGAGGCGCTGCATTGTGGGTTGGGGGTTGGGTGGGAGAAAAAGTTCGGAGGTGTCTGGTCGCCGCAACTTTCGCCGCGCGGTCACGTGGGGGCGGATTGTTTTGCGCGAGTGCGCGAGTAATGCGAGGGCTCAAGCGCAGGGCAAAGCGTCATTCGAGGGCTTGATGCGCATGTGTGGCAGTCTCGCACAGAAAACGCCTGCATTCAATCATACTTGTACAAGAGCCGAGATTGCACGTAAGAAACCGTCTGGTATACACTCTGCACCCCATCCATCCCCCGCGCAAGCCGACAGACGCAAGAGCCGTCTTCCCGTATCCCCCCCAAGCCGAAGAACATCTCGAACTCATAACAAATCGTACACGCGCAGCCAGCGCCCGCTCAACCAGACGCCTCCTGCACGAGACCCTCGTCGTTGGCCTCGCCCTCCTCGGTGCGCGCGCGCGACAGCACATCGAAGTTCCTCGCGACCAGGCTGAGGTTGGAGCGCTTGTTGCCCTCGGCGTCGGTGAAGACCTCCATGCGCGCATCCGCATCGATGTAGAGGAGTGATCTGGCCGTTGTCAGTTCCGTTCCTTATTCGCACCACCCGTCACCCGTCACCCATCACCCATGAACCCCTCAACCCATCGTCGCACACAACGCCCCCCTCCCAAATATAACAAAAACAAAACTCACCCCTTCGGCACGCCCATCAAAAACTCCTTCTGCGCCCCCTGCACAAAACTCGCAACCCGGAACCAGCTCGTCTTCTTGTCCTCGCCCTTGCCGTACGAGCTGCCAATCACATACCGCACCAGCGTGCGGTCGCCCGAGATGCTGACTTCCTCGGGCGCCACGCCCAGACGCCCGACCACTGTCATGCGCGCGAGCTGCGAGGCCGGCGAGGCGCTGAAGGCGCGGGTGTTGCGCAGCAGGCGGGGGAGGGGGCGGGCGAACATGTTGGGATCGGGTGGGTGTGTGGTGGTGGTGGTGGTGTGGTGTGGGTGCGTGCGTGCGTGCGTGCGGCGATGGGGGTGTTTGGGTGCGGATGGGATGGGGTGGGGAGAAGAGCGCGTCGCGTCGGTGGGTCGCGTGGCGGGTGGTCTGGGCGCAGCGGCATTGGCGAATCAGCGGCGGGCGTGCAGTGGCATGGCGCCGTTGAGTTACACAGGTGAGCTGTCTGTATGGACTTCGTATTGGAGCGTGTGTATCTGGGTATCTAATTTCCACACACGCACTCCCTTTGCGAGGACTACCGCTCGACTCCCACGCCAGCACTACCGCTTCGCCCGCTTCCCCGCCGGCTCGTCGTCGTCGCTGTCGTACTCCTTGTACACGCCCTTGGGCTGCGTCTTGTCCCACGCGCCCGTAAAGACGTTCTTCTCGCCCGGCTTGGGCGCGTACTTGAGCAGCGCCTCGCGCGGGTCCTGGTCGCGCATGTCGCTGCCCTCGATCTGCTCCATGACGTACTTCTGGTCCGGCGTGCTCTTCGCGAACGGCGTGACCGCGGGGATGTGAGGGCGTCGCGGGTCGCGGCTCTTGCCGGACGCTGTGAGGCCGATGGTTGGGTGCCGCGCGGAAAAGGAGCCGGGTTGCGCTTTGCCGCCTTGGTCTTCGCCCGCCATGCCCAGCGGGTCCATGTCCACGGTGAGGTTGGGGTCGTCGTCGACGTGTCGCTTCTTGGGCGCTTTGCTGAGGATCGTGAGTGCGCCGCCGGTCGACATCTTGGGGTTGAACAGGATGGTGGTCTGGCCGTTGGCGGAGCCGGTGAAGATTTGGTTCAGCTTCGGGTGCCAGTTGACCGTGATGAGCGGCGAGCCTGGCGTGACTGGCGTGACGAGCTCCGGACGCAGCGTCGCCGGGTTGAGGATGTGCAGGTGGCCCGTCTCCGAGCCCGTGATGATGCTCGCCGAGTTTGGCGCAAACTTGATGTTCGACGTTTGATACTGTGACGACGTCGAGGGATGCGATGTGGTGTTGAGCGGCGTCTTAAACTTGCGCGTGTCCCACAGCTTGATTGTGTCGTCGCCGCCTCTTGTGATGACCAGTCTGCCATCGGCGCTGATGTCCAGCCCGCTCGTCCACGTATCCTTCTCGTGCGCGTCGCGGATCTCCGCCGAAGGACGATGGAACGGGCCCTCGCCTCCCCACATGACCAGACTGCCGTCGAGCGCTGCCGAGACCAGCACGCTGCTACCGCCCGCAGCAGCAGCGCCCCACGCGATCGCTGTCATCCTCGTCATGCCCGCACTCCCCGCTGCGCGCGACTTGTGCACAATGACCTCCTCCTGCTTCATCCGCTTGTTGACGTCCCAGATGCGCACCGTGCTGTCCGTCCCTGCCGTCACGAACCTGTCCCGGTTTGTAGGGTGCCATGCAGCGCACGTGAGATCTGCTGTATGTCCCTTGGTATTGTGCTTGTCTCTCAGATACATGTCGCCCTTGACATACTCGGCGGTCTGCTCACCGTCCCTGCTGAACAGCCGCGCCTGCGGTGTCGCCGTGATGCACAGGAACTGGCTGCCAGAGAACGGGCTGAACAGCACCTGGTGGATCAGATGCGCCTCGGCCGTCTGCGAGGGCTTCGTGGCGAACGGGTCGACCGTCTTGAAGGCGCGGATGGTGCTAGGCGTCAGCGAACTGAGGTCGTGCAGCTTCAGCGAGCAGTCGATGCTGCCCGTCACAAAGCGGTTGCCCGACGGGTCGATTGCAATGGTTGTAATCGCGCGGTCGTGCGTCTTGACGACCAGCTCGTGCGAGACGGGGAACTCGTCGTCATCGTCGCTGTCATCATCGCTGTCGTCGTCCGAGTCCGAGTCCTTGTCCTTGGCCTCTTTCTCCTCGACCGGCCGCCGGCAGCGCTCGATTTGCGCCGCAATGTCTACGGATGCATCTCTCTTGCCGAAATGCGAGGGCATGAACTCGCGCATGGCTTCGTCATCGTCCGCGGAAAACTCCATTCTCGCACATATAAGGAAGTCTGGCGCCTACAAACTGTGCAAGTGAGCGCCAGAAATGCCGGCTCGAAGTTTCGCGTACGGCATGACATCGACGCGCCGGGCGCTAGTCGTACATAAATGTGGGGAACGTGCATCCCTTCCACCAAACGGCCATCAACAACAATTCGCAGTAGGCATATGCACTATCATCTCACACTAAACATGGTCTCCCGAGTGTATGTTGAAGAATTGGCCAATCCAAACCAGCGTTGAGCTCCTGCAAAGGTCCTGATTCGCAATATGCATTGGTGACGACTATCGTCGACTACACATTAACCACGAGGCATGTATCGTGAGGTTGGCGGTTTTCCGGCTGGTGAAGCACTAGCCCCGCTCTTCACTCTTCACTTCACTGCATGCTGCCTAGAATCTTCCTTCATCCAGCTTGCCTCCACTCTCTATCCTTCACCCACGTCCAACCGCACAGTCCTTCGCTATGCGACCGAAGGACGCGAACTCTAACATGATAGTGCCTCAGATCTTGTACGGCACTCTGCCATCTCATACATACAAGACCTCGAGGGAGCTGATCCACACCAGGGACATGAGCTTAGACGTTGTGACGATCCGGCTTGAAGACACAGAAGTCGTCGTCTACAAAGCATGGTTGACAGGCGTGTCGCCATACTTCAAGAAGGCTTTCGACGGATCGTCCAAGGAGGCTGAAGAGCAAGCTATCACTCTTGTCGATGTCAGCGAGAGGATCTTCCGCATGTTCCTCGGCTGGACGCATGCGCACAGCCTGCAGTTCCCAACAACTTCAGCGGCACTTCACCATGAAGTACTTCTGACTCCCGGCGAGATCGAGTCGCTTGGCATTATGCCTCGCGAAAACAAAGAGACAGCCACTGTTGGTAATTGGTTTGCGGTTTTCGACGAAGAAGACTTTCACCCAAGGTCTCAAGACGAAGGCGCATACCACGACAGCACAGCGTGGTTGCACAATTGCACCTTGTTCAGCCTCACAATAGCTCAGCTCTACGTGTTCGCCGACAAGTACTCAGTGCCCCAGCTCCGTGACGATATCCTGACTGCCTTCGTCGGCCAGTGCTGGAGATGGAACTGGTGGTCGAACCAGCAGACAGACTCCAAGATCTTCATCCACAACAACATCCCGGCATCTTCAAAGTTTGTCAAGTTCCTCGCCTACTCGATTGCATGGACAGGACCTCAATCAGTGGAGAAGGGCATTGCTCACAAATTGCGGGCTCTGCAACAGCTCAGCCCGGATCTCGCAATCGAGGTTGGCATAGCGCTCGCCGAGAAGGTGGATCTGGGAGCTCTGAATGAGGAGTCTACGATTTCGGTCTGTACTGCTGACAACATCCCCAACGCCTGTCCCTTTCACGATCATGAGGTGCTGGATCAGGAGCAGTGTCGCGAGCGCATTGCGAAAAGGCCACACGTCTTCACGGCCATCCTACAAGCGTGCGCTCACGATGTCATGAGGGAGACGGGCAGTGACCGAGGATAGATCACCTGTCGAGGCACTCGATGCTGGAGAAGTGGGCTGCAGGCCGTCGATATCAGGCTCTCAATTCTCCATGGAGCTGGATGTCAAATAAGCTGTACAGTAGGAAGTGACCAATGAACTGAAATTACACAACCCTAGTCGAGGAGTACAACAACCTAACGGTAGCTGCATATCCCCATCTAACGCTCAAGATCACCTGCATATGACACCAGGTATGCATTCCGCCGAGCCTCGAAACTCTACGACCAGAAGCCGCACTTGCCTGCAATGGCGCTAGGTACGCGATGATCCCCGCATGCTCATGCAGGAGCCGCCGGCTGTGTGGACCCTCACCGGATGCAGTCTCTGAACATCCCCAGGGTCCGATTGACCGCGTCTTCCGTTCGCAGCGAGGATAGTTCCGGAGTCGCGAAGAGTCGAAACAATGAATTGAATGACCACTGAGTGCCAAGACCGACAGTGTCGCTGTGAAACGTTCGCGATGTCGGAGATGCAGGTCCGTCCCCAGATGGAGCTATGGCCCACCAGATGTCGCGCCCTGAGCTGTCGATCTCCGGTGGATTTTGGCCTCGGCCAACCTGCGCTTTGCCAGGCACCACGCTGCGACTCCTTTGACCATCTTGTGTTTCGCAAATACGCACAGCACCATTGTCTTATAGCGAGTTCAATCCTTCGTTTCACGTTCCGCACAATTATCTCTATTCCCTGGTGCATCCACAAAGCCAAGTGCTGGCCCAATATTAATACATCAGATAAGGGCGAGGAAGAACCGAGCTTCAAGCATCAAGCAACTTCTTGTCGCGTAACTCTCACTACATCGACGCCCGCTCAAACAACACACTGCAACCATGGTAGACCGTCGGGGCGCTACAACACCACCGCTGAAGTCGCCTTCGCCCTCGGCTGTCGCGCGATCGTCGAGCATCCCTCGCATTGCGACCAGCAAGCTCTTCCTGCCCCTCCAAAATGAGGGCACTGCAATCTCAACACGAGGGCAGCATCTGCCCTCGCTGTTCCAGCGCCGACCTTCGACTATACGCAGTACCGAGCGCGGGCGCCGTGGCAGCATCAGCGAGGATGACGATGACCTAGAGAGCGGGCGCCACGGGCTCATGATGAACTACGATAGTGATTCTGATAGAAGGCAAAGTGTTGGCGCGTCGGTTCTGAACACTCCCCAAATGCGTAGTCAGCGTTTGATTGGAAATTCGAACCCCCGATACAAGTGGTGAGTCTTGCGAGCTTGCAGAAATCAAGCGCATGTGATTGATCGGGAGTAGGGAGAAATACTACAAGGGCGAAGAGGAGCTCAAGGGTATGAAGAAGCCAATGTGAGTTACAGCGTGTTCTGGTACCCCTGCTCGAGGCTGACGCCAAACAAGACGCGACTACTATGAGCGCAACAACCAGCTCATCCAGCACTACATGTACATCGACCGTCTTCTTGACTCCTCGCTCCCTCACAACCTGATCGAAGAGTACACCAATCTTGGGTCTGGCGCCGTCAACATTCCCTCCACAATCAGCGAGGAATCGTCTGCCGTCAATACGCCGGCTGCAAATACGCCGCACAACGGCTTGGTGCACAGCACCGGGCACTCCTCAGCGACTAGCTTGACAGACTCTTACGGCACCACAAGTGCCAATGCGAATGGGAACGGAAATGCAAAGGCCAAGCTGACAAGAACGCCAAAGAACTTGTACAAGGTCCCGGAGGTCGACGAGAACACACCCTTAATCTCGCGAGATGAGGTCATCTCAGACGACGAGGACGACGAGACATCCTCGAACTCGAAGCTGATGGAATGGGTGCCTGAGGAGGACGAAGACACGGACAGCCCTATTGTTAAGGTGGCACTCTACGTCAATCTGTCAGCCAACACGGCACTCCTGATCATGAAGATCATCGTGGCGGTCATGACATCCTCACTCTCCGTTGTCGCCAGTTTGGTTGATGCGGCACTGGACTTCCTCAGTACAGTCATCGTCTGGTTCACGTCCTGGATGATCGCGCGCCAGGATCGCTACGCCTACCCTGTTGGCCGTCGGCGCCTGGAGCCGATCGGAGTTCTGGTGTTTTCCGTCATCATGATCACGTCCTTCTTCCAGGTTGGAATCGAGGGTGTCTCTCGCTTGTCTGGGTCCGATCACACCGTTGTGCAGCTGACCATCTCCGCTGTTGCTATCATGGCTTCCACGGTTGTCATCAAGGGGCTGTGTTGGTTCTGGTGCCGCCTCATCCGCAACTCTTCCGTCCAGGCGCTTGCGCAAGACGCGATGACCGACGTTGTCTTCAACGCGTTCTCCATCTTCTTTCCGCTTGTCGGTTACTTTGCGAAGGTCTGGTGGCTAGACGCGCTGGGCGGTATCCTGCTCTCAGCCTACGTGATCATCAACTGGTCGCGCACGTCTGCCGAGCACATTCGCAACCTGACTGGTGCGAGCGCGACTGCCGACGAGCGAAACATTCTGCTGTACATGACGATGCGGTTCGCCAAGTCCATCAAGCGAATCCAGGGAATTCAGGCCTACCACGCCGGTGATAAACTCAATGTCGAAGTTGACATTGTGGTGGACGAGCACACTTCTTTGAGGGACAGCCACGACCTTGGAGAGAGCTTGCAGTATGTGCTTGGTAAGTCGATCGTGCGCCTTGCAACGAACATTCGCTAACACGCAAGCAGAGAGTGTACCTTACGTCGACCGCGCGTTCGTCCACATTGACTACACGGACTACAACTTCCCCACACACATGTCGCAGCAAGAGTAAGGCCGGCTACTGTCCGATATTGTAATATATGTGTTGTATCGCATTCGTAGATATTTGTATATAAAAGCCCTCAATAGGAGGTTTGAATGCTCAACATTTGCTTCGCGCTTGCTTTTCACTATATAAATCCATCACTTTGGGTGCTGGAAAGCCACCACGCGACGCTAGCATGTCGCGCTAACCGTTACCCCAGTCAACCGCAACCCTTGTTTGACGATCCGCCCCAGTAAACGCTTTAACAAGCGCACGCCTCAACGCTTGACCATAACCAATGGAAATCGTGAGCAACCTCAAAAAGATCTACCACGAATCTAGAATGGGCAACGCAAATTCAGCGCCAACTGTAGGGCAAAAGCGAAAGCGGCCAAACTTCTTGTACGCATTCCACTGCACATGCGCTCGGCACGCGGCCCATCCCCATTCGATCACACTACTGACGCAAGGCATATAGGGCAATTGACCAAAGCCTTATTGGGATAACCATTGGTGACGATGAGGAAGAGAAGAAGTCGTTCATGCTACACAAAGATCTCCTCTGCGCACATTCACGCTACTTCCGCAATGCCTGTGAAGGACTACTATCCGAAGACGAAGCCCTCACCATCCACCTCCCAAACGTCTCGGAATCCACCATCAAGCTGTTCCAGTTCTGGCTCTACGGCCAAGCCACCCGCGAAGAACCCAAGCGCGCAATCAAGCGCGCAAAACACACACTCCCCCCAAAAGGCAAGGAAGTCATCGACCTCGACGCCCCCGGCCCCGCGGACCACCACGCCGCCCCCTTCCCGCCCCCAGACGCCGACGACGACGTGCTCCCCGCAGACGACCTCTTCAACACCCGCCGCACCCCGAAATGGATCGACACGCCCGAATTCCTCTTCGACACGAACCACCAGTACCTGCGCGTCTTCATCGGCCTCAGCACACTCGCGCACACATACGACATCCCGCAGCTGTCCAGCGACTGCATGACGCTGCTGGTGGAGCTGCAGAACTACAACCGCGACAAGCGCGGGCACCGCGACCTGTGGCCGCCGTACGCAGAGCTGTACGCGGGCCTGCCCAGCCCCGCGCCGCTGTGCCGCTACCTCGTCCACGAGGCCGCCGTGTACCGCGACCTAACCAAGATCAAGCGCGCGAAACTCGATGATCTGCCGAAGGATTTTCTGGTCGATATGCTGCTCACGACCACCCCGCTGAAGCGCGTCTCGCGGCTCAAGCTCAAAGAAGAGCTACGGGATAGCTGCGTGTTCCACGCGCACGCGGGCGCGGCCGCGGCTGCGCTGTGCAGGAAAAGACAGCAGCGGGATGGCGCGTTCTACGCGGCGTTTCTGCGCGCGTGCATGAGCGAGGTGTATGCGGCGGAGGAGGACGGGGCGCAGCACTGGGACGGCGAGAGCGAGACGACCGAGGTGCTGCAGCAGGAGATGTTTGCGCTGGAGGGCGAGAGCGAGGTGTGTCGCGAGTGGGACTGGGATAATGAGGATACGTTGCGGGTTAGTGAGGGCGAGGAGAGTGGGTGAGTAGAGTGGTGATTTGGATAGAGAGGAAGAGGGGATGGCGAATGTTGTTCTTGTATGAGGGGCGTTGGCTTGTGAGGTTCACGCCAGCGGTTTGCTGCGCTTGGAGATTTGGATACAGAGGCATCTTGGCCGCACCTTTGGCATCTTGCATTAGCGTTAGTCCTGCGTAGACGCAGAATGATAGAGTATGTTCCGACTCGAAAAATTCCTCAAATCCTTCTATTCAAATCATGGTATCTCCGCGTGTCAGCCCTCCGCGATCCAGTCCCACTCCTTCTGCATATCAGCTACAAGCCCCCATCCGGGATCTCTCACGCCCTTGAACTTCACCAGCGCCTTGTTTATTGGCACACCATACAACCTCACGAAAACACCGCCGCGCGCCCGGAACATGATCTTCCCTTCGCCTGCGAACACCCTGATGATCCTTGCGTCCTGTGTGTCCCGCAACCGCCACTCGAGATCGAAGGGAATGCTGAGATGACCCAGGCGCATGGGACTCTCCTTCAGACGGAAGTATCCATCGCAAACAGATTTCGGTCCGTCGCTTGGGCATCGAGCGGGTACTGCAGTTTGCTCGAAGATGACCCACCACGTTTCGCTCTTCGGACTGCTGGTCACCGTGAGAGTGCAGACATGCTGCCCCGACTTATGTTGAACCGTGCTGCTATACGTGCCGGTAAGCGGACGGCTCATGCCAGGAAACGGGATGTAGTCCCCATTGCAAGACACCTTTGGCAGCGCCGTCAGAATGTACCGCATACCACCATCGCCTTGTGGGCAAGACGCGTCGGGCGCCTTGAGCTTGGAATTCGCCGCTTCCCAGCGACGCCTCAGATCCCTCTCGATGTCCTGGATATCCAACGGTACCTCGAGACCATCGAGCTCCAGAGCGACTCGCAGACGGTGCTTCGCGAGATCGACGTGCGACGTGGCCAAGAAGCCGTAGTGCATGAGCTGGGCGCGCCAGAAAAGCGGCATGTTTGGGAGGTGATTGCCGCACAGAAGGCCGGCGATCATTCGTGGGGCGGCGCGTGGCTAACTGCGACCACCCTCGCCGGGCTGGGCGTTGAAGGTGCCGGTGTATTCGAATGGCGTGGGTTGCTCTGCTGCTTCGAAGGACGGGTCAGAGGAGGGTTCCATACTGCTAAGAATAAGTGTCCAGCTGTCGAGCTTGAAGGAAGATTGTCGGGTTATTGGGGACGTGATCTGATCTATGCTAGGCTTGTTGTTATCGTCCCCAGGTGGCAGTAGCGAGAAGACACTGAGCAGGAGCGATGGCTGCCCGAATAGCAAAGCTATGCGTGAGATTGGCCGTGAACATTACGAATCGTTTTGGTATTCTACAACCATGACCCGAACTCTGGTAGACCACTTGCCCATCGTGGCAGCGTTGTGTGTATGTAAGAGTTACACAGAGGAAGGAGCCTCTGATGTGATCGAAAAGTAAGCCACAAGAGGTCAATATCCGGAGGCCTTTGGGGTAAACGTAGGTGAGAATAGAAGCCAATAAAACAGTCCAAATACTACACTCTTTGCCGAATAACAAACACTATAGCAATCAAGCCTCACAGTAAAACACAGGTAAGAGTACCACAGGCTGAGACAAGAGTTTGCCTGCATGCCATTCGTCGGCATTTGGCCGGTTCCGGTCGGTGGTTGGTTTGTCTCTATTTAGCGTATCCGAAATAACAGACTTCATTGTGGGTGAGCAGGCATCGTGGTAGCTGCATAATGCCGTTGACTAGGCTCCAATGATCGAGTCACGTAGCCACGAGGGGACGGGGCTGTGTGAGGCATTAAAACGGGGATGTGGGACGGCATCCCAATAGCACGAGTAGATTATTACTCGGTCTTGTTTCGTTCCCACTGTCACAGAACCTTTGTGTGAGTAGACTAAACCGGACGAGCATGCTTGGCTTTGACATGCTGTAGAAATGTTGCCTCCTGCAGATGTTTTACGTCAACGATAACAGGCTGCTTGTCCAGTTCGTTACCAACAGACGTTGGAGCTGCAGAGCGCAGCTGCCTGTAGCCTGAAAGGTAACCTGATGTGCAACGGGTGGTTGTAAGTGGCTGTGGAAAATCGCTCAGAACCTGCCGGCTTCCCCACTCTGATTGTTGTCCTACGGAATGTGGACAATGTGTAACGGTCGACACCTGTTATTTCATGTGGGCGTCAGCACGACTGCAGGCGACAAGCTGAAGCTATGCTGTGCCGCATCCTACTTAAGTGTAGTCGCATTAAGAGTAAACAAAGTTCTGAGGTTGGTGTCGCGTTCGAACTGCAGCCAATGAAGGCTAAATCAGTATAGGCAACCCCTGCATGTTGTTGCCCCAGGTAAACGGTTCTACCCAAGCAGGTGGTATCGCAGACGGTCAGTGCGAGGGTGTGGGTTCGATCAGATGCAGCTGTTGGCCCGCAAGACCTGCTCACTGCAGCTGTTGACGTGCGCGACAGGATTGGCATGCGGCCATGTGGCAGACTCGAGCTGCGACTGGTGAATGGCTAGCCGGCGTGCATCTCAAATTGCTGTGCTGCAGGTCGTAGCACTCGGGGTATTTGAATTGCGGTGTGAGGTGTTCGTTCGCGCGGTCATGCGGGGCACGTCAAGCGGAAGGCGCCAACGGACGACATCGGGCATGCTCGCTGCTGGTAATGGGTCTTGAATGTGCTAACGGAGAGCAATTTCCCTGGCGTTTGCCGGCATGGTGACGGAAGGGGCCTGCAACATTGGGTACTGCATACTGCATTGATCATGAGTGCATTGTGTGAGTGCCGTGCGAACGCGTGATGGTATCGCGTCTTGCCTGAGCCCAGGAATCAGGGTTGCTTGCGTCAGCACAGGCTGTTTCTGCGATGGTAGGCAGAGCACTCCAAGTCAAAGTTAAAGGTCACTTGAGTCGGGATCGAAGCTAGAACTGGGCGGGCGGCGGGAGCTGCATCTTGAAATCGACAGTGCCGGACGTCATCCTGGAGCGCTGTGCAGGACGGATATGTCAGCACTGCAACTCCGTGCGTGGCATTTGCCGCCCTGGCTGGCGCCCTGTGTGCGGCGAGCGTCGATGCCATGCCGGACTGCGGACTCTGGTGCAGGGCTGGAGATCAAGCTCGGCATCACTCTGGCAGGTGTGCTTGGCCGCTTCCCGCGGGCGGTGGTGCCTTTTTCCGCAAGTCGAACAATATCGGAAAATCGCGCAGTCTAACTGAAATTGCAGCTCCCGACCACGAGCAGTCGAGGCAGTGCAAGCTCCCGCACAAACAGGCGTTTGGTTTCAGCGAAATATTAACCTGGTCGCTGCCGGCTGTCTGGAGAGGTCTCTCCTGTTGTCCAAGACGCGAGCTCACCAAGGCAAGCCTTCGGAAGCGCTGCTGCTGCCCGGCGCACCTGCCACCCACACGACATCATCGGCCGATCCTTCCTCGGCATTGACACAGCCACACTGCCACAGCAGCCACCGCGACTGCGCGCAAGTGACTACCTCTGCATTTGCCCGACGTTTGTAATCCAACGTCGCCAGCTTGAAGCCCGCCGCTGCACAGGCTGTTTTTCGCCCCGGCGACTGCATCCCCGCGCCGTTCACCGTGTTTTCGCGATACAAAAGCACCCACGCGCAGCACACGCTCCCGAACCTGATCTCCACTACCCACCGCCGCCGAACGTACGCCGTGCTGAAGGCCGTACAATAACACCCTGGGCGATTTGCCCGCGAGACACCTGCGTCTCTGATCCAAATACCACCGTCTGTCGCGTCCCCGTTTTTCGACCCACCTCGCCATCCTAGCCGCCCCGGCCAGTACCGCGCGCAAATTCAGGATATGGCAGCCCCGGCGACCAGCAACCCACCCAGTGGGACCTCAAAGCCTGCTGCGTCACCTTCTGCGACTGCCTCTACGGCGTCGTCCCTGCACTCCATGCCGGACGCGACTGTCCTGCCGCCTCCTGTCATCCACCAATCCGGAGCGCATGGAGTGCAAGCCGCCGCCGAAGCCCTTTTGAAGCCGAAAAAACCAACCATGTCGTCGCGTCTGAGCAGCATGTTTGGCTCCAAGGAGGCTGCCGCGAAGCAGTCGAACGGAGACGCCGTCAAGGCCGCCCGAGCGCCCAACGGCGTGGACACTGCGAACGGCCGTCCGACTCCTGTGCGCCAGGGCTCCGTCTCGAAAGCCCCCAAAGAGCCCGCTCCCTACAGGCGCTTCTGGACCAACGACGAGGGCAGCCACGAGCACCACCTCAAGGTCGCCAAACGTCAGGAGAAGCTGTCCGACATGTTCCAGAATTTGATGTTGGGCAAGAAGAAGGAGGACAACCCTGCCGACCAGCCTCTCAGTCTGATGTCGAACTGGGTTGACGTCATGCGCAACGAAAAAGAAAAGCTTGCCGAAGCCAAAAATTCGACCAACCTACCCCAGACGTTGGTGCAGAAGTACGGCAAGTGCCAAGAAGTCGTTGGGCGAGGAGCCTTCGGTATCGTTCGCGTCGCTCACAAGCAAGACCCCAAGGACTCGAAGCGCGAGCAACTTTACGCCGTAAAGGAGTTCAAGCAGCGACCCAACGAGTCGGCGAAGAAGTACCAGAAACGTCTCACCTCCGAGTTCTGCATTTCGTCCTCCATGCAACACCCCAACGTCATCACCACTCTCGATCTGCTTCAGGACGAGAAGGGCGTTTACTGCGAAGTCATGGAATACTGCTCAGGTGGCGACCTGTATACACTTGTGTTGGCCGCTGGTCAGCTCGAGGTCGCAGAGGCTGATTGCTTCTTTAAGCAGCTGATGCGCGGTGTCGAGTACATGCACGAAATGGGCGTTGCACATCGCGATCTCAAGCCCGAGAACCTGCTTCTCACTTGCCACGGTGCGATTAAAATCACCGACTTCGGCAACGGTGAGTGCTTCAGGATGGCTTGGGAGAAAGAGGCACACATGACCGCTGGGCTCTGCGGCTCGGCACCATACATTGCACCCGAGGAGTATGTCGACAAGGAGTTTGATCCCCGCGCCGTCGACGTCTGGGCTTGCGGCATCATCTACATGGCCATGAGGACAGGTCGCCATCTTTGGCGCGTTGCTCAGAAGGGCGAGGACGAATTCTTTGATCGCTATCTCGAGGACCGCAAAGAGGAAGAGGGCTACCGGCCCATTGAGGTCCTACGAAGAGTGAGTTTGCTTGGTCCATGTCACAGATACCCACTAACACGGCATCTAGCGTCAATGTCGTAACGTGATCTATTCCATCCTTGATCCCATACCTGCACGACGTCTCACCGCGCATCAAGTCCTTGCCTCTGAATGGGTTCAAGAGGCCAAGGTCTGTCACGCTGGTAACGAAGGCTTCTAGAACAAGGCTTTGCTCGTTGGCTTCGAATCCTCTTAGACGACGCAGGCGTGCGACCACCAGCTATTCAGATGGCTGTAATTCTGTTGGCGCTGGAAAGGGCCAATCATTCGACATGAGTCCCTTTGCGCAGGATCCACATTCGAGCACAGCTGTCCATTCGCTGATCCTGGGTCGCTTCAACACTTGATCTAGAGGCTATATGCACACACGTTCGACAGCACTATTCTATCTTGATTTTTTTACGCGATTCGACGATACCTGGCAAGTCATACCCCTTACGGCAGCATAGCGGGAACTTTTGGCACTGGGATTTTGAGCACTCTCACAAGGCGTTTTCTGCAACCCGAGCATGACGTCTCGGGGCAACGAGCACGACATACAAGATAGAGACGATAGGATGAAGGTGGAGTTTGCGAGTGGATGTTTGATATGATTTGGAAGCGGCATGGAGGTATTCATTGTTTGCAGACCTGGTTGCTTATGGATAGGCAGCCCTAAACGAGTCTCTTTTTCATGATATATAGCATGAATGTAATTCAGCGCGTGTGTCGTCGCTAATTCAAAAACCCTGTGCGCCTTATAGATGTTGTCAAATTTCACGTGAGCCGACAAGTTTGGACACACTTGCTCAAATCACAAAAGATGAAACAAATGTGATATTCTGGACTGTTGCATTTGATACACGCTGTTCGACCGTAGGCGCATCTGTGGTATGACGACGTCTTGGCAACTGCGCTTAAGACCAGCTGCGCTCGAACAAAGATGCGGCTTGGATGAGCCTGTGTCCAGCAACGTGTCTTTGCACGAACGCCTGTTCGCACTGCACTGAGCCCCCCAGCCCCCCGCATATGCATTGGCGCCCATGACCTGCACCGACATTCGAACAGCCAGCTTGCAGGAACTCGAGTCTGGCTAAGCTATGCGACCAAGCAATGCCCACGATTGGCACACGACTCCGCACATGGACGGCATTCCTGCTCCTCTGCAGCCCGCCTGCAACCGCACTCGTCCAGGCGGCGAATAGCAGCGTGACATTCAACACGGGCGCTACTGCAGTTCCCAGCGTCACACAGCATGGCGTTTCAATTGCACCTTCACAGTCCACGCCGTTTACGCGCTCCTACGCCGATACCGATACGATCTGCCTGTACCGTACTATCAACTACATAACCCATACACTACCACAGCAATGTTTGAGAACAAGCTGGTCGGCCCCGGTCGCTGCAGCTTCCACGAATGGCACAGTACCCGCAGCAGACGCAACTTCGACCCCGCATATCTTGATTCCGAGTACAAACGAAGGAGCAGTGGGTGAAGCGAATAAAAGCGCAGATACTCCTCCGTCTACACATGCGTCTTCAGGAGAAGACGCGGGCTCTGGCGACAGCGCAACTCGCAGCGGTACTGCAAGCACCGAACCAGATACTGAGCTGGAGACGGACTCGCCCTTTGACAACGCCAATTTTCTTTCGTTTGACGAATGGAAAAAGCGGAATCTCGCCCAAGCCGGACAATCACCCGAGAATGTCGGACAAGGTCGAGCTGCTTCTACTGAGCAGGGGCCGAGAAGGCGCCCTGTCAACGTAAATGCTCTGGACTCTCTCGGCGAGGAGGCAGAGATTGACATCGACTTCAGTGGCTTTGGTAATCCATCCGAAGGAAGCGATATTGGCAACGAGATCGCTTCGAGGGCCTGGGGTGCTGACACGGTCAAGTCTACGAGAGATGCAGACAAGGCTGGCTCGGGTTCCTGGGAACTCAGTAAAGATGCTGGAAAGACGTGTAAGGAGCGTTTCAATTACGCCTCCTTCGACTGCGCAGCAACTGTTCTTAAGACGAACAAGAAGGCAAAGGGCTCGTCAGCTGTGTTGTCAGAACACAAAGACAGCTACATGCTGAACGAGTGCTCTGTCGACAACAAGTTCTTCATAGTCGAGCTGTGCGACGATATCTTAGTCGATACTGTTGTCCTCGCTAATTACGAGTTCTTCTCGTCCTCGTTCCGCCACATTCGTGTCAGCGTGTCCGACAAGTATCCAGTCAAGATGGAGAGATGGCGCACATTGGCCACCTTTGAGGCCCGCAACTCTCGCGAGATCCAGCCTTTCCTCATCACAGAGCCACAGATCTGGGCCCGCTATCTCCGTCTCGAATTCTTAACGCACTACGGCAACGAATTCTACTGTCCACTGAGCCTGTTGCGAGTCCACGGTACTACCATGATGGAGCAATTCAGACGAGAGGAGGAGGAAGCTCGTGGCGGCGAAGATGACGCTGATTCGATCGAAGAGGAAGAGGATGTGGTCAAACCTGCCGATGGTAGCGGGCCCATACCAGCAGACCGAATACCAATCATTCTGAGCAAACTAGATGCAACGAAACCAACGGTGGCGGTCTCTGTTGAGAGCAAGTCGCAGACTGCCGTCTCTTCTAGTGATCAGCCAACGTCCAATCAGGCCGTATCGCCGCCCGCGAGCTCCAGTGCTCCATCGGCTTCAGGCCAGGCACCAGCACCCGCAAATATCAGTCGATCGATTGGAACATCACCGAGCAATGACTCTGTTAACCATTCATCAATACGAGCACTTTCGCCAGTAGTCTCTGAATCGGCTAGCTACCAAAACGATAAAAGCACTGTGCAAGAGCAGAGGGCTAGTGGCACCGCTACCACTTCTCAGCACGCTCAGGTGCCGCTGTCGTCTCCGAGTCACACTGCAGGTAACGCCGCGTCCAGCTCTGAAGCATCTATGGCCCACAAGGTGTCAGCTCGCTCGCCTGGTCCGGATACGCCGGCTTCGCCTCCAAACAACGCAAATGCGAAGCCTGTACACGAAAACGCAGGAGCGAGTCCTCCCAGTCCATCTCAGCCGCGCCCCTCTCCCACGCAGCCAAATGCCGCCGCTCCGTCGACCCAAGAATCTTTCTTCAAATCGCTCCACAAACGCCTACAGTATCTAGAGGCTAACAGCACTCTTTCTCTACAATACATCGAAGAACAGTCCCGCATCCTAAGAGATGCCTTTGTCAAGGTCGAGAAGAAGCAGTTGGCAAAAACTGAGAAATTCCTTGGGTACATGAACACAACAGTAATATCAGAGCTGAAACACTACCGTACCCTTTATGAGCAGCTATGGCAAAGTACCGTCATTGAATTGGAAGGCATGAAAGAGCGACAAAGGTCGGAGATGGGAGAGGTTGGCGCCAGACTCAGCATGATGGCTGATGAGCTTGTATGGCAGAAGCGAATGGCCGTTGTCCAATCGACACTTCTACTTCTATGTTTGGGCCTCGTCCTCTTTGCTAGGTCAGGGACTATGGGAGTTGCTACAGACATGCCTATAGTGCAGCAACTGGGGACCAAGTACTCCAGTTTCTTCGACTCCCCACCGCCTCAACGAGGAGCAGAAACTGGCGTAGAAAGGCGAAGGCGGACTTTCAAAAACATGTGGCGCAGCGATGCATCGACTGGGCTGAGCGATCGCAGCGGCCATGAAGGACGAGAACTGAGTAATGTTTCGGACATGGACAGCGACGACGCAAGAAGTCCTGTCCAGATCGAGTACAGTCCGCCAACTCCCGATACCCCAGATAATCGGTTCAGGGGTGCCCCAGAAATTATATACTCGTCACCAGATGTTAATGGCACCGCCGACGAGGATATAGACGGTGGCCTTGCAACACCAAGAATGGTTCCCGACATCGATCCGGACGACCAAGCCAAGCGTATACAGGTACTGGCAACACAGTCTGGACCTGCAACACCCAACGGTACCCGAGACAGTAGGCCGTCATGGGAGGAAGTGGACCGAGCGATTGACCAACTCAAAGCTGAGGAGCAGGATCAAGTCGTACCACAGAAAGAAATTCGTGTTAAAGGGAAGGCAAGGTCACCATTGAGAAGAGCGCAAAGCAGCTACGACGGCGTTGTAGATGAAAACTCGTTCTGCGATAGCGGTAGTGAGTTGTTCGCCGGCAGTTAACAAACGCCATGATGCAGCACTTGATTGCGTACGGCGTTGTGACATTTGAATAGTGTGTGATGCATTCACAGGGGAGCCGGTGTTGGGGCGAATTGTTGTTTTGTCAACTTGTACATACCCATCCAGTCTATTGCTTCTGCTGCTTCGTCGGAACCGCAACCTGTTGACATTGGAATTCAGTGTATATCTCCATACTCTTCGTATTTATGCATGACTCGTCGTATTCACAATGTGTGCTCAACCTCAGCTGTGATGTCGGGTAAGGAACATCATGCACCACCGAAGAAAACCCGACATGTTGAGATGCAAGACATGATGCCTCGGTCCCCACGTTTCAAAACCCCGGGTGTTTGCCCTGGATATCGTTGTCCACGTACGATATGTCTCAGCTAGTCACCCCATAGTCTGACCAAAATTTGTGGGGAGAGACTCGATGTGGTCTCTGGACCTCGGCTCCCGAGGCAGGAGCTCGTCCCCGCAAACCTCCAGCATCGCCGAACCAACCGACAGGCGTGGTTGGCGAGTCGCCCCATCCCTTCAATTACCCCAGACTCCTCGGACCCTTGGTCTCCAGACTCTTTCCATTACCGTTCATCACAGCTTGAAAAGATTGAGCCAAGATGTCTGTCCCATACAACCTGCTTCAGAATGCCGCCAGTGGCCACATCCCGGCATCACAGCGCATTCCTACAATTGCGCGACCCTTTGTCAGCGAGAGGGCTGCGAAGACTCTTGACATTGTATGCTCAGTGCGGTCTATGAAGCGTAGAATATTTACTGACATGTGTCTTAGGTCGAGAAGTTCGTCGAAGAGGAATGCATTCCCGCCGACCAAGTATACCTCCGCCAGCTTGGCGAGACGACCAAGGAGCGCTTCTCGGCACACCCCCAGATCATCGAGGACATGAAGAAGAGGGCACAGGAGCTTGGGTTGTGGAACATGTTCCTTCCCAAGGCACACTTCAAGGAGGGTGCTGGATTTAGCAACCTTGAGTACGGTCTCATGGCCGAGTACCTGGGCAAGAGCAGGATAGCTTCTGAGGTACTAGCTTCAAGCCCCAACCGAGACACCATGCTAATTGTGCGAAGGCTACCAACTGCGCTGCTCCGGATACTGGCAACATGGAGGTAATTGCCAAGTACGGCTCTGAGGCACAGAAGAGGAAGTGGCTCGACCCTCTGCTGCAAGGCAAGATTCGATCTGCCTTCCTGATGACAGAGCCTCAAGTCGCCTCCAGTGATGCTACAAACATCGAGATGACAATCACACGCGACGGCGACCACTACGTCTTGAACGGCCAGGTATGTTGTTCTAGCATGGTCTATCCATCAAGCATTCGCTGACAGTCGTCCCAGAAATGGTGGTCTTCCGGAATCGGTGACCCCCGCTGCAAGGTCTTCATCGTCTTGGGCAAGACCGACCCCAACAACGCCGACAAGTACAAGCAACAGTCCGTCATTCTCGTTTCCAGCGAAACCCCTGGTGTCACCATCCACCGCATGCTCTCAGTCATGGGTTTCGACGACGCACCCCACGGTCACGGTCACGTAACCTTCACCAACGTTCGCGTCCCCGCCTCCAACATGGTTCTCGGCGAGGGCAAGGGCTTCGAAATCATCCAAGGCCGTCTCGGCCCCGGTCGCATCCACCACGCCATGCGCAGCATCGGCTCAGCCGAGAAGGCCCTCGAGTGGATGCTCGCGCGCCTGAACGACGAGCGCAAGAAGCCCTTCGGCGAGATGCTGCACAAGCACGGCATCATGCTTGAGCGCGTCGCGCGCTCGCGCATTGAGATCGACGCCGCGCGCCTCTCCGTCCTCAACGCCGCCATCAAGATCGACGAGACCAACGCCAAGGGCGCCCTCAAGGAAATCGCAGAGGTCAAGGTCCTCGTCCCCGAAGTCAACCTCAAGGTCATCGACTGGGCGATCCAGGCCTACGGCGGCGCGGGTGTCAGCCAGGACACCCCGCTCGCGAACATGTACGCCAGCGGCAGGACGATGAGAATCGTCGATGGCCCCGATGAGGTGCATCTGCTGCAGCTGGGCCGCAACGAGAACAAGAGGGGTATTGCGCACAAGCAGCGGATCGAGGCACAGCAGAAGAAGGGCGAGGAGCTGTGTAGGAAGTACGGCATTGAGCCCAGGGATCCGCTGTATCTGAACAGGACGAGTGCCGAGGCCGCCAAGTTGTAAAACCTAGATATTGTGTATAGCGTGTATTGAACGTCGGTGTCTTGGTCATTTGACTTGCTGCTATTGATATGAAGTGCGTGTGACTTATCATCTCTACATTCCATGGTAAAGATGCCCGTCTGCTACGTCGTTTGGCTTCTGTAGACGTCTCCTACCGAACCTCGATTTTCTCCTGCTGTCGTCCATTGAAAGTTCTTCTTCCCTTCCTTTCTCTATATCTCACATCACCACGGGTACAACCTCCAATCCACCGTTCTACTTTTAAACCTCCAGGTCTGTCACATACTCATAGCGTTTTGGCGTCATACTAATAGTCCAAACTCGAGAGTTAAGGCCTTTGCAAGTCGGTCGAAGTCGGAGAGATTTTTTGAAAATGTACAGTCGCGTATAGAGAGGGGTGCTTTGTCGGTGCGTGGTTTTGTACTTTGTGTGTCTTGAACGAAATTTGTCTGATTTTGCCACGGTTTGGTTGAACAGATTGAATGTTTTTCGACGGGGCATCACTGTATGGCTCCCGCTGGGTTACGGACAGCCAGCAATGATAGAGGAATGGGAATGTGTCCTGTCTAGAGTCTTGCAGCTTAAACCCGGCATCACTGGGATAACTCTATTACTCTATTTGACTGCATTTAAGAGCGGAGAAGATGTGTATTCTTATCTAGACTTGCACAACCAGACTAATGCTTCCTAACCCACAGCACGAACCATCCCAACACCCTGTACACAAAGGTAATAACAATCATGTACCCAACATACCTCCCCACGTTCTCAGTCCCATACCCAAAGCTCTGCAGCACAGCCTTGCCCTCGACGAGGCACTGATCCTGCAACGCACTCGGGTACATGCAGAAACACCCTCCATCAGACGAGGTCTCGCAGCTATAGTTCCTCTTGCCGAACTCATTCACCATCATGCCCCTGAAGACATACGCCTGGTAATCGATGTAGTGAAACACATAGCGCCAGAACACATTCAGCGCCTCGGGCTGCACCATGAACCCGCCGACGCACATCCACAGCCCGTTCGCAAACGCCGTCGCCGCCAGCGCGACCACGAAAATCGGAATCAGGCTGCTGAGCAGCACGACCAGCGACTCCGCCGCCAGCAGGTCGAGAAACAGCCACATGACCCACGTCCAGAAGCCTGTCGCCGTGGGCGCGAAGTTCGCGAGCCAGTACGCGACGACGCTGAACAGCACCGCAATGAGGAACAGGTACGGCACGCCGATGACGAAGTTGGCGAGCATGAACGCCGTCGGTCCGTAGAGTCCGTTTGCGCGCTCTTTGCGGAACAGCGCCAGGTCTTCGAGGTACGAGGGGATGTAGGCGACGGCCATGAAGCTCATGAACGCGCCGCCGAAGAATATGGCGTTCGTGTAGGCTTGGATGTTGGCTTGGGTTGGCGAGAGGCGCAGCCACACGGTGCCCATCATGATGGCGAGCCCGAGGTACATGGCCACGCGGATGCCGTAGGCGACGACGTCGCGGTAGGATTTGATGAAGGAGCGGTGGATCAGCGTTAGGGGGATGAGGAGGGGGCTTGCTGACTGCGGTGTTGAGAGGATGGGAGGGGCGTTGTGGGAGATGGATCCAGCTTGGATTTGGTGGGTGATGAGGGCAGCGTTTGATGAGTTTGACCACGATGCGTGGAGGTAGTCGAGTTGGTCGGTAGACTTGGTGTGGTCGCGCGTGAAGTCTGTGTTGACGAGCTGGATTACGTACTCGGCTGGGTTCATATAGAGTGGCATCTGTAGACGTTCAGTACAGCTTGGTGTGGGGTAGGAAGGATGGCAACTCACGTTGTTTCCTAGACCGGCAAAATAGTCCTTGATACCTGGCACGGGGCCATTGTAGGCAACTTTGCCCTTTGACAGTAGCAACAGCTTATCGAAGAGCTCGAAGGTAGTGGTGGATGGTTGATGTATCGAAGCAATCACCAAGAACTATACCTCGTCAGCCTGATGCACCAACGATCTTCTGCAAGTCACTTACTTTGTGCTTCTTTGCGAGCTCTTTCACAAAGCTCATGACCTCCCAGCTGGCCGCTGAGTCAAGCCCGCTGGTTGGCTCGTCCAGGAAGAGTATCTTGGGGCTTGTCATCAGCTGTGCAGCAACACTGACTCTCCTCTTTTGACCGCCAGATACGCCCTTGCGGATTGGGGTACCGATGATCGTATCTGATTGATCCCGTAAACCGAAGGACGAGAGCAAACCCTCGATACGGGCTTTGCGTTCCGCTTTGCTGACTGAGCTACGTTGTGTCAGATACATGCACATGTACGTGGTGAGAATTGCAAGTGTACCTAGGTAGTGCGAGTTGTGCTGCGAAGTATAGAGTTTCACGGACTGTAAGTGAGCCGACGAGGGCATCCTCCTGCTCGACGTAAGAGCTGAGCTTGCGGAATGAGGAAAGTGATGTCGGTGTGCCGTTGATGGCGAGTGTTTGCTGGATATCTGCATTTGTGGTTGCCGCTCGATGTGCTAGTACGTTGAGTAGAGTCGTCTTTCCAGACCCACTGGTCAAGTCAGCAATCATGAAGGGTCGATGCGGCACAGTTTGGTGCATACCTCGGTCCCATTAATGCCATCATCTCGCCTGGCAATATGTTAGCGGATACTGTATGTCATGGAAGGGCTACATACCAGCTTCGACGATGCCATTCACACCTGAGAGAATATCGAGCGGCTGCTTCGATTTCCGATCCTTGACAGAGACGGTGACATTCTGCCAACTGAAGCTGTGAACCGTCGTGTTCGTGAGGTGTGCATAATTCGTAGTAGCGCCCTTCTCCACGTCTTCGACAGAAGGATTAGACGTCGACATAGCTCTAAAGTCTTGCAGTGCACAAACCCAACCACCGACGTAAGTGTAGACACGAGGCGGGAGTCGAGGAAGCGAACAAGAAACAAAGACACAATGGCAGGAACGCGTAGCTGGCCAAGGGATATATGGAACAAGTGAAACCACGCCCTCGCAGTTCCCTTTTATCGTCTATCGTTTGGCGTGCACGCTGCGCCGCAAAGCAAGCCAAGTCTGGCATCGGCGACATGTCAGTGTAAGTGGGCTGAGTGCGGGCCGCTTGGGGGCTGATTGTGACCGCTGGCCGCGTGAGCCTTCCCCAAGTCCAGTAGCCCCGGAACGGGCGTCATGTATAGAACGCTGCAAGGCCGTTGGAAGCTTGTGAGTGGTCTTACTTGCGGCTGCATATGTTGCCTAGCGTAGACGAGGTGTGGCAGTCGCCTCAAGTTGCAGCTTTTCAGATGCAACCTCCCGGAGCCAACTTCAGCTGGGTCAGGTATGTACGTTGACGGTGACTGAACATGACTTGTAGATTGTGTTGCTTGAGGTTTGGTGGACAGGCGTGGCGGGCCAGGTCGCATGGGCCCGATTGACCCCTGCACGATCGGGGACTTGGAGTGGCATGGGTGCCGGGTTGTGTAACGTCGGCGATCTCGCAAGGCTGCACATTTCCCCTAAAGTTGAATCTTCGGTGAAGTGTGCCGTATTAATTTTGCATCCCAGTGAGGTTGTTCAACAGCCGTTGAGTCTGGACGGTTCCAAGGCAGTGTGGCTGCCATTCGACCCGCGGACAGGACAGAGCCTCGTCCGTCCATATAAAGCGTGATTGTGATCAGATGGCCAATCAATAAGAATGCTGCCTTCATTTCAGACTGTTTGGTGTTGCACGTCGGCAATTGGGGGCCATTTGTCCAGTTGCTTTTAGGCCGCCCACATCGAAGGGTCCATCGGCGACGCCACATTGTGTAACATCGCCGACTCGGCGTAAGGCTGCAGATACAAATGGCCCCCAAACTCTCAGACTTCCCCATATAGTAAGCACTGCGCCGCGTCCGGAAGATCGATCCTCTAAACACTATTCGTCTCTTCCAGAACAGGGACCATAGTGGTTGCGGCTCGTCGGTGCTCAAGCTCGGGTGGTCGCTTCAATTTTGAGGCTCTCTCGACTGGTCTTGCTTTTGGTCCTGGACGGTCGTACACTCCCGGTTACGGCTTTGCTCGGTGCGACGCGCGAGCGGAATTAAGCAGCGATATCCTAGATCGGCTGAAAAAGCATGCATGCAATATTGGTATACTACGTTCGCGTGCAAAACGCAAAATCAATAACATTACCAACATTCACCGCGACCGCCTAGTACATGAACTCGCTGATCTCCAATAATTGCGCATCCCTTTCTCGCTGCGCTTGGACCACTGCCTCCCTCCGCTCGTCGTTCAGCCTCTCCTTGTACGCCAGCTCTAGCAGTCCCTTTACCTTCTCTTGCGTGAACATCTCTTTGGCCAACCCGTGCAGCCCAAAGCCTTTACCATGCTCTCTCGCCCTGGCGACGATCGCTTCGGGGCCTGCAGTGAAAAGGTCGAAGAGCAGCGCGACGTTGGGTAGAGAAGCCCCATCCTCAATGTTCTTGAGGTTTTGCTGCAGTACAAGCAGGTTCAGTTGCATCAGAGCGCAGCCATTGGCATTCATGTTCTCGAGCTTGGACGTGCAGAGGGAAAGCAGATAGATGTCCATCAAAGCGGCGAGACCGGAGGTGATTAGTGCGTACGAAGAAGCAGGGACGTATGTGCTGACTTCGGTGTCGAAAGAGACGAGTTGCGTGTTCAAGGTGAGAATGGAAGGGTCGGGATCGCCGAGAAGCGAATCTACATTGATCTCCGGCCGGACGCATGTATTGAGGGAGAAGAGAACTGTGGTCCGGATTGATAAATGCAAGGTGCGTAGGACGCAGGTGCTGAGGGCTTGGTAGGTGGATACTACACTGTCGAACTCGCTACTTAGGGTTAGTGAATGTCAAAGTTTTGAGATCAGAGAGGACTTACGCAGCGGTTTCTGGATTCAATGGTAAGTAGACAGGTGTTCCTTCAGATCTAGGCTCCGAAGAGGAGAGCAGCGTCCAGCGTCTGTTGTGGCGTTGATTGCCAGGCTCAATACGTGTTGAGTCTGTAGCTCGGTCGCTGATATGCCGTAATCTTGCAATCTTCGTTGACAGCCACTTCATACTAGTGTAGAGCAGACAGAGACTCGTCAAAGTCTTCTTATCTTGTATGATATCACCCTGGTCCAACGGCTCTTTCTCGATAGTTGGCAGGAGCAGACTCGCTTCTTGCTCTATAAATGTATTGAAGTTGATATAGTCCTTTGGATCTGTTTGGAAGATCTGGTTGATGAGATCCTCCATTTCTGCAGACTCTGCCCACGCCGCAGGCGCTCGAAGCTTACGACCACTCGCCGTAGGACTACCGCGGCTAACAAGAGCCTGGTACCAGCTCGTGCATTTCCGTGCGTAGGTCTCCATCTGGCGGACGATGAGTTGCGAGAAAGCTTGGTCGTGCGGAAGATTATCCAGCATCTTGCAAAAAGCTGAGATGAGAGTGAGGAAGTTTGCAGTTCCCTGTGCAGTTAGCAAGTGAGTGAGGATGATCATGCTGGTCAACAAACCTTGAAGATGGGCTTCTTTGAGCGCTTTGTCCAGTGTGGATCCTCCTGGTAGGAATCAACCTCGACGTAAGCTTGTGCACATAACTCAACCAGGGTCTCGTCAAGCTGAGGATGAAAGACGTTCACAAGGAAGTCATCCAGGAATGATGTCAGTGTGCTCATGACGATGTCTGAGCCTGTTGGTACAACTTCCTTCAGCCTATTCAAAAAGTCGAGCGAAGGCGGAAGCAGGATACCCATGTTGAAGACACTCGGTTCCACCAGCAACTTATGCCCAGTTGCATTGCCTTCGAGATTATGGTTAGTTTCTGTGCTCGCGCTTTCTGTCCTTTTAGAGTCAGACACAAGTCCGGGGACCGAGGTTTTCAGGATGAACTCCAGATCCTCTCGTTCTTGTGCTACTTCAGCTGACTTGACGTCCATATCTGAAAGCTTAAACATGCGCTTGTTTTTATCGCGAGGTGCACGCGAGAAAACACTGCTGATGGATGTCTGCTTTTGGCCAGTCCTATACGACGTTTCGCCATCTGTCGCGAGGTAGTCGTGGAGTAAGGACCGCATCTACACCGCTGTCAGAGTGAAATCAAAGAATGCGTGGACGAGCTTACCTCGCTCTGATAGAGCTTCCACAATTCCTTGAAACCTCGGGTCAAGGTAGCGCTGGTGGTAGTGTCGCGAATCCCTTCCCTGCGGATGATACCAACGACGACATCATGGACGACTCGGTGGCTCTCAGCGATCGCCTCAAAGCGTGCGTACAGGGTCCAAAGCAGATCGTTGAGAAGTGTTGTGCGTATTGAATCACTTTCAATGTCAGTCTTGGATTTGCTGCCTTTCCTCGAAGCGTAAGCACGTAAGGTGCTGGGATGGCGTAGTGCGACCTCATTGTGCGACTTTTCCACAACCTTGAAAAGCTCCACCGGAAGTCTTTGCTCGATTGTGTCTACTGCCAGTTCCAAACGATTCATTTTGTTTAGTGCCTCTACTACCAATCGAATGTATTGGAAAGTATCGGTTTCTGGGTTGTGTGTTGCATCATCCGTCATCTGTAGTCGTTAGAAGTATTCGGGGGGAGACTCGAGTTACGTACCACCTCAGCAGTGTCCAGGTCCTCCAGGAAATAATACAACAGGCGACCTCGCACATCTGCTTGGGCGCGTTCAGAGACGTCGCCCTTGAATTGATTCTGTGCATACTCTTTCCACCTCTCCTCGCAGTACGGAGACTTGAGGTAGAGATGGCTATGAAGCTCTTCGATCAAGATGTCAGTCAAAGACACTTCTTGGTTGCTCAAATATGTGCGCAAGTCACTGAGAGCTCCTATGTTCTCCATTTCCGACTTGCGAATCATGCGCAGGGCATCCTGCAGAACGTCTACTGCAGTCAAAAAGCGTTTTTCCGAAATGCGAGCCTCTAGCTTCTCTGGGACCAGCTGTAGCTGTTCAATGCTGTTCAGCATCTGAATCATCTCGTCATAGTTCTGAGATGCGGTGGCAAACTCGCGAAGTTCAGGCTTGGTCGTTGAGAGCTGTGATTTGGCGGAAGTCAGAGACGTCTTCAGGTTTCTCACACGATGTTGAGAGCTTTGCAGGCTAGTTTGGATCTGATGAAAGGTACCGATAGAACTGTTAAAGCCCTGATGGTGCTCATTGACGATGGTCTTGAGGGCCTGCTGAAGCTCTTGGTGCGACTGTCGAAACTGGTCAGACTGATCTGCCAGGCCAAGAGAGCTTGAGTCCATCAGCTTGAGCGCAACCTCAATTGGCACGCACTGGTCTCCTGTCATGAAGTCCCAGTTGTCCTGGATGTACTTGATGACTTCCTCAATGCGCTGGCTGCCTGAACCGTAGTTCTGCTGGCCGCCGGGCCTATTGCGATTCCTATCAGCAGGGTTTCCAAACCGCCCTCCGCTGCTGCGCGGCCGAACCGGCATGCGCTCGATACTGGTGGGGCGTGTAACGTGAGGTGCGTCCTGGGTACGTTCTTGGGTGCGCTCCTGGCTGCGTGGTTGGAAGCCACCGTAGCCTCCTGGCCGACGCTCTCGTCCACTCTCGCCGCTTGGTCGCGGCGCATAGTTGTCTTCAGCCGGAGTCATGCCTCCATATCCGCCTGGTCTGCGCTGTCGGTCGGTGCTCGGTCGTGACGGGGACCTAGACTCGTCGTCCTGTCCACGCAGCCCACCGTAGCCGCCTGGGCGCCTTGACTCTCCACTGGGCCGTCCTGCATAGTCGTCGTTGGATGCGCCGTAGCTCCCATAGGTCCCGTTACCGTTGTAGTTCCCATTGCCGTTGGTGTAGGCTCCGTTGGCTCCATTAGCTCCCGCCCGCGAGTAGCCAGGGTCGCGCGACATGGTGGCTCAGATATCGCCGTCTTATACGTGTCGTATGCGCAGTTGAAGCAGTGTCATTATGTGTGCGAGACTCGAGTGTCATCGGGCGCGCGTGTCTAATGCGGGGAGTTCGCGGGAGCTTGCTGAGACAGCACGGATCGCTTGTCGCAGCCAGCTGGCGATGAGCGCGCCAAGCCTCACCGGGTGAAGGAGATCTGCGAAGACAGCACCCGCAGCAACAATCCTTGGACGCCTGTCCAGGTGCTAGTGTCAATTGCGCGTCCTGAGCTTTGTGTTGCGGCCTCTCATCAGCACCTCGCCGCGTGTGCAGTGTTGCGCCAAGAACACCCCCGTCCTCCGCGCTCCGCAAGTTTCTCCGAGTCGCGTTGCAGCAGCTCCATCTCGCGCTTCTTTGTGCAGCCATCACCCAGGGCCACGCTCGACGCCGCGCCGCCCGCCCATCGCTCTCGCCTTGCTATGCTGCGTTGACAGCATCACGAATCCCCTACCGCTCGCCCTCCATCCATCGACAGCGCCCGACCGCGTCGCGCAGCGCTCGCCATGTCGGCCGTCTACACCAACGGTGCGAACGGCGCGAACGGCGCAGACAAAATGTTCCCACCGCCACGCTTCTCGGACGTTCCCAGCGCCATCACTGTCTCGGTCGCCGAGGCTGGAGACACCATCGACGTCGAAATCGCGCTCGACGAGGACATCCAGGACGATCCCACGGAGCTGTGTACGCTGCTGGAGACGGAGAACAGCCTGAAGTCGACGTGGGTCCAGGTCGCCGTTGCCTATGCAAAGCACAAGAAGCTGCATGTCGCCATCGACGTGCTGAGCCAGGCCGTCAATGCCTTCGGCCGCGCGCGTGCCGAGGACCGCCTGAGCATTCTCAATGGCCTCTGCTGGCTCTATCTTCTCAAGTGCCGTGAGGCGCCGCGCCTGAAGCAGGAATCGTCGGCGGACCCAGACGTCAAGACAAAAGACTTTTACATGCAGTCAGCCACCAGCGTTCTGAACGATGCCTCGCGAATCAGCCCCTCGTACCCGCCGCTCTTCCTCGCTCGCGGTGTCCTCTACCTGCTCCGTGCATCTCTGCAGGCGCCTGCTACCGCCGCCGGGCCGAACGCGATCAGCCCAGAACGTATGGAGACGCTGAAGCAGGCTGCTAAGTGCTTCGAGGATGCCCTGCGAGCTTCAGGTGGAAGGAACCTCATGGCGAAGATGGGCAAAGCGCGTGTGAGCTACTCCATGGGTAAATACGCAGAGGCTCTGAAGATGTACCAGAGCGTCATGGAGAGTTCGCCCAACTTGATCGACCCCGATCCACGCATCGGTATTGGCAGCTGCTTCTGGCAACTTGGCTTCAGGGACGATGCCGCGAGCGCCTGGGAGCGCTCGCTCGAACTGAATCCGACCTCGAAGATTGCAACCGTCTTGCTTGGTGTCTACAACTTCCACCTCACAGCCCAGCTGCCTCCTTCAGATCCTACCTTCGGCAGGCTCGTGAAGAAGGCATTGAACGAATACGTCATGCCTGCGATGAAGATGGACAACCAGTTTCCTCTGACATGTGCGACGCTAGGAAGCTGGTTCATCGCCAGGAAAGATTTCAACAAGGTGGAAGCACTTTCGAGGCGCGCCATCGAATTGACCGACGTGAACGCTATTGCCAGTGACGGCTGGTACCAACTTGCGAGGAAGGAACACCACCAAGAGAACTCCGCAAAGGCTGCCGAGTTCTACGCCAAGTCTGACGGCGCTCGTGGAGGCGATGAACGCGGCTACATTCCGGCCAAGTTCGGTTTGGCTCAGATGAACGTCTTGATGAACAATTTTGACGGCGCGAAGTTTCGACTCGAGAAGATCATCCAGCAACAGCCGACTCTTGAAGCACAGACATTGTTGGGCACCCTATATGCAGAGGATGTGTTCAATGCTCAAGCCAACAAATCTACAGCCGACAAATCTGCTGAGCTGAAGAAGGCGCTTCGATACCTCGAAGACGTACAAAAGGCCTGGAAGGACCCCAAGAGGAAGGCCATACCGGACCAGTCTGTCCTGCTGAACCTTGCCCGACTCTATGAATCCGATCATCCCGATCGAAGTCTGAAATGTCTGGAGGAAGTCGAACAGATGGAACTGGACGCCATCCCCGAGGAAGATTACCCAGAAGGCATCGAAGACGAGGTCGAACTGAAGGCTGCACTTCGAGAACTCCTTCCTCCACAGCTGCTCAACAACATGGCATGCTTCCATTACCAGGCTGAGCGATTTGTTCGGTCTAGGGAGTTGTTCCAGGCCGCCCTGAACGCGTGTGTCAAGGCAGCTTCTCGTGATGAGACGATTGACACAGATGCACTGGTCACATCTATTAGTTACAATCTTGGTCGCACGTACGAGTCTGAAGGCATGCTGGACGAGGCAAAGGGCGTGTATGAAGGGTTGTTGAAGCGACACAATGACTATATCGATGCGCGCATCCGACTTACATATATTTCGCTGCGCCAGAGCCCTGGAGATGCCGGCCCCAAGGCCCTCAAGCAGCTCTTCAAGGAGAACGAAGAAAATGTTGAGGTGCGAGCTCTGTTTGCTTGGTACAAGAACAAGTCGAAGCCGAAGACCCTCAACTTCGGAGAGGATGAGGAGCAGCGGATACACAAACACACACTGCAACGATTCGATAAGCACGACCGATACTCGCTCATGGGTATGGGCAACATTCATCTGAGCATCGCCCGTGAGCTGCCCAGAAGTACTGAACAGGAGAAGGAAAAGCGTCGGAAAGCGTACGAGCGAGCGGTCGAGTTCTTTGACAAAGTATTACAGCTTGATCCCAAGAACGCCTACGCAGCTCAAGGTATTGCAATTGCCCTGGTCGAAGACAAGAGAGAATATGCCAGTGCTCTGCAGATCTTTAGCAAGGTCAAAGAGACTCTTAGGGATTACACTGTCTATGTGAACCTTGGCCATACATATGCCGAGATCAAGCAGTATGCTCGTGCTATCGAGAACGTAAGTCAACCGCAATCTACGCAGCTGAACCTGTTCTCATGATCTCTAGTACGAAGCCGCCCTTTCTAAAGACAGGCAAAATGACCCCAAGATTCTCGCCTACCTCGGACGCACTTGGTACATGCGGGCCAAGCACGAGCGCAGTATCTCAGCCTTCAGAACAGCTCTCGACTACGCGAAGCAGGCCGTCAGAATCGTCCCTTCGGACCTCGGCTCTCAGTTCAACGTCGCGTTCCTCCAGTTTCAGATTGCACAAGAATTGATTCGCCTGGAGCCGCCTCACAAGACCCTCGAGGAGGTTAATGAAGCAACTGAGGGTCTGCAAGCTGCTGTTGCAACGCTTGACAATATGGCAAAAGCAGAGAACCCTCCATTCCCACGGAATGATCTCGTGTCTCGTGCGAACATGGGCCGTAACACCATGGCGACTCAGCTCGAACGAGCACGCGCCAAACAGGTTGCTCATGAGGACGAGAATGCAAGCAAGCTTGAACAGGCCCGTAGATTGCGTGAAGCAGACATGGCTCGTCGCGATGAGGAGAAGCGCAGGGTTGAAGAGGCAGCCCTCGAAAAGAAGCGTAAGATTTTGGAAGAGCAGGAACGCATCGCCGCGCGAGATCGTGAGTTGATGCAGATGCGTGGTATGGACGAAGATAGACGCCGGGACGAAGACGATGACAGAGAGGCGCGCAAAGCCGAGCGCAAGGCTCGCGGCCGTGGCGAGGGCAAGGGCAAGAGAAAGAAGAAGGTTGCACATGACGACTCGGCGACAGACGGTGGGCTGTCTGATGAAGACGAGGACAGATCGCGGTCTCGACGTCGCCGGACTAGTGCGTCCGGGACTGAAGGCCTCAGCGATGAGGAGCGACCACGCGAGAAGAAGAAGAGGAAGCTTCAACGCAAGAGCGAACCTGCCGGCAAATACAAGTCGGCCGAGTTCATCGATGACGACAGCGACGATGCCAGAGCGCCCGCCGATGATGCGCAGAAGGCTGCAACTCCCGCTGGAGATGACAGTGCTGCCGAGGGCGTTGCTACTACATCACGATCACGCAAAGGCCGCAACGTCGTCGACGATGAAGACGACGAAGACGAAGGCACAACAGCACCCAAGGCGAATGGCGACGTGGCCATGTCCGACGACGATGAGTAAGTCTCAGCTTCGAAAAGGGTGGACCGAAGCAATGCAACGCATCGGGCGTGATGCAACGTTAGTTGCGACAAGGCTCGATCAGGGCTATTTGGGTTTGAGGGTGCTTTGCAGGATTGGTCTTGAAATGTCTGGGTCGTATTCGCACTTCATATTTGTATTGCTTGCATTAGCTACGGCGTTACCTGGAGACTCGAAGAGGTCAATTTGTATACCAGAAAAGGGCCGAGTGCTGTCCACTATCACCGCAACCTGAGCTGTAGACTACAACAATGACGACGTGTTGTAACTTGCACATGGCTCCGCTGCCCGTTGAAGTCGGTGATACTTGAAGCGAAGAGACTAGCTGAGCCGGTCCTGGTCTGCATCAATAGTCTTAGGTTTTATTCCTACTCCTGCCAGCGGCCTAGTCTGAGTCGATATCAAGAGGCTCAGCATTAGGATGCGCGTAGTGCCTCGGCTCGTCTAGCGCGAACGCGTGTTCAGTACCAAGAAGACCAAGCAAAGCACGCAATACGTGCATGCGCCGCAAGTGCAACGACACCATGACGTCCTCAAATCGAGGGCAGGTCCCTCCAGGCTTCCAGTCCAAATCCACACCCAACTTGCCGACGCTCAGATCGCTCGACGATGCGCGCCAGGGTGCTGGCCATCAGCATTCACGCTCAGGCGTCTCTCCCCCGCGCGTGACAAGCCCTCGGTCCCCGCTCTCCAATGGACCGGCTTCAGTGGACGACAATGGGGAAGAGGAGGAGGACCCGTTCGTGCTAGAGGAGTCAGAATCAGAGTCCGGGGAAGAGGAGGCGCAGGAGGAAATTGACAATCCACCCGCGTCTCGCCCACTGTACACATCGCGTTCGTACACGCACCTGCCGCGGCAGGCTGCGACGGCCTTCTATCCTCCCTTCTACAACCGACCACCAGTACCGCTGCCACCGTCCCCGTCGCTGACGTCCCTACTGCGCCCTGCGTTCAGCGCTGCCACCTCACGACCTACAACGCCGGACTCGTCTGATGTTGAGCTGCCATATGGCACCAGCACACCCACCTCAAGCACCACGAACCTTGCGCACCTCACCAACTCGGCACGACATGCGCCGACTGTCCCTCGTGCTTCGCCGAAGGTCCCGACATATGAGTACTATGGCTTCGCAGTGTATCTGGGTAGCTCGGCCGCATTTCTGATGTACATCTTATGGGCGTATGTCCCGGCCCCATTGCTGCATCAAATGGGCATATGGTGGTATCCAGACCGCTGGTGGGCGCTCGCAGTACCGTGCTGGCTTGTCGCGTTAGTCATATACATCTACGTCGCGCTGGCCAGCTACAACACGCGCTATCTCACACTGCCGCTCAACAGCTGCGAAAACCTAGTGGATGAAACCGCACAGGTTGCTGTCGTCGATCGGAAGACAGGGCAAATAGCGCGCAATCCGGTCTTCGGCATTGGCAGCGCAGTGGGCGCAGAACAAGACTCGTCCAGCAGGTCGGCCAGTCGCAGTAATTCTTTCTCAGCATATCGTTTTGGCGCTGATGAACAGGTCGATTGGCAGAGCTTCTGGAACGTGGGCACGGACGCTGTTATGGATGTGCCAATTGGTGGGGTCTGCGAGATTCTATACGGAAGCGCCCGGTAGAAGCTGCACATAGACTATCGTCATCTTTACTCAGCTCTTATCGAAGAGTCAATGTGAGTTGTTACGGCAAGTCCACGCTGCCCATTCATAACGCGCCCTGCGATCCAGTTCGGAAAAAGCTTGTCAAGTCTTGTGGATACTCTAACCCCCACTACTAGCCCTCTCCCGCCCCGTCGGAAATACCATGCAACCTCTCTGTGAACATCCAATCCGCAAGCTCGAAAGCCATTCTGAAGCGGGGCCTCGGCCTGCTATCGCTAAGTCTGGCGAAGCTCAATGCATCTCCTCGGCATGGCTTGAAAGGTATCTCGCAGTCAATCGCGGTAGCTTGCGCTAGCTGTCCGTATAAGATGGCGGGGGACGCCGTTCACGCATGAATCCCATCGCACTGCTCTCCGGAGAAGTCTAACCTCTGCTCGGGTCAATTGGTGTTGTCAATTGTTTGATACATTCATTGCTATTCCTCCGCACATCATGAAGTCTGTTGTTGCTTTCTCCACTCTTTCCTTGCTCGCTGGAGCGGAAGCCGCCGAGACTGTGCTTGGAGCTTACATTTTCCACCGCCATGGTGACCGCACACCCAAGGCCCTTGCCCCCACTAACCTGACCACCCTTGGTTACGAGGAGGTGTACCGCTCTGGCCAGTACTACAACTCTCGCTACATCACAGGCGACAACAGCATCAAGGGCATCAATGAGGAGATCGTCAAGCTATCGCAGCTTTCTGTCAGCTCTCCTGTCGATAATGTTCTTCAGAACTCCGCCATGGGTTTCCTCCAGGGCCTCTACCCCCCTGTTCAGACCGTCCAAACCCTTGGTAACGGCAATGATGTGTCTGCACCCTTGAGTGGCTATCAGTTGATTCCTGTCAACACAATTGAGACGGGTGCCGGCTCCGAGGACTCTGGCTGGCTCCAAGATGCCTCGAGTTGCGCGAACGCAAAGACTAGCTCAAACAACTACTTTGTGAGCAGCGAGTACCAGAACACTCTCAAGGCTACCAACGACTTCTATAAATCGCTCGTTCCCGTTGTGAACGCGACCTTGGCCGTCGATCAAGTCTCTTTCAAGAACGCCTATGTCGGTATGTTACGCTCAAGAGTAGATACTTAGTGATGTAAGACTGACAAGCCCGAAGTCTACGATCTCATCAACGTTGCAAAGATCCACAACTCATCCATCCCCTCCTCGGATGTGCTCACCAACGACACCCTTAACCAGCTCCTCACTCTGGCCAACCAGCACGAGTTCGGCCTTGCTTACAATGCGTCCGATAACATGCGTGCCATTGCTGGCATGCAACTCGCTGGCGAGATCCTCACATACATGAACAGCACCATCAGTTCCAAGGGCACGAAGAAGCTCGGCATCCAGTTCGGCGCCTACGCGACCGCCCTCTCCCTCTTTGGCCTCATGGACCTGCCAAAGGTCTCTTCAAACTTCACCGGCGTCATCGACTACGCATCCTCGCTCGTCTTTGAGCTCGTCACCGAGGCCGACACTTCATCTGGTTTCCCTGCTACCGATGACCTCAGCGTCCGCTTCCTCTTCCACAACGGCACCGCCTCCAACACCTCCGAGCCCACGGCCTACCCCCTGTTCGGCGGCTCTTCCAACACCGTCTCTTGGAACGACTTCCAGTCCAACCTGAGCAAGTTCGCCGTCCACACCAGCGAGCAGTGGTGCACCAAGTGCGGCAACTCGACCGGCACCTGCGCCGCGTACGCCAGCAACAGCGGCTCTGCGACCACGCAGCAGAAGAGCGGTAGCAATGGCATCTCACCGGCTATCGGTGGCGTCATCGGTGCTATGGTTACGCTGGCTGTTGTTCTGGGCTCGCTTGCGGCTTTCATGCTGCTTGGTGGGTTCAGGCTCGTTAGCAAGAAGCACCTCGCTGGTGCTGGTGGTGTTGCGGCTGCGCAGGGCGAGAAGGTCAGCACCAAGGCTTAGGGTTCTGTTATCTCTACATAAAGAGATTTGGCTAGCACTGCTATGGCAGCGGGTGTGGTTGCTGACTTTGATGATAATGCAATAATGAAGAACGATTGATATACCCATCTTCATACCTCTTCTCTTGTTCTCGCTGAAGTCTTCTGCCTTTGAACCTGATGCGTGTGGCCTACTGTCAGGGACTAGTAGGTTGTGGCCTAGGACTAGTAGGTTGTGGCCGGTTCGACCCAGGACTAGTAGGTTGGGGCCTGGGTCGATCCACAAGCTCAGTTGTTGGTGAAGGAGAACTGGCTTGTTGTTTGGTTTCGGCTTGCTCGAGCAAGCCTTCCCTTTGCTTCTCTCTCACTTGTATTTATATCGAGCTGCCTCCAGCCCTACTTTTAGCTGGCGTCTGCTATTTTGTTAGTTTAGCTACCTATCTCTTTTGCTATCAGATTGCTTCTTTTGTGCCTGTGAAGTCTGCCTTACACCTACCAACTACCTTGAGCCTTGATTTTAAAGTAAACTCGCCATCAGACAGGAGAACGTAATGCTCTCGTCACGACTTTCTCTTTCATGAAGTCAACCACAGCACATCACCTCAAGCAAGATCCCAATAGAGTTCCTCACCTGCAATTTTCAATTTAAGCAGTTAACAACTTTTTTAATCTATACACACTCAAATCAGAAACACCCCAATCTGCTGCCCCTCCTTCCCAACCTTCCTCTCCACCAACCCCTCCCTGATCCTCACCGCCAACGCCTCCCCAAACGCCTCCGTATCCGCCAAACTCGGCATCTCGCCCATCCTCGCGACATCAATCCGCAGCCACGGCACCTCGGCCGCCGCACTCGCCGCGCTGCGCATGGCTTCTATCGCCGCGGAGTCGAAGGCGCCGCCGACGGCGACGCAGCGCGGCGCGTTGGGCCCCGACAGCAGCGCGGGGATCGAGGCCACGCCGTCTTCAGGGGTGAGCACGATTTTGACGACTGGGGGGTTTTAGGTGGTGTTTGGGGGTGGGGATGGGGGTGGGGACCGTCGTATTCGGGTGCCAGTTCGCGGGCTACTTTGGCGGCGACGGCGGGGCTGCGGCCGCAGACTATGATGGGGATTGGGGACATGGCGATTGGGGGCGTGTTTTCAGTGAGCTTGGATTTGATGGAAGTGCGATGTGCTTTGCTACCCAGTGTATGTGGTCTGGCGGTGTTAGTTATATAGGGCGCGGTTCCTTCTATTTCGCCGCGGGGACCCGGAAGGCTGCTGGGTTATTTGCCCGTGGTGGTGTGTGCGGCCCGCTGGGATCGCGTGCCGCTCACGGAGTTACGCAGACTGGGTTGTTAAAGCCAGACCCTGACCGGCATTATGAGAGTTCGGGGCGCGAGGTTGAAAATGTATGTAGAAGATGAATGGACTAGGTCGAGAATGGCTAGACTGTCGCCCTGCCCCATGTTGATCTTGCTGACCACCAGAGCAATGACTATAGTCATTCCAGCGCCTAAGCTAGGATCACTGTTGCTGTATTTGTGTGTTGTATGCAAGTATGTCGCTGCTGAATACAACGTCTTCAGGAAACTGCAGGCTGCGATGAGCAGCTGCCCTTCTCAGCCCTGACTCGATCTCTTCTCTTAACATACACTCTCGTATGTTCAAGCGGCTTTTCCCATTCGTAATTTTATTCTTTGCTATCGCTACTCTTCAACATCATGACCACGCTGCACTTTCCTGGGGTCGATACCGAGGTCCCGGCGGATGCTGAGGGCCCATCGAGAACCTCCAGAATCGACTCAGCATCTCACACTGCCACCGGCGGCACTCTTCGTGCCAAGTTCACTTACAACCTCAGAGATGTCAAAGACCTTGCAGAGTATCTTGTCGATCATTGCGGCTTACATTGCTTCAACCTCCACTCAATCAACAAACATTCTGCAAACCATGTCTATCGCCTAGTTGGAGGAGACAAAGACGCCGGGAAAACATACGTCCTGAAGCATGCTTCTGAACATCGCGCACACGATGGCACATTGGCTGCCACCACCTGCCGCATGGAGTATGAGGCAAAGTTTCTGGCGAGCAAACTAAAGGACGAGATCGAGTGCCATTGCACTGCTAAGGGCATTACCACGGACGTCAACGCCCACATCGATAAGACCCATGCACAGACAGTTTCCCTGGTATTCTACGACGACGAAATCAAACTTCTGTGCATGCAGGATATCGGAAATACGTCTCTCAAGGACGCCTATTCATTTCTCAGTAAAGAGCAGGTGCATGAGATCGGCACAGAGATAGGTAAATGGCTGGCAAGACTACACGGAGAGACTCCAATTTCCAGCGTCCTTGGAGACTCCGGTCTCAACAATGAAGTCGGAATTGAAATGGTCCGCTACGCCTACAAGAATCTAGCCGATCTTTTTCGAAGAACCGGTCACAAAGCGGAACTTGCAAAAGACATTGACGATTACTTCGGTGGCCGCATATCGAGGGATCGAGAGAGCGTCTGCCATGGCGACTTTTCACCTGGCAATATTATGCTTCAGAGCAACGTGAAAACAGGAACTCCCTGTGTTCTGACAGTGATAGACTGGGAAGCGGTACGTGTTGGCAACAGCGCAACAGACGTGGGACAATTCGCGGCCGAAGCCTTCCTTCTCGACGAGTACCATGGCGGAAAAGGCCTCCGCGCTGCATTCATCCAGGCATACTTCCAGTCAAGCGCTGTCCACTACGGCTCCAAGGAGCTACTGTACCCTTGGATGACAAAAATTGGCGCCCACTTTGCCACACATCTCGCGTACTGGCCGTCGCACAACGGGCACTGGGCCTATTATGAGCGAAAGAAAATCGACCTAGTCGGAATGGCAGCTCTTATACTGGCAGATGTCGTCTGTCCCAAGCCAAACATCATGGTCTGGAGGGTATTTGAGGGCATATCGGGATTGCCTGAGATTGCACAAGAGATGATGATGACGAGGGGACCGTATAAACCAGGGCCGGAAGTCCGCGTGCCGCAAGATTAGGAGCTTGGCAATCGGCATGGCTTGACAGTGAGAAGGTGAATGGGTGGGAGAGGGGACGGACGCGGGGAAACAGTAATTTGTACTTTTGTGGGATCAAGTGGTGATGCCGTTCGTGGTAGGTATCGAGGACATACTGGAAGTATGAACTCTGCTGCTGGTTCGCGTGTCGGCCATTGTTCGTTTTGACTTAGCGAGCACGTATTTATACGGTACTTTTGCTTACTCTGGTGCAGATATCCTTGGGCCCACTGCAAGGTACTATATGAACTGAGCTTCCACCTGACCGGACGCGAGTATCCCCACTACCACGTTCAATCCCTAGAAGGCGTATATTGGGCATATCCAATGACTCGCACTCTCCCAGGACACACACTGCATATCTTTAAGATCGATATCTAGAGAGCCAGTGGGACAATGCTTGGAAGTTTGTGAACGTGAGCGGGGATAGCCCGATGTAGGTCCTCGACGAAGGAGAGCACCGGATTGGATGCCCGGGTGACACATCCTCTTGATGGCCATGCTTCCCAGTCCGCAACTACAACCATCTTCCTTGTATCATTGAGGGTTTTTATTGGGCTTTTGACATGGCTGACGCTGACTCAGCTTGTGGCATTATTTCTGGTAAGGAAGGCTATTCTAGCGCATGGAACACAAACGTAAATTCATTGGGGTATCGATACAGATCAGGGATACTTTCGCTTTCGCTAACCGGTCCAAGGAGGGAAGTAACTGCCCTCTGTCGGGAAGGTAATGGGTTCGTTTTCATAATTGAAGGGATCGCCCCAGAAGCCGAAATCAAACTCTGGTACTATACCGGGTGTGGGTTGGCTGTCAACAATGTTGTTGATGTTGCTGAGATTGATGTCCTCCCAGCTTGGCGGAACCTGCTCTGGCATAGGCCCTATAGGCTGGACGTAGCGGAAGTCCTCCTGTACGGGTTGAGATGTGGTTGGAAGTCGGCCGTATGGTATCGGCGGTGGTTGGATTGCGTAGCTTGGTAGCTGGTTCTGCCCTGGGTAGACTTGAACATTGCCATCGTTCTGAATGGCAGTGGGAATGGGCGCGCTTGGGCTAGCGTAAGTACTCGAACTCTGAGACTGAGTTCTTTGCGACATGCTGTGCTCTTGAATCGCTTTGTCGATCATGGCTTTCACGGCGAGCCATGCTTTAGCACCGTTGTTTTCGCGCAGTATGCGTGACATCTGTAGGGCCCTAAGCGCTCGTTGCCGGTCTGGGCTATCGAACATTGGGTTGCGTAGCTCGGACAGTACGTGCATGATAGCTTGAAATGAGGCGACTCCACCTATCTAGGTTAGTTCGACGTTATCGCTGTCAAGGTATACATACCGATGTGCCACTGGAAACGAGCGGCATCAACGTCCACAGACGCTCCATTGATCGTTTCGATGCAGTTGACGGACTTTTCGAAGATGCTGTGATTCATTAATATGTGTTAGTTTGGAGTGTAGATAGCTGACATACGATTTGCGAATGTCGTTTGAAAAGACTACATCCCTGTATGCTCTAGGCATACGAAGCCAGAAGAGCAGATAGCACCGCCATTCGAGTAGTGACGCCAAACCCATGCATAGTCTCTGCATAGGTATCTCTGGATTACAAAAGCGCAGATACTTCCTGTGGCATTCTTCATGCACTTCATCGAGCATCTTCTTGATTTGTTCGTAAAGGTCTTGCAGTTCTCGCGCAGGATCGGGTCTCGATGTTCCATGCAAGCCCGAGTCAAGCATTCGCCGCTCCAGATGGTACGTGCTTCGAATGATCCGCCTAAGCGCCGCCATACCTTGGTACCTGACGAGCTGAAAGGTCATGGGTGTGAATCTTTCCTCGTCGTATGGCGCGGGACCTGGACTTGCTCCATCAACAAGCTCTTCATCCTCAACATTACGCGGGAACAGCGTTGTATAGTAATCCTCAGATAGACTCGGTTCTTGTCCTTTACATTCAGCGGCGCGGAACTCTAGATGGCCCAGCTGATACCATATGCGACGACGAAGCTCTATCGTGAGGGCGTCCATTGAGCCGACTGGGAATAAAGAAGGATCGCGGTGTAACCCTTGATTCAGCGCAATACGCGTTGCGATGCCGAGCAGCGCCCAAGCTTTGCCTGTTGATAGTGGTCAGGCTGAGTCATCTGGTGGTATATAGGATGCTTGTCTTACCCATGTCTTCTTCCTTGGTGATGCATGACAACCACAGCACGAAGCCTTGGAAGACCTCTAGACTTGAGGTTGTGAGGTAATTTTCTCTGGCTAGAGAGATCTCAATACCCAGCTGGAATCGATCCAGGAGTTCCTCTTTCGTCTCGCCAAAGCGACTCTGGACTACGTTGGGTGGTAGGGAGTTGATAGCCGAGAAGCAGATTGCAAATGCCATGGGATGAGTTTCGCGCATATACATCGAATACCTACGCACGACAGTTTGCTTGTGGGTAATTCTCACCATCGGGTCGACGTTGGCAAAATAGACATCTAGAAGCGTATCTCGCTGCTCTTGGGAGCTTGGTAAGAGTTGGTCCAGGTTTGATCCTGCGCCCGCTCGTCCAAGCGAAAGCAAATCGACAAGACTGCTCTGTGGCATTTCTTTCCGCTCTTCGTCCGTTTTATCACCAAGCAAGGCCTTGATGTCCTGGATCTGTTTGAGTCAGCCTTTGTGTTCAGCACGATCAAGATGAGATCACTCACTTCCTCCGCAAGCAGGGCATAGTGCAATGAAGAGACGAATTTCGATTGTCCGCCGTCGAGAAGAAGGGTGCCGTCGCCATCGTCGGCCAGCCCACCACCGTGAGAGGTCTGGCTGTTGGATGATGGCGTCAGGGCAGGTTCATGATCCTTCATTTCGCTATCTCCAAAAACTCGAGCAGGTACAGACGGTTTGCCGCCTTGCCCTGAAACCGCTTTTTCGAGCAATAGTTCAAGTCGCTCAAGACGTGATTGAACATCGCTACTCTTGGCAATTCTTCCGCCTCCTGATGTTGATGGTTTGGTGATCCTTCCGGCCGAAGTCTGCTCCTGCAAATGATCTGACCAAGTGCAGATATGGTTTCCGCGCGTGCAAGCTCCGCAAATGGGATGTTCATGGTCGCATTTGACTTTGCGACGTCGGCAGGTCAAGCAACTCTGTATCGTGCGCTGTCGCCCTCCAGCACCCTTTCCCGCCATATTCGGCGAGTGCGCCTGCGAACCAGGAGTTGTATCAACCATCCCTCGATGCTGATCCTCCTCTTTTCATCGGTCATTCGCAAATCCAGCTCAGGTGGTTGTTTCTGGTGAAGTCATAAGCGAAGGAGAGGCTCAATCTTCACGTGCGGGGCTTTTTCCAATTTAGCGCTAGCTTTAACTGTTTCCGGAAAGAACTTCTGGTGGATCACCTAACACCTCGAGCTTCTTATCCTTCCCGAGGTCGATTGCGGTATTTACCTAGGTATCCTCTGATCCACAGCATCCTACACCCCTTTTCTCCTCTTGACAACTGAGGGGATTTCCATGCGTAGTCTGCAAACACCCATGTAGACCGACCAGCACACTGTCATTATTTAGGTATTGCTGCGACATCTACGTCAGTGTTGTTGTACACTTGGTTAAATCTGATATATGGACCCTCAGGTTTTTAAGTGATTGGTGACGCTCTGCTCAGGCGGTGATACAAGCTCACAGTACCGCAACAACGTGCGGAAGGTCGGAGATAGTAACTCCTGCGTCCTTTTCGCCAGACGCTTGCAACACGCACCAGAACGGCCCATTTGTCATTGTGAGATGTTGGCTTGCCTCGAATTTGATGCAGCTCTTATATCCGAAAGAGCTCCACAGCGTGAGACCGATTTAATTTGGCTGACAAGGCTTGGCCGTCAGCAACCCCCAGTTCGCTGACGCAGCACTACAATCGTAAAGAGCTAGGTTAGCTTACCTGGCATCAACGCGCACGGATGAAAAGGTGGGTTTGGTGCTGCAAGGCTCCCAATGCTGGTGTAAAGGGAAAGTCTCATTGGTGCGTGTTCCTGAAGCTGACGAGGTTATACTGTGCGGGGTATCAATTTGAGATCATCCAGAACTGCCAGAGAGATGATCTGTATAAGTTCTACCTGCGGAACGAAGTTGAAGAGCTCAACACGCAACATTGTCTTCAGCGCGCCTCCACTGTCACGTGCTCCACATCATAGTCCCCCATCGCGTCTCATAACGTTACTCCAAGAGTAACTAATTGTAAGTTCGAATATCCGTACCCTCCAAACTAGCTTCCATAGCTTTTGAGCTTGGTTCAACATTGGTAACCTGCAGCATGCCTGACTTATACACAGCAAGCGATATGGTCTACAAACAGCTGTTCATCGACAATGAGGTGAGTTGCTTTCTGAGCATCATGTGTCAATCTGATACACAAATAGTACGTCGATGCAACATCTGGCGAAACCTTGAGCATCTACAACCCGCATGATCAAAGTCTTGTCGCCGATGGTATCCAAGTAGCATCCGAAGCAGATGTTGACAAGGCCGTAGCTGCAGCCCGTGCCGCCTTCAAAGGCGGATGGTCTAAGTGGACACCACGACAGCGCAGCGATGCTATGCTGAGGTTTGCTGATTTGGTGGACCAACATGCCGAAGAGCTCGCACTGTGGGAGACCAAGAGCATGGGTCAGCCCATCGGCGTTGCGTCGTACATCTATGGCCTGTTTGGTGCAGTTTTCAAATACTACGCCGGTTGGACAGACAAGCTTCCTGGAGAGGCCTGGACTGAAGATGAACAAGGAATGTACAAGGTAGGACACTTTTGAAGCGTTGTCGAAAATGATATTTAACGATTGCACAGATTATTCAGTACGAACCTGTTGGCGTTTGTGCTGGTATTGGCGCCTGGAATGGCTCTGGGATGTTCTTTGCTTACAAGATTGCCGCTGCGCTAGCTGCTGGGTGTACGTTCATTTACAAAGGCTCTGAGAAGAGCCCGATTGGCGTGCTGCAGCTTGGCCAATTTGTAAAAGAAGCTGGCTTTCCTCCCGGGGTGATCAACATCGTTACTGGTGATGGTAAGGTAGGCGCAGCATTGGCTTCCCACATGGATATCAACAAGATCTCTTTCACTGGGTCTGCCTTCGCCGGAAAGAAAGTCCAGGAGCTTGCTGCGAAGAGGTGTGTACGTTCCTAGGATCAGAAGCTTTTCTTATTGACATCGCTTCCAGTAACCTCAAGCGCGTTACGCTTGAACTGGGTGGCAAATCCCCGAGTCTCATCTTCCCTGACGCCAATCTGGACATCGCGCTCCAGCATCACAGCCAGAATTTCCTAATGAACTCTGGCCAAGTATGTGTTGCCGCATCTCGTACCTTTGTCCACGAAGATATTGCAGAGAAGTTCATACAGGAGCTGAAGACGCGCTTTGAGCAACTCGCAAAGGCTATGGGCCAGCCTTCGGACCCGAACATGTACTTCGGCCCACTGGCGGACGGCGCACAGTTTGAGCGTGTGATGAGCTTCCTTGATATTGGAAAGAAAGAGGCAGAGCTTGTGACTGGTGGTGCGAGGCATGGTGAAAATGGATGGTACGTTCAACCGACCATTTTTCTGAACCCGAAGGACGACGCAAGGATTTATCGGGAAGAGATCTTCGGCCCTGTTCTTACAATCCGCACTTTCAAAACCGAAGAGGAGGCCATCGAGCTTGCCAATGATACCAGCTTTGGCCTGTCGTGTAAGTGTGCCACATTGCCATCCAAGAACCAAGAGTCTAAACTCCCTGCAGCTTGCATCTTCACAGCATCAATGCCACGTGCCTTGCGCCTTGCGAAGCAACTTGATGCTGGCAACGTAAATATCAATACCTCGCAGGTCTTAGGCCCAACCGTGCCATTTGGTGGTTCCAAGCAGTCTGGAATCGGACGAGAGGGTGGTCGCATGGGCTTGATGAACTACCTTGAGGCGAAGACCATCAACATCAAGTATGTCGACCCTTCGCACATTTGCCTTCCAACACTAACAGGGATTAGTCTGAATGCCTAAGTATAAGTACTGAGGGGAGGGTAGCACCCGGATGTTTCGTTGTGCTGGCTGACGGAAAGGTTGCGTGCATAACCTGCTACCCAGCCACCTTCAGGACAGATCTGCTCAGGCATGGCGCATCTATGCACCGAGATCTGCTAGAGCGTCGTGACTCTCTCATGAGAATATGCGGTTTTGTCAAAAATTCAACAGTAAAGCGATGACAACTTTGTCTACCTGCGATACGAATGCCTGTTAGGTCTGACTAGGCTCAAGCATGTATGCCGCCGTCCGCTCAACTCTACCACTCACAATATGAATACTTTCCTCAGTTCACTCCGCTCATACTGCGACGAGTTATGCTCCGTTCTGCCTTCTTCGCACACCCTTGGTCTAAGCTGACCGTCACCGTGTGTAGAGCATCGTCATGAACGTGGTAACTAAGGCACTCAAAACGACAGCGCGCCTTCGAGAAAGCAATGTGGTACATGTCACAAAGATGTGAAACAAAAACAAGCAAAGGTCACAACGTGGCTGGAGCGGCGTGATCCTACGAGCACGCTAACGATCTATACTCGAGTGCCCTTTCCTAAACGGGCCTGGCTGCAGTGGCGGCCCAAGCTTGCACGCAGCTCTCGCTGCCTGTCACACGTCAGCGCACTTTCGCCCGCATGAAGCTGATGTGACTGGCTAGACATAACCGCCCCAGCTAGCACATCCATGGCTTCTCGACGTGATGAGGCTGGGACAAACTTGTTTCTGGCGTGTTATTGTTCACTCAGAGTAAGAAGTAGCCCGCTCGGTGTGTCTCTTAAACCTCGCGATTCCCACGTCGCCAGTCGTCGATCGCAACGCGGGCCCCACGTCCAAGACTGGCTGCAGCTCTTCCGCTTGCGGAGCTTGTCAGAGCTGAGATATTGTAATCGGTTGCGGCGTGAGAGTGCCAGGAAGCTTCACCGCTCCCACGATTGTCTTATCACATTATATAGGACATGTGAGGAAGAGAGTACAGCTGGACATGACGACGCTATCTCCCGGTGCGCAAATGCCCTGTGCAGCTCTACGAGTACGATGCGCTGACACTTCTCGTATTGACAGACGTTCGCGACTCGACCCTCCGATCGTTGAAACTGCACTGCCCCTCTGCCGAAGGATTACCAGTCGCTGAACAATCGCCTGACTCCTTCCATTCGCCTACCATGGAGCCCAACCCTTTCGAACACGCAGACACAGAATGGTCGGACGAAGAGGAACTGATACCCAGGCGAAGGCGAAGAACACAGCATGTGCCTCCACCTGTGAAGGTCACGCGCGGCGGAGAAACCTCCTCGGAAGGCTCGTCTGGTAGTCCGCTGGTGCCTCCAAAGAGCCCTTCGCGACCAGACGTAAGGCCTGGGAGTAGCCAGGAGGACCTAGTGCAGCGCTTCTATCAAGTCACAAGAGAAAGGGACGCCTTGAGGAAGGAGCTACAGAGGAAGAGCATGGGATCAAACGGCTTGCCAGCTCGAGGCTCGACAATATTCAAGTCAGAAGAGAAGACCTTGATCGAAGAGCTCCAGGCATTACGATACGAGATACGAGTATGGAGCGAGGAGTACTTCAGTGGCCCTACAAGCTCTCGAAGTAAGCGACCGCACTTGCATGCGGCGAAGGACTTGTTTGGTGGCCTGACGGACAATTACTCTGTTTATCTGAAACATCCAAATGATCGGCCATTGCTCGTACAAGCATACATTTGGTCGACGTTGCAGAAAAAGATTTTCAACAATTTTCAAAAAGGGAGCGGCTATGTCTGGGCAGGCAAGCTTGGAGATAAAAATCTTCGTCCCATCAACGACACGCTGAGGAAAGGTGCGAAGAATTCCCCCATCACACCATTCTAACGTTCAAACTGACTTCCCGTAGCTGTGAAGAACGAGGCGCAAGCCGAAGAGTACCACCAATGGCGGTCGATGACTGTCAATCTACTCGTACCACGGGAAGACGGCAAATGGCGCCCAACTTTCGACGCTGCACCTGTCCTGAAAAGCATATCGCGTCTATGCAGTCGAATGCGACGTAAGCTGCGGCCATACTCTACTCGATCACTGCGCGACAGCAAAGAGCAGCTCAAGACCATCTTCTCCGCTTCCGTTGCCCTCGACCTAAAAATGAAACGACAACTAGCCGACTATCGTTTCGTCACGTTCACGGGTGGTAAACCGAATCAGTTCTGGGGCTACGGTTACTACGACAGCGAGATGGAAGATGTTTATGATGACAGTGAAGACAGCGGTAGCGGCCGAGGCGGGTACGGTGATAGTCATAGTGTAAAAGCTAGACGAGTGGAGCTGGCGCTGGCGCCAGCTCTGGAGAGATGCGGTAATGCAAATGGGCACGTCTTCGACCAGAGTTTCATACTGGTCAAAGCGGACGTGAGCTGTAAGAGGTTGCAAAGACAAGAAAAGCCAGCAAGACCAAAGCCCAGCTCGAGGAACGCAAGCAAAAGTTTTGGTGGCATGTGGCACCGTGGATCCTGAGGGGGTGCTGGTGATAGCCCATAGGGTGACGATCGTACCCCATACTGTCTCCCGACACTCCCTGCTAAGCCAGCGCACAACTTCAATTAGATTTGCTGTAGCTGGCAGTCACCAACGCGCCCAGTGCTCAATGGATATCATGTAACTCACTTTCTGTAAACGCCAAATATCGCTTTTGCCGCCACAGTGTTACAGACCGGACCTTTACATCAAATCCTCGGGAAAAAGAACAAAGGACACATTCCTCCAGAACCACGGTACTTTAAGTATCAGACATCTGCACTCCGGGCTGGTATCTTACAAGACAGCCTTGCAAATTCTGGCGACGCTTCCTCCAGTCAACCATCGGCCGCAGGATTGTCCGACACGAGTAATACGAGTGGGGGCTTGATTCTGTAAGGACATCCCTTACTCAAGTACTAGAACTTCGATATCGGCGATCAGATACAAACACCCTGTACGATCTGGCGTTCTTGCCCCGCAGTCTACATTACTAGATACCCACCTTCCATCCTTACCCTGAGGCCGTTCTTCTTCACGACGAAGTACAACACGTATTCAATACAACTGTCGCACGAAGATGCTCGGGGCATCACCCTTTCGATTTCTGGATCTTCCCAAAGAGTTACGCTTTATGGTCTACGAGAACCTTAATGTCTCTGCGAAGCAACTTCGATTACTGCCCCTTGGTGATGGTCTACAACTCGAAGAACAAACCACGCAATCGCTTGACGATCTATCTGCCATCACTGTTACACTACAAACTCTTTCTGTTCAGATCTACTCCACGTGCCGCCTCATATACTCTGAAGCTCTCCCCTTTCTCACCAGAAAACTCGACAAGATCCGCGAAGACATCCCCAGACTCACAATAGGGGCCGACTGTCTCTATTCTAGCGCTCTAGCCAGCACACAAAGGCTGTTGTGTGCTCTTCTAGACACACTCAATAACCACCCCTTCTTCACATCCAAATCCGCCACTACGCTGCCACCGCCGTGGCACATGGAATTCCTATCCCAGTACCCCAGCGATGTCCAACAATGGCTCGTGCAGACTGCGCACCTCCTCCTCTCCCAGCGTCCCCCACCATGCCCCTTCGCAGGCTTCATGGGCTCGCCCACATACCCAACTGTGCGTCTCATCATCGAAGTACCGAAGATGTGGAGATACGCGACGTATCGCGGACGTATGGGGGAGTCGCTCTCGACGCCGCCGTTGTATACAGGGAGCATCACGAGTCAGCTTAGTCAGATGTACGGTATGCTAGTCGATCATACGAGAACCTTGGGGCACATCAAGAGCGGGGCGATTGTGTTTGATCAGGAGGATGAAAGGGTCTTTGAGAAGGAGGGGTTGGTGGTTAAGAAGACAGTCGCGTTGGATTTCGGGATTTGTAGAGCCATAGAGTAGGGCTGAAAGACTGTTGGGTTTGCTTTGTCTTTTCGCCTAGATTTTCGGCACGATCCATGCTAATCCGAAGGGTTAGACTGCTGAGTGGAGCTGAGCGTAGAAATGACCACTCAATCTCATTCTACCGGTACTGCTCTGTCTTACACGCTAAAGATCGCAGTGCTGTTTGTTAGGGCGAGGACACTTGGACCATTTACTTGAATTAGAACGATCTTGCTAGCTCGCAATAGGCCAGATATGAGCCCATGACCGTCATGTGCCAACTTCACGCAGCCGCATGTTGCATCCGATAATCCATGACCAGCTCATGGGGTGCCTCACACAGCTCTATCAGCGGAGGTCTTGTAGCTCATGAATAAGCTACATCGTAACGTCGAAATCGACAAGACCTGAAATTTGTCACTCCCAATTGCTTCCATACCCTAGTTGCTAGAATGTCGAGGAAGTTAACGTATCCATGTAAAGTTGATAAGTACTCGATTCTGAGCTGAAAGCGATACCTGGTTTTAGCCGCCACACCAAGGACAACGTTTATTTAAATCTACATGTTAGATGATCCAGAACACCCTACACCGAAGTCTTAGACCTCAGGTGCTCAACCAGGAGCGGACAAGGTAGATGTGCTCTCTGTCAGCCTTGCCAGTAGGATTCAATCTCCCACGCTAAGGATTACATTGCAGCAACCACGAAGCAGGGTACCCCTGACACGGGCAGCAGAGGTGCTGCAACTGCACCGGTGACCACACCAAGCATTCCTCCTCTGGTGCAGCACGAAATCCATCGCCCCTGTGACTCAGCCTTGCGTAAGCCCTCTCACCCCAAAAATCAGCCTTGGGCGAGACTCTCACAGGGTACGTCTCCGCAACAATGCTGAATGCCGTAGATAGGGTTGAAACACCATTATTCTAGCAAAGAGCTCTAAGCGCAACGAAATGCACACATTTATTGTTGAACCTTTCAGTCTCGGCAGATCTCACTGTTTGCTTCGATAGAAGACAGAACACGCAGACCCTCACTCCAAAACTATCAATACTGCTGCGATCGCACAGTCATCCTCCAAATCTACACCGATACTCGAGATGTAGCAAGACCAGTTGAGCCCAGCGTTCCTGCTCTCCCGCCCGGAAAGACGAGGGGGAAGACAGCGTGCTTACCAGGCCCACTCTACTAAATTTGTCTTGCACGCTAGAGATTGCAGTGCAATATGCGGACGACCTATGTACTCGCTTGCCTAAAATGATGCTGCTCTCGACATTTGTAGCGGAAGCAAATGCACTGCAATCTCTAGCGCCGCCGAGGCGACACAGCGAGCAGGCTGACGGCGGCCTTGGCCTGCTCTTCTGCGCTAGAGATTGCAGTGCAACATTTGCCACAAACTACACTATACGTTCGGGGCCTTAAGATTTTGGTACAAGGCTGTGCTCCAGCGCCAAGGACACTATTGTACGTGTGGCGTGAGTACTATTTGATCATATCGAGTATCGGAACGTCTTTGAAACGATCTGAGCGGTACAGTCATCACGTCGTCTATGGCTGCAGGAGCCTCCAGAGTAGTGTAAGATCTACTATGTGTCATCACCATGAGTTTTCGAGAAGGAGGATAAACAGATGATTATGTGAGAACAAGTCTCGGGTGTAGACATTCGCTATAAAACAGAATCTGAAGCCGACATCACAGCCAAAGCCGTCCAGGCACGAAGACGACACAACGCCAGGGTATAACTAAAAACTCGAAATCTCAGCTCATCGTACAGTGCGACTGACAATACTGGGCAAAACTCCTAGAAACCGGTATGGTCAGTATTGAGAAGGACAACGGGGAGGTGATGCGTGTCTACATGACAACGCACTTTTCACGCTCCTCGCCGTTCGGGCCCACCACTCCAGCGCTCTGGCGTCTTCCAGGCCTTCCTATGTTTGAGCCTGGCGCCTGCTGTCTGCCAGAGAACCGTCTACCGGAGGGGCCGGCTCCGGGACCAGCCCCGGAAGCGCTGTTGAGCTGATAAGCACTGCCTTGGCCGGGCAGCGGAGCATTCGGATTCGCAGGGTGACCAGCAGGAGGGTTGTACTGCGGAGCCGTTGAAGCCTCTTCGTAGGTTGGCGGTGGAGCTGGGCCTTCATTAGGCCTATAGCCCGTGATGTTGTTGCGGCGCGGTGGAATCGTTGGTGGCTGCTCTCCAGGACGCGAAGCCCTGCGATTAGCAGGGCGTTCGCGTGCTTGCGCTGCTATCGCGTTTTCGGACGCCTGGTTGTCACGCACACGTTGTTCAGCCTCGCGTCTCTCACGGTCCTCTTCTTCTTCTTGAAGCTGGAGTGCCAAAGCCAGATCATGGTCTTCTTGTTCAGCTCTACTCAGACCAGTAGGCGAAGTTGGTTCTTCGGCCGGAGCAGCAGGCTCGGAGGTTGGAGCTGATTGCTGCTGGACCGGTCGGCGAGTCGGTACAGTCGTCCAGCCCTGACCGTTGTCGTTGACTGGTCTCTGCTCCTGTTGCTGGATTGCTTGCTGGGGGGCGGAATCGTGATTTCCAACAGGCCGGAAATCGCCCGAGAAGAGCTCACTCCCCATACCGTTGACATCGACTAACGACTCCCACACAATCTCATCGTGTGTAGAATAGCCCTGATCTGTCACTAGGGTCACAAGATTTTGTGTTCGAGAGTCCTTGATCAAGGTAGAGAAATGATCATTGCGGAAGAGAATGGCGACTTGGCCGGGTTGTAAGCTGTCTTTCATGACCTTTAGACCATGATCTGTCAGTTGTGTAGGCCATCTGCTCAGGAACTCTTTGATGGCGTGAATATCAGTAAACATCTGCTGTTCACTGTCTGTCAAGGGCTCTCCGGATTGCAATTTCGCGTCCAGCTCTTCCTCTTGGAACTGGACGTATTGTGATGTTTCGTATGACTTCGCCACGCGCTCGAAAGCTTGATATGCCTCAGAACCTTCTTCTGGAAGCCACCCATGGATTAGCGGAATATCGAACGTACGATACAGAGTCATATCCGGTGTATTCTCGAAGCTTCCGGCTTTGGCTCCAAGGGGGTTGGCAGGCACAACATTACCGCGAGTGTTCTCAGTATCAGGTACCAGCATCGGATTGACGTTCAGACCGGTGTGGAGGGCGAGGAGGAACTTGTACAAGTCGCTAACATCCGGAAGCTCTTGAGCTGCATCACCTCGACGGCCCGACATGAGTTCATCGAACACAGCATCGAGCAGAAGACCAAGACTGACCTGCTCACGTGTACATAATGTTTCCACCAAAGCGGTATCAATCCCAGATGGAGTCGAGAGCACGAGTGCATTCACCAGAGCTAGTAGGGGACACGGTCCATTCAAGTTCTGTGTAAGAATCGGCGATGTGCGAAGGCCTGGCTTATTAACGTCGTGCCATCGAATATGCTTGATCTGGTAATGCTCTCTTCTTTGCCTGTTCATAGCAGTGCTTGGCGACTCGGGCACCGGAGATGCGGCCGCGATGACACCCGTCTCAATCGGTCGCGGAGGATATGCAGGTGGCTCCTCCTCTGTCGGTCTGCGCGGTGGGAGCGGTGGCCGCGGCTCATCTTCAGATGGTGCAGGTGGTTGCTGTGGAGAGATCTGCTGCGGCTGATCCTGAATGTGAGGGACAGGGGGTGGCTGCGACTGCGGAATAGGAGGAGGCGCGTAGGCTGGCTGAAGAGTCGGCGCTGCGAAGTCCTGCTCGGCATGTGGTGGCGTAGATTGGGCGGTTGATTCGAAACGCTGGGCCGGGTAGTCAGAGAGTTGCTGCTGCTGGAGGGAATGATCTGGAACCGCTTGTTTTGGCTCATTGAAATCTGCTGCAATGGCGGGCGCACTTTGGTGCCAAACATCCGGCTCTTGCTGAATTTTTTGAGGTGCCTCGTATGTTGTGGTTTCAGGTCGTTGATTTAGTGGCGCAGTTCCTGTAGCAGTGCTCCACGGGTTGGCACCGGGAGAATCATCTCTGGGGTGCTCGGTCTGAGGGGTAGCGGACTCGTATGCGAGCACAGGCGGCTGTTCAACAAACTGTTGTCTTTGTGTTTGAGCCGTATTGTTGTGGAGGCCCAGGTTTGCCATGTGGTTCGTGGGTGTAGACGGTGACTGGAAAGCAGGAAGCTCCACTGGCTCGAAGCGCTGAGATTGCCCCTGTGAATCCCCCCAGACATTATCGCCGTCGAACGTGCTCTGCCCGGTCGTCTGCATTTTGAGGTACGGATTGTTGGTCTTGAGAGGTATAGAGCCACTCGAGCCGTCGTTTGAAATAGTGCTCACGCCGCCGTACGAAATGCCGCTGGCTCCGGTCGCCATGGGCGAGATGTTCTCCCAGGACTTCTTGATGGGCACGCCCAGTGGGGGACCAGGCCTCAAAGCATCTGGGAGAGTGCCTTGTGTGTTCGATGTTACGGCCGGCGCCTTCCCTCCCGCAGGTCTCAGCGAGTCTGGCACGCCTCCCGGGCTGGGGTCGTCCCAGATGTCGTCATCGTCCGACTTGTCCCACTCCTCGTCGCTGTAGTCCGATTCGTCGAGCAGTTCGTCGTCTTTGTGCGGGGCTGCTGTATCTGACGTCTTAAAATTGGCGGCGGGGGTGCTGCTGGCGCCCGTAGGATAGCCATTCGGTGCTGATGCAGCAGGAATCGTGGGCGGTAGCTCTTCGCCCGGTGCGAGGGGGTAGGGGGGATTCGCTTTCGAGAGAGGCGCTGGCACGAGGCCGTCGTCGGCAGAGGGCTTCATCACCATTGTGTCGGTCGTGGTGGTGAGGCGAGTGGACACAGGTGAGGGTGTACAAGCAAGCTCAAGCCACCGGGGTGGGTGGTTGGCCGAAGTAGTAGCTTGGCTTCCGTATCGAGGCCAAGACAAGTTTATTGGGAGTCCTGATCGTGCGATTACAGAAAGGACGTATCCAAGTCCGCACCCAGGCCGCCTTATGCGTACGCGGCCAGGCGCGCAGCGATGCGGAAGCTACGAGCCCGTGCAGTAGCTACGTAATGCCGCCGGTCTGCGCCACAGGTGTGGCGAGTCGTGGCGCAGTGTGGAGACGCGCATGTGAATTTGGGGTTGAGGTGACTAGTTTTCGCCATGACCATTTTTGCCGTTTCTGGCTCCATTGCGCCTCGCGCCTCTCGCCTCTCGCAACGGTCACTGCATGCAGCATAGAGAGCTCAGCATCGCACATGATCTAGTAGATACGGACAGTAGTGGCGACACCGAACAAGCATGCACTCCCACATACGGCCCAATACGCACGTCGCGTTGCGCCTGCCGTCAGGCATTTTGAAGGTCGTGGAGCTCAAACCCAACACGTACGTTGCATAGCCGGAGTGAGCCCTCCATTGTCGCCCTGATTTTCAGGCACCTGTTCTAAAGCTTCTATAGTAATATTTTCCTGGGAAAGTTCGGAACCTTCAATTCAAACCTCCTACTCGGCCGCCCGTACTACCTCACCTACGAAGTACTCGACAAAGATGACGGCAAAGCAAAGACCGAATTGCGCGTTGTGCCAGCTGCCGAGCTTCACGCCGAAGCGGTAGGAGACGGACACGCGCCCCCGCCTGCCGCCGAAGAAGCAGACGAGAGTGCTGAGGGCGGCGCTGGGTTCGACATTGTAGGCGCCGACGGCGAGGTCATAATGCGTAACAATCGCCTGACCGTGGATGACGCAACACGACAGACTCTCACTATGGAGGAGATTGAGGAGCTGAAGAAGGCCGGCACCGGGTCAGGGAAAGAGATTATCGCGAAAATCATGGCATCGCACCAGGCCATCAGTGAAAAGACAGCCTTTTCGCTGGCCAAGTACACACTGCGAAAATCGCGAAAATTCTTAAGGCGATTCACAGCGCTCCCCGTGGATGTTAGGAACCTGACCGAGCACATTTTGGAGAAGGAGGCGTACAGAATCATGGAGTTGAGAGAGGAAATGCTGGGTCTGATCTGCAGTTGGTCCAACGTCCACTGCGGCGCAACCAGCCGTCTCCTGACCGCCGAAGACGGCATCAGCCAAATAGGCGGAGGGCGCTGGCTCGTAGTTGACGACACTGGCGGCCTCGTCACCGCTGCACTCGCCGAAAAGATGGGCATTCTCTACCCGACAGAGGAAACAGACGACACCACATCCGAGGAAGAGGAGACCGCACAAGAACCCCCACAAACTGACGCGCAGCCCGACACCACGATGCCCGACGCAGACCAAGCCACAGCCGACGCCGCAACTCGTCCCCGCAAAGTCCCTCGACCGCATATTCCCCAAATGTCCGCCTACACAAATACTCTCACCGTCCTACATCCAAACAACCAACCCAACCTCGCCTGTCTCAAGTACTTCGGCTACGACGTCGGCCAGCCCTCGCCCTCGCACCCTCTGTACAAGCACCTGAAATCGCTCTCCTGGCTCTCGCTCCTCGCACCTCAAGACGACCCGTCTTACATCGAGCCCGAGCTGCTCTCCGCTGCCGAGCTCGAAGCACTGAAGAGCAGCAAGCGTGGCAACTACTACAAGAAGCGACGGCGGTGGGAGCGCACGGCGCGCGTTGTCAACGAGACACAACGCGGCGGCTTCGACGGTGTCGTGGTCGCCACCTCGATGGACGTCCGGGGCGTCCTGCGCGAGCTGGTGCCGCTGGTGCGCGGCGGCGGCAAGGTCGTCGTGTACCACCAGAACGCCGAGCCGCTTGTGGAGCTCGTGGACTGCTACAGCAAGGACCGACGTGCGGCGTTTATCGCGCGCGAATTTGGGACTGGAGCGCAGCAGAACGGGAAAAGGGCGGCGGAGGGTGGAGATGATGCTGTCGAGGGGGAGGATGAGGCGGATTTCCCTGTAAATCCGACGTTGCTGCTTGCGCCGAGCCTGCAGACGGCGAGGGCGAGGCAATGGCAGGTCCTACCTGAGCGGACGCATCCTATGATGACGAGCAAGGGTGGTGCGGAGGGTTATTTGTTTACGGCCACGAGGGTTATACCAGTTGAGGGGAGGGTGGAGGCGAGAGGGCATGGGACGAGGAAGAAGAGGAAGACCGCGGTAGAAACGCCTGCGGAAACCAGCGCCGCAGACACGCCGGTGGAGGTATGAGATCATATATCGTTAGGAATATACAACCGATTTATGTATGAGCGAGGACTGCTGCTGTCTCTTTGGGTGCGAACCATGCCGAATCTGGATCGTGCTCGTGCTTTTGACATCCAGGTATCCAAAATGTGAGTGTACGTTCAGTTGGATATAATGCGCTTGGCAAGTTCGGAGCTCGCTGGCTGGAAGTTATGTCAATTCTCAATATGTGTCTATGCCTTTCCCGCATCTACAATGCCTTGCCCATGAACTTCCTCTTAGTGTAGCTCAACCACCACTTGCTCGGCGCACCTGTATCGTCCGCGTACACCCTGTTCAGTAACCTTGTCGCTAGCTCCTGCCGCATCTGCATGATGTACTGTCTCAGGATCTCCGCTGAGTTCCTGTCTGGTGGTGCCTCGAAAGCCTGGTTTAAGGGGAAGCCTGCATCACCGGGAATGGAGAAGTTGGTGTCGAGAGCAAGGTTCATGACGGCCTATTTCCATTAGTAAGGCCAGATCTGATTATTCCTGAGCTCCAGGTGTTTTAGACGCACCTTCTCAGCTTCTCTCCGCGACATGCCTGGCTTGATCTTGCCAAGCACCTCGCTCACGTACAGGATGCCATAAATGAGCACGCGGTCGGCAGGTCCCTTGATTTCGAAGTTGCGGAAGAATGTGTTTGCGCGAAACAGGGCCAGGATCTCATCGAGCGGGTCGTACGACTCGTGTGCTGCATCGATGGTGAGCTCCGTGACGTCGGCGGGAAGCGCTGGGAGCTGTTGTGCGGGACCGCGAGTCCTTGTGCGGAGAGGGAGGAGCGCGAAGTTGCCTGGTGCATCGGTCAGTGGGCGGGCTGCTACAGCGGCCGGGCGGTAAGTACCAATCAGCTGCTGGTTGGGCTCCTCGAGGAAGACGGAGTGGTAGGCCTGGCGGGGTTAGCTGGGTGGCACAATTGCGAACGACACTGTGCGGTGATGCTCGCAAGACGACTCGTCACTCACAGGCATCTTGAGAAATGCTGCCGCTGGCGCTGTGGTGTGTGGAGCTTTCGAGGGGTCCGGAGGGCGGATGGCGGTGATGGCGCAGCTTAGTGCTGTGAGGTGTGCCGTAGGGCTGAACGGGGCGGGGATCGGGGGTTGACATAAGCAGCTGCCAATTAACGCGTCCGTCGCGTCCCCCAGCTCGCGTCGTCATTGCGGGAAAGTCTTCGACCCTACGATCACCGACCACGCATCGGCTCACACTTGTCAATTCTCTCCACCCCCCATTTCCAGTCACTCTCGTTTCACCACCAACATGTCGGACATTGAAGACGAAATGGACATTGATGCGCCCGTCGCAGACACCTCGATCAGCTTTGGTGGAGACTCGAAGAAGGGCAAGAGAAGTGCAGCTAATCTGCCTGTGGAAGCAGAAGACTCGTTGCCATGGTTGGTCATATCGCTGCAAAGGTGAAAGCCTGGAGCTAACCTCCTGTCAGGGTGGAAAAGTATCGACCAACATCTCTCGCAGAGGTTGAAGGACACCAAGACATCATTGCGACTATCAACAAATTCGTCGACTCGAACCGACTCCCACATTTACTCCTCTATGGCCCACCAGGAACTGGCAAGACATCGACTGTACTTGCCCTGGCACGACGGATATACGGCAACAAGAACATGAGACAGATGGTCTTGGAGCTGAATGCATCCGACGACAGAGGCATCGACGTTGTACGAGAGCAGATCAAGACCTTCAGTAGTACAAAGCAGATCTTCTCGGCTGCTCCGAAAGCAGGCGATGCGTCGCTTGCCACGTTCAAGCTCATTATTCTGGACGAGGCCGATGCCATGACCTCAACAGCGCAAATGGCCCTTCGACGTATCATGGAGAAGTACACGGCCAACACCCGATTCTGCATCATCGCAAACTACACACATAAGCTTTCGCCGGCGCTGCTCTCCCGATGCACCCGTTTCCGCTTCTCGCCACTGAAAGAGCGTGACATCAGAAATTTAGTGGACAAGGTCGTTGAAGAGGAGACCGTCAACATCACCCAGGATGCTACAGAGTCGCTAGTTACACTCAGCAAGGGAGACATGAGGCGAGCACTCAATGTTCTGCAAGCTTGTCACGCTTCTAGCACACCTTTGCAGCCACCTGGCAAGCCAGCAGTGGACCCCAGCACCATCGTACGAGACCAGATAACACAGACCACGATCTACGACTGCATCGCCGCACCGCACCCCTCGGATATCAAGTTCATCATCGACACTCTGCTCTCGACGAACGATATGACCCAGTGTTTGCGCACAGTCAATAACCTGAAAACACTGAAAGGGTTGGCGCTTGCCGATATTCTTACTGCGGTCAGTGAGGAGCTTGTCGAGAACGAGGTTCCACCACAAGTTATGGTGACATGGATGTCAGGCTTAGCGGACATCGAATACAGGCTCAGTGGAGGGGGTAGCGAGGCAATACAGACCGGCGCTGCTGTCGGAGTTATCCGCACTGGTGTGGAGCTGATGGGGAATGGGAAGAAGTGAAGGAATACAGGCATATGGGTGAATGGCGTTCAACAGGACATTGGCGGCACAAACTCCGCAAGACGATACCACAGCGATACTTGAACAATCAAAGCGCAACCACCGTGCGGGTTGCACAAGACCTTGTGTAACTCTACCAGGAACGCCTGTGAGTAGATCGTGTCCAACCAATACTGACACTGGAATCCCCCAGAAACGCACGACGGTGGGGCCGAATATTCCTGTAGGCGCCAGCGGTCTCGATTGTTGATGTAAACAAGCAGCAGTTCGTGAAGACGCGCCAACACGAAAATCCCACGCTACTTTGAAACGCGACGAACCCCCACATTTACCAGCCATCGTCCCCACCAACGTGACATCCAAGGTACTTGAACCACTATGATAACCCCGATAAAGCAGAAAAGGAAAGCCGACGACATGGCCGATTCTGTAAGTACTCCGGCGACATCGAAACCGCACTGATCGCGACATGCGCCTTGTTGTCGCAATGTGCTAATGCGCCACAGCTGTCTCACACACCGGCAAAGCGGCGAGTGACAGCTCAACCAAAGAAACGCTTATCGATACCCGGAGCGTTCCCATCAGCGGAACTCTCCAGCCAGGAAACTTCGCAAAGGTCCGCGCATTCGGTTGTTTCTGCTAGAACAGTCGATGTTCGACAAGCCCAGACCAGTAGAGCAGCGCCGCTTCCAAAAGCACAATCAAAGCCGACGATTGCATCGAACAGGGTGCAAAAGTCTACGACTCGTCAACCATCCACACCAAGGAAACAACGGTCGAGTAAAAAGCTCTCAGTTGTCACCCCAAAGGCAGAGCGACAATCGAAACGTCAGGATGTCACTATGCGCTTTTCGTTTAGCAATCAACTTAGAAATGCGCAAGGTCCCCTAAAAAAGGGTAGAAGAAGAGGGAGGCCTTCAAGTCCTGAGGATGCGCTGCCCTACAAGCCTGTGTTATCACCTATCGTTTCGCCCACCAAACGGCTTACGCCTCACCGTCGTGGCAAAGAGGATAAAGTTCTGAATAGAAGTTTTTCTGAGTTGCTAGTCACGACTGCGCAAAACAACCTTACCGGCCCCTTAAAACATGACTACACAGACACCCCATCAGATCTATCGTCGGAGCCAAATCACGAACCAAAAGCACCTGATCCATCCGTGTTTTCACACCCTAGCAAGAAACGGGAAGGCTATGGATTCAGCTACTCGGAACCACTCTGGTATGACTCAGACGAATACCCCGACACAGAATGCGACTGGGACCCTAAAGATGACGGGCAATCCGCGCCGCTCGATGCACTATTCGATCAGAGTAGTTCATTTGAGGATATTGTCGTCATGAGAGATGTCGGCTCCTTCCACATTGCTAAGCCCCAGCGTATCCTCCAGTGCACAAAAGCCACTAGAGAAGACACTGTGCGCCTGAAACAACGGGCGAAGACGTTGTTCAAATGGGATGAAAGCGGTAACGTATATTCATCGCTCGTCGGAAGACTAGAGCGCATGGTCTATAGCGATCTGGAGAAGAAATTCGGTGGCCGTGACAGCTCCGTGCCGTCCGTCGTGCAGTGCGCAAGCAAGCTGAAGGACTTCCTACAACGAAACAAGGAAGAACGAATTGAGACGGGTGAGAGCCGTCGTGCAGTAGAGCACGAAATTGAGTGGGCAACATGGCTTACAGAAGCTAGTCGGACGGGTGTCATGCATTTAAAGACCCAGGGCTGCAGCTGTCGGCCAGACTGGGAGGAAGATTGAGCTGTGATGTAGCACCCTGCGAATACCCCAGCGCATATTTGAACTACCTTCTTGTAACTAATATTACTAAAGACTAGACCGTCAAGGCTGGTACGCTGGTCCTTGTACTCGCTACGCTGGTCCTTGTACTCGCTACGCTACACATGCGACCAATGGACGTCACACGCAGATCGTGGCATGCAATCATTCCTCTCATTGGCTGATACTTTGGTTTGCACTCAGTACAGCTTCCACGACTGTAAAGTCTACAAAATGTACATATATACGAAGATTTCCTCCCTCGTTCCGACGCTGAGACGCAGTGCTCGATGTAGCATGTGTCGACGTCATCGATACCGACTAAGCCGCAAACAGCGCACTACTTTGGGCGTGAAACTACCTACAGCCTCAACCACTTGGCCTGAAAGTCACGATATCTGATCCGTGTTTACTTCGAGATACACTACTTCGACTCGTTGTTGAGTGCACTGTTAACTGTCATCGAGTCCATCGCTTGTTGCCAACACCTTCAAGATGAATTACATCTCCGGTACATCCGCTATAACTTTCCACATAGGAAGTACACCTGTTAACAATGGCCAGATTATGTGATGTCTGACGCCGTTGTCAACCCTCTTCTAGACAATGGATACCTCCCACACTTTGTCATTCGTCGCGGTATCCGGGCCCAACTCGCAGACCGCTTGAACTCGATTGCAACTACATCACTCGAGGCAGCATATGAGTCCAAAATGAAGTATGTTGAACTGCTTCGCACCAGACCCATCGCCATTGAGACGGCAACCGCAAACGAGCAGCACTATGAAGTCGGCACTTCTGTATTAAAAGGCATGCTCGGCCCGCGAATGAAGTACTCGGCCTGCTTGTATGAAAAGGGCGGGGAAACGCTTGCACAGGCGGAAATCGCAATGTTGAAACTCTACGTGCAGAGAGCGGATTTGAAAGACGGACAGCGCATTTTGGATCTCGGGTACGTCCCATCATCTCAACACCCCACGTGACAACACGTGCTAACAGATGCAGCTGTGGATGGGGCTCAGCATCTCTCTTCTTCGCCGAAGTCTTCCCCAACTCGCAAATCACCGCCTTCTCCAACAGCCGCACGCAGAAACAGCACATCGACAGCGTCGCCGCATCCAAAGGCTTCAAAAACCTGACCGTGATCACTGGCGACGTCGTCGACTACGAGTTCGAGCCCAACAGCTTCGACCGCGTCGTCTCCATCGAGCTCTTCGAGCACATGAAGAACTATGCGCTGCTAACCGCCAAGGTATCACGTGCGCTCAAGCCCGGCGGCAAGTTGTTCGTGCACATCTTCGCGCACAAGACTACGCCGTATGACTTTGACGGTGGGTGGATGACAGAGCATTTCTTCACGGGCGGCACGATGCCGTCGGCTGATTTGTTGCTTTTCTTCCAAGAGGAGCTGAGACTCAAGAGGCAGTGGTGGGTCAATGGCATGCATTATGGCAAGACGTGTGAGGATTGGTTGACGACGATGCTGAGTAATGAGAAGGTCATCAAGGAGGGGCTGAAGGAGACCTATGGGGAAGAGGGCGTGACGATGTGGTGGAATAGGTGGCAGGTCTTCTATCTGGCGTGTGCGGAGTTGTTTAAGTGGGAGGGAGGAGACACGTGGGGTGTTAGCCACTATCTCTTTGAAAAGCCGGAGTAGGTGGTGATCATAATCATTCGTAGCTGCAACCTTGGAGTGTCCAGGAATGTGACGACAGCCAAACCGTAGTATAGATGTACCAAACCGTTTTCTGAGCTGAGCCACTTTGCAGCGACTGTGTACCCATGGTGTGCATGCATGTCTTGTCTCTGGGAATGAGCAGGTTTAAGGGCTTAGTGGTAGTCAAAGCCTTGTGAGCCACTTAGATAGCCCGCGTTAGTCATGCCACTTGGACCTCAACCCACGACCTCGCTGAGACTATGATCCTGGCAGAGTTGTTGTATTGGCCGATATGAAAGCAATGATTTTGAAGAAGCGCGTTGGGCTTGTGATTTTACTTTGCATTCTTTCGCTGGGTTATTGTGCGTCATCTTCCACATCTGTAGTCTTGTACGGGCCTATGTACAATGCCCCTGACCCGTGCCTCCAAGCTTCTATGCCAATTCCCCGTCTCCCTCTGCCCTGTCCTATTCGATCATTGTTCAGTGGTCCCAGGGGTGCTTCCAGCCGAGCAGGGCCGGGCCGTCCTTCTTCGCGCGGTACATCAACTGCATCTGTTAGCGCGGGCGCAACCGGTGCAAGCCTTCTAACGTACGAAGAACCACATGGAGGCGCCGAGGCCGGTGGCCATGAATCTGTAGAACGGGCGGACGGGGTGGATCTTGATGGGGTGATTCGGCATCTCAGCGTACTTGGGCGGACCCATCCTGCGGAGTGTGGGCTGCATGGTGTGTGTGGAGCCTAGGCGGTGGTCAGAGAGGGAGCGGCGGTTCCTTGGGCGGCAACAGAGGCGTACCTGCGGCGTGTGCTGTGCAATGGCTCGTCGTGTTCGCAGGTGGTCGAGGTGAGGTTGCAGGCGATCGGAGCTAGTGCGGCAACGCCAAGAAGAGGTCGCGCATCACTGCAGTTCCACATGTTCCCTCTGCTATTGTGCCACCGCAGCAACAGCGCCATCGCCCGTTCGCCCGTCCGCCCATCCCATGGCAGCATCTGCCACCGTATCGCGCTCCGATTCACACTCATCACCTCCCATGTCCACTAAACCGCGTGCCTGCGACACTTCCACCACTGCTCCGCGCCGGATCTCATAGCGGAACGAGCCGGCGGACAAAGAGATCGTACTACATTGTTCACGAAGAAGCACAGCAGCGCCTTTCAAAATGGCGACCCCGGCGACTGGAACTCCGCAGAACGGCCTGCAGCGGAAGTACAAGGGATGCGCCAAGATTGGGGATTACGAGATGCTGCAGAAGCTGGGAGAGGGAACTTTTGGTGAAGTCCACAAAGCGCGTCAACGAAGCACCGGCAACGTCTTCGCGCTTAAAAAGATCTTGATGCACAATGAGAAGGACGGCTTCCCTATCACAGCGCTCCGAGAGATCAAGCTGCTGAAGATGCTGTCTCACGACAACGTCTTGAAACTGGAAGAGATGGCAGTCGAGCGACCGAGGGCGGAGGGTCGCAAGAGGGCAATCTTGTACATGGTCACCCCATACATGGACCACGATCTGTCAGGTCTGCTCGATAATCCGGACGTGAAGTTCCAGGAAGCGCAAATCAAATGCTACATGCTGCAGCTCTTCAAAGGCTTGCGCTACCTGCATGATAATCACATCCTTCATCGAGATATGAAGGCTGCCAACCTGCTCATCAACAACCGCGGGCGACTTCAGATTGCCGACTTTGGTCTTGCAAGACACTACGACGAGCAAGTCCCGCAACGAGGCAAGGGCAACGGCGAGGCCCGTCGAGAATACACAACGCTAGTCGTTACGCGATGGTACAGGCCCCCAGAGCTTTTGCTCCAGCTGCGAAGATACACTCCCGCAATCGATATGTGGGGTGCTGGGTGCGTCTTTGGCGAGATGTTCAAGCGTAAGCCTATCCTTGCAGGCCAAAGCGACCTTCACCAAGCGCAAATTATATTCGAGCTTGTTGGCTCTCCGAACGACCAGAGCATGCCCGGGTGGCAAGAGCTTCCTGGCGCTGAACCAATTCGCCAGTTTGCGCAAGGCACCAATACAATGGCGCAAAGATTCCGCGAGCTTTCCCCTGTAGGTCTGTCGCTACTAAAAGACCTCATGAGACTCGACTGGCGGCGGCGCATCAATGCAATCGACGCAATCGACCACCCTTACTTCAAGGAGTCCCCCAAACCTATGCGCGAAGAGGATATTCCCACATTCGCCGATTCACACGAACTTGACCGCCGCAATGCCCGGGGTCAGAAACAAGCGCTTCCACCAGCGCCTGCAGGAGGAACTGTTGGCGTTGGACCAAACGGAGAATGGACTGGCTCTGGCCCGCCACCGAACTCCTGGGGTAACGGCGACAGACGGTATGGTGGGCCTCAGGACCGCGGACCACCGGGCGTTGATCGTCCACAAAGGGGCTACAACAACCATGGCCCACGTTATGATCACAGGCCACCCCCGCCTCCGCCAGAAGGAGGCCGAAGGCCAAACTGGGGCAACGGCAATCTTCCCCCTCCTCCAGGAGAGGGTCGACACCCATTGCCACTCCCGCCGCGCTACGGTCCAGAAGGGGGCGATCGAAGACGTAACCAGCCACCACCCGGCGACACATACATACCCGCCTACCAAGGCGGCGAGCGCGGCGAGCGCCCGCGCGCATCCCGCGAACCCGACGACCGCCAACAAAGACGCGGATCGCGCGACTCGGGCAACTCACGTGACGGGCACACCGACGATCGTCGCCCATACCACAACGACAGACGGCCCGGCGACACACGAGGCTTCGCGCGAGATCGCAGAGACGGGCGCACGCGATCGCGTAGTCCGGATCGCAGGAACGACCGAGAAGGCCGAGACAACAGAGGAGCACGAAACGATGATATCTACAGGAGACGATAGGGTCTGTAATGTTGAGCTAGCAAACAAGATGTTCCCTTTTCCCTTTACTCTAATGAGATTATGCAGTTGGCGTGGCGTCTGTGGTTTCACATCATCATGGACGCGCGATACCTTAGATGCGGCGTTCTTCAGGGCTCGGGGCATTTGCATGGCGTTGCTGGGGCTTGGCTGTGCAGCGCAGGGCAGCGTTGGTATACATACCTAGGTAGTTGAGCGAATGCACATCGTTACTTGCAGGCGCTGGAGCGTGTGTGCAGTGTGGTGTTCAGAGCACTGAGCGCTGCTGAGTCGCGGTCGTCAGCCTCTGCCCTGCAGACCTCGCAGCCACGCTAGACATTGCAGTGCAGCAATGTGTTATCGCCTTGGTAGACGTCTGCCAGAACTCTCGGTTTCTAACCCCTCTGGCGCGCTAAAGATTGCAGTGCAATTTTGACTATAGACACTGATTCTCTGATCCTGCAACACCCTCAACATCAACACCTGTCAGCCTCACGAGGCTCCCCTGCCAGGCTAAAGACTGCAGTGCGAGCAGTCACATCAGGGCATGTCAGCCTCGTAGGACACCTCCGCCAGGCTAGGGATTGCAGTGCAAGTTGCATCCCGGTCGTTGCATGCAACGAATACAGCTTAGTGTTGATGTGTCTGCTAATGAAGAGCTAGGTGCAGTCTTGTGAGCAACTCGCCCATGCTAGAGACTGCAGTGCAGCTCGTCCGTGCTAGAGATTACAGTGCAAGTTGGCCGACAGCAGACACTACAAACACAGTAGGTAGCACAGAGGAGTTGCGTAAAACTACCGGGGTGTCGAGTAAGCCAACGACCCGCTGAATACCTAAGTGCTTTTTGCAGTACCCGAGACATGTATATCGTGGGATTACACATTTGGAGAGCAGAATCCCCTCTCGCGCAGCAAGGCTGTTCCCAGGTGGAATCATCACACTGGAGAACGAATCCGTGTTTCATACCCTCTTCTCCAAAAAGTGTCAAGGACTGTCGAAGAATCTCAGCATTGGCAGCCCTGCAACATTCGATCACATCTCGTGCATGACCTCTTCCACGCTAGAGATTGCGGTGCAGAGCAAAGGTGAGTGTATTATAAGGTTTGTCTATTGCTGCCGGTGACCACCGGGTCTGAGGATACCCCCTATTAACTTCGCAGCTTCTCATCACGATCACACCGCGTTTGTGACCTCTGCGGCGCTAGGAAATGCAGGGCAGACCTGCATCAAAGTGCGTGGTCTGTCACTAACCACTTTTTGTCGTCCCAAATCTCGTTATACCTTCATCTACATGCAGAGTGCACGAAGGTGCGTGGTATGTGCTTCGGCGATTAATGTTTCTTCCTTCCAGAAGCTTCACCGACTGGAACATGCAGATAGTCATGCATCTTGGAGTCAAGTCGTTTCTAGTCTCCCATGCGCAGCATTGACATGCCGTCTCAAGTTGAAAGGTCGCGCGCGGTCTCGCTGAGGCTGTCGTGCTATGTAGTGACCATGGAAGTACCGCACCTTGGTCACGTGGAACGGGCAACGAAGTACCTCAGACGGGCTACGATCAGTCACACAAAGGAGCTATGCTGGCTGGTAAGTCTTCTAGGAAGACGCTGCTTCTGGAAGGTGACCTCTGATACCTACTCCGCGGTATGAAGCACCGAGGCCCTGGTAGATCAAACGAGCTGCAAGGTCCCGCACGGCTCGGCACCCTAGCCCTCGGCACTTCGGCGATGGCCCGAATGCACGACTTGCCAAAAGAACTGTTGCCAGCAGGCGTGCCTGTGCGTAGCACAGAGGACGAGCTGTCGGCGGGCACGGCGATACCTAGCTCACGATAGGGCATGTGAATCAACAGCGTTACTAACGGATGGTCGGGCTGGCCTCCGCAAGCCTGCGAATTTTCTTCTGCCGACATGTGCGGATTGCACGCTCGGCCGGAAAAGGCGCTGGCGCTGCATTAGCCACCGACAGCGGAAGAAAGAAGAGTCAGGCCCCACCACGCCGTACCACGTTCTCAAAGGCCCTCTCCCCTCGCACACGTCACTCACACATTCAATTGCTGCATATCGCGGATATTGCCAACATCTACACCACCCATTATCGAACCACGGTCCCACCACTGCCACAACCACACGCGCCCATCATGTCTGCAGTCACCAACGGTCACAGGAGCGAGGTCGAGCGGATAGCGAACCACACCGAGGAGAAGCACCTGCCGGGCGGCTGGGTGGTACTGAAGTTTGGCGGCACGAGCGTGGGCAAGTTCGCGGAGAACATTGCGGGCATCGTCAAGGCCGGCAACCAGACCGACCGCGCCGCCATTGTGTGTTCAGCGCGCAGCACCAAGAACAAGACGGAGGGCACCACCAACCGCCTGCTGCGCACCGCCCGCGCCGCCGAGAAGCAAGGCCACCGTGGCTACGACGACATTGTCGAGGCCATCCGCGCCGACCACGTGCAGGCCGCCGCTGCCACGCTGCGCAGCGCCGACATCCTCGCAGCCTTCACTGCCGACGTCGACGCCGAGTGCGAGAGCCTGACCAAGATCCTCGAGTCGGCGCAGCACCTGGAGGAGGTCACCAGCCGCGCTGAGGACAAGATCATTGCCAAGGGCGAGAAGCTCAGCTGCCGCTACATGGCCGCTCTGCTCAATGACCGCGGCACACCTGCCCAATTCGTTGATCTCGCCGACATCGTCACCTTCCACACCCCGAAGAAGGGCCTAAATGAGCAGTTCTATGCAGACCTCGCTGCGGCCCTGGCCCGCGAGGTGGAGGCGTGCGGCGACAAGGTGCCCGTCATCACGGGCTTCTTTGGCAACGTGCCCGGCGGCCTGCTGAACTCAATTGGGCGTGGCTACACCGACCTGTGCGCTGCCCTGGTTGCCGTCGGCATCAAGGCCAGGGAGCTGCAGATCTGGAAGGAGGTCGATGGCATCTTCACCGCCGATCCTCGCAAGGTCCCCACTGCGGCTCTGCTCCCCAGCGTCACGCCCTCCGAGGCTGCTGAGCTGACCTTCTACGGCTCCGAGGTTATCCACCCCTTCACTATGGAGCAGGTCATTCGAGCCCGCATCCCCATCCGCATCAAGAATGTCATGAATCCGCGTGGTGCTGGCACCATCATCTTTCCCGATAACTTGAAGACGCTGGGATCACACTCTCCGCTTCGGGACGGCCTTTTCCGTACCCGCTCTTCGAGCGTTCTGACCTCGCTGAACACGCCCAAGCGCCCCACTGCTGTCACTATCAAGCACAACATTGTTGTTCTGAACGTCCACAGCAACAAGCGCACGCGTGCCCACGGCTTTTTGATGAACATCTTCAGCATCCTCGACCGTTGGCACTTGTCGGTGGACCTCATCTCTTCCTCTGAGGTACATGTTTCAATGGCCTTGCACTCCGAATCTGCTCTGCTGAGCGGCGGTGGCGAAGACGAGTATAGAATCCAGGACAAGGACCTTCAAGGTGCCGTCAACGATCTCGGCGAATTGGGTGCGATTGACATTGTGCCTGATATGGCCATTGTAAGCTTGGTCGGAAAGCAGCTCAAGAACATGATTGGCATCAGTGGCAAGTTCTTCAGCGTGCTTGGTAAGAATAACATCAACATCGAGATGATCTCGCAGGGTAAGTTACTCCAGGCCACGATCGTCAAAGCAAACCTAACATCTTCCAGGTGCTAGCGAGATCAACATCTCTTGTGTCATTGAGGAGCGCGAGGCAGACCGCGCTCTCAACGTTGTCCACACAAATCTTTTCACTTTCCTCGAATAGACATGCATTGCATCAACGGAGTTGGATACCATATCAATCATCTACCTGTCTTCTCAGAAGACATGATTTATCAAAGCCCTATATTACCTGCCTCCACTTTCTTATTTCCTCTTGAAGTTTCCAGAAACAGGGTTCTATGTCGTCCATGTCCCTTCTCATTAGACTCTCAGGACCAAGTGAAGGGCGCAAGGACTCATCTTCCAAAGCCCTGCGTGGTCGCATCGAAGTTCCCTTTCACCTCGAGTCCTGCTAGCACACGCTAAATTCCCTGTTTGCTCTCTGCCTAACCCACCCTCCCCAAAACCACTACCTTGCCTATACTGTTTGCTGACCTGCGCGCGCAACCAAAATGGATCCAGGAATCGGACTCATCGTGAACAGCATGGTTCCCAGTGAGCCAGGAGTGCCTAAGCTCCGACCGAAATCGACACTCCAGCTACCTGATGGCTTTTGCGAAAAACCGCACGTGCGTTATGCACTCAAGTACATGACCGACCCCGAGCAACGAGAGAGGGCTTTGGAAGTAGCTATGGCTTGGAAACAGAAGTTCGCAACTGGAAACTGGAAGTCCGTCATTGCTGCAATCGAGGCCGCAAGGAAGGAGGACAAGGTTCGCTCAGTCCTATATGACGCCGAACAGGACCATGTGCAATCACCTGTTCACTTAGCAATGAGACCACGCGCTATGACCGCAGCATCAGCACCCGCAGTGCCACAAGCAAGTCCCCAGTCAGTGTCGTGGCCCGCTGGCCTGACGCGCCAGCACACTGCAAGCGCTTCGCTATCTTTGCGACGCACTCCAAGAACTAGCATGCCAAGAGCGTGCCGTTGGGATGTCATAACTTCAGGACCTGTGACACCTCTTTCGCCAATGCCACTGGGTAACTCCTTCTCCGGAAATGGGTTCTGGACTACGCCTCCAACACAGATCGAAGAAGACGAAGTGAGTACACTTGTGCCGGATACAGAAACCGAGCCAACAACTTTGACCGCGCCAAGCGATCCAGAGGCGTGCAAAGCCTACACGACAGTCAAGGATGAAATCGATTCACTTGCTCGCAAGTACTGCCTCGAGCGTTTGCACACGCTCGCCTCCGATGCTTATCTTCCGCCTACAATGATTAAGCGGAAAGACGTGCTAGACGCTGCGACAACGGTATTGCATGACCGATCTGTCATGCTGAAGACGGCTCTCATCGAAGACCTCCCAGCCAAATTACGGTGCCGTGCCGCTGAGGAGGTTGCGTTACGACGTGAACTGTGTATCAAAGACGAGCTGGAACTGTCCGAACAGAATGACTGGATGAACAACGAGACTCTAATGCCAGTTCCCAAAGTTCACGATAGCGACAAACAGACTGACTACGTATCACCCCCAATCCACTTAGTCGTCTCTATCTTGGACGAACAACGCGAAGCAATTCGCATGTTTCGCAAGCAGCGTGGAAGCAGTGACCTGGAGCTCGGCGGGATTGCCCTTGAAGCTGCTTGGGCACTGAGGGTATTGGAAGATGCGGAAGACCTCGTGGCCGCTGAGGGTGATGGCTTGAGTAGTGTTGGTGACGAAGATGAGGGCTATAGCTACTCCAACTTCATGCGGAGTATAAGGAGCGAACTGAGTATAAGTTCGAGCTCGGAAGGGCCTGCATCGACGGTGGACAATCGTTCCAATACCGACCTCACCTCGCTCCGATCGCGCTCCAATACACAAAACACGTTTACCTCGATCAGAAGCCGAGATTTCCGTTTCTTCCAACGGTCGAGCACAAGTCCTCCGGAAGAGGTCCCGATCTTGAAGAGCTTCCACGAGTCAAAGGTTTCCAACAGCAGCAACGAGAATGGTGTCTCGCTACGGCGACGGTCGGCTCTTCACCGTTCAACGAGTACCACGAGCGAGATCCCAAGCAGCGAAGTCAGCCCGGAAGATCGAGAGTTCAGACACCGGGGTCCAAGCCTTGTAGATCTGGACAACTGGGCAGAAGAGCTAAAGAAGATGGAAACCATGCGAGCGGATCGACAGCGATCATCGGCCTCACATTGCCGTATACCTCGTCGTGAGTACAATCAGAGCGGTTCAGCGAACAACTCTCGCGCGACTGATTTCCAACCATCTCGCAGCTATCTATCCTTTTCCTCGGCATCATCAAGTTCAGAACAACCCAAGTCGCTCTTCCGCTCCCCTTACGACGAGCGCCCCATCTCCCAGTTGTCCTCCGGGAGCGGGTCCGTCCTTCGTCCCGCGACGCCCGACCACGAACACCGCCAGCGCAACTTGAGTGAAGCCTCCTTTAAAACGAACAGCCGCGATACCAGCAAAGTGTCATTACACGACTCTGTGCGTCGACGTCAGTACCTACGGTCTGAAAGTAGCGCTTCAGTAGCTTCGAAGAGTCCGACGAAGGCGGAGCAGGATGATTGGATGGGTGAACTACAGCGAATGGAAAGCTCTGAGCGTGGCAGGCAGGTGGATCAACGACGACGGGGATCTTATTTCTGAAACGCGAAGGCTAGAGGGAGTAAGGGTGGTGCTTGGAATTTGGTCGCTCCTGGTCTTGATCAAGTGCTATTCGGTGGCTGTCATTGCACACCGTTGGAAATCCGTATACTCTAGTTATCTTCAGGTTCGTTCGATAAGTGGTCTATTTGCAGTAGCTGTGGTCATCATTTGCTTTTGTTTGCCGCGCTGAGAACCTTTCGCTTCCTTGCGCCAACTGAGTCGTGCTGTGAGAGGAAAGTGTTTGGAGCGCTTAGTCTTGATGTGCTCAATCTTCCTTCGCAGTCATATTCTAAAGTTGCGTTGCTTTGAGGCCTTTGCAAGAGGTGCAAAGGGAAATCAAGGCAGCTACAAGCACTCTCTCGATTTTCAATGTCCGTAGTATTCCTGGCAGTATTCTAGCTGTGCCTCGTAACGCGCCTATGCGCGCACGCACCGTATTGGCAGCTTAGTAGACTGTGCTCGTTGGTTAACTGGTCTCAGCATGGCCCTCAGCTAAGTGAGTCTGGAGAATGTATGGGGATTCGCATGTACTAATGCTGAAGCAGATGTGTTTTCCTAGGCTGATCTAGAGCAAGGGAGGAGTTTTGTCAAACACCAGGCCTTCACCTTTGTCCACACCCGTTTAGATTCACAGTAAACAGCGGGACAGAGCGCTTCTGGCTGCGCTAGTCACCTGAAATTCATGGTTGCTGCCTACTATCACTATCTGGCTCCAAGTGGCGTCATTTGCCGCCCCAGAAATGTGCCAGTCTCTCACCTTCACCGCGCCAGTTGCGGCCCGAACGTCGCCCCGCCATAAAAGTCTGCTCACCCACACCTACTAACTCTTCCCTGTTAGCAACTCAACTCAACACTAGCATCACGCCCTACATCTTCCATTTCAACAAACTCATCTACAACTGGTATGGACTTCCCCATGCTGGTGCGGCGAGCTATGCTAATCACAAGACAGCTCGCAAACCCATCGCAAATATGGTGAACTGGACAGCAGACAAGGATCAAATCGTAAGTATCTCTTCTCACCTTTGGGGCTTAACCGTACTCGTGTATTGACTCGCTTCGCAGATCCTCGTTGGTATCTTCAAGTTCCATGACATCAAGAACTCGGCCCCGCTTCTTAACTATCTTACTAAGGAGATCGGTGATGGTAAGTCTATAATCTTTTGTACCGTTTGTTCTGCTAACACACTCAAGGCTGCACTCCCAAGGCCGTGAGCCACCGTCTCAGCAACTTGCGCAAGTCTGGCAAGCCTGTTGGCTCGACCACGACTCCCAAGAAGGCGTCTGTCGCTAGAGCTCCACGTACTCCGGCTTCCGGAGGCCGTGCTTCAGCCAAGAAGTCCGTCAACAAGGATGTCACCTCCGATGAGTCTGGTGGCGAGGAAGCTGTCCCGTCGCCTTTGGCCAGCCGCAAGCGTACACGTACGCGCACCCCGAAAACTCCGCCGAAGTACGCGGAGTCTGACGCTACCTCTGGCGATGATGATGAGGGTGAGGAGGAATTCAGCCCGGTCGTCAAGAAAGTCAAGACTGAGCCCGTTGACGATGAGGTCGCTGCTAGCACTGCGCTCGTGATTGCTCCGTCCGCTTCGCTTGAGGAAGAGGAGGACGAGGACGAGGACGAGGGTGTAGCCTTCATCTGAGAGCACAACTCTCACTTTCTTAGGACAGAAACAGCTCGGGGCCAGAATTTGGTCATGGTATCTTTGAGTTGTTTGACAGCTTGATGGTCTTGTCTTGAGAGTTTGCGTTTTCTACGTTGACACGCATTGTTTTGCAAACCCCATCAATCAAATTGGATATCAGTCCATCTGCCAAGAAGTTAATCAAAGTCTCTACGCTCGCGCTCAAAATTTTGAAGCACATTGGATCAAGTGATTCACGCTGAACTCGTAATCGTTCTCTGTATCAGATTGACCTTGATCAAAACCCGATCATTGCAAGGCGAACGCAGGAACCCTAAGGGTGGGGATGTTTCATTCTCACCTTCACTTTTGGTTCAACCGGCGTGCACGCCTAGACTGCCCTGGAAGCGCCGTATCTCGTCCCCATGAGATATAAGAAGGGGTGAGGCCCCGCCAACTCCTAGCTCTTCCTCCACACCCGACCACTGTGATCGTATTTCCTGGCTCCCATCTTCCAACTTTGAACTCGAGGTACCAGGGTTCCTAATCATGAAGGGTCACTCTCGCTAATGTTCTCAGTCTCCAAAAACGCAACTACGTCGCCACAATGTCCAAGAAGTGGACTCCCGAGCTTGATTCGATTGTGCGCCTCTCCTCGCCTTTCTTCATCCACATACTAATCACACTCCAGCTCCTTCACGGCGTCTTCGAAGAGTGCCAGATCTCCTTCGGCAAGGCCCTTTGCGAGAAGATCGCCGAGCGCGTCCGCAACGCCGGCATCGGTTTGTCTCCCCTGCACCTCTCATCTCGTTCCAACACACCGTTACACACGCGCTAACACCCTCGCAGCAGGCTTCACGGAGTGCACTCCCAAGGCCGTTGAGAACCGCTTGTACTCGTGGAAGAAGAAGAACGCCACCACGTCCACCGGTGCGGGCACTCCAGACGACACTCCTGTTCCCACTCCCAAGAAAGCGGCGGCGAAGCCCAAGAAAGACCCCACCACGCCTAAGACGCCGCGTGCGAAGAAGGGCGCAAAGAAGGCCGAAGACGCTGGCGAGGGAGGCGAGGACGACATGAACAAGAGCAAGAGCCCCACAGCTGGTCGCAAGCGCGCTGCTGGTAGCGAGGAGGAGCACTCAGATAAGAAGGTGAAGCTTGAGCCTACCGAGGAGGAATAGAAGGAGGTCTAAGGGCTATTGAGAAGCCCGTGGTGCGAGATTGATGGGCAGACTGGATAACACAATTGGGGTCCTGGCATTCGATCAACAAACATGGCAATGTGGATAAGGGATTTGGACGGTATGGCGACATCTTTTGTGGATTGGCCGGACTTGATCAGGGTCTTTGCCCACACTTTACGTTGCATATTCTGGCGATTAATGAAACGAATCGGGATCTGCATCGTAGTTTCTCGTTACTTATGGTAAACTTTGCGAAATGGAGAGGAAGGCTGGATAATTACGCTAGTTCATAAGCAAGGCTGATACATCCATGAAGTTTTGAACGCCTGTGGTTACACTACGTCTTCCAGCATAGAAAACCCTTAGCTGAGATTCTAGTACACTGATGGTATCGTAGCGGGTACTTTTGACTCTTGTGTGTAAGAGAGTACTCATGGACAGACGAATATGGTATCGATAACCACAGACTGCCTTAGGCTAGAACAGAGGGACGCGTGCAGAAAAATCCCTAGCCGGCCTTGACTAGGTTCGACATCTCGAGCTTTCTGTCTTGAAGCTTCTGCATAGACTAGGTTCATCAGCCACAGCCACTTGGAAAACAAAATCAATGGCTTACCTGTTCCACGGACTTATCCACCACATAGCGAGTGACAAGTACTGCTTGTGTCTGACCAAGGCGTAGAGCGCGAGCGATGGCTTGGTTCTCGACGGATGGATTCCATTGAGGTTCGACGATGAAGACTCTGTTTGCAACAGCAAGGTTCAAGCTAGCTGTGTGTCAGAGAGCACTGCGGATGAAGAGAATGTGTACACACCCCACAGCCCCAGTCCCAGTTGTCATGATCAGAACGTGTAGATCAGGACTGCGCTCGAATTCTTCCAAAATCTTCTCGCGTTTGTTTGTAGGATAATCGCCGTCAATTCGCTGGACATTCTTGGAGGTGAGCTTCTCTCTTTTCAGATACAGCTGGATCAAGTCTAGCGTTCTCGTCCAACAGGTGAATATGATGCTAGCATATAGTCAGCTCTAGATTCTACAAACAAACAAATGTGACATCTCACCTTTTGGTCGTAGCGATATCTTTCATCACATCACCCACAAGTGCTTCCATCTTCGAGGACTTACCTGCCGCTCGGAAGTACATATCTTCTTGTGAGTGCCCCTTCTGCTTTTTTGGATACTTCGAGGTGTTCCACAGGGAAGAACACAAAGGACAGCTTGTTGCGAGGTGGTCTTCAGTATTTTGACTGCTTTGCTCGAGACATTCGGAACATAGCGTATGCCTGCAGTTCTCTTCATACCGACGAAACATAGATCCGAGGCCAAACAGGGGCATTGTCTGGCGACACGCAGAACAGGTGGCTTCGCCATGGCTTCCCATACCAATTTCTTTGGCTTCCCTTTCGTCTAATAGGTAGAGTTTGCGACGGCTCCAAGAGAACGCCTGCTGCCATGTACCATGGTTACATATGATACGAAGCTGTAACTGGATCTGGAACTGACTGAGCGTGCTTCTCTGATCAAAGACTCCCACTTGGTTTTTGATAGCCCTAAACATGATTTCGCGGGTCTGTTCGTACTGAGCACGCTCTTCAGGTGAGAGCTTGATTTCATGAATGCGGCTCTCCGGATCAGGTAAATGAAGAAGATCCTTGGTACGGCGGAGACACATCGAGTCGAGGAGAAGGGTGAATCGTTCGACGGAGAGCTGTCGGCGCTTTCCGCCCTCTGCGAAGGGAACAGAGATAGCTTTTTTGAACTCACCAATGTTGTGTAGCGGGCTGATTTTGAGGAAAGAAAACAATGCACCGATGTCTTCCAGGCGGTTTTGTATTGGGGTGCCCGTCAGACACCATCTTGCTCTCGCTTGGATATCCGCCACACTCCGGTTGAGACCAGTGTTTTGTCGACGGATGATGTGAGCTATGATTGAATCAGAAGCATTGCGATTGAGAGCACACTAGACGTACCTTCATCAAGAACCAATCTGTACCATTCAATTTGATTTAGAAAGCTCTTCCCGTTAGAATAATCAGATGCAAGCGTATGATACGTGGTAATGACGAGGTCAACATCGCGCAGCGTATCCACAGAGCACCTCCGATTCTGTCCATGATATTTGAGAGTCGTCAATGTGTTTTCATCGAAGTGTCTGGTCAAATCAGCGATAGAGTCGTTGCAAATTTAGACGTAATCATACTTCGCAAGTTCTTGGAACCATTCGTTGATCATCACTACGTCTTGAGCTTAGTCGGAATCGTTCAGGGCAGTATCGTAAAACTTACAGTCTGAGGAGGCTACGATCAGTGTGGCTTTTGATCGACCATTTGACGCACCGGCGCTTTGTGACAATGCTCTTGCTTCCGATGCCCAGATATGCGCCATATCAAGCGTGCGAAGAATCAGAGCTAGCATTGACAGTGATTTTCCCATGCCCATCTCATCAGCCAAAATACCACCGCCTGTCTCTGTGTGATCAAGCCTGCCTATAATTTTCAGCCTTTGTAGAGATACGTGTATCCGACTGCTTACTAGTTCTGCCTGTAACGGCATGACGATAACTACATAGTTAGCTACATTACCTGAAGACGACTCGAAGCACGTACGCTGGTTGTCCTTCGATTTCAGTTGGCACCCAGAGTTGGTACCTTTCTGGAATTGGGCCATTCTCTCGTTGCGACATGAACTCCAATGCAGTTTTCTGATGACTAATCAAATCAGATGAGCAACAATTGCAAGGAAAGAAGGGGAGGCAACAACATACTTCAGCAAGGGTCTTCGTAAACGTTGGTGCCCTTCCAGACCTGTTAGATTTTCGTTGCGAGTAAGAGATGAGTACACATTGGCAACGACTTCCTGAAAATGTTCGTCAGTGGTCGTGCCGTCGTTGGGTTCTTCAGATGTGACGTTCGTAGTTGGAACGGCGTTGGAATCTTCTGCGAATACTAGCATGTGTGGGTTTTCGTATACAGTACCATCTCGAATATAGTCCGGGAGCTGTAGATAAAATTTGTTCTGCGATAGCTCTTGACCAGCACTGTGAGCGGAGATGCGAGGGCCGTAAACGTTCATTTGAGCTCTTATGACAGCCTCTTGGCCTTTGGTCGCTCTGCCGAGGGTTTCTCGTGTACTTCTGGTAGGTACGAAGACTTCAAACTCAAGTTGAAGCTGCTGCTCCTTCATATCAGTCAGAGCTTTCTCCATCCGTGCATTGACATGCCCAAAGATATGGCCATCCGCAAATGTGACTAGATACTGTGAATCAACTTCACTCAAGTGTAACTGGGTATGACCAGTGATTGGACCTGTCGCTGTCGCAATCAGCTTTTTGTCTAGCGCTAGCATGTCGCCGGAAAGTTTGATAGAAGACCGGAAAATCTGCAGTACTGTTAGAGATACAATTCGATGCGGTGATGTCGGATTATCCTCACCGTTCCATAGCATACATACTCAGCTGAAGTCGGCAAATCATCTTGTGTAGTATTGCATTGCTCAGTGCCTTCAGGCGTCCCCCCATCAAAATCTGACTCGAGGCAGGATTGGACAGCAGTGTTATCGAGGAGTGGTAAAGGTGCGAGATTACCGTCATAGTCCCATATCTGCATCGACAACAAATGGTCGATGTTCACAGGATCCAGAGGACTGTATACACCGTGCTCTTGAGATGAGTCCTCAATACTTGCATATCCTCTGTAGTCTCCATTATACTGATCCCAATCTTCAGGTACGGTACGTGCGCGATAGAAATCGTGATCATCGCTATCGTTGAGCATGTGCTTGAGGGACATGATGGACGCGAAACATCAGTGACGTGGAGCGGCGGCTTGGCGTGGTGGGGCAAATTGGGGCACCTATACTTGTTGAAGTTCTCACGTTCTCTGCTCACGACGTGTACACCTGGACAGAGCGGTCTGAAGTGCTGGTATAAATGATCGGGAATGCGCAGCATGGAGGCAAAATGCCTGGATACCGTGTGTGGGGCTGTATCTCCTGGCGGCGCGTACGCCACCGCATCGTGTGCAGGCTGTAGGCGTCCACAGCCTTGCTCCGCCCCCAAGTCCTCCAGCGCCCCCTAACTCTCCGTCTCTGAGAACTGGAAGCCCGTCTCAGTATCATGACATTTGCGCTTCCTTTTACAAAAACTTGATACTTCAGCTCCAAGCTATCCTAGTGACACCTTTGGATTAAGTGTTTGCGTAAATTCACGCAAGGCTGGCCGATAATGAGAACCTCACCATCCCTGCATCAAAGCAGTCGCTCGTCGACTGGCGCTCTTTCGCAACAAGCCACCCTGTTGGCGACTGCTGCATCCACACAATGCTCATCTCCAAATAACTCCTCGAGCCTTTCTTCTTCAACGCCTAACTCTACCTCCACTCCCACGGCCGCCAATGCAGGCGCTTTTGAAAACGCAATTTCGAAACGCCAACTTGCACAAGCCAATAGTGTCTTTCCCGCTTCAATTCCCTCGCTCTCATCAGTTCCTCAAAAGTGTCCGAGCAGTAAGGTCGCGAGAGCTATCCGAGAATTCAAGAATCGTTTACTCGGTAACGAAGTTCTGGATTTCAAGAATACAACGGTCGAGGACTTACGCCGAGAGATGCGACGGATTCAATTGGAGCAAGAAGGTCGTAGAGACTTAGTGAATATGCGTCGCATACAGGGATGCATTGAAGCTATGGATAGTTTCGGCAAAGTCATTGAGGTCTTCCTGAACGTCTCCGAGGCCGTTGCGTTCATCTGGGGACCGATGAAATTCTTACTCATAGTGAGTCGCATTGCTCCAGCTGAAAATTCCAATCTGATATCTGGAGACTGCCAGCACAGTTCTCGAGTCCTTCGAAACGCTCTTAGATGCCTACGAGCAAATTGGCGATCAAATGCCGTTGCTGAAGAGTTATGAGAGCCTCTTCAGCGATGACGATTTGTTGAAAGGGGCACTCGAGCTCATGTATGTCGACATACTGAACTTCCACGAGAAGGCAGTTCCATTCTTCCGTGGTAGAGGTCAGTCCACATTTCTGAAGTCCCAAATGCCACAAAACTTACTCTCCAGTCTGGAAACACTTCTTCCGATCAATGTGGAACGACTTCAGCACGAAGTTCGGTGGCATCCTCAAAAGTCTTGGTCGCCACAAGAACTTCGTCGATAATTGCGCTCAGCGCGCACAGTACCAACTGTACCAGCACGATATCGCCGATATGAAGGCAACCAGTTTGGTTCGTTATCAGCAATACGAGCAAGATGCACAAGGCATGAACGCAAGGCTCGACGAACTGGTGGCTGAAGAGCGAGTGAAGAGGACCAAAGCTGTAATCCAATGGCTAGCTGCTAGTCAACAGCCAATACAAGATCACGAAATTTATTGTCAGATCCGGGCCGAGTTCCCAAGGACTGCTCACTGGATATTGAAACGAGCATACATCAACGACTGGATAGAACGCACTGTCCCAAGCACGCCATTGCTGTGGCTGCATGGTATTCCCGGTGCAGGTGAGCATCCATCACTAATCTGGTGAAATTGGCTCACGATGAATAGGAAAAACAATACTTGCCTCTGCCATCATTGACAAATGCAAAGCACAACCCGATTTCGCCACTGCCTTCTACTACTGTCATAGCGACGACCAAACGAACAGCTCGGCGGTAGGAATACTTAAGGGAATCACACAGCAGCTTCTGGACCACGATGCTGGTCTCTTACCTCCGTGCTATAGGCGTTACAAATCGAGTGGAGAGCCCGTCCTGCGATCACTCAGCCAAGCTATTAGTTTGCTCAAAGATCTGTGCACCATCCTTCCAAAGGTGTACATCGTCCTTGACGGTCTTGACGAATGTGAACAGGTGGAGAGAAAGCAAGCGATGGATGCTCTCATGCATATTTTAGATGAGTGCGAAAAGAGCGATCCCGGTAAATTTCGTGTTCTTTTTATCAGTCAGAATTTTGCAGACATCAAACGAGTGCTGTATTGCTCTTCACAGTCCAGGCCAGCACCGCAAACGATCCAACTTTCGCATACAGACAATGAGGATGACATCAATGCCTACGTAGGGACCTGGGTCAGTCAGATTGCTGCGAAGTATGAACCCTTTAACGATGACATGGTGGAATACCTTAGAAATTTGACTGTGCGTAACGCAAAAGGTTAGCACCTCCCCGAACTCCTCACGGCAGCCTGTTTAATATGATCAAATAGGGATGTTCCTGTACGCAAGACTCGTCATGGAAAATCTTTATGCACAGCCCACACGTGAGGATTTAATGGAAGGCATCCGACAAGACAACTTCCCGCAAGGGCTCAAGGGAGCGTAGGTACCCGACGTAGCCTAAGGCTTCAATATGCTACTTTTTCTTTACGTTTGATTTACTGAAGCTTGCCAGATACGAACGAATTCTCCGACACATGAAGCACATCTCCTCGGACGGAGAATGGGACAAAGCCAAAAAGCTACTTGGCTGGATGATCTGCGCAAAACGCCGATTGACATGGAAAGAGATACAAGTCGCACTATCTATTGATTTGGACGCGGAAACGATCGAGTATGATGGTCGGCATCTTCGGACACATATTCATGACATTTGTGGATCACTTGTTCTGTTGAACGGTGATCGTGTGTCTCTGGTACACAGCACCGCAAGAACGTAGGTTGAAAGAGCTTCCATACACCCACTCACGTCTAACACTACACAGGTACATTACAACAGTTCATGCCGACATTCATGAACCGTCAATCGAATGCGAGCTGGCCACGCTCTGCCTGCGTTATCTGACCTTTCCCTGTTTCGATATTGAGGCAGTGGACGACCAACAAGAGCTCAAGCAACTAGCCTTAGACGGCCACTTTGCTTTCCAGGACTATGCCATCGCGAAATGGTATTACCACGTCAATGCGTTCGTGAATAGTGGAGCTCGGTTTATGTCCGAGGCGGTTGACCCTGACTCCCATCTCGAAGGAATGATGGAAGCCTTGGAGGATTTTACGGAGCGGTTTAGCGATGCCAATTGGGGCCAGAACATTGTGCAAGACTGTCGAGCAAACTGCACTGCGTTTGCAAATCTCCCGGTGCACGACAAACTAGTTGAGCTGACGAGTCATATTTACACCGTTCAGAAGAAAGGCTTCGATGCAAGGCACGAAGTCAGCATCAAGAGTTTGGCTGAAGCGTTGGAAAGAAATCGCAAGATACTTGAAGAACTGCCCTCATCACCACGATTCAGTCAAAACGACCTCGACAAGTACTCCAGGTTTTATGACCACGAACGGCGTTTCAAGTGCAGTAAGATCACTTGCCGCTACTTCTCAGAAGGCTTCAGGGATCTTGGGGCCAGGAACAAACATCTGCATTTCCACACACGCCCTTTCCATTGCGACGTACCGGACTGCTTGGGAAGCGAAGGGTTTGTCAATCACGGTGACCTTCAAAGGTGAGTCAGACGAAGCGTCACAGGAGATGTTTCTGACTATGATAAGACACATGCGAGCTTTTCATCCCGAGATGAGTGATCTTGCAGAGACTTTCAACTCCATTTCCAAACCGCCTGCGAAAAGCGACCATGCTTGTGCAATCTGCGGAAAGACCTTCACTCGTAGTTTCGCCCGTCGAAATCATGAGAATAGTCATCGCGGCGTGAGGCCGTTTCCATGCCCAGAATGCGGAAAGGCTTTCACACGACGTAACGACTTGGTCAGGCATCAGAAACTCCACGAGCGTACATAGCCACCCTGGCCCCCACACGGGTCAGCCACCACATTCGGTTAGCGCGGGCTGTGTCTGCATCAGCTAGGCAGAACACCGCGGATGAGCCCCGCTTTCAGTTCAAGAGCTTAAGTGTAGACCATCGTTCCCTCAGGTGAAAAGTTGCGTCTTCATTTCTCTACGACAATGCCCGGCTCGAGCGTCAGTCCAAACCCGGCCACCGGAAAGCGTGCACCCAATTTGTGGAAACAGGCGTATCAGGCTCTTAACGATGAAGACAAAGGCCGAGAAAGGCTACACAAGCTTAACGTCAAGCTGAAACAAGAGCTTGGGAAGCCAAAGTTGAAGTTAAGATCTGACGAAGGTTATCAGCAGCTACTGGGCATGATTCAAAGCGAGGCCCGCAAACTGGAAAGTAGAAAGGGAGTGGATAAAATTGGGCGAATCTGCAGCAACATGATGAAATTTCAAGATATTGTCTCAGCTGGTGCTGCCGTGGGGGGACCGTATGTCGCGATTCCTGCTGCAGCGTTGTTCTCTGTGTTCTCCGTAAGGTGATTACTCAGCCGTACGCAACGACCACAGCTGACCTGGTGATAAGATGAACGAGATCTACGTGGCTGAACGAGCAGCAATGTACGAGGTTGCGGAGACTGTCGCAGACTACGTTGTGATGAACCGGAAATCGCAGGAATGGACTACGATCCAAGCAAGTGACGATGCCGACATGCGCGAACTGAAAGAGAGCCTGCAATCCGTGTTCATAAGTCTGTACAAAGCTATCATCTTTGCAATCGCTCAGCTTATGACATCACTAAAAGGAGACTTCCAGTGGATCAAGAACGTCGCTAAGTATTACGACTGGGAGGGTCAGCTTGAAACCCTGAACAAGCGACAACATCGCATATCACAATTCATGCATTCAAAAGAGTGGCAAGAGGCAATAACACCATTACTGGCAAACAAACCGCAACTAAAGAGGCAACCCAAGAAAGCTATGGGCCCAGGGCCCCGCAATCCGCTCCACTGGGCCGCCGCGCTTGGTGTGCCAGAACAAGTCGCATTCTACGTGCAGAACAAGGAGTACCACATCAACGCCCTAACAAAGCAGAGTTGGACAGCTGCGCACTTGGCTGCAAGAGAAGGGCATACCAAGATACTGAAGCTGCTGTTGACTGTCCCCGACATCAATCTCTTTATCAAAAATCGCGAGGAACGCACTCCGCTGCACATCGCCGCTATTTACAACCGAAAATGGGCCGCAAAGGCCTTGCTCGAGCGAGATTGTAAACTACTCGGTCCGCGTGACAAGTGGAACCGTACAGCTTTTGCCATCGCGGCCGAGCAGGGGCACGTAAAGATCTTGGAGGTTCTGAAGGGGTTCGGACAGGACATGAACGAGGTTACTCTAAATCAAGGCTGGACTGCACTTCATCTGGCTGCAGAGAAGGGACACACAGACACCGTGAAGTGGTTACTGGAGAATGGGACCAAGAAGTTGACAAAGATAAAGAGTGGACCTGAAAAGGGGTTGACAGCGAGACAAATAGCCGAGCGGAAGGGGAAAGTCAAAGTGGTGGAGGTCCTTGGAGGATGATGTGGGAATAGAGAGATCATGACACAATGTGGCAGAAATTGGCACTAGAACTTTTATTTCTCGCCTTCCGTCCATACGTCTAAACCGGGTGACGTGATTGCCTACAGGCTCTTTGGCCTCGTCACCCTGGTTTGGGGATACCTACGTTATGTATGAATTTACTGCTAGTCACTATCGGCTGAGAATCAACCTAGTCCGAAATGCCGCGTGACCAATAGTAAGAGTTAACATGCAATGTAAGTCTTGACTGTTCTACGATTAACGCAAAGGTATAATACATGGACGAAAGCGCGCGCTCGAACGCTCATACTAGACATACAGATTGAGAAGATATCGACAAAGCCCCCTGGGTCGTCATATGTGAGTCGTCAGGTCATCTTACAAAGGAGATCTGGCGCCGGATACGTGGCGCCGTTGCAAGCATCTACGAATTTGCCATATGACATCCAGCTGTTCAAGATGGCTCTGGTCCAAAACGCCTTGACAAAATCAATGAATTAAAACCGCTCATTTATCGCTGCCAACCGTCTCGTTGTGATTGTCGACTGACACCACTGGTCCAATCCATATGTCCACTAGGTCCTGTAGGCGGCTGCCGCTGCTCAGACCCTGGTCCTCTTCCGTAGGGCCCGATATTGCCTCTCATCAAATTTTCACGGAAATGTGCGTCTCGCTCTCTGAGCTCACGCTCTCGCATCTCTTGCTCCCGCATTTGACTTTCCCTTCGCATCTGCTCTTCTCGATTCAAGGCTGCCTGTTGTTGCTGCGCAGACTCCTGACGAATACGATCTGCTATTCCTCGGTCGCGAGGAAAGGCTTGGGAAAACCTCGATGGCTCTTCCGAAAGGCGTTGGCCGTAGAGAGGATGGTTGTTCGCACCCAGGGATGAGTGCGGTGGATGTTGCAAAGGGGGAGGTTGTTGTCCCGCGTCACTCCTTGCAAGAGGAGTATGCGAGCGCTGAGACAGGTAGCCGCGTTCCTGCTGCTGGGGTTGATAGCGCAATTCCTCATGTACGGGAGCAGAGCGCATGTGTGGATTGGCCAGCTGTTCTCGTAGATACTCTGTCCTTTGGGAAAGCTCCCGACTAGTGTCACGATCCGAATTGCGCGATTCGAGATCGTGGTGGAGATCCCTAGGATCGCGCGTACGATAGGATTCCGTAACGCTACTTGGTCCCCGCATTGACGCATGAGCTGGATGCTCATTGGGAGTTGGTGGGTTCGAGTACGTCAGATTCGTGTTCTGAGATTGAGAGTGTTCGTTCCGGCTCGGGATCTCTCTCTGCTGCGCCACATGGCTGGTGCGGAGATGCGGGCTAGGCCGCATCCCCATTGGACCTGGCTGTGGAGCACCGGCCCCAGGAGGATCGACTTGTGCGTAAGGATTCGGTTGAAGGATTTGGCTCGATGCAGCTGATGTTGCTTGCGCAAGCTGAGCTGTTCCGGATCCCGGCATCCCAGGACGAGAAGATTGTCCTGGCGCCCCAGTTACACTCGGTGTGCGAGAGTGTAGATGGGGCGAGTTATTGTAAGCAGCCATCGGTGGCGGCGATGGATTGTGTCGTTGTGTATTGTGCTGAGCAAAGACCGAGCGATGGTTACCAAAAAGTCTTGAATCATTATACGGAGGCTGAGGCAACCCAGGATGAGAGGTGGGCAGAGACACTGGCTGTTGTGTCTGGCTATGCGAAGGGTGGAATTGTTGCCGTTGCCAGCTGTCTCGAGGCCCATGCCTGTTTCCTGATGTCTGTTCGTTGGTCAAGTCGATAGATCTATTCGCTGCGGACGCAGGCATCGAGCCCTGAGAGGCGTACGAAGGTCGCCCATATAGAGATTGCGTGGGTGTGCCATCTCCGTAGAGATCGCGTCTCGATGCTGACGTTGGCAAGGTGGCTGGTGGAGGCGCGATAGGTGTCTGTTGTGAAGGGGTTGTAGTATGCGATGCAGGTCCCTGTTCGACGGGCTTCTTCCTCGAGGGCTCGTCGGGCTCGGGGTCATTGAGCAACGACAACAGGTTTGACTTTCTGGGCTGCTGAACAGCTTTGGGAGGCGGGACAATCTGTGCAGGTGTTTGACTGAATGATGGGCGGGCCTGATGCTGAGATTGCAAAACTGGAGTTTGCTGTGCTTGTGGGATCGCAGATGGTGGAGCATATCTCGGCTCTTCTTTGACTGGTGGAGTAGATATGGATCCCCTCGAGGGCAATTGCTGTCCTCCCGGAAATACACCATGCGCGTGGGACATTAGCTCTGATGGTGGCTGGGCCAAAGCCTGAGCCTGTGAGACCTGACGAGAGTGCGAGTATGAAACTGGGCGATGCTCTGGAGACCGCGCCAGAGAATTGGAGCGCACTGGTGGCATGAGAGGTGGTGGTCCTCCAGGTGGGTAAGCTCGTTGGTGATGATGCATCTCTTGGGAGATCCTTCGAGCGTGTTGGTGCTGTTGATATCGATGCTCATGTTCTTGCTGAGTTTCTGACCTGACCAGACTCTCTCGCTCTTGGTGGCTCAAGCCACGGAATGCAGACTGTGAGAGCTGCTCCTGTCCACGCATCTGTACTGCGCTGTGCGACTGCATGGATCGTGAAGAATGGTGCATGGATGAATGCGATGGCACACGATTATCCAGACGTGGCTGTAGCTCATCAGAAAAGTACCCTGCTCGGGGTGGTTGATGATGCGGCTTGTGCTGCGACATGCTGTGCTGAAGATGATGCGGCGGCTGGCCTCGAGACACAGCGGTAGGTGGCGAGTGGTGCTGCGGCATTGAAGGTACGGATGCAAGTGCAGTCTCTGGTAGCGGAGAGAAGCCAGATGTTGAATTAACAAGTGGTTTCCCCTGACCGGCAGACTGGGGTAAGAATCTTGCAGCATGAGCTACCGGAGGAGGCGAATTTCTGGGCAATGCAGTAGGATTGATCAAGGGAGACTGATTCTGTTCAGCTGGCGCAAGATTGCGAGGAAGTACGCTCTGTGTGCTCTCGTAACGTCTCTTGGGCGCAGGAGTGGGTGTCGGTGGCGGGCCCAGGTCATCACCGCGCTCCTTTCTTGCATCAGCATCTTTTGCGGCTTGTTCGAGCTCTGACTTCCCGCCTTCGACCATACGCAAGTACTGGTTTTTGATCATGATATGCGTCTTTGTACCCATGTGGTTAGCGAAGCCGATCCAGTCCGTACCGAAATGCGCTACGTTCTTTTCAAAGTCCTGGAGTTCAGATACAGACCAGTAGCTCGACGGCCCAGGTCTGGCGGTGGGCTGGCTTTTCTGCCGATCCATCATGCCCACAGGTATGGCTCCTGAAAGCGAGGGCAGCTCGACATGGTTGCCCCGCAGGGTCAAGAGTGAGGGATCACTCATTTGGTCCTCGTGCTGATCCACATGGATTTGAGATGGTAAATCCGCAACTTGGCGCTTGCCGAACTCATCTTCTGCTTTGATGCCTGGGGCTTTGTCTTTGCGGTCAAGCTTGACGGGTGATCCAGCCGGAGCTGCAGCAAGCGGTTGATTCTTGGCCTTCTTGCCCTTCTCTTTATTGGCCTTGCTCCGTCTGCTAGCTTTTTCTGGATTGCCATCCGCATCTGTCTGCCGACGAACTCGACTTTGAGTGGGAATTGTAGCGTTTGGATCGAAGTCAGCCTCCATGCCGCCAAACGTGGGTGCTGCTGAACGTCGAGGTCTTCCGGTCTCTGTGACAGGCAATGGAAGTCCGTCTTCTCCTGCAACTTCAGGTCGTTCCATGTTTGCAATAGCTCCACGGCCACGTGCAGTCCCTCCGCCCCTTTTCCGTGCACCCCCACGCCTGCCTCTGACCTTGCCTTTGTACTCTCTTGCCCACTTGGTAGCGTAGTAGTGATTAATGCAGTCTTTGTAAGTCCGTTCAGTCCCACACTCCTTGTACAAAATTTCTGCGAGCTTGCCCCATTTTTTGGCGTATTGATCCCGGTAGTTTGCAACCATGACGCGATGTTCTTCCGGCGTGAAGTCGTCCTCCGGAGGCTCATAGTGAAACGCAAAGATACCCTGTCCTGGTTCACGTTGAAAATTAGTGTCAATGAAGTTGCGTCTCTCTGCTTCAGCTTCGGTAAGTTCCAGAGGGAGGTCGGCTTCTTTCTCCGGATCAGCCATACTTCTTTTTGGCTCGATGTCTTGCTTGCCAATTCTTTCTTCTTCTGCTGTTTTAAGCGACTCTTTGATCACAGCCTCGATGTCCAGCTCAGTCGCCCATCGACTGGCGTGGCTGCGTCGTCCGGTAGGACCTGGTACCTCGAGCAGTGCACCGACTGTAGAGCTCTGAACATCGGGTGTCGTAGCCTTTAGACTGGGCTCGGCTGATGGTTGTCGTTCCTGTTCGTCTTGCTCACGTTCCTCATCCCAATGGCGGATGAATTGACGCCAATGTTTATATCTTATCGCATATTGTTGTAAAGTCTCTTCCTGAGTCAGTTCAGGTTGGATCGTCTTTTGAAACAGTCTGAGCATGTTTGACTTGATAGTGTCGGGAAGCTCTGGCCGATACTGCTCAATGTCAGACAGTGGTGTGGGCGGACCTGAGCCAAGATAAGGAAGACCACTGAGATCAGGTAAGATTTCATATTCCTTAGACGCTTCTCGTCGAAGGCGCAGGGCGACCGTTGCCGGTGCGATTGAACGCTCTGCTCTCTTCTCTGACCCGTTATCATCCGTCTCCTCGGCCTTCGGCGTCAAAGGCTCGACTAGCTTGTTGGCAGCAGATGTCTGGACATGCGATACAAATGTGGTCTCTGGCGGAAGCAGTACGACTCTGTCCTTGACAGCATCCTGCTCCACATCTTCGTAATGAACCGGGAGATGGTCGGCATTAAGGCACGACAGCAGGATGATCTCCTGTAGAGGAGTGGTTGCACGCAAATGAGGTGCGCTGAGGTCGACAAGTTTAGCCTCAAGTGCCGCCTTCTTTCGATTATACTTCGCTTCTGACTCTGCAAAGTCATCTTCATCAAGATCGACATCCTCATCAGAATCTTGCAATGCGTCCGGCGCAGAGGAAGCAGCCGACATGGGCGGCTGGATAGGGTAAGTAGACGGATCCGCCATAACCACGTCAGAATGCCGTCTTGTTTCTATCGACCCAGGCTTCAAGGACGGATTCGTGGATCGTTCTGCAGATGCAGCTCGCCCTTTGGTTCTGTCTTTGTCTCCAGGGGAACGAAAATAGGAAGGGGAGCCGAATTGAGCTTGCTGCATACGTTGTGGATGAACAATGGAAACAGAGCTGCCAAGCTCCAGCCTCGGGGCCTTTGGTGCAGTTCCAAATGATCGCTCTCGATCATCCACCGACAGCTCTCGTTTCGTGGGAATGGAAGGCCGGTTGGGAATGAGACCTGGGCGAACCCATTGCATACTTTTCGGTCCGCCACCCATGGGCGCTCTTGGAGCATTGAAGCTTGGTCTTTCTGATGGCGCATACGGAGGAGCCGGTCGCGGTACCATTGGCGTTCTATCAGCTTTGGGCCCAGTAGGGATGTTGGCTGGCAGACTCTTTGGTGAAGTATTGATAGAATTGTCGCCACTGGAGCTACGCGGACCTAGCGGCGGGGGAGGTACTGAGCTGACAGGCATATCCCTTGAAGCGTAGGAAGGGAGAGGAGCTCTGGAAAACGATGGCGAGACGTTGGCCCTGAGAGCTGCCTGCGGCGCGGAGGGCGGTGGACGCGGCCGTGGTGCTGGACCCTGTGGAGGTGATTTCGCAGAAGCTGAGGGCGCCGAAGGTGGAGGTCCCTGGCGTACTGGATATTGTGGAGCGTTGGCTGGCCGTGAAACAGAAGGTTTGATCTCTACTCGAGCTGACTCAGCAACATGAGCCATCAAAGAGGGATGGGAGTACGGCATGCTTGCGGGTGGGTCGATACGTGGGAGTCCATTTGGCCCTGGTCGGCCCTCTTGTATAGATTCATCGACGGGAAGTCTTTCGATTACGAGACGATCTTGAACCCGATCTGCTTTGGGTCCTGTAGGTGGAGCAACGAATCCAGTTGGGGCATTGTCCCTGTGAACGACAGGCGCGGGAGAAACTGCAACCGCTGGAGATGCTACAGTAGCGACTGAGACGATCGGAGCTGGAGTTGGAGCGACAGCCGGAGCTGGAGCTGCGGATGAAATAGGGACCGAAGCCGGAGAGGATGTGGATATCGATGCTGGAAGAGATGCTGCGACCGTAGTTACGGGAACAGCTGTTGCTGTGTTGCCGGTCTGGGCTGCTTTGGGTGGTGCCGTAGCTGTGCTTGACTTGACGTCAAGCGTTGGGTTCCTCCAAACGTTAGATCCAAAAGCTGGGACCGCGGCGGGTGGCGACGATGCCCGTGGCGCATACCGTTCCCTGGACGCCTCTGCGCGGCTAGCTAGGAGGAGGTCGTCCTTGCCAGGATCACGACGCAAATCTTTGGAAGCTGAAGGGTCAATCGCAACGGAAGAGCGTCGAGAATATGAATCCACTTGGGGTCCTAAACGGTCCGCCGGGGATGCATGATGCGAAGAGTGTGGGGTCGGTCCCGTCGGCGTTCCTGGCACGTGCCGCGAGTCAGAAGGTCCCGGGCCGCGGTGGGTGTCCAGAACTCTCGGCCCTGGTTTGGCAGCGCCAGCAGGTCCTATATAAGAATCATACTCTCTGGGAAACCTGCGATCGTCACGATCTCTTCTGTCAAAGTCTCGTTCATCTCGCAGGTCTCGATCTCGTCGTATGGGCGATCGACTGCGTGGTCTGTATAAGCGATCTGGAGCTCGATCTCGGGGATCATGGTGTCTATCTCGGTCGTCGTTGTGGAACGGTCGTCCCCTCCCGCCAAAATCTCTACCGCCGCGGCCTCGCCCGATCCCACTGCCGCGGTACGATGAGCCAGTGCCAGGCACGGGAGGATCCGAGAATGTAGACCCTGCGGAAGGTGGCCCATCGCGAGAATTGCGGCGCGCGCGGCTCACGTCCAGATCACGGGGCGGGAAGTCTCTTTGATCCCGGGGATCTCGGAGGTCCCGAATGGGTGAGCGCCGTGGGGGTGGGGTCGCACGCCTTTCTCTGCGGTCGCGGTCAAAGTCACGGTCGCGATCTCGATCGCGATCTCGATCACGATCGGCCCTCCAGGAGTTGTGCGTGTTCGTCATTGGGGGCGCTGGCCCACTACTGAGCGGCGGTGCGTCCCGCAAGGGAGTGGGCTCACCCCTGCTTGGAAACCCTCTTCCTCGTCCATCACGGGGTGTTGAAGGCGCGCCAGTCGAACTTCCAGGAGCAGAGCCGCGCGGCGCATCAGACAGAGACTTTGGCCCTCGGGGAACGTCGCGAGGCGGGAAATTGCTAGCTTCTTGGTTGGGCCTCACGCTGTCGTTAGCTCTTGGGGGGTATCCGCCTCCAAAGGCAGAAGGTCTGCGGTCTCGGTACGGCGGAGATCTGTCTCGCCCGTTTCTGTTGTTGTCCGCGTAGCGATACGAGGACATGGTTGCAGCTTGAGTTACCAGGATCAACTTGCAAAGACTGCGGCATGGGCGTGACTGCAGTCTAGATCGAATGTAAGGGAGTGCACGTGTCTCGCAGTGTGGTCGTCGGCGTCGCTGTCAAGGTCAAGGAGCCGTGGCTAGATTTGTTCGTGATGGCCAAACGCCCGCAGACCAGGTCGCCGGTGAGATCCCGTGAGAACGGCAGTGTTGCGTGGCAAGATGAAATGCTTGGTAGCGACCTCGTATGGGTGTGTCACTTGTGATGTGTTTGAAGTTCGAAGAAGGCCCGTGCTCAGGGTGGGTTTTGGAAAGCGCCCCGGAAGGCACTTTGCGATCCGCCGCGTGTGGAACAGAAGGCTTGGCGACCGGCAAGCTGAGATGCAACCGCTGCTGGCTTTTCAGGGCCTGGAGAGTCGGCGGGCTTGCAGAACCGCGTCAACAGACAGCACACAACGCAGCCAGGCAGCTGGCGGCTGTTGGTGGCGTCCCGGCGCGCGTGGCGGGTGCTGGAGTGATTTGCAGGCTGCAGAAGAGGTGCCTTCACCCCGTGAACGTGGCGCTGCACGGCTGCGTGCGAGGTGGCCAAAGGTGCGTTAGAGAGGGTGCAGATAGCAGAGTGCGAGTGTGTCGGAGTGGCTAGCCAGGTGGCGCGTGGGTAGACGCTGGCATGGTGGCGCCGTCGAGAAGGTTGCAGTCGCAGAGCGTGAGTGTGATGAAGAACAACGGGACCTGACGAGAACGAGGATCCAACGCATGCCCGCCCGCAGACATGACGAGCCCACCGAGCGATGCAAGGCAACGGACCCCTGCGGCTACCCGGTGCAAGAGACACACAGACACCAGACTTCAAAGACGGAGCATGGGCCATCTCAATTTGGCAGCCAATCAAGCAGCCAAAGGTCGAGGCGAACCCGCAAGGCCAGCCCGCCGCCTCATGCACAATCAGCCTAGGCCGAGACCCTAGGCACAGCGACACGGCGTCTGGCAGCGCCCGCGCCTGAGGGCAGCACCGTCGACGCTTGGCTGCGTGCTGGGAGAGCGTCGAGGTTCTGTGAAGAACTGCACTGCTGCAGGCGGGCTGGGCCCCCTGAAGATGGCGGCGGCCTCCAAACACCTCGTGCGCTGCTGGGCTTGACCCATGGCGATCTCACCAACTGGAAGCGCGTTAGACTGGCGCAGGGGCGCACGGCCGAAAGCGTTGTGGGGAACGCAAAGTCGAAAATCGCCTGGGCGCTGAAGCAGGCCAGGGCGGCGCATCAAATAGACTGCAGCGCACGCGCGACGATAATCTCAACCACCCTCGACTGTGCCTTGGACCCCGTGCGACTCTCCAGCACACGTCATGTCGCCCGCCAGCGAGGCTGCAGCCCCCTCAGGCGCCACCGATGCCGTTTTGAAGCCGTCTGAGCCCGTGCCCGCAGATGCCAAAGAGGTCCGTGGCATCGACTTTGACGACTATGCAGGCCGCAGCATCACCGTCGAGGAGCTGGTCGCAGGCTACGCGCAGATGGGCTTCCAGGCGACGTCCGTTGGGGACGCCGTGCGCATCATCAATGGCATGGTGAGTCTGCCGCAGATTGCTCGCTGCTGCAGCGTTTGAGCACGGAGGCAGCCGCTGAGGCCCAGGCTAGCGGTGCCGTGGAATCGAAACGACCGTGCCGGAAATAGCACCGCCGTCTCACCCCTCGCTCATGCGCCTCGCGTTCCTGCTAACAGGTGACAGCGCGCATGGAAGGACCCGGAGACCAATGAGGGCACGACGATCTTCCTAGGATACACGTCTAACCTGATCTCGTCCGGTCTGCGGGAAACACTGCGATACCTGGTGCAACACAAACACGTCTCCGCCATTGTCACCACTGCTGGTGGCGTTGAGGAAGACTTCATCAAGTGCCTTGCACCAACGTATCTCGGCGCCTTCTCCACGCCCGGCGCTGGCCTGCGCGCCAAAGGAATGAACAGAATAGGTAATCTCGTGGTGCCAAACAGCAACTATTGCGCCTTCGAAGACTGGGTCGTGCCCATTCTGGACACGATGCTTGAGGAGCAGGAGGCGAGCAAGAAGACAGAGGAGCCACTGCACTGGACACCGAGCAAGATGATCCACCGTCTAGGCAAGGAGATCAACGACGAGCGCTCCGTCTACTATTGGGCGTGGAAGAACGACATCCCCGTCTTCTGTCCCGCGTTGACTGACGGCAGTCTTGGCGACATGCTGTACTTCCACACGTTTAAGGCATCGCCAGAGCAGTTGCGTGTCGATATTGTAGAAGACATCCGGAAAATCAACACAATCGCCGTGCGGGCAAAGAGGACAGGCATGATTGTGCTAGGTGGAGGTATTGTCAAGCACCACATCGCCAACGCCAACTTGATGCGCAACGGAGCAGAGAGCGCTGTGTATGTCAACACAGCCCAGGAATTTGACGGGAGTGATGCAGGAGCACGACCAGATGAGGCTGTCAGCTGGGGCAAGATCAAACTGGACGGCGACAGCGTGAAGGTCTATGCAGAGGCGACCGTGGTCTTTCCACTCATAGTGGCTGCGACATTTGCGACCGGGCAGCAGACCGAAAGACAGTAGGTAGCATATTGTAGACTACAACCATGACGCACTGCTTGCAAATACGACTCTTCAACAAGAGCAGCAGTGCAAGGCCGACAACGCGCAGTTGTGTGTTCCGGTGACTTTGGCACGATCAACAGGGTGTTGAACGCCGCGCTGCACAAGGTTTGGCGTGCGTTAGACGATGCGGGAGCTGCAGGGAAACCGCGGGGGTCGGTCGCAGCTTCCACCTTCGCCGTTAGTCTCAACAGAGCTAAGTACCCTTCCGCCTAGCAAATGTGGAGCTTGAACAATCGATAAGCACGAGAGCTTCAGCTGAAGGCAGCCCCCTGCGATCCATCATGACGTTGTGCGGCTTTGGATGGATGAGTCAATATCACAAACAGGTGAGGCAACGAGCTGTCGAAGGGCTCCACGGCGACAGAGAGGGCGCAAGGTTCGCTAAGGCAGCGCCACGATGCGCGGGGGTCACGTCTTAGCTTACCGCCTCACTCCAGTGACCGCGTTGTGCATCGATAGCTGCCTGCAGCTCTTGGTTTAAGTCGCCCAGCCACGTCGTGACTGTTTCCCTCATACTATTGACCTCGATTACAAAGGCTTCCTGGCCTGCTTCAGTACCGTTTCGTGCTGTCCTGTGCAGCATCAACTCAGCTGCCTGCATACTTGATCTTCTGCGCGAGCCTGCTGCCTTTCCCTCGTCTGGGTGGTGTCTACCCCTTCAAGCTCTTTTTTGGGTTACACATGTACCAAATCCCTTCCAACCATGAGTGTTAGTGTCGAGCAGCCGCTACACTTCCAGCAGTCAACTTCACCTGCTTTTTCCAGTCCACCACATTCACCGACCCACCTACACCATGCGCCAACAGTGTCTTCTCCACCACCCGTTCAACAAACAACCGACGCAGATATGAGCACATCAGCTCACATAGCGCCGCCGGCCGGCCAGAGGCGCAACCGGGAGGATGCGGACATGCGGGAGGTTGAAGGTCTGACGAACGGACAAGCACATGTCGAGCAGGTCTCCCCACTGCTGGCTGAGTCCTCGATCAGCAGCGTCGCCGTCGAGATCGCCGCCGTGGACGAAGACGCTATGGACACAACGCCGGATACAGACCAGCGGCTCGTGCTGCCAAACAGCCCAACTGGTCACACGGATGCCGCTGCTGTTCAGCCATTCCCACCCGCAACAACCGGCACTGGTGAAGAAGTAACAGACAGCACTGTGCAAACTGAGCCTACCGACGTAACAGTGGACGCAGTAAGAGACTATCGAGCGCTCTTTTTCGTACACACTGGCTAACAACAAAACGCAGACAGAGCCTCCTCCGCCGATCATACCTCCTCCTCTCTTCGATCCAGATCTTCAGCCACCACCACCGCCGCCGCCGCCCGTCGAGCCTGTCCGGTCCGACTCCGAGTCATCAGATGACGACGATGGCATGCACCCATGGCACTTCATACAGGAAGACACCTCCTCGCCAGATGAGACTGAGCTGAAAGAGATAGAGGCATCTACAGAGCATAGTGCTCTGGATCATGAGTATTGGGAGAGCCGTGCTTTCCTGCCCGTGGAAGAGCCGGAATATACAGTGGGTGTCAGCGGACGAATCGACTGGGCCATCAAGGCATACAATGGGACACGGGAGAACCCAAACCGGGACATCGTCATGAAGTCAGATCCTGTCACTATTGGCGGCTACCAGTGGCAGATAAAGTTCTATCCCAAGGGAAACGACTCGGACTACTTGAGCGTGTATCTGGAATGTCTGAGTGTCGCGAAACCGTCCACGAAGAAGAAAGAAAGTCGCGTCGATTCTGTGGCCAAAAACGAGCATATCGAAGCATCCAGCGAAGACGCTCTTCCGGGCATGTCAGCACAGATCACTGACATGAGACACCAATACACGTGTCTGCCGCTGCTGGGCTCTAAGCGGCTGCCCAAGCGAAAGAGTGTCGCAGCACAAGTCTCCGTAGTCATGTACAATCCTACAGAACCCCGCGTCAACTATTCGAGAACTGCGCTGCACCGCTTTTGCAGTGGTTCGCCTGATTGGGGATGGACTAGATTCCATGGTCCGTACTACGATATCCCGCACCGTCTACGAGGTCAGCGACAAGCGCTGCTTCGTAACGACAAGCTCGCATTTACTGGCTATATCCGAATCGTCGAAGACGAGACCGACTGTCTCTGGGAGCACCATAGTCGAGAGAACCCATGGGACAGTTTTGCGATGACTGGCCTACAGGGACTGATGCTCGGCGAGGACGCTAGTTCTCCTGGCGGAAATATGATTTCTGCAATCTCATCTTGGATGCTGTTCAAGCCACTCAGAATACTCCTGTACAGCGCCTGTGCACCTGATCCACAAAAGGAACCACTTGCGCATCCCAAACCTCTACTCAGTGCACTGCAAAAGGTGCTTTACATGCTTAGGACACAAGTAGATCCCGGTGCTGGTCCTGTGCCTCTGGACAACGTCCTGGATGCCCTCGAATGGTATGGTCTCCACGAACGCGTGGACAAGCTTGATGTCATTGAGACGTGGCAAGTCTTACGTTCCAAGCTTGAGGAAGAGCTACACGACATGCCTGAGGCTACCGCTCTCGAAGCCATCTGCGGGCCCAAGCATAATCATATCACTGGCATCCCAAGCTACAGGGTACCTGTCGTTGGCGTCGAGAGTATGCAAGGCGCAATCAACAAGTCGACTGACTTCATCACACTGAGCCATAACTTGCCTCAGCTACTGACCATTGAGCTAGAACGGCAGATGTTCGACTTCAAAACACGGTCTTACGTGAAGCTGCTCGACAAAGTTACTTTGGATGATCACGTTACTGTCAAAGGTGTGCCATATACGCTATACGGATTCATAGTTCACAAGCAAACACTACAGTCGTACGTTTACCAGCCGATTCTGAGACCTGAAGGACCAGGTTCCCGATGGTACAGCTACTCAGACAGCAAAGATGAGAACCATGTCAAATGTCTCACAAACAGGCAAGCTGTCGATGCCCACGAGGGCAAAGCTGGTGCTAGCCGAATCGACGGCAACGATCCCGTCGCATACATAGCACTTTATGTTCGTGATGACGCGGCCGACTTTGCTTTCAAAACAGCTGCCGATTCCGAGCAGTGGGAGGTACCCGAATGGATCAGAAACGATGTAGAAAAGACGAGGAACTCAAGCATCATGGACCCACTGCCTCCACCTCCACCGACCGACGAACAGATAGCAACAACAACCGGCGGTGGGACGTTGGTTTCGGACCATGAAGATGACGACCTGGATGACACGGTCGACTTTCAAGTCTTCGATTCCCGGATCTTCCTTCAACATGAGGGGCCCGGTATTTTCGAGATGCACGATATGCAGTCGATCGCAGGAAACCCCGAGAATGTGCATAGCATTCGCTTGTCACGTAAAGACAGCTGTGCTGAGATTCGTCGTAAGATTGCATCAATCATTGACGATGTCAAAGACCCTCGACAGGTCAAGTTCTGGTTTATGGACCCATTGAGAGGCTCGCAAAGCCGCCCGCATCTTTCAAGTACAGGTAAAGTGGAGTTTTCTAGTGGCAGCTATGACCGCTACTTGGAGTTGAGGGAGTGGAGATTTGATCGGTCGGATTTTGCGTGCCGCCGCCTGTGGACACACATCGTCAACTTTGCCGATCTGCCAAAGCTTCCTCAAGAAGAGAAAGCGAACTGCCATACTAATGAGATATCATCCTCTGCAGTCGATCATATTGCCACCACGATCGACGCTGCGACGGGGACGTCTTCCGCCACAATGTTCGAGGACACGCCAATGAGCGAGCCCGATGAACTCGAGCCAGAGGAGATCATGCCCGCACAACCGAGACCTCATACACCAACTCCCGTATCTTTGAGCATTGCCGAAGGTGCTAATGGAACACTTACCGAAGGCGGTAACAACGAGACCGGAGCTGCTGGATTCAACACATTTGTGCCTCCGGCAATGCCGAATGACACAGAGATGGGAGGTACACATGAGGACTTACATCATCCACCTCCTCCGCCAGTTGACCTTCCAAGAGGCTTCGTGCCACCACCCCCGCCACCTGTAGACCAAGCGCCCAGCATAGAGCCTTCAACAGACGAGGTCTACTTCTTTTTAAAATACTTCGATCCACAGAAGCAAACGCTCGAGGCTCGCGGCACATACACTGTCGAGAGATCTGCCAGGGTAGATGAAACTCTGGTGAAGTGCCTAGGATTGCCAATGGAGGACAAGAGAAGGATCGAGATCTGGGAAGAGGAAGAGATGAATACACTCCGGTCGATCAAGAACCGCCGCTCATTCCTCCAAGTCGATCTGCACAGTACTTCAGTCATCATCGTTACGATGCCCTGTACAAGCGAACAGCGCAGTGCGCTTGCAACACGCGGCGCGTTCGCAGACCCGCAGTCTTTCCTGGCTTATCGCACCTTCGCCCGCAATTTCCCCTCCCATCTCAACGGTCATTTTACGTACAACTACTTTTCTTCTGAATATTACAAGGGTGAGATCAAGAATGGCCACCGTCACGGACATGGCAAGATGTTCTATCACAGCGGTGCAACATATGAGGGTTCGTTCCAACTCGGCCAGCGCCATGGTCATGGTCTTTACACCTTCCAGAATGGCGACACGTATGACGGTGACTGGGTGGAGAATCAGCAGCACGGCTCTGGAACCTTTGTAGAGGCAACCACAGGTAACACTTACGTTGGTGGCTGGAGGAACGACAAGAAGTTTGGCGAAGGCGTCACTCATTGGAAGAATGCACAAGAAGAAGAGCGTCTCTGCCGCATCTGCTGGGAAGATGCGGCAGACGCAGCGTTTTACGATTGTGGGCATGTAGTGGCGTGCTTGCAGTGCGCAAAGGAGGTACAGAACTGTCCAGTGTGTCGGAAGAGGGTTCTGTGTGCTATGAAGCTCTACTACGTAGCGTAGTCATGCTACGAGAGAAGGCGACAGAGTTTGCAGATCACCGGGTTCGCCGCTCAGAGTGCACATAGGGTACTGAGTGGGCACAGGGCTGGCGTTCAATCTTATTGACACTTATTGACATATTTCTTTCATCAACCCCCCCCCCCCCCCCCCAGCTCCTAGCTCCCCCCTCGATCTCAGGTCCAGCCATAACAAGCTTTTATATCACTCATTAGCAAGGTGTCTAGGCGTCCGCTACACAAATACTTGACGTCCATGCACTCGTTCCACGGCGATCACTCGAAGCTGGGGCCAAACTCAGCTGCAAGTGGAGCGTGAAACCAATCCACATGCCCATCATATGCCTCTGTTCTAAAAACAACCAAGCAGACCATGATATGTCTTGCCGTGCTTTGTCATATCAGAATCTGAGGATGAAGAGATGAAGAGGCTAACCAAAAGCCGCATTGCTCTAGCGTAGATGGCTCGTGCTCCAGCTAGTAGCTTAGTAAGAGGCCCCACGCTCTGTCGCCTCAAAAGGCCACGGCTTGCTTAAAACTATTCTTTCAGGCAGCACCCGCTGTTCCTCAGACACCACAAGCCCACCACACTCGCTCGCAGTCGTGATACAAAATGGATGTCTTCTGGACGCTGCCTCCGGTCTCCAGGTAAGACCCAATGCCGCTTCACACCCATTGCACTCAATGAAACATCATCCTAACAGTTTCGCAGGACCATCACGGCACTGTCTGTAGTTGTTTCTGCTCTCGGCTATGGCGGTATCATCAGCCTGTACCAGTATATCTTCGCCAACCAGATGGTATTCACGACCAAGATCGTACCCCAGATATGGCGCGTGTTCACGGCGTTTCTCATTACGAAACCGAAGTTCGCCATTCTCTTAGATCCATACTTTCTATACCAGTACGGCAGCGCTCTAGAGCGTGAGTCGTCGCGTTTTACGCAGCCGGGCGACTTTCTTGTGTATACTATGTTCGTTGGCTCGGTCATAGTGGTAAGTATTTGTCTTCTCGCATGTTTTGCACAATGCGTCCTATAGGTCTCTGGCAACAGAGCATCACCTCGGATTATCTGCCCACACGGTTTTACTCAATGGCCGAAGTGGTTCCTGGAACCGAGGAAGAGTACCCTTGCACATCGCACTGTCCGTCATTCGCAAAATATTAAAGGGCTGTTGCGGTGTGCAGGCATGGTGGGAAAGCTACTTGAGAAAGCTGTACAGATTCCCACTTCTGTTCGGCGGTGTTGGCTCCCTACATATCTCCCGTCTTCTTTTCGCTCGAGCTCGAATGTTTACGTCCACTTGAGAGAAGAGATGCTGACGGTGATGAAAGGCGCTTGCAGGTGTCATCCTTGACGGCTACACATTCCTTCCCGCGCTCTCTCTCGCATACGCATACACATTCGCCCAGGATAATCCGACGCGCCAGGTCAGCTTCTTCATTGTGAACTTCGACTCGAAGTATCTGCCCTTCGCCATGACGTTCATGACCTTCATCATTGACGGTCAGAGCGCTGCTCTTGGTCAGCTTACTGGTCTTGTCGCCGCACACTTGTACGATTTCCTCACACGCATTTGGCCCACGTTTGGTGGAGGCAAGAACTATATCTTCACGCCGTCGGTGGTGAAGCGTTGGTTTGGCGCGACGCCGGGGACGGCCCAAAATAGAGGCTACGGACACGCCGTGCAGGGTCGTGGGCGCGAAACTGGGTCGAACGAGCCAAGTACCGGGCGCAGTACTGGTGCCACCTTTGGCAGCATGGGGCCTGGCCGCCGTCTTGGAGAATAACGCACACGAGTGTGTGTGAGGGCAAGAGCCTGGGTCAGTCAGGTTTGCTGTGGCATTGCCCAAGCTGAGTAGCCTGTTTGCGAGCTTGGAAGATAGCTTCGGGATTGGAAAGTGGCATGCATGTACCTAACAGCACGTTATAAGACTTGGTTGTCACGTCGCAGCGCCGGAAGGAGGAAACTATGTCAAGTCAGTTCAACTCCCTTCAAACATATGCTGATGTGCAGCAAGCATGATGTCCATGCCAAAAACCATGTCCACCACATATAAAAGATGTCGGTTGCATGTCGAGGATATGAGCGTAATTACGTCTACGAAGGATAGTACTCTATGCTTTCTTGCCACTGCCTGCGGGGTTGCTAGGCCCATCAACCGCACGCTCTACGTGTCCTGCAATACCATCCTTGCTTGCATCGAACTGGCTACCAATGACGCCGTCCTTACTAAAGGGGCCGCCAATCGCCTGGCCGATGGAACCGATGGCCCCGTCGGGATTGAACTGCTTGCCGATTACTCCCGCAGAAGAGATCACGCTAGGGTTCTGGAGCGAGGTCAATACTGGTTCGCTATAGATGGAGGTGAATGGTACCTCTTGAGGGATGGCATTCGTGGTCTTGTTGGCGCCGAGCTTGTCAGCGGCGGACGTTGTGCTGTCAGTCATGCCGGATGTGGAAGATGCTTGCGATGCGCCTGTAAGTTGATCTAGCAGGGGCCCAGTTGATTTAGGCATAGAGAATCAATATGTGGTGGTTACAATATGTGTCACAGACGTACTGCTCTTAACTTATATAGCCCATTCGTCCCTGTGTTATCATTCGCGGCTGCGTCACGACAGTGGTGGTGATGACGTCAAGATGAACATATGGGGTTGAATGTCGGGTCAACATTTGTATGACGAGCATACGGGTGTCGATGATGCATCTAATTGTAACGAATTCAGGTCCGTACATTTGATACGATTGAGCAAAATTCGGGTAGTTCGACCGGGGTGGAGGAGTGGGTCGATGGGTTGAGATGATCGCGCGCACACTTGAAACTGACGATCAATATAATGACCGATTGTGCCTTTTCCACATGGGAACCTAACAGACACGAATACAAACTGGATTACAAAGCTCCGTATAGTCTCGCTGTTTTGATTGATGCCGACGTGTCCTTCATCTTCGCTTCTTAGTGGGGATGTTGACCCTCGGGAACGCCAGCGGCAAACGTAATTTGGCAATGTTGTGATTGCTGGCTTCGGCCTTTGTCAACTTGAACTTTGTCATGTCGGTTTGCGTTGGTGTGCTGACTCTGCAGCCTAACTCATGGAAGTACTGTTTGATTCTGTGGGGCATGTCAGTCATTGAAGGTACAAGCGCGTGATATAGACAACATACTCCTTGTTCTCGATCTTTAGGTCTTCGCGCAAATCGTTGACATCCACCTCGAAGTCGTCTACAATAAGCGCAGCGGCTGCAACGTGAGTCATGAGATTATCGATGTTCCAGCGAGGCATGTCATTGGTTCTAGACGGGTTAGTGTATGAAACAGGCCGGCTGGGATGAGAACACATACTCTGAGCCGAACTTCCTCCTAATCGCATTGACGAGTGGGATATTATCTTCCTCGTTCATCAAGCTCTCCAGCTTGCCCTTTGGCGGTATCTTTCTCGCAAATCTGCCAGGTTGACCGGCTAACGCTGCATTGAAGTTGATACACAGCAGAATGAAGCGCAAAACTTTCAGCTTCTGGACTTGCTTGATCCTACAGAGCTTCAAAATACGCTTTGCAACATATTTGCTGTTGACCTGTACACCCTGGCCGGCCTCGGAAGCATCCATCCAGTCCTTGACCGGAATCAAGCTCATAAGCTCGCTTCCAACGACAGTATCAATGGCGTATACGTCGCCAGGGAACTCCGCTTGAAGGTTCGGCGTTGGTCGCGGCTTTGAGCTGTCCAGAGCAGCTTCGAGGTCAGCTTTTGTAGGCATTGCAGAGGTGTTGTCGGCCATGTTCGCTAGCACGTTGTCTGCTACACCCTCGTTCCTGTGCTCCGTTTCTGGCGCCCCACTGCGGATGGAGTTCATGGTGATGTCGTCTATCCTCTTGCGTGACTTCTTCGAACCAAACTCGGCGGCAAGGGCATATCTCTTCGCGGTCATAGTGCCTTGTGCTGCTTCCAATCGTGCTTGCTCTTCCTGGAGCTCTTGTGTTTCACTGCGCAGGGTGCTTCGCACTGTAACCCTCTTTACCGGCACAATTCGCAGTGTATGGGTCTCCGGGTCGAAGACTCCTACGTAGTCCTTGAGCTGACTGCCTGCGCTTCCGTCTAGCTCCTGCTGGGCGGTGTAGTCGAGGCGGGGATGGTCAGAGGACTGGAGGAGCAGCGTGGTGACGGAGGATTTGGGCAGGATCTTGGTGTGCTGGTATGGCTTGAGGTTGACGCGCGAAGGCAGCTTGAGGCCTGGCGTCGCAGCTGGCTCAATGTTAGACGGCATTGTCAGCTTAATGCGCAATGCGACGTACCCAGCAGCGGACCCAGTGCTTCCTCGTGCAGAAGCTCGACTTTCACATTCCCGCGTGGCGCAACGGCAGTCTTCTTGCTAGGCCGATCGGCGCCATCCTCGTTTCTCTTTCTTTTCATCTCGGCCATGGCGTCAGCTGTGTGGGGCGCGGTGACAGGCGTTGGTGTTGTGTTCAAAAAGTTCGACCTCGAATTGGCAGAAACGCTGCGCTGGGCAGGCGGTAGGGGAGTAAAGCGGATCTAGTGCGCAATGGGCTAAGCGCACGCAGCGGTCGCGACTTCCGCTCCGCTTCGCCTTGACGTGTGTCCGACGCGTTCCAAGACGGCAGGCGGCCACGGCTTGTTTTGGTTAACGAGCAGCGACTCCGGTGTTGTCTCGACCGCACGCAAACACCTGTTTCACGTGAAAGATCAATTGCCTCTACCGTTTTGTGCACTCGCCTCCCTATCTCGGCATTACCGCCTTGTCAGTGTATACAGCTCATTCTGGCCGTCAAGACTGATACCAGTCACCATGTCGATCCTCCTACGCACTGCGCAGGATGTCGTGGTTGCTGTCGGCACCACAGTCGAGCACACTGCTAATCGCCTGCTTCCACCGAAGCAGCGCGAGCGTGCACTTGAAACTCTCCGCGCTTTCTCTGTGCGCAACCCTAAGCTTGCTGTAAGCCCGCATTGACCTGCTTTCTATCGTTCGATGCTGACCTCAGCAGTCGTTCCTTGCCGTGCAGACTGCCCTAGCTGGTCTCCCTGTCCTTCTATTCCTCGTCTTCGCCGTTGCGACCCTCGTCATCTCGCTCATCACCTGCCTGTTTCTTGGCATCATCGCCGCCCTCGCATTCACGCTCTTCACTACTGGGTTCGCCCTCCTCTTCGTGGTCCCTGTAGTTTTCATTGGTAGCTGCACTGCCACTATCGTCTTCCTGTGGTGTCTCGCTGGATACCTGTTAGTGCAGCGACTCAATGGTGGTGAGACGCCAGTCCACACCGCAACAACCGTTAGTGATACGCTGAATGGGCTAACGAGCGGAAGACTACACGATCTAGCTGATCGGGGAGATTCGGACCTGCCGCAAGAATGCCTGGCGGTGGATTCGTCGAGTGACGAGAAAGTATCCATGGGGCGCGAGAGTGGGCGTAGAGATCGCGAGACACGTAGTAGTCCACCACGTCGACGACATCACGGGCATACCAACGGGTCTGGTCACAGCAGAGATGTTGTAGGAGATGGTCAAGAGGGTGGAGCGCAACATACTGAGCTTGGATTGAGAGACAATACCCACGCAGCGCGAGATTGTTCTGATGCTTACTTGGTCTCCTACGAACCTAGGGTGAGGAGTCAGGCCGACTGGAAGGCAGAATTCCAGCAAACAGGCATGTCTACATGAGCTACATTCCTAAAGAACACAGAATGTAATTGAGTTTAACGATTAACGGATTACATGTGACTGCGTTTACCAAGGCCCGAATTCACATGTTTACAAGTTAAGACCCTTGCCTGTATCTTCCTTAATCTGCTAATTTACGGCTCCTGATAGCAGTTATTCGGCTGTTGAATCTACGTTAATGTCGCCATACCCGTCGACGTCGTATTGTCGTGTCTACGAAGCACTAGCTTTCACTTTCACTTTCACCTTGATCAAACCTGAACTAGGCTCGATCTTATGCTAGCCCCCCAGCCTCTTCGCAAAGGAAACTCACTCACTTCCTATTGTACCTGCTGCTGTTCCTGGACCTTCAGCCAATCAGACCGCTGTGTTTAGGGTGAAGGGAAAGCCGGGGAGCGTCCTTCGACCCGTCAGCTGCTATCATGGCCGATTAACACAAGGATTGCTGAGCGGACGGGACCAATCTCGTCCCTCCGCTGCTGCGTGTGCTCCACTAAATTATGAGTACTCAACTGGTCTCCCAGCCTTCTCTTTCCAAGGCGTATTGAGTTGCCTGTCCGCTTTTGACTTAACCCACACACACCTATCACAATTTCTGTACCCTCCAAATTGTTTCAGCTACAAGATTGCAACCGCCATGTTCGCGACCAACTCCTCCTCACCAAGCTTAAGCAGCGCCCAAGAGTCCGATATCTCCCCACAAGATCTCCAAGCTCTCAAAGACTACCTCCGACAAGACTGCACCCCCGTCTACGGCACTTCAAAGCACATCGAAACCTGCTCAACGACACCCAACCTCGCTGCGACTCACCCAGTCGAAGAGAAGATCAAGCCTGGTCCACTCAAGACCGCTGCAAAGCGTGCTCCCAAGGCCACTACCAACAACACCACCAAGGTGACGAAGAAGCGGCAAGCCACAACCAAAAAGACGCAACGCCAGCGCAAGACATCTCTCACCTCAGTCGCTTCTCCGCAACAATCCACTCCGCCCCAGCACCGCAGCATCGAAGAACTCCTTGCTGCTAATTTCTACAGTCTCAACAAGCAGGAGAAGACTCGCGTTCTCCTCCCAATGCTGCGCAATATCGACCCACACATACTCGAACCTTCCCTGGTGGAGCTACTGCGTGTACAGGCAGAATGCACGGATCAGGTTACAGGCTAGTAGCCTGTGGTGGCAATTGTGATGGTGTAAGCCATGCGAAGGTCACTAGATAGTCGTCTTAGCAGACGCGCTTTTTGCGCTGCAGTGCGAACGAGGTCGCGCAAGTAGGAAAATAAAAACAAGAAAAATTAGCGAATGCCTTTTACGTGCTTGATATGCCGTCCTGATCCACGGGAATTCGTTATGTGACTACAGCACATCGGTCGTCTCCTATTGAATTTCACCATGAATAAAAACACAAGGCAGCTATTGTGGTCGTATTGTTGACGGGGTCTGGTTCTGCCAGTACATGCTGGAGTGGTTGCGCTTCGTCAAGTATAAATTAATTAGCAAGCTTATCGTCAGATGATTGGAAGCTATCAGTGGCTCTTGATTTCACAATTTTCAGCATTTAGCACGGATGCATATCTTTCCAACACCGTATCCCCTTTACTTTCGAATGACATCACATATACAGTCTGAAGGAGGTCTCAATACACCGATCAGCCCTTCTTTACCCACAAGTCCATTGGCAGGTATCGGTGTCGATTCCAGAAGAAAGGGAATCGGAGCAAGGCGGATGCATACTAACCAACGAAAGAGGTCAAGAAGACAAACGCAGCTCGAACTGAAGTCAAAGGTTTCGAGACTCTTCCTACTGTATATGTTTAGCGATCAGGGAAAGTGAGGCGACGCCATTTGATAGCAAAGGCTCAGCAATCGTAAGTCTCTGAGTTCATCCCGAATGCTCTCAATGTATGCAGAGGGAATTGACGTTACGTGCAGCAGGTCTCAGAGTCCCCGCTTCTGTAAGAGCTGACTAGCCTTAGACGCAATCAACCGTCAGATTACTCTCTGAAAACTGCGCGCAAACCAGGTTTTAGTTTGCTCTGGAAAGCAATTGTGAGTGTAGAGAATACCTTGCCTCCTAATGCCAGCACGTTGCATGCTGTACAGTTATGTAGAATGGACTTAGGTCCACACGTCACACATGTCGTGGGTAACCTTGGTGCGCCGCGCCAATTGTGTCTTCCACAACTAGTCACATGGTTGCAAGGTCGCTCAAGGACGAAGAAGTGCATCTCTACGGAGAAGTCGAGTGATCAGAAAAAGACACAGATGTGCCGCATTCGTGAACTCATTGGGTCATGGCAGTATTGGGGCATGACGGTGAAGAGGCACACTGAAGCTGCCTAGATCAAGTGTAGTAGAATTTAACGATGACCGGAAACCATTGAATTCTTCTTTGCAGAGAAACATATCGTTCTGATCACACGTTAGAGTGTGGTGAGATTCCTGCTTTACCCTACAGTGTTCGGTCTTTCCCCGTGCGGCGTTGGGCGCTTCCATTCTTACCCGCAGTTTGCCTCCACTTGCTTTTTCCAAAACACCATCTACCAACATCTAACGGCGTCGTCAGCCTGCCACGCGACCTGTCTCTCGAAAGCAATGTCACAGCAGCAGTCTGGATCGTCAAGCATCGTTGAATATTACAGTGCTCATCGCGAGCCGGTGTTTCGACCAGATGGCGAGTTCCACCATTTCGCAAGGCGATGTGACCCAGTACATACAAGAAACGGATACTGGAAGTTCTCAACCTATGAAGACGACCAACGCGCCTATAAGCATGGACTGCTTACACCGGAGGCCGTTCTAATTGCACAAGATGCTGGCGATGGAATGTACGACGAGATTATGCTGCGTTGGGTACCAGGTGAGCTGGACACGAACAACAAACCTTCAGTTGGGTCCGCTGCAGCTCACTTGGAAACCATCTACAATGAGAGAAAAGTGTTAGGCAAAGCCCTCTCATTTCAAGGCCGGGTACCATTATACCCTACCAGCACCACTGAGAAACTCATCAGATATCGACTTATTAGATACGGCGTACAGAAAGGCGTATTCCCACCAGAAACTCTGCTATCGCCTTCTCTCCGACCATCGAAAACTGATAAGACGATGGCCCCAAAGACGCGTGACGAGCCTGCACCGAACCACGACTCTATACCCTTCTCAGCATCTGTATCAACGCTCTCGTTGTCACAGACTATCAGTGAATCAGCATCGTCACAGCAAGTAATTCCTACTACATTGGATATTCCAGCTGCGGAGCTCACCAAGCCAATGGATCAGCTGGACTTTACTGAAAAGTTGCAAGCTTCACACCTTCCTCAGGAAACCCATCACATAATACCGTCTTCTGAGGTTGGTCAGTATATGAGTATGCCTTCAGGCACCACTGAAAGTTTTGGGAGTAAACATAGCGCCGGTTTACTCCTGGCTACGAGATCTAATGGCCATCAGGGTATGACCGGAAGAGGCAATACATGCCATGAAAACACCAACGATGAAGCCCCTATGGTCCCAAATAATAATGTCCCAAATGTGTCGTTGGCAAAACTGAAGCCTTCGGACCATTTCGGTGCGCAAGTTGCAGATCTGCCACGCATGGACTGTGAGGCAGATGCAACTGACAGTTGGAACAATATTGCCGCTCTATGTTTACAACCTACTGACGTGCTATCAGTATCTAAGATCCACGGCTTTACCGAATGTGTCACCAAATTCGACCCTGACCCAAGGAGGGAGCCAGAGATTCAGATACACGATATGGCAAACGTCATTCGCGATCTCGACACATTCAAAGAGGATCCTGACCTGCACGGATTGGATGATAAGCTTATTGTCTTATTATGGGGCCTCAAGTCATCTGGCAATGCGCGAGCACTCAATGGGTTTGTTCTCTCTCTGAATTTCGAGCCGAGTTATGCTAACACGGTCTAAGAGCTTGCTTTGATACCAGACACGGGTACTCTGATCATGGCGGAGATGACAGACAGGAATCTTAGCCAGCATCGGAAGAGATTGGTTACAAGGCCGACATCAAGCTTTGAGGAATCAAGCCACCAACGATATCAAGTGTTGTCAGATGCTTGCTGGATTATAGGCGAGGGCTTGCAAGCCCAGTCCCCTTGTACTGCTCGTACATTGCTGCTTCAAACCTACGGTTCAAGGCTGCACACTTTGCATCCCCAGTGGGCAAAACTTGTCCTGCATACAAGCCACAAAGTCCGGTCTTTGGGTCGATCCACTAGCAAAAGTTAGACTTAGGAAACAGGAAGATACATTGAGCTTACCCATATCAGATTAGGTAGTCCACCCCATATCATGGTGCCCTTCGCTTTACCGTCTGGCTGATCCTCCAAAAGAAGAAGACCCCCGAGGCCCCAATCCTTCTTCGAGTCTTTTAATGTACCCCCCATTGCATTGTTGACCTACAACACTCGTTGTCAGCGCATATATCCAACGTAGTAGCCTCGTACTGACTGTGTCGTCTTGTAAAACCGCATTCATCGCCATTGAAGATCCCTCTTTCAGTTGCGGCGTGAAGAAAGTCCTCAGGGTTTCCTTCTTCATCAGTGTTTCATCCGTATCGGTCGTGAGTACCGCACGTAGGAGCTTGCTATATTCCTCTGCAGTCGTGAAGACACCCTGTCCACCCATGCAGTCTTGCACTTCCTCCCCGTCTGCATCTTGATAAGACATTCTTGCGTTCGTATGCCGAAGTTTGCCTGACTTTTCGTCTCTTACACTCATGTCCGCCATACGCTCCTTCATATCCGGTCTGGATTTGAGACAAAAGGTCATGTCTTTGATACCAAGTGGCTCCCAAAGGTTTTGTCGCATATACTCCTCTAGAGTCAGGCCAGTCACCCGCTCGATGAGCAACCCTGCATAGTCGATTCCTGAGCCGTACATCCAGCTCGTCCCTGGCTCGAAAGTAAGTGGCGCATCAAAGCGCTGCAACAGTTTGGCGCCTGTAGTGGGCTCTCGACCATGGTATGCCAACCAGGCGAGAAGCTTTGGGTGTAAGCCATCGTATGTCAAGCCGCTCGTGTGCGTTAGAAGTGAACGCAAAGTAATCGGCGTGATGTGCTGCACTTCCACAGGCTTGCCTTCATTGTCGAAAGTTTTGAGGATTTTGAAGTCCCTCAGCTCAGGTACGTGATCGTATACCGGATCATCAAGTGTTAATTTGCCACGCTCAACGAGTTGCAAAGCACAGATTGATGTCATAAGCTTAGTGCAAGATGCTATCCACATTACTGTATCGGTTCGCAAGGGTTTGGCATTTTCAGGCTTCATAGAGGTCTGCCCGAAGCTCTTACTATACAGAAACGACCCTGAAACAGTAAGCGAATGACTGACAGTGACTGTAGGGAGCTACCATCGCGATTGGTGGCAAAGAGCACGCAGCCTGGAATTTCTTCGGCATCGATAGCTTCTTGAATTGCTCTTTCGAAGGTCGCCATAATGACCATTGGCCCAGTAGAGGTTTCTCTTGACGTGGCTGTTGTCCGCAGATGGATACAGGTATGATCACCCACAATATACCACAGTCGGAAGAGATAATGAGTGCTCAAGCAGTACGCAGAAGTCAAGTGGTTGGGGTGATGATAGACAAGAGATGACTCTCTTGTAGCTTCAGTGGTGCCTAGATGTTGCATGCCTCGGTTCATGCTACTGCGGGGCTATTCTTGCAAGCGATACATTGTACCTACGGTATGTAGCTAGCGCGTCTCAGAATCGAGTTACTTACTCTGTTCTGCTGACACTCTGATGTGCATCCTCCCCATCCCTTCAGACATGGGCTCGCAATTTCTGAATGACGAGAAAGAAATTGCTTCCCGTGTAGCAGATTAGTTGATGCAGCAACTCCCAACCTGCCTTTGGCCTGACAGGCTTAGCGGCGTTCAGAGCAGATGGCACTATGAGAACAAACATGTCGATTTAACTGTTGTCTCTTGAGAGGTGTACCATGAGTTGACAACTGATTGACGGTCAAGAGGAAGCCTCTTGTAAATGAGACATCTTTCTAATAAAAGTTGCTATACTTTATGTGAAAGGGAGACCTACCTCCAGGCCAACTACGAACAGGTCTCCGGTTACTTACAGAGTCCATTGTTTGAACCATTCAAGTATAATGCTCGTCGCTTCCGCCTCTTCGCAAGTCAACGCCTTCTCAGTGTCGCCATTCGGGAAAGAACTTGGCCAGTCGTGGTACAAGTTCGTGTAGTTGTAATGAACAACTGTGTCATTCCAGCTATACCTCGAGACCTTCTTGTCTCCGCTACAGAGATACGACGTTGTATTTGATGCGACCTCAAACGCATTTCGCTTGGCCCAGTCGTCTACCCAAGTTTCGACACTCGTCGAGTTGGCGTTGCCGCGCGTGTTGATGCCACCAGCATAGGGTATCGTAGTGTCCTTAAACCCGTGGAACTCCATGATAGGAATAGGGTGACGGCTAGGGTTGCAAGCTGGTAGCTCTTGATTGGCGTCGAGGTAGAAAGCCCCGGATACTGGCGCGAATGCAGCGAACCGCTTCGTAGCTTCAGCGTCGCAGGCCAGAATACCAGTGAAGCCAGCTCCATTGGATTTGCCAGCAGCATAAATGCGGGACGTGTCGATACAGAAAGTCTTTTGAAGCTCATCCAAGATCTCTAATGTGAAGGTCACGTCGTTCACAGAGGAGGGAAAATCTGGGTCACCCTGCCATTGCTGGGTACGCTTGGCATTGTTCAAGGCCGCGCCTTCTGGATACACGGAGATGCCGTTGAAGCCATATGTCGCATTCGAGAATTGCGATAATTCTTCCTGGAATGCTGCGTCTTTGCCGCGACCGTGAAATGAGAGAATCAGAGGAACTCTCGTGTTCGTGTCGTACGTTTTGGGTAGATGCAAACGGTACCCGCGTGTAGGTAATCCGCTCGAGCTGCTGATGTTAAGATTGACGGACTTCTCCAATTCGATGCCTTTTGGCAGAGGATTTCCACAGCCGTTTGCAATGTCTGCTGTCAATGCGTAACTAACGCCAGGCAAGACAGCTAAAATCGCAGCGCCTGTACACAATGTAGAAACCATCCTGAAGTGAGGTTGTCCTGGCCCTACGGCGATGCAAGAGGGCATGGTGCTCTTAAAGGCGCTGTGCGCGTTGATCCGAGAGCTTCACCGGCAGCGAGTAAGGCGCCCGACTCTCCTCACTAGTCCATGCTACTTCCCGCTAATAGATAATTACATCAGGGGCGGATTCGTACATACCTAGGACGACCGACTAGCACACACTTAAGAAGTCGGTCCAATGTTGAAAGGCAGAGTCGTTTCACAAAGCCAGGCAGTTCGGCATACCTTGTACAACAGGAACAGACAGCAAGAGACACGAGGGGAATCTGGCTGGCACGGGAACGTTAAATGAGGCGTTGCTTGTTCGATGCTAAGCCACTAGCAAAAACGTCAATAACTAGCCGCGAAGATCCCCGATGGCCGGCCCCCAGCCTGAGCCTCATCTTCCAATATCGCTCTCATACGCGAAGAACGTGCCGATTATAAAGCGCGCCTTCTGCGCTCTGAGACAAACTGCGCGGGTTGTAACTGACTGATGATGTTCAGTCCTTGCGACCTTGAACGATCCCCGTATGGTCCCCCGATCTGAGACACCCTGGTCCGGCAGGCGACTGGGCCTGTCATTGCCCCACGACTGTTATTGGTATTGTGTCATCCTGGTACAATTGCGATCTACCAAGAGTGGCCGAATTTCAGTTCATAACTTACCGTGTCGACTTAGCATTTGTCGTATGACACAATCGCTTCATTGGTCAACGCACCTGACTTACCTAGCCAAGCTCTAACCACGCGAAAAGCAGCGGGTCGGCGACTACACCACAGTGAGAACAGTGTGTTTCTTGTTCGGGCCCTTGCGGCTCCACGACCTGACGGCTACTCCCTCCGCAACTCTTTTCTACTCCATCGGCAATCCAATACGACCCCCAGCATGCTTGTGCGCAACATATTAGGACTGACAACTATTGTGTACCTTGCTACCGGTCTCGCTGCTGCCAGTTCAAGCTGCTATTATCCTAATGGTAACAAAAACAATGGTGGAGCGTGCGATGCGAACGCGGAAGTGTCTGCATGCTGTGGGCCAACATTTGTCTGCTTGAACAATGGCCTCTGTCAGCCTGGTGCAGATACCAAACGAACATACGCGTATGACTTTTATCGCAGTGGTTGTACAGATGCCACGTTCAACTCTACATTGTGTCCCCAATTCTGTGTTGGCTGTGAGTAGCATGGGCGGACATGATTGCAAGTGTCTTGTACTGACTCGTGCTTAGTGGGTTACCACAATGATCGTGGCCAAGGCGTGAAGAGTTGTGGTAATAACACTTACTGCTGTGGGGCCTCCGGAGACTGTTGCAGCGACTTTTCCAATGTTTTCGCGCTGGACGCGGTGCAGGTCATCACTACCATATCAGCATCATCTGCATACATAACGGACACCGCCAACGGGACTTCAGCAAGTATTTCGGCGCCAGAAGAAGATCACCATGCGCTAGCGATAGGTCTAGGCGTCGGTATTGGGATGGGAGGCTTCCTTGTGGTTGCCCTCGCGATACTCTACGTTCTGAAACGCAGAGCTAAGCTGAAACGCAATGCTGAGCATGGAAAAGAAGAGGAAGTCTCAGAACTGGATGCGTCGTCGATAGCCCAGCTACCAGATGCATCGGCTGAGCCTGCACCTGCACCTACCAAGGTTGGTCATACTGCACTAGCGGGTGCCGTAATTCATGAAATAGCTGACGGAAGAGCGGGTTCATCCGCCGCGCCTCATGAGCTGGAAGCCAATAACACCTACGACTGGGAGCCGCGGGGCGAGCCCGAACCGCGTGATGGAGGCCTCAAACCTGTGGATAACACCGCGCATTAAATGCCAAAATAGCCATTCTAATACAGGAGTAGTTACCAGACTATATTTACAACGAATGCACAATATAGTCCGGAGATCGTGTGATTCTGTATGTCTTGGTACATGAGAGTGTGGCTAAACAAAGCGCGCTGTAAGTGAACTGATCAGCTCCCTTAGTTTTACATGCTCTATCTGGAAGCACCGAGTCCAGCGATGACTATTTACATCCAAGGTAATCGTCACTCTCACAATCTGGTTGTCAAAGCTTGCGGAGACCTTCTGAATCCTTCAGTGGTCCCAGTCATGTAGATACTCGCCCTGATATTGCCTTTTGATAAGTAGGCGCGATGCTTTGACATACCCACAAGAACGATCCCTTTTGTATTTCAGCCTCTCCGTTTGTTTGGAACCCTTATTTGACGCGTCACTTCTTACTTCTCGAGCCTCGCTCGCTGACCTTGTTGCCGTTTGTGCTCTGATGAAGAACTTACTATGCTTTTTGGTGTGGGGAGGACCAGTCGTTGACGAGCACAGACAGCTCTTATCGCCCAATTTCCATTTACTTATCCTTAGATACCTGCAAGAGGGTTTGAGATGGGACCGTTGACATGGAGGCATCCATAGCCTCGTAGGTTTCACACAACTTCGTAACAGCATGCGTTCAGTACGTGGCTCTTGCTATGAGATCAGAAATCCCGCCACATGCAAATATCTGGAAGGATGCTTGTGAGAAGCGACCTGTATGTTCTTGACACTGACACGTGTAACTCAACATTGTGGCCCCAGTCAAGATTCTGCTTAGACGCCTTCTAGAAAGCAGCATAAATCCCCGTTATACGATGGTCACTACGTCTGACTATTATGATCGATTGGTACATCGGGCAAATGCATCTTTGATCCTTCCCATTGCTTTGTGTCTGACCTGAACTGTTTTATAGGTGCTATTGCTGCTGCTCTTCAGCACACTTAGGGCATCTGCCGCCTATTCTAGATTTCTAGTCTGCTAAAATGACATGGCATGTGTTGCGCCTGCTGAGTCGTTTGTTCTTTAATGCTCAACATAATACAGCAGCTGTAATGCGGGGTACAAGGTGATGAAAGAAGCTTGCGTTGGTGAGTAGATTACTTGTAAATACCACTCACCGAACTTTGTGAGCTAATGAAAGTCTTGGGATTTCATTTCATCGCAGCGATACAAAAGTAGTCATTATGGGAGATGTGCGGTGTAAGTACTTGAGGGTAGGTAGATGATGCTGTTGGGTGTTACAACCTGGCAGCGAACGCAGATCATTGCAGCACGCTAAAGGTTAGTGCCTTCTTCTCGCGTTAATACCAACCGTGGTTCATATCGCAAAAACGTCGGGTGACGAGCTGCAGAAATAAGCTCAGGGTGCAAGCAGTAGATTCACGACGGGAAGCCTAAGTAATTTTCGGCACCGGGTGAGGTCATACTACGTAGCAATGCGCTATTAGGGTTGATAAGTTTGTTTTATGCTCTGGATGCGGCCAGTGCCGTGATGTGATTGGCTCCACGCCTTCGGGATTGGAACGCAGAGGCTCCTTGTTGTGCGCGCCCTCGCAGCCCGACAGACTGCAACATCAACCTGCCATCAAAACATTCGCACCACAAAACGCACGCACAACCATCAAAGTTCATCAAGTCCATCTCGGATCTGGATGCGCTGGAGTCTACAAAAACATTGACACCCATATTGGCATTATTGCGACGCGTTTTTGTCGCGAAACAGCCCTGCGCAGGCCGAGAGGCCACCTGGCCGAAAGGGCTGCCCGGCAAAGTCTCTGCAGGTCACGTGCTTTGTTACAATCCCAATCACAGGGGGCTGAGGCAAAATGACGCAGCGTGTTACTGGCCAGCGCTTTCGCCAACGCAAATTGTCTACCAAACAAAATATACCTGTATTGCGAGAGCATGAGGTTGAAAAGCTCGATGATGATGAGGCGTCACGGCACATCCCAAGGGTCGAAACTGGTGTCGAGAAAGGAGAGGAAATTGTAAGTCCTGTTGCTGGCCACCTTGAGCATTTAGTGTTAAAGCGTGGTCATTTTCGCGCAAGGCACTTCTTACCCTGCACATCATCCCGTGCAATAATGCCCGCTGTAGCAACTTACCCGTCAGGATGATTCAGACTAACCGCGTCAACAGGAGCATCATTTACAGGCCGTGATATCTGCAGCGCAGGCAGCAGCTCAAGGTGCTACCGGCGGTAAGATTGCACAACTGTACATTCCCACACCAGAAGCAACTGCAAGCCATTTGCAATACGACGAGCTATACCCACCCCGGTTCACACAGCCGGCGACCTACATCCGGTTCTCTTCCACAGTAGAAGACACTTCAGGATGTCCATACTGTATGACTAGTGATGATGTCGCTTTCCTCAAGGCGTACAACCAGAAAAGGACTAAAGGGCCTCACTGCTCCGAAGACGAGTTCGAGGAAGTCATGAACTTTTTCGAAGAAACTGCTCAGACGAAACAGCCCTTCTCTGCCGTTGGTGATGCCCCTGTACTCGCATACGAAGACCTGGAATCGGATTTTGATGAAACGATTGGTGAAGGAGCGCGGAGATTTGCCAGGGAAATCTATTCGCACTGGAAGAACCAGAGGTTGCTGAAAAGCAATCATCTTTTGCTGCCTTCCCTGAAATTTGAGACGAATCTCGAGACAGACGAGTCAGATCCTTATGTTTGTTTCAGACGTCGTGAGGTGCGACAAGTCCGCAAGACTCGAGGCCGAGACGCACAGGTGACAGAGAAGTTGAAGAAGTTGCGTAACGAATTGGAGCAGGCCAGACTCTTGATGGCTCAAGTAAAGCGACGAGAAGCGATTATGCGAGACTCGCTTGCAAATGACAAGCAAATCTTCGAGCAACGGCACGCAGTCAAGGAGATCAAGAGAAGACTCAGCATCAAAGCTGATGACGAAGAACTCTTGATCACGCAAAAGGTGTGTTTCGATGGTTTTCCAAACTCGATTTGGAACATGACTGACAGACGGCAGCCTGCGCCAAAGCCCAAGCCAAGACCTGATCTTGAAAGAGTTCGCCAGAACATCCCTGGCATGAAGCCCCAGGTCACTCGCGCAGACGGGCGGCTTGTCGATAGTGACCTTGTGTATCTTGAAGAGCAGCAGGCGAAGAAGACAGAGGCCATCGAGACCTTCATCGAAGAAAATCTCATCAAGCACCAGAAGTGGAACATTGGCTGGGTAGATGCCACCTGGCGGCCTATTACGCCACCACTGGAGCAAGCCGCTGCCAAATCAGATTTTCGTACGGTGTTCACGGAATCGCAATTGCCTACTCCTCCGGCTTCCGTGTCTGACGATGAAGGTGCTGACTCCATGGCGGTAGTGCGTGCGAACCCGCCGGATACACCGCGACGGAACGCGCGTATACGTTTCGGTTCGCCCCCAGATGATGTTCCCTTTCAAGACCAGTCTCGTTACCGAAGAAGAGTCGGACGAGGCGGGCGGGTGATGATAGACCGACGTGGTGTCAAACGCCCAAAGCTCGAATCCAGCCAGCTAGATGAGCGCGTTGCGGACCGCTGGAAGTATGCCGGAGACAGCAGTGAGGATGAGCAGACATACTCTGTCGATTGGACAGATAATCTGCATATCCGGTATCGTATCATGATCGATCGGCAAGGTGGTGAGAAGCAACATCCTCATCAAGCTGCAGGCACAATTCGCAAATCGATCGAGAATAATAATCGATCCGCGTCCGGCCATCTCATGCCGCCAACAGCAGCGCCTGGTCCAAGCTCGGTATCGTAATCCTTCTCTTTCAACAGCTTTTTGACGATGATACGTGTTGGTTTGTGGCGAGATATACCCTTTGATTCTTATTCGCGAGAAGATCCAACCGGAGTAGTGGATCCCACAACATATGTACAGGATTCTGCGATCAGGATTACAGACGGAAAGATCGTTGATGGTCTCTGGATAGTCATTAGCGGTCTGTCCCGATTATTATTGGATATGTATAACACCTCCAATGCCAGGCTGCATCTTTGGATGCCCACAGATAAACAGATTAAAAACTTACCACTGCACTACTTTGCTCTCACGTCATCACCGCAATCTACCAGGTGTGGGCCTATAGCTGTTACCGTGCAAGCCTTGTGTGATGGGAGGCGTCGGTCATGCTCTTTGTTTTTTTCCAGTGCCACCCATTTCTACATCGCCTTCGCCATCTACCTCTCGGGCTCTTTTAAGGCCGCCTCCTTCTCTTGCAACTTTTTCAGCCAACGCTTCTTTAACTTGCTCGAGTACCCGCTTCTCCCCCATTCGCACCGCCTTGGCCATAGCCAGTCGATGCTCTTTAGAAGATGGATGGCTTACACTTGACACCTCAGGGGACTCGCGGACATCGTCGTCGAGGCTTGCAGCATACTGTGCGAGGCGGGTCTGGACCAGTCTGTGCAGGAACTCAGCACCTCTACTAGTCATCTTCTCGATTTTTGGCAGCTTGTCCCTCTTCTTGAGACGGTCGAATTCTTCATCGGGCAGGAGAAGGGTTTCGACAAGCACAACAAGCTCAGGCGAAAGGCTCTCTTGCAAGTTGAAGGGATCGCTAGCAGATACATCGTAGCCAGTGTCAACAACCTCGTGTTCGTCCAAATACTCAATCCGCAAATCCGAGTGCACGCCGGCTGAGATCGCAAGATCTGTCACTAGGTCCATGGAAACCTCTGCAACGTCGTATTTGGCATAATTGTCGGTTACATAGCCATAACGCCGCAACAAATCGGAGCGTGGAAGGGGCCCGTAGTCGTTGAAAATCTCCTCGCCGGCACTGATTGGCTTCAGAGCCCTCATATCTAACGAGTTGGCCTCATAGAACAAGCGGGCATTGTTACGGTCTGCGTCAGCGTTCAGCATGTCTGCCAGAGGCACCATGCCCTTCGGGAGTGCCTCATCTTCATCCTCAGATGTATATCCCTCCTCGTCGACGTCTTTGCGTGAGACCGAAGGCTCAACGTCAAAGGCATATGCCATGATCAGCGATCCCATGCGGTGCATCAAAGCGAGGTTGCGCTCATCGCGCAGTTCCTCGGCCCTCTGCGACGCACGTTCATCATCGGCAAAGAAGATGGGTGCGAATTCCTTGATCACCGGGATCAACTGCTCGACGAACATGTCGTTTGCGCTTTGTTTCCCGATCTTGTTCACGACAGCGCTGGCCTCCAACGCTGCCAGCTCGTCGTCGGTCCAGTACATAAGAGTGTCGAATTCGGTGGGCAGGACTGAGAAGTACGCGGCCCAGTAGGAAGCATCACCGTTGAGGTGCTCGTAGAGCATGACAAGGATGAGAGAGAGCCATGGGCCCAAGGTTTCGAAGGTAGCGACCGGAATCTCCTTGGACAGAATCGAGTTCTCGACGCTGAGAATTGTCGAGCGGGGAATGCGGAAGAGGAGCTCGTGCTCAGCAACATGTTGCGTAGCGACTGGTAAGGGTCAATGCTTGGCTTTGCGGAGAGGGGCATGGAGCGTTTTCTGTATAGACCCGGCAGCTCCGCAGGGTCGAAAACGGTCAACTCACCAACACCTCGCCCAGCTTGCGCATGTCGAAGGTCTTCGAGTCGAATCTTCGGGCTGATATCGGCTCCGGACTGCCGCAGCCAGGCCAGAAACGCTTGACCAGCGCCGTCAAAATCGACCATGTTTGGCGAGATAACAAGTGGTGTTTGAACGGGCGGAGGTTGGAAGTGTGACGGATTGCTAGCGCCGAGTCCCGAGATTGTTGCTCATTGGCCGAGGGGGCTCCGACCTTATGATCCACCTCCGGACGCCAGTCAGCGACAATGGCAATTGCGAGATCAACATCCAATGGCCTGGGTGGGGAGCAACGAGTCCCTTGAGGCCGAGCGGTGAGGGCAGGGGACGGGCGGCAGAAGTGTCCGCCCCAGGTCTGTGGCACCAGGCTCAGGCCTCAGGTGACGTTTGTGTACTCGGCAACCAGCAACGCGCGCACGTGCTCCACTTCACGCCTTCACATTTCGTGTAGGGGGGCACTGGTTGGGGTGATGTGGCTGCGTACGTAGCAGGCGATCTGTGTGCTTGCATATCGGCATTGATGTGAGCAAAGATGGCCTTGCATTCAGCCCTACGCGCAACTCGGAACGAACTTGTCAAACGTCCCGAAGTATGTCTTGGCAATCGTCTTCACACCCCGCCATGTGTAGACCATGAGCGGTTGCAGACACGTAGTCGCGAAACACACACATTCACAATGATTGCTTTGGGGTTAGAAGGTAGCGCCAACAAGATCGGCATTGGGGTCATATCTCATCCAGCGCCCAACAAGCCTCCAGTCATCTTGTCAAACCTGCGACACACATACATCTCCCCGCCAGGCGAGGGCTTCCTGCCCAAGGACACAGCGCTGCACCATCGAGCATGGGTCGTCCGGCTGATCAAGCAGGCTGTGCAGCAAGCTGGTATCAAGATTGAGGACATCGATTGCATATGCTACACCAAAGGGCCGGGAATGGGCGCACCACTTCAGAGTGTTGCGCTCGCGGCGCGGACCATCAGCTTGCTCTGGAACAAGCCTATGGTCGGCGTGAATCACTGCGTTGGCCGTAAATACACGTCGCAGCCATGAATACTGCACAAAGCTGACCTGCTATCAGACATCGAAATGGGCCGTTCCATCACACGCGCCGACAATCCAGTCGTCCTCTACGTTTCTGGCGGCAACACGCAAGTCATCGCCTACTCCGCGCAACGCTATCGCATTTTCGGCGAAACGCTCGACATTGCAATAGGCAATTGCATAGACCGCTTTGCGCGCACACTCATGATTCCGAACAACCCGTTCCCCGGCTACAACGTCGAGCAACTGGCGAAGAGTGGAAAGAACCTTATAGATTTGCCCTATGGCGTGAAGGGCATGGATGCCAGTTTCTCGGGAATCCTGGCGGCGGCTGATCTCCTGGCCCGAGGCTTAGACGAGACGCTACCCAGCGAGAGACGGCTCAGAACTGATGATGGAGCCCTTGTGACTAGAGAGGACATGTGCTTTTCGCTGCAAGAGACCATCTTCGCTATGTTGGTCGAGATAACAGAACGCGCAATGGCACACGTTGGTTCGCAGCAAGTCTTGATTGTTGGAGGCGTGGGCTCGAACGAGCGGCTTCAACAAATGATGGGCATGATGGCGCGAGATCGAGGGGGAAGCGTGTTCGCTACAGACGAGCGGTTCTGTATTGATAATGGCATTATGATTGCGCACGCTGGGCTGCTGGAGTACTCAACAGGAGTCATCACAGGCCTGGAGGATACAACATGCACCCAGAGGTTCAGGACGGACGAGGTCTTTGTCGGGTGGCGGAAGGATTGATGTGCAAGCGAGGTATGCATCCCTATCCAAGTGATACCCTGTTTATATTACATTTCAACACCATGTCATCTGCACTCCAGACATGCCTTCAAGGGATGGCCTATCAACCTTTACTACGGACCGGTTCGGTATCTGCTACAATGAGCCTTCGCCATTGCGTATTTGGCCGTGGGTGAGCGAGCTAGGCAGTCTCAAGTGACGGACTTCGGACACTTATCTACGAAGATCGTCCTCGCTCCGACCTCGCTCTGAGAAAGGGATGATCTATGAACGGGATTCTCGTAGATTCCCGTGAGGCGTTCACTGATGACCCGAAGCTAGTTTAGTGTGCCATTTATGTCATCCCCGTTGGCTCGCTTCAGTCGGAACCCCTGCAGGGCACATTTCCATCATGGGACCTGAGCACTTGCACCATGCTCCCCGACTCGCGCATTTGGCACAACGACGTTGCGCATCACTGACAATTGACGGCGACGTTGAGCTTTCACGCTGCGGGTACTCACTCACCGTGATCTTGTCACCTTGTTTTTTGTCACTGGCTCACAATAATCAGATTGTGTTCGACCAGGGCTGGGGTCGAGTGGCCTTGCAACAATGTGTCCATCCCATCTTAGGTACAGGCTATTGGCCACGCTTGCACTCTGCGCAGAGCTGTTCTGCAAGAGCAACGATGCAGGGCCATGTTGTTCTCACAAGTTTCGAAGACCCATGTCATTTTGCACGACCAATCGGGTTTTGAGGAACTGCTAGGCTATGGCTATTCGGGGTCTTGAACAAGGGTTTCCACTGGTTCTCCGGTTTCAGGTAATCCTTGATGCGCGATCTGTATAGACTACCGATGGACTCGTAACGAATCTAGTATTTTTATTCGCGATAACTCTTCATATCGCAAAAGTAAGTCGCGGCCGTCTTGCACCTTTATCCATTCAAACAGACCAACCACTTCGGCACCTGGCTACACATCATAATTCGATATTGAGCAACAAGCGTCCCTTGACGTTACCATGGACGCAGACAGGAGGCTCTCCAAAGCTCTGGAAGCGGCCAACGATGCACTACAACACCTTTCTATGTCACCGGACTTCTCTTGCCTCGATTGTACACACATTGATCGCTTAATCGGGAGAGTCGTCGACCTACCGACTGAGGGCAACCAGAGGAATAGCAGACGCAATCTGTTGGTCATTAGACAGTGGATGATTACAGAAGGGCCGGGGGTCGTGCTCCTAGAAGTCCTTGGGCAACTCTACTGGCGACTGGGCGAGCTCAACAGCAAGCAGTTTGAGAAGTTTAAAATGACTCTCCAGCAGCAACAGCCATATCTGTCGCTCATTCAGGACACCGCAGCAGTCACTTTAGTGCTCCAGAGATTACAGCATATCCAGCGACTGAAAGCAGAAGCTTGTCAAGAGTTTCTTTACGAACTGTCAGACTTGACAGGAATGAAGAGTTAGTCCGCCTGATATGCCGCTCAGCATTGTTTCACTGACTCGAATAGTCCTCTCTCCCATTGCCGGAACGGATAGCTCGAGATCGAGATCAAGCAGCCCCTTCACTCCAGTATCCGCACACTCTTCGGAAAGCGACTCGCCAAAAGAGCCTGGTTACACAAGTTTGATCAAGTATGTGCCCTCGGTTACTGCATGGACGGGCGACATTGAACACCTTCTCATGGACTTCTACGTACATGGTATTTGCCCTGGTCGTACCGTTGCGACTCAGTCAGATCCAGATGGCTATGTTTCCATGCTACAGGTCGCGAAAACTTGTTCGAGTACCCGATATGCTCTCCTCAGTCTCTCTGCGTCCTACATTAGCGAGCATATCCCTTCACGAAGGGACTACTTTCAGCACGCAGAATTATACTACTCTACGCAGGCCCTCCAGGCTCTGACAACGCAAATTACCAATGGCGACAATTACGACGGTGCAATTGCAACAAGTATGTTACTCATGCATCAAAGCGCCGTCAACAACAGTCCAGATTCGCCATTATGCTGGTCTTGCCACGCAAATATCTTCGACATCGTCCCCGATGGCTTGGTCAATCACCAGTCTGCCCCTGCTTTGTTCATCCGCGGACAACTAACACTCGCGCGAACAGCGCAGACCGCGCAAGTGCTTCAATCGGCGCAACTCCACTCTCTCGAAACCACTTCCTGGTTTGAATCTATACCATCGAACGAAGCCCAGAAGATTTGTAGCATCCTGGGGTTCTCGCCACAATTGATGTTTATCATCTCGTCAATCACCTCCCTGGCATTCGATATGCATAACACCGACAGGCTTGGATACGCACAGGCACTAGAAAGTCAGCTTCAAAGCATGAAACAATGGACTACGGAGCCTCAAGGTCCAGAACATGAGGTTTTACTTGTGACAGCAGAGGCGTTCCGCTTGGCTGGGCTTATTTATCTGCGTTGTCGTCTGTACGGGTGAGCAACTCGACCCCAGATTCAGAACATACATGGCTAACAAGTCTGCAGTATGACACGTTTCCACCCTTCCATTCTCGATCTTACGGACGCTCTGTACACTCTCATTCTATCCCTACCTGTCCAAGGCGCACTCTACACAGCCATTTATCCCGTGTGGCCGCTCTTTGTAGCTGCCGTGACCTTGAATTCAGATAAGCGAGATCGTGTCTATCAACGAGTTGTGCCGATTCGCGAGGGCGACAGGAATACCCTGCCATCCGTGTTGAAGCGCGTCAGCGGTATGCGGGTCTGGCTCGCCCAGCAGGATTCAACATGTCACCGACGAGACTGCTGGTGGGAAGAGATGTTGAGCCCGAGTAGTAGTACGACTGCGCTGAGGACGAATCTGTTGTGCTTGGGGTGACAGGGTGTGATGAGTATTTGATGTTGGTCTTGGAATATTTTCTTTGGTTTCCGGTGGCTATACGCTCTTCTGTTCGGGAACATGCCCGATTTTGCGATGTTCATTTCCTCTATACCCTAGATTTTTGCAATTTTATCGTCGCTCTAGCGTTCTTTTTGCGTACCGAGCTATGATCCCACTGCTTCTACTGTTCCGCCACCGTAGATGATCTGATATAGGAGTATGTGAGGAACGCGAGTGTTCATGACGCACATTATTCTTTCGAAGAAACGATGGAACAGGCTGGTCGTAGAGCTCGTTCACCATCCTAAACCCATGGCGTTACGTATTCTGTGCATGGTGGACTCAGCGATGACTGCCGCCTTGCTGGCGCCGTTTTCAGCATGTGTGACAAGCTCCCGTTGATCGCCTGCCATCAACTCTTCGTATCGTGCCCTTATGGGGCCGATGCTTTTTTCTACAGTGTCAGCAGCCTTTTCTTTCAGGGAGCGCATGCTCAGGTTCTTGAAGTCTCGGGCTAGCTCCTCGGGCGACGTAGCGCCCGCCTGATCGAAGTGATAGATCAGGTCGATCAGATTGGTCACGCCAGGCCGGGCGTGGCGGTCGTAAGTCACGCCCTCGATGGAGTCTGTGAGGGCTGACTTGAGCTTGCTGTGTATGGTGTCGCGCGAGTCGGTGATCAGGATGCGGCTCTTGGGCCGCGGGTCGCTCTTGCTCATCTTCTTGGTGGGCTCGACCAAGCTCATGAGGCGCTTTGCAGGGCTCAGCAGCGTCTCGGGGACGGTCAGGAGGGGCCCGTATAGGTGGTTGAAGCCGATGGCCAGCTCGCGGGTGAACTCGAGGTGCTGGGCCTGATCCTCGCCAACGGGGACGTGGGTGGTGTTGTACAGCAGGATGTCGGCGGCCTGCAGAACCGGGTAGGAGAAGAGGCCGAGCTTGAGCTGGTCCTTGGAGGCGGCAAGCGGCGAGGCGTTGTCAGGCAGGTTCATCTTGCTCTTCCACTGCGTCATGCGGCCCAGGTAGCCCATGGAGGCGCCGCAGCTGAGGATCCACATGAGCTCCGCGTGCTGCTTGACGCTGCTCTGGGCAAAGATGATGCAGCGCGCGGGGTCGAGGCCGACGGCGAGCAGACTGGCCAGCATCTCGCGGCGCCATTGGCACAGGGCGCGCGGGTCCTGCGCGACGGTGATGGCGTGCAGGTCGACGATGGAGAACAGGAGCGACGAGTCGGGCGCGGCGGCGTCCTGCAGGCGCACCCACTGGCGCAGGGCGCCCAGGTAGTTGCCGAGGTGTGGGACGCCGGTGGGCTGGATGCCGGAGAAGACGGTGGCCGGGGGGGAGGGGGGGGTGGATGCGGAGGTGGAGGACGGGGTGGAGGTGGGCAGCGCTGGGGAGAGCAGCGCCGGGGTCGTGGAGAGCTGGCGGCGCTGCGCGAGGGCGCGACGGGCGCACCGCACAGCTGCAGGCGGGCGGAGAGGCAGCATTGGGGAGCTCTGGCGGCGGGCTCGGGTGCGAGCGCTGATGGCCGCACTGCCACACTGGCTGGGCGGCGTCCTGCGGGCGGCGTCATCGCAGGCCGCAACACCAGCACCAGCCACACCCGGACTCCAGCAGCGCCCAGCAGCAGCAAGCAGCGCCCAGCAGCGACCCCGCAACACCAGCATCGACGGCGCACCAGCCACACCTGCACACTTCGACCTCACGCCGCCGCGACCCCTCCAGCAACCGCCCCAACCACCTCCAGACGCTGCAACCCCGTCATCCGCGCGCACCACCCCGCCCACCGCACCACCCATCGCGCCTCGCACGCCGCGCCCACCCGCACCCGCACCCACACCCGCACCCCCCCTCCCCTCGCCATGTCGTGGACCGGCTTCAAGAAGGGCGTCAACCGCGCGACGACGCAGGTGCTCATGAAGACGGGCCAGGTCGAGCGCACCAACGACCGCGACTTCGAGACGGAGCAGCGGCGCTACCGCACCATGGAGACAGCCGCCAACAAGCTGCAGAAGGAGGCCAAGGGCTACCTCGACTCGCTGCGTGCCATGACGGCGTCGCAGATGCGCATCGCCGAGACCATCGACGCCTTCTACGGCGACGCCGGCACCAAGGACGGCGTCTCGCGCTCGTACAAGCAGGCCGTCACCGATCTCGACGCCGAGACCATCAAGGCCCTCGACGGGCCCTACCGCACCACCGTGCTCGACCCCATCCAGCGCTTCTGCAGCTACTTCCCCGACATCAACGCCTGCATCACCAAGCGCGAGCACAAGCAGATGGACTACGACCGCATGCGCGCCCAGGTCAAGAAGCTGACCGACAAGCCCGACAAGGACGTCACCAAGCTGCCGCGTGCCGAGAAGGACGAGCAGCTGGCCAAGGCCGCCTACGACCAGCTGAACGAGACCTTAACTACTGAGCTGCCGCAGCTCATCGACCTGCGTGTGCCCTACCTCGACCCCAGCTTCGAGGCCCTGGTCAAGATCCAGCTGCGCTTCTGCGCCGAGGCATACTCGCGCATGGCCCAGGTCCAGCAGTACCTCGACGCCAACACAAGAGACCAATATGCCCAGGGCGAGCTGGACGCCCGTGTCGAAGAGGTGCTGCAGGAAATTCGGGACCTGAGCATCGCAGGCACCGTCTGAGCCTGGGCGGTGAATGGCATGGCACGGCGTTATATATTCTAAACATCTCTCATAACACATTTTACTTTGATTTCTATCCTTCTCGCATAATACGTCTCGCTTTGACTTGATCTGTCCCTTCAACCACTTCTCAACATCGCCGACATCCAGTCTCCTCTCGTAACACGGCTCCGCCCATGTAACTGCTACTAGCTACCACTCACGCTCCCACGCTGGCTCGAGGTCTTTGCTCATGTACGGCCCGTCCAGGTAGTATCCCAACTTCGCGTAGTAGCTCCGCACTCCCACCCCTGAGATGACGCTGATCTTGCGGCTCCCATGCTCCTCGGCCGCAATTCTAGCCGCCTCTTCCATCAGCAACGTACCATACCCTTGGTGCTGAAACTTCTTTGGGTCCCTTGCATGCACCGGCACCGCGCTACCGTAAACGTGTAGCTCCCTTACCAAACTCGTTGGCTGCCCTGTCAATTCTTCCCTGAACGTGTGCTCTTTGGAACACTGCCTCAACCGCAGTAGTGCAATAAGAATATCCTGTTTGGGGTCTTCGTACGCCAGAAAAGTCTCCCATCCGCCGTTAGCTGTGTAGTCGCGGCGCACCAGCTCCACCTGGTCAGGACGTATCTTGTGCTTCACTTCGTTGATGCCCACTTCGCGTGTCCGCACGTCACGACAGGTAGTGCCAAAGTCTTTCATCCGCGCCAGCGCCAGCTCTCTCAAATTTCCGTTTTCCACCCCAGACGTGACAAGCGGCATTGGAATATCGCGCTGCACACGATAGATGCGCGTCCACGGCGGTACGAGCGCGAGGATACGTGCCACAATGTCAATCAGCGCGTTGGGTGTGTAGTTTTTGTACCTTCCCGTGCGCCATAGCTCGTATAGTCCTGTGCCACGGATGACCAGTGTAGGATATATCTTAAGCCCGTCAGTGCGGAAGTCGGGATTTGCAAAATATTCGACAAATTGGTCAAGATCGCGCTCCATGCCCACGTTGGGCAAGTCAGGCATCATGTGCGACACGACCTTGAACCCAGCATCTTTTGAAAGACAAAACGTCTTTGCAACCGCAGCAACAGTATGCCCACGATTCGTGTCGCGGGCTACATCTTCATAGAGAGACTGCACTCCGATCTCGAGACGCGTGCAACCGTACCGAAGCATGGAGGATAAGTGCTGGTCTAGACAGTAGTCCGGTCGAGTCTCGATGGTGATTCCAACACACTTGGTGTTGCTCATCTCTCCAGCCGCGACCGCTTCATCTACGTCCTTCGTCTGGTATCCAGAGAGTGCATTGTGGAGTTGCGAGATGAACTCGTCTCGGTACGACTCCGGCAGCGACATGAATGTGCCACCCATGATGATGTATTCAACCTTGTCGACACTGTGACCAAGCGACTTGATCTGATCGACACGACCCCTGGCCTGCTCATAAGGGTCATAGCGCGCTCTGATGGCGCGCATAGAAGTTGGTTCATACCCTGTGTAGGACTGAGTTGAGTACTCGAAATCCGAATCCGGCCCGCCAGGACAGTAGACGCAGATATTTCCCGTGTAGGCAATGTGCGGGCAGCGATGCGGCTTGCACATGACCGCTACAACTGCGATACCTGATGCACTTCCTGCAACTCACGTGAGTATTACTTCTGTTATCATCCAATCCAGCTAACTCACGAATCGGCTTTGCAATCAGCTTCGGCAAGATGTATTTCTTATAGTGTTCAGGAACCGCCGCAATGATCGCTGTGAGCGGTGGTTGCATCTTCAAATAATGCTTCTTTGCAATTTGGCCTCTAAGTTGGTTCAAGTTCAGGTCTTTTTTGGGTTTCGAGCCATCTGCTTGGGCCTCGTAATCCTGTACCAGTGCGGAGGCCACATCAGCGCAGGCGCGCATGTACCGCTCGTTCTCTGGCGGTAATTTCATATTCTTCGGTAGCCGTCTCTTTACGGGCATGTCTGTATATGTCATTGTTGCGGTCGCCATGGTGGGCTGTTTCGTGGTTGCTGTGGTATGAAATTCCTGGATGGCGATTCTCGATGTTCAAGTTGGGGCAACGATCTAGGCTCGACACAGCCTAGTGTCTGACTAGTCACCTTGCGTACAGTATTCGCATGGAAACACCTCCACGACCTCTTCACCAAAAACCTTTTGTACTGCTCCTCTTTCTTCCCCTTCCTGCTGAAACTCCTATAATCACCACTGGAAATCACTTTCTGCTGCGGCTCGGAAATATGAGCGCCATGCGTTGGCCTCTAACAAACGCTGAGAAAGTCTACAAAGCCATATATCTTGAACTATGCTCGCTATACGTTAAAGGCGCAGCTGACGAAGCTGAGGCTTTAGCTTGGCAGTTCTATCAAGACCCACATATCCCTCTAATCCTACGCATTATGTGTTGCAACGTTCTAGGCGAAGCGATGGATGGTGAATATCTGCTATTCGCAAGGGAGGCAGTAGAACACGCTACTGCTTCTTTGATAAGTGAAATGCTTAACTCCTGTCAGTTCTCTTACTGATAACGTAGATGCTGGAACCAGAAAACGAGGTTGCCCAGCTGATGCTTAGAGAGTCAAAGGAGATCTTGGCAAATGCAGAGGAGGATGCTAAGGAACAGCTACTTGCCTTACCTAGCTTGCAGGAAGAGTGCGACAAAGCAAATACCGAGGCAGACAAACTTGCGGCTAAGCTTACTGCGCGCAACCCTCCTGCACACGAATCTCAGAGCCAGCCTTCAATTACATCTCTATCAGCGTCAGCTATGTCAACAGCGTAGATGCATGCGAGCTCTGTATTCAGTCCACTCTCATCCCCTCAAGGACTGTCATGGAAAGAAGGCAAGGGCAACTTCGAGGATCGTTACGACAGACTCCATCGTCAAAAATGTAAAGTGATAACTGTTGCTCCCCTCGGGAGAGCTGTGGTTTTTTCAGGGCTAAGCCATCTTAAGGCTTTGTCACTTGGACCAACCGAGCCAAGCGACCAATTTCCTGTTTCTATATACATAGGGGAGACCGTCGGTCGATATTCGCTGTGTGTCTGCCCCTCAGAATGCATCGCTTGCAAGGTCCTCTGCTAAGCCTTCCAACTCTTCTTGCCTGAATGGCACCCATAATCTTTCCGTCCCCATTGCATCTTTGCGACTTTCAAGCATCTGATGGTCGTGGAATTCTTTGAGTAAGGTTCGGAACCCGACTTCACTAGAACAGACGAATTCCTGCACCGCCTTGTGGTACAAGACGCGGTACTCCACGCCCCGATTGAACTCGGGGACAGTCGTCCGGGCTTTTGCGATCTTGTTTGGCTTGGGCGTTGCTGTAGGATCGTCGTCTTCTTCGTCGAGGCCTTGCTCCATGATTTCCAGGGTCAGCTGCTCCATTACGAGGATGCGGTACAGCGATCGCGCATTCTCAGGCAGTGACCGTAAGACGAAACCTACCCCATCCCGACCTCCCACGCGACGGCCGCTACGCCCTAATAGCTCGTTGACAGTTTCCACGACGTCAATTTCAGCATCGTAAGGTGCGAAGGTGGTCGCGTCATGAAAGAGAAACTTGTACTGCGTCTTTAAACCTACGTCCCACAGCAGTGCAAAGTTGGGAGTGTCAGCTGTGCATATCAGACTGACAGACGGATGAGCGGCGAGACGAGCTAACATCGATGGTATCGGCGACTTCCGTAGCGATGATGAGTCGATAGAGTTTAGAATGATAAAGACGGGATGCGGAGGCGGTTCGTCTGACAGAGAGTCAAGCACAAAATCAAGCAGTACAGCCGGCTGATTAGGCAGCTTGGTAGAAATTGGCATGATGGTCGATACTACGGTCATTAGGAGATCTTTCATCGTAGTACCCGCAGCGTAGGCGTTGATCATTGCGATCCTGGGAGTTTTCCTCGAGCCGTTGTAAGGCGCCGTCCCTAAGAGACGGCGATACAGATGAGCCGCAAATTGTTCAGTTATCATGCGTTTTGAGCCATAGCCATAGAGGCAAACATTGAAACCTTCATTAAGCTCGAACATCCACTGATCAAAGGCACGGCCGTGTAAATCAATCAGGAAATTTACCTCAGGCTCATGGCAGTCGTTGTAGTTGGACACGGCCTGAAAGTACTCGTCGTGATTGAGCAATCTTTGCGTAGAGAGCGTGTTGTTGGATGTCTTCAGTCCACCGGGTCGGTTTTGCCAGAAGTACTCCTCGTGCGGCGGCAACTCGGCTGGCGGCGTCGGTGACTTGGGCTTCTTCTTCCCCGAGCCTTTCGGTCGACCTCTGCCACGTTTTAACGGCGTCTCCGGCACAGGCACTTCTTCTAGTGCCGTGGATATCGGTGCTGTTCCGTTTTCACCTTCCAGAATCTGTTCTGCTAGAGTTTCCTCCTCGTCGAGCGCCTCCTCGTCAACTTCCTCGCCATGGAGTGCCCGTTCGTATATCCGCTGGTTGCTCTTGCGTCTGGCGCTGCGGTCGGCGTTGCGGACAATTGTTGGCGTGCCATGGCGAGTGTCTTCATCCACAGAATCTGTAGGCGTCTCGAACAACAATTTGCGATTCGACTTCGGAGTGGCAAAATTGGAGGCACTGGCCGCACCTGTCTTCTTCAGGATCGACTTCGGCGTTCCGAAGTCTGTCAGGTGCTGAGTTCTGGCCCTTCGCGACGGTGTCTGCACCTCCAAGACATCTGAGTCGGTGCCAGTCGCTTCATCGTCGACGAGATGGGCGCGTCTTTTTTGTGGTGTCCCTTCCTCTTCGGTGTCGTCTCGTCTGCGCTTGGTGCTGACCATGTCGTTGTGGTCGTGATCTTTGCTGTCCTGACGCGTGTTTTCCGCGTTGCGGCTCGGGCAAGGCTCGGTAATCGATGGGCCGGGATCTCAACTTGGCGAGGCTTCCCGTCGCCCCTTCCCCACAATCGACCCGCCTCCACACCCGCTCCCATCGTAAATATAGTCCACCTGCACTACAAATTGATCCCTTCTCTTCAAAGAGTTCTTGCACTACGAGGACCGGCTGAGGCTGACATAACCACAACACTGGCCTTCGTGTCCCAGGCCTCTGCTTTCACATGCATTGCAATTGCCGCGCATGGTAGATCTGACCATCACAGATCCGGTCATTTACCCGTGCGAGGTAGCACTTGAGGAAAGAATCGCCGCAGGATGCCTACCTTTTGGAGCACCTTATCCCTGCGCGTCACATCATGCCTCGACCGCTGCGACTTGCAAGAGCATCCTTTGAGTCTGGCATCTCTCACCAGCTGTGGCAGACATGAGGCTCACTGCTCATAGTCAGCAATTTCACCAATGGTACAGAAGAGGTTGCATATGAGGCTAGCTCTACGAAATGGAGGTTGACGATGAAAAGAGCAGCTGATGAGGCTGTTTGACGCCCAAGAGATCTACAAAGCCATCCCGCTGCTGGCCCGTTGAGGCTTGGTGCCACCATATTAGTTTGACCTCACGCGCTTCAAATATGAGTCTATGTGCGGCCTTGCCTCGGTACATCGCACCTAAGGCATCTGTCTGACCAAGTTATGCAGTGATGCTTTGGAGGGGTCGCGGCCTGTTTGTCAGAATCATTGGAGATTGCCGAACACTTGGAGATGACGTTGCACCGCCAGCCCACGCCTCCTGCAGCTTGCAATCCTTGTGCCAGGGTATTGTGTGCGCACGACCGAGGAAGTGGAGATCTGGGGAGATCGGCGTAAAGACAAATAGTTTCGCATCCCCCACTGTGAGACCAACTGCGCGACTTGAGCATTTTCCCCGTTGCTAGCCTTGTCTTGCACAAACGACAGCGACACGGCTATCTGCATATTCCTAAAAGCGACGAAAGAGGTCGAGATGTCGGACGATACCCAACACCCCAGGTTCATGGGGCTTACAGGCCGGCCACTGAGCACGGCTGTGTCAGTGGTTGCTACAACCGGATTCCTTCTCTTTGGCTATGACCGTAAGTACCTAGTATCTATCTTGCATAGGATGTTCTTAACTTTGTGTATAGAGGGCGTCATGTCGGGGATCATATCCGCCGAGCCTTTCAACGCATACTTTCCCGAGATTCTTTACAACTCGACATGGCAAGGCTTCGTGACTGCCATCTATGAGATCGGTTGTCTTACCGGTGCCATTGCGATGCTGTTGTATGGGGATACTCTTGGTCGTCGACGAGCCATCATGATTGGTGCGGTCATCATGATCATTGGAACAATCATCCAGATCACACCCATCAAGGGCTACCATGCGGGCGCGCAGTTCATCTTGGGAAGAACCATAACCGGGGTTGGTAACGGAATGAATACAGCCACGATCCCAACCTACCAAGCCGAATGTTCCAAGACGTCAAATCGAGGGCTTTTGATTTGCATCGAAGGCGGCGTCATCGCTTTCGGGACTTTGATCGCCTACTGGACGGATTACGGCTGCTCCTTTGGCCCTGATCAACTCTCGTGGCGCTTTCCCATCGCTTTCCAGATAAGCTTTGCACTTGTGATTCTGTTTGGCCCAATGTTCCTACCTGAGTCACCTCGCGTAAGTCCTCCAGAACTCTCTGACAAGTGCACACACTAACAGTCATCAGTGGCTGTTGAGTAAAGATCGCCATGAAGATGCAATCAAGGTCATTGCAGCACTGCGTGGATACAGCATTGACTCAGATGAGACTCGCCTTGAGGCGCACATTATCATGGACTCGCTCCGGGCTTCTGGTCACAAGGGCGGCAACACGCCGTTCAGCGCTCTATTCACCAATGGCAAGACCCAGCATTTCCGGAGAATGATGCTTGGGGCATCGTCTCAATTGATGCAACAGATCGGCGGCTGTAACGCCGTCATTTACTACTTCCCAATCCTGTTCGAGACATCCATTGGACAGACTCACGAGATGTCCATGCTACTGGGTGGGATTAACATGATTGTCTATTCTATATTTGCAACCACATCCTGGTTTATCATTGAGCGTGTGGGTCGCCGCAATCTCTTCCTGATTGGTACCGTTGGGCAGGGTAAGTACTCAAGTCTGTGTCGCTTCCACTACATTCACTGAAACACCCTAGGCTTGTCGATGGTTCTCGTATTTGGTGCCCTTATCCCGGGTAATGCGCAAGCTGCTAAAGGCGCAGCTGTTGGTCTGTTCACATACATCGCTTTCTTCGGCGCGACCTGGCTGCCTCTCCCCTGGTTGTATCCAGCCGAAGTCAACCCCATCAAGACACGCGGCAAAGCGAACGCTGTGTCTACATGCACCAACTGGCTATTCAATTTTCTGATCGTCATGATTACGCCAATAATGATAACAAATATCGGTAAGCAAGCTTTGTTGTTCCGGTGGTGGTGTTGGGCTAACGGTTCAGGCTGGGGCACGTATCTATTCTTTGCCGTGGTCAATGCGTGTTTCCTACCATTCATCTACATCTATTACCCAGAGACGGCCAGACGTTCGCTCGAAGAGATCGACTTGATCTTTGCGAAGGGTCATATCGAAGGTATGAACTATGTCAAGGCTGCGAGAGAGTTGCCCCATTTGGACGAGCACGGTATTGAGCAGATGCAACGCCAGTACGGCTTCTTCGACGAGCTCGATTCCGGGATGGAAATTCTGAGCGAGAAACACGGCCACGGCTTGACCTCAGAAGCGGTCACACCGTGAGGACTGATGATGGCCCTGATGTTCTGGGACGAACGGCGGATAAGCGATCCTGAAGCTAACCAACTTCAACGCTGAACTTGTAGCCATAACATTTGAAGCTGAAATCTAGGCAATTATGCCCTACATTGAAGGCGGCAGTATCCTACACAAGGTCTTCACGTTGTTTCCTGACGTTATTGTGGACTTCGCTCACGCCCCGCGTGCCGTTCATCCTGAAACATGTGAGGATGGCAACGATGGCGTATCGCAAGCGCAAAGCTCTCGTGTCGTGTACAGGGCACTACTTAGATTGTGGGACGAGTTGGTACATGGCGCCTTGTACTGCGGCTACACATGGCTAATCGGGTGTTCTGCCTCGCAGCACGCTTGACTACATGTGTACAACAATTGAGTTAATGCAGCTTCTAGCGCCACACTTCTGCTGACAAAAGGGTGGCCACGGGCCGGCCATAAGCGTATGACTGCAGCCAGGAACGTGCATGCGAACAGGCTGCACCAAGGCCCGACGGTGCCGTTCTGTCTGTTGCGCAGGTGATGTATCAGCTGCCAGATGTGCTTGCAAACGTCATCGCCCGAGAGTGGCTGAGACAAGCTTGTGAAGAACGGTTAGGCTGCTTTGCAAAGAATGGATTGGGGCAGCTCTGATAGGCGAGACACCTGAGTTGTGGCCCCGCGGCAGCCCATCGCGAGCACGAACCCCCTCAACCCCAACCATTGCACCTGTTCCACACTTTGCCTCCACATACACAAACATTTAGTTCCGCAGACTAGACAGCCTGATACCGTTCGGTCAACGATCGCTTTGTCGCGACAGTGCAGACTGGGAGCGCCGCGCGGCGTGAGACTGGCATCGAACCTGCTCTTGTCAGTATGGAACAACGCCGGCGACCCGAGTACAACCTCGAAATCTTCGCAGACCTGGCCTGTGTCAAGGATGTGGTGAAGGGCAAGTTTCAGACCTTTCCTGGATAGTCTCACATCTCCTCCGCGTCTTCAGAGGGTCCGGAGCACCCCACCGGCACGCACCGCAACAACCAAGGCCATGGCTGACGTACATTACAGCGATATTGCACACTATTTTCTTCCACCGCTACTTCACCTCCATATCGCCTGTCACTCGTGATCTCCTCGACCTTACTCTCCCCGCCATCGACGATGTGGACCTAGAAACTCTGATCGACCAGAGGACTGTAGCTTTGGTGCGAGCAATAGACAGTGCACATCAGCAACGTGGGAGAGGCCAACTTGTAGTGCAGTTCTTCGAGAAGAAGCGGAGAAAGACATACTTCTTTGGCAAAGCAGACGAGGATGTTTGCTGGGAGCAGTGGACGTTAGACGTCACCCTCGCCCAGCCACGGACGGAAGCTGGTATGTTCTGCAAGCGTGAAGATGGTGACGCTGCGACTGACCTACTGCTCAGATGTTATTAAAGTCCGCCGTGCCATGACCAAGTCGCTTGAAAAGGCTGCCCACAAGATCATCGGCATTGTAAACCGCGACAAAGACCACATTCCGCCAATCACGACTACTGATGCCAACCCTTTCCCATACCACATTGTTGTCAACCCTAAATCTGCATCAGAGAACGACTGGCGACCACGCATTGGGTTATTCTAAACCCCCCGTCGCGGCGTACTCGAGGCGCTAGCCTCACGGGCAAACTGTACATATCTATATATCAGCCCAACATAGAGCGTAACGATACCCTAACATGGAGTAGAAAAGCTTGGAGTTAGTGTTCTTCAATTTAGTACCCTTCTTCAACTACCTTAGATAGTACCTTAAAATATTAGACTTTATTAATTCTATATACTTTATTAATTCTATATAGAACTTGCATTGCTAAAATATTATAGTAGTGAAGTACCTAGATTTTGTAGTGTTCTTTAAGTTACTAGGAGTATAGATTTAAGTATAACTTTGTTTATCCTTCTTTTCTACTAGGCTAAATTTCTCTAAATATAACAGAATTATAGAGAGATTAAATTAGAAGAGATAGAATTAGTATTATAAATAAGTAAGTATAGACTAACATACTAGATAGGTAAGTTAACTAGATAGGTAAGTTAACTAGATAGGTAAGTTAATTACTCTGCTAAGACCCTACTAAAATTCCACCTTCTTATATAATACTATAATAATAACGCAAATTAGGACCTTTAAAGGAAGCTAGGATATAGATTGCGCTTTAGGCTATTAAATAAGATGTAATAATCTCCCTATAACGCGCTATAACCCTCTATAACGCACCTTATATAATATTATATAATTAACACGCTAGATAACCTATATAAGCTAATTATATACCTGAATTAAGGAACTTAGATAAGAATAAGAAGGAGGTAATTATTTAGCATATACTTAACCTAGATATAAGAGAATTTGCCTCCTAGCTAGCTATAGTAGCTAATATAGCTAATTCTTTATATAAAGAGTATAATCTAGGCTATATTAGTATAAAATAGCCTAACACGTTTATTAAGTGCTACTCTAAGCTCTAAGTAAGGTTTAATTGTAAGTATAACTATAAGCAAGCCCTCTATAAGGATCTAGAGATTATATAAGGCTAGTTCTGCCTTATATAGAATACTAAAGCTAAGTATAGTATCTAGAACTAAGATATATATAACTTTAATAAGACTAGGTTTATAATAGGCTAGATATTAATAGGAGTAGTTATTATAGGCTTAGAGCGTTAAGGGTAGCTAAAAGTAGTTTAACAGGGTAATTAGGAGTAGATAATAGTTATCTAAGGCATAAATAGTATAGGATAGGCTATTCTACTCTTTATTATCTTCTAAGGCTATAACTACCTCTCTGCCTAGTATAAAGAGGATATAATACCCTATAACTAGATTATTATAGTCTCTAAGAATAGTTAGACTATAAATAAGCTTAGATTCTAGTAGCTATAGCACTTTAAAGCCTATATAGGGAGGCATACTATAGGAGAGTACTAACTACTAATTATTAATAGCTATAAGAGCTATAACTCCCTCTAATTCTAATAATACTATAAGAAGAGGAAGATTATTATACTCTATATACCTCTATACTTATTATACCTTCTATAGCTACTTAATATAGGTTGTTTTGCGATATTAAAGAAGGTATATAGGTGCTAAGCTAAAGATCTTATATATAACTAGATTACCTATATCTTAAAACTTAAGTTCCTGCTATACTTTAAACGTGCATATAATATAGTAATAACTCTAAGTAATATCTAGGGAGAGTTTAGAGGTGCTAGATTAGTTCTGTTTAACCTAGAATAGGTTATAATAGGCCTTAACATTTAACTACGCACTCTATTGCTACTTCCTATCTCTAATAAGCCCTAGTAGTCCTATATACCCTAGAATACTCTAGAATTTAGGTCTTAATTAAAGCTAGTTTAAGAGAAGATTTAAAAGTATATAGATAGTTTGCCTTTCTCTATTATAAACGCGCTAGAAAAGCTCTTAAAAGGCACTAAGATAATAGCGTATTTGCTAGTGTTAGTGCGCAAGTAGGTTTCTAAGCTTTAAGATGCTAATAAGGCTATAACATAATATAAATTATATAAAAGAAAGCATTTATAGTAAGAGAGAACTCTAATAGTTAAAGAGAGGGTATAATTAACTACTCTAGAGGAGTTTGCAGTATATAGTAATAGTAAACATATAAAGAAGATAGTGCGCACTAATAAAGATTAATAGACTATAAGACGCTATAAGTAGTGCTAGGAGATAGGGCATAACTTGCGCATATATTAAAAGAGATCATAGATAGCTCTTCTATACTATAATATATCAAATTACTATTTATAGGCCTATAATAGGGTGTTGTAGGCTAAAAGAGGGTGGAACTTTGGTGGGGTCTTGGCAGAGTGATCAACTCACCCATCCGGTCAACTCACCCATCCAGTACGTTACTAGTTCCTATCTCTATCTACTTCCAAAGGTTTTTAGTGTAAAAAACACCGCAGTTCTAGGTAATTATACCTAGATACAGAGCAGTGGCCTCTGCATCCAGGAGTGCGGTGTGAAAAAAACACAGAGTGGTGTTGTATACTGAATAGAGACCCTTGCAATTATGCGCAGACGCCTGCCGGAACAACAGAGGGCGCACCAACACAGGAAAACTTTTTGCCGCCAGTGACAGAAACTGTGTTCCAGGTCCATCCGCTGCAATTAGCACACTCAATAGCAACATTGGTGCCAGAAGTGGCAACACTATTGGTTCCAGTAATACTCTCCAATGTTAGGCCGGTGATAGGAACACCAGAGCCAGGGCCGTGGGTTTTTGACAAGTCTCCGCCGTCGTAGTTCTGCTCTATCAGGATGCCATGACTAGAGCACTATTAGCGTAGACTCGACACAACTGCCAAAAGCAATAGTGCAACGTACCCGGTGATTCCTGAGAGAGTGATTCCATTGTAGGTTACTCCGTCTATTTTGCCTGTGCCATCATAAAATGACTTTACGCGGATCCCATTGACCGAGTTTGTAACCGAGCTACTGAGGAATTTGATATTGCTGACGGAATTGCTGGCAGTAGTGCTTCCGTGACCCACTGAGCCAACGGAAAGACCGTGACCACCAGTGCAGTTTCCGTTTTGTAAAGTGATACCCTTCGTGTACACTTAGGATGTGTATGATTTAGCAGAAGCGGAAGGACCTACTGTTCCGGAATTGATCGCTACGCAATCATCTTGATTATGCACACTCGCTTTATTAATAATAATGTTTGTGCTGGAGCCGATGTCAAAACCATCTGTATTGTGCGCCGCTTTATTAGAGGGCAGACTGTCGCTAGCTGAGTTGTCGATTGTCATGTGACTGATTGTAAGTCCGTCACATCCATTGATGCTTACAGCTTGAACAGGCGTATTCTCGAGGTATAGATTAGTGATTGACGATGTGCCAATAAGATCGTGAGCAGCTAGAAACTTTGGCTTTGGTGTGGCTCCGTTACTGCCCAGGCCGTCCCAGTACTGTGCACCTTGGCCATCAAGCTTGGCGCCAGTCTCACCAGTAACGACGATGTTCTTGCCACTGATTTGCAGAAGCGGGCCAGCAAATCCCTTCGAAACGCCGAACGTCGAGATCCCCTGGAAATTAACAGCTGTGCCATCAGCCAGTCCAGATAGATCTAGTGTCTTGCCTGCAGGAACTTGGACAGCATTGAAAGTGACCGATGAGCAAGACGCCAATTGAGCGGCGACTTTAGCGGGGTCTATAGCACCAGTGAAGGGGCAAGGACCGGCACGCTTGTCAAGCGGAACGTCGAATTGAGATGCAGAGGTATTCTCTGTAGTAGGCGCCGCATGCGAGATGGTCGCAAGGACTGAAAAGAGTTTGATAATGTGCTGGACTGCCATCGTGAAGGTAGACGACTTCTGCTTTGAAGGAGACAGGTTGCGGTTGAGGTATGTTGTTCAGCTGATGGAGGGATAGGTTGATGTCTACGAATGGGGTTCTCGTGAACTTTATACTGCTCCATCGTTCAGCGAAGGCGTACCCAGTCTAGAACCGGAAGCTCTCCACGCCACTCATATCTCCACTGCTAGTCTGCAAACGACAAATGCCTCAGTGAGCGTAGGAGAAGTACGAGATACCGCCGGCCCTAACGAATGAATAGTCAGTGTTATGGTCAGCCAACGTCATGCAGTTGATATACCCTTGCTCGCTTCAAATCACAGCCGCAGACAAAATACTGGCCTTCTAAGGTCACTTATTCGGGATACCTTCTGTTGACAGTACAACTAACTCGGGCTTCCACATCATGATACTCTCCTGGCGGCCGGACGCTAGTCTCACGTACGTCTTTGGTTGGATGTGGTTACGATTGTCCTCATTTCCGCAAAGGGGCAACACAGCGTGGAAGTCAAGGAGCAGCTTAGCATTTGTACCGTGTGGTAAGCGCGGTAGTATCGAAGGTATTGTGAAGTTGTCTAGGCATGAAGGCAGACTCCATAGATGGAGTTGCCGGATCATGAGTGATCGGTCCGCACTCCGCCCACTAGTAGTTATTCGAATGGCTTGAAGTCTTGTGAGACTGAGCCTAGATCAAGTCTTACCATACTTTGCACTGGGAGTGCTGTTCGTGTGCTTCACTATGGCCATGAGGCTACTGCGGGGTTCCTGTCGCTGTCAAGATTGCGTTTTCAGGGTTGCACGACCCTTACGTTTGACTGCCGATTGACTGTTCGTGAAGGCCTCGTCGCACTTGCAATGACTCGCGCTGTTCAACGCAGGTTAGTTGCAGACTCGGGCTGGTCAAACAACGTTGCTTTGTGCCAATTGGTAGCTATAAACGGAACAATTAACGAACACACAATGAAAGTTGCAGGAATAAAACAGATGCCTAATGTTAGACAAATCTAAGATCCAAACCTGAGTCTCTCAGATCTAAACCTGAATCCCTCCGGCCCGAACCCCAATCTTTCTGTTCCGGAGGGCTCCGGTCAGGATCTTGTAACGCTTCCGTACCGGAGGTACTCACGCTCTAGAGCGGAGGTACTATAGGCTCTAGACCCACACTAGAAAGAGACACGCTGTCTGGTACCTAGTGGATAGGTCTCAGCGTCCGCATTGGAGCTGTGCCAAGTGAGAACTCTAACTCTAACTCTAACTCAACGACGAGCCTGTCTGAAGAACGCACTTGACGCTGCGCAGACCATCATATCGAAGCGTCAGTATGCCAGCACACTGTTTGGAACCATAGTCTGATGCGCTTGTGGTGGGGTTTGCGCGCACTATATTGGGGGCGGTGCACTATATTGGGCGCGGTGCACTCGTCTTCTGAGTGACGTGAACGTCAGCCACAAAGGGCAAAGCTGCATCGTATTCTGCTGCCCTAAACACAGCATGCCGTGCACGAGAGAATGATTCGAGACAGCCAGCAACCATCGAGCGCGCCGCTCACGGTGGATGGGACTCAATGGAAAGTTCCGACATTCGCGCTGTGAAGGGCAACAACTGTCTCCCTGATCACTCGTGCCGCAGGAGTGTGTACAGTGTCAACACGGCCGAATGATTTGACATACAGTGGCAGCGGAGAGTCTGGCTCTGGAACAATTTGCCGGACCCCACGGAAAGGGACGGAAGCTTGATCGTGGAGGTAACTACGCGCAACGACTGTCATGTCAAGAAATGCGCCTTACGAAGTACTTTGGCAACTCCCCAGTAACGTGTCCGTGCACTAATTGCCCACCTACACTAGTCACGCGCCCTAACATTAGTATATTAAGTAGCTAACTAGAATCTAAAGAAGTATATTAAAAATAGAAGTATAATTTTATTAATTAAGTATAAAAATAGAGGTATTATAGTAGAGTGTTAGTTACCTAATAGAAGGCCTAGTGCTCTGTTAAGGTCGTACTTTAAGCAAAGCTCGGAAGCACTATTCAATTAGTTCTCAGGGATGAATACTGTCAGGGAAACTAAAGGGGTCTTGCACTAAGGAGTACAGATACAATCTGTCTGTCTTAAGGGTAAGGGGGTAATAATAAGTAGTATAGAGTAGACTATCTAGCTTAAAGGTTAGGTTAAGATCTAATATTATAGATTAATACTTAGGTTAAACATAAACTATAAGGGTTGTGTTCCTATTTATTATATACTAATGCTAAGGTTTGCTTATTAATAAGTAACTAATAAATGTCTAATAAAAGGTAATAAGGATGCTTATTAATAAGCATAGTTATACTATACTTATTAATAAGTAGTAGTCTATGCACTTGCTTATTAATAAGTAAGTTATATAACTATAATTATAAGTCCTACTTGCTATACTCCTATAACCTAGATAGACCCTAGTTAGTTACTTATTATACTATGCTGCACTCCTTTATAAGATTATAACACTACCTCCCCTTCCTATCTAGTTTATTCTTAAACTATATAAGTTAAGAATAAGATTATATATAGCTAAGTGTCCCTATATCTAGTAATAGGTAAGTTAAGATATTCTTATATATCTATAACCTTTATCTTAGTCTTAAAATTTATTAAGCTAATATACTATCTAAAGTTCCTTATAACTATTATTTCTTTAAAAGCTATAAGTGCTATATTATACCTAATACTCTAAAAAGAATAAAGTATACTAAGTATACTAAAGCTAGCAAGCTATATATTAACATGTTCTAGGAGTTGTTAGACTATACTTATAAGAAGTATTATAAGAAGGTAGAGAATAATAAGACTTTACTAGCTACTATTATTATATAGTTACTATAGAATAAGAAGATTCTAAAACAGGCTAAAGATTACGTATAGTATAAAGCATTAGGCCTAGTAAATAAAATAATTAAGTTAGGAGAACTTAATTTAGTAGAGGAGGCTAATTGTTCTATAGTGTCTATTAGCATATATACTTTGCTAATTACCTAGGGTGCTATAGGCCTTATAAAAGAGTCTATAGCTAACTATAGTACTTCTATACTAGTTAGTAGTAGTTAGTAAGGTTTGTTACTAGTTCCTATATATTCTCTAAGTCTAGGTATCCTAACTACTTAACTAGGTACTCTTTATCTAGTCTAGTTCCTTAATATTTTATTATTTTCTTAACTTCCTATTTATTATTACTATTATTCTAGTAATAGAAGTCCTTCTAGATTAGTATACTAGCATTAGCTAGTTCTAACAAGGAGATATAGAATATAAGCTATATTTTTGCGTCTTTAGGTAGCTTAAGTTAATAGTTAACTAGGCTAATTTTTTCTAAAATAAAAAATAGTCTAACTTTAACTTTGTCTAGTTTTTTTATTAGTCTTCTTATATATAGATTCTTTATAAGGAGATACACTTTATCCTCCTTCTTTAGTAGAGGTGCTGTTTTTCTTTTCTTATTAATATAAGAGATTGCTTATAACTAAGCTCTAGTAATATTATTAAGCAATTTCTAATATACTTCTTTTAGTCTCTATACTAAGGATATTGCTAATTCTGCTTAGATATTACTATTAAGACTTTATATAAAGAGATTTAGATATCTTCTATACTTTATAAGGAATAGTATTGTGCCTATTACCTCTAATAGTTTATTATTATATGCAATTTGTGCTATAAGCAGGAGTAAAACCTAGTTATTCTACTGCTAGTTATAGTAGATATAGAGATATATCTCTATTGTTTAGTTTACTTATTCTATTTATCTATCTATCTATAGATAATAGGCTATAGAAAGCTTCTTCTTTATTCCTATTGCTGCTAGGAATATTATCTAGAAATTTAAAGTAAAGAGCTTATCTCTATTACTAATAATTAATTTAGGAATGCTATAGTATTAAATAATCCTATCTAGGAATACTTAAGTAAGCTACTCTGCAGTATAGCTATATTAGAAAGGTATAAACTTAGTAGCTTTTATAAATCTATCTACTACTATAAATATTAAGTTATAATTATAGTTTGTTATAGGGTCCTTAGAGATTAGTAGTTGTATAACAAAATCTATTATAATGTTTGTCTAAGGTATAGTTAGTAGTTCTATTGCCTATATTTCTCTATACTTAGCATATATACTATATTTATTCTGCTAATAGTTAATATATTCTTTAATATATTTAGTAACCTTGTCTTTTATATTTAGGAACTTATAATATTATCTAATAAGTTCTATAGTCCTTATAATTCTAGGGTAACTATATAGTAGATTATTATAGTAATTATATATAATTCCTTCTTAGAGGTTATCTAGTACTTAACTTAGTATATAGCATTCTTATAATATATATATAATATTATTAAGCTGCTATAAAGGTCTAAGAGATCTGTCCTTGTTAATTCTAAGGATAACAGCTCTATTAATTGTTTTCTTGCCTGCTAGGTTGTATTGTTAGCTAAGCGCGTCTACTCTACTATTGTCTTTGCCTAGGGTGTACAGAATCTTGAATTTATACTAGCCTAGCATTTCTAACTATCTAACTTGTCTTTAGTTTAGAGTCTTAGTAGTAGTAAAATATACTAAGTTCTTATAATCTATATAGATTATAAGATCTAAATAGCTTTCTATATATACTTGCTAATATTCTAGAGATAACATAATTGCTAAAAGCTCTTTATTATGCATATTATAGCATTCTTCTAGTCCTAAGAACTTTTATAAGTAGTAAGTAATTAGGTGCTATTATCTATCTTTTTCGTATATAATATATGCTCCTAATACTAAATCTAAGGTATCTATTTCTATTTAAAGTAGTTTATTACTCTTAAATATAATTAGTGTTAGGGGGTTAATATATGCCTATTATAATAACTTAAATGCGTTATCCTGTTCTTTTCCCTATAAGAAGGGTATGTCCTTCTATATAAGCTTTATAAGTAGTAAGGCCTTCTTTAAGTAATCCTTAATAAATTATCTATTAAAGTTAAT